AGTAAACTACATTTTAGCTCATTATCTCATAATAAATAGATTCTTTGTTTATTGTTTGTCAAGTAGTTTTTCATCGCGGTCAGTGGAAATTTTAATGTGATAACGTTTGCCAGTTTTACATAATCCATAATTAGTTCGGCAAGAGTTGGACCATGTCGCTGTTCCGTTATTTACCATTTTAATTTCACCTACAGCAGCAGCACAGTTAATTGTTGGTGCATATGAACAGAACACTAATCATTATACACAAAACAAACAGCATATTCTAAGACGCACAGAAGGTCTGCTCTGTGGTGACCAAAATGACAACCATTTGTAATTTAAGATTTAAGATTTTTACCTCAATGTGAAATTCCCTGGATATTTTGAACCCCTGTTTGAAATCCTTGAGATTCATCTATTTATTTATTGTGGAGCATGGATGTATTATATTAACTGGATAGGGTATTACTAGCTTGTATCTGAATAACTCATGTGCTCAGGGGATTCTCGCGGTACTGCAGACTGAACCAGACTAAATTCACGTGGGCTACCCAGAAATTTTCCCCATAGAACTCAATGCATATTAAAACAGCTCGACCTCAGCTGACGGATTTTGTGGGGATTTTAGTGTCCCTTGTCATCCTGAACTTTTTTTCTTCTTAAATCTTTCGGTTTTGTTTAAATCCACACTTTAGTGCCACAAACTCTGCTCCTCTGGCTCTGGCTCTAACTCCCGCTCTGATGAACTGCTCTGATTGGTCAGAGCGCGGCCGAGCCCCTCTGTGCACGTGCGTGAGACCCGGTGTGAGACCCACACACGCGTGTTTGGCGCAACGCATTATGGGAGATCATCCACTGCGCAGAACCGGGAGGACCAGACGATGCCCAAATACAGGCGAGTTTCCCATAGATCTTTGCGAGTTTCAGGCAACTTCCGCTAATCTTTCAGCCCCCGTGCTGTCACAAAGCGCCACTGAGCACAACCATTCATTTGAATAGGGCGCCATCTTGGATCGCCGGGGCTTGTTGTGGAGACAATGACAATGTTTTTCATTTTTAAGTAGGGTTATCATTGTGCTCATTACAGCCGAATAAAGGGAGGATATGAGCACTCAGGTTTCACACATCAAACAGGATCTGTTATTGAAGATAATAGATAAATGGATAATGAAATAAAACTCTGGAGCTATATTTGCACTTGGCTCAAGCATAAGTCACCTGTGGAGTAAACTTTGAAGCCTAAAGCGTTAACATATCTGTATGCTTACCAGAAGATTCCTTCTTCTTCTGTAGTTATGCCCTCTATTATTCCACCTCTTTGTTTGCTTGCTGCCATCACACGCCGGAAAAATTATGAAGAAAATATTTTAATTTAACTGATGTACGCTGTAGTTTGAGATTGATTATCACCTTGGGGGGGCATTTTTCTCTCCATTGCTCCTACCAGCTCGTGTTCCCTGGAGCTTTTGGCTGATGTCTTTTTCACCCCTCTCCACGCTCTGCAACCTCTCCTTCTGGGACACGTTTAGCCGGCGCATGTGTGCAGTTATATACAGATATTTAGCTACTTTTCCAATATGGGGTATGAAAGCTTTGGCCAGATCCACATTAGTCTTCATCTACTTCCCCTTTATGCATGACTTGAGGCACTGACACTTCCTGGCACTCTGCAACGCTTTAGACTTTTTTTTTAAGCTAACACATCTCTTGGCTGTGCAGGCGGCTTCAGTTAAATCTTTATGTTGTCATTTTTTTTCCCTCTTTGCTTTTTTAAATCCATTATAGAATGTGACAGAGCCTGCATTTGGTTACTTTACTGTTCGAGCCAAGACACTGGCCGCATAATATGGGTGTGTAGATATTTTGGATCTCCTGGGAGTTCGCTTGCTGTTCTTACACTGGTCTTGGGCCATATTTCCCCCGTTTTGTTTTAAAGACAAGTGAACAAATTGTTGTGTGTGTCATGATGGCAGTTATGGGTAATTAATTGACACAATGTACTACAGTAAGCTTTAAAAGATGTCATGCTTCAAGACTACCACATTACCAAATACAAGATTGGTATATAAGCCTACTTGATTATTATTTTACTAAAAATGTGTTTCCTTTTCAATAACAAAAACAAATCCAAAAAGACTGATGTAGTATGTATGTTTTTAATGTTTTAGTGAAACCAAAAGTCAAACTCTGTGCGAGGGGACACTAAAGTTTTCCTGTTGTGTTGATCCACTTATTTTACATTTCTCGCAACTATATTTTTGATAACAACTCTATCCCCATATCATCCCTAGACAGCAATCCAGTCCATGGCTTTTAACAGAGCATTGTCTATGAAAATGAATTGGATGAATGGATTACACTTGGATGAGGCCATGTTGGGGGTAAACATGGATTTTCTCTCCCTTTGGCGTATGGTTTTATGTGTCACTACTTAATCTCCTCACTCAAGCCATGTCCACAATGTCATTAGGAATCACTGCGATAACGTCCTACCCATTTTGAACAATCAATGACCCCAAACTGCACGGAAATGGCTGCTCTCTTGGCTAAAACACACAATCGCTCCCATCAATAAAGGGTTTTACATGTCACACAAAACAGACTAATGGATGCAGATTCCCATACGTTTTCACTTCCACTCAGTTACACAGCACTAAATTATGCAGCACTGATTTGCATTTTATAAGCAAAATCACTGTAAAATGTGTGAGCAATAAACTTTTAACAGCCCTGTTGTGTGTGTTTCAAGGAATCATATTGAGGCAAAACACAGATGTATAAATAGACTGGAGAGGTGTCTGTTAAATTTGGTGGCTTAAAAAGACATGAGGACTGTTTGCTCCCAGCGTCACGTCGGCAGTGGGTATCTTTTCTGGGCTCCGAATTCGTGCCGCTCTCATTTCCTGCCGCTAATCGTGCTCTGCTATGCCATAGCACGAGCCTTGTTTCTTTAAGAGCAAACAAACAAAGGTATTAAAGGGGTCAAGCTGCACGCTGCAAGCCCCATTGTCTGAGCCAGTCTGTGTGAACGTTAAGTGAACGCCCACTGCTTTTTCACAGCGTTATTGTGAAGAATGGGACGCAGCGGAGAGAGAAAGACGAGAACTTGTGTCTGTTCTTTTACACTTTCTTAAACTCCGCTGCAGGCTACAGCACTGCAGAGAAGCACACCTGGCTTGATTATGTTGAAGCTGTTGCAGGGGTGGAAGACAAAGCTACTGTAAACTTAAGGAAAGTTTCATCTTAATATATAACTCATCATGAAGTGTAAAACAAAATGGTTCACATGTGTTGGTCTGGTTCACTTTAACTAGACCAATCCTGGCTCACTTGGGTCAAAAATTATGCATAATCTCTTATATTTCTTGGACTAGTGGACACGCGTTCACTTGTGTTTGGGTCTTGTTCTGCAATAATTGACTACTGGTATAAAACTAACTCAAACTTGTCTCAAAGGGTGCACAGAATTGTTGTTTAGTAGATTAGAAAACATTTAGAACACATAGGTAGTAATACAATACTAAAAGTCATTGGTCTATTGCAGACAGGGATAAGATGGTGCCGCATGGATGTAGAAATAAAGTGAGATTGAAGCCAGATAGGTGCTTCTTGGAGGTTGTGGGTGAAATCCTTATTGCAAGTAGAAATTAAAAAACCTTAATTTGAACATGGCTCAGATATTTCAGATGTTTCAGATACATGCCTTGCTCAGAGTCTTTTGGTTGGTCCATTTCATGTCCATGAAATGGGCCAACCAAGAAACCAGAAGGAGAAAAAAATAAAGAACCACAGCAATGAAGGGATCCACTCCTACCACAAAATGGTTTCTTAATATAGTATACTGTCCACTGATTGACTATTGATTTTACATCTATAAACTGGGTTTCTCTTCTACTTCAAGACATACAGTACAGCAATGCTACCTCCCATTGTTAAAGCAAGTAAAAGTAACTACCTGTAATTGAGTAGAAGTGGACTCCTAATTAAACTTGTGTCTGGGCCAAAGAAACGATCTGATCTGACTCGTAAATGGATTTGGATTTGGACTAAACCAAGACATATGAAATCTGAAATCGTGCCATTTTTGAGTCTCGCTGTAAAAATCAATAATACGTCAAGTGTGAAATAAAGTTTAAGTTTGCCTGCCGCAAATAAGTTTGCGGCAGGTTTCGCTGTTATGAGTTTCGCATGTTTCTCTTGTATTTTTAATGTACTTCACCTTTTTAATTAAAACTCAAATTATGATGCTCCTTATACTCTCCTTGATGGCGTTATCAAATTAATTTAATGTCTAATTTGATTCTGATGAGACCTAATGGCTTTAGTTGTCATTGTTTAATGCTTTTTGGTTTAAGATGGCTGTGGCTGTATGTGGCTGTAAGTGACTATCAAGGGGTTCATAAGTGCAGAGAGCGTGCTCCAGTCCTGTGTTTTAATGGACTGGGCATGCAAAGGTAATGATGGCCTGTCACTCCTCCCTGCTGGGTCCCTAAATGGAAGAGTTATGTTTGAGCCCTCAGTGTCCTGTGCCGCACAATTTGTACATTCACACTTTAGTTGATGGATTTTGTGGAGAGGGCTGCAGTGTGTGATAGGTTTGTGGAGCTGTGATAGAAAGAAGAATGTTCTATTGTTGCTGATTCTGTCAAAGCCATGATTTTGAGTTTGGCCTATCAGCTTTCAGTCCTTTTTGTGCAGTCCATTTGGGTCTTGGCACTGGTGAAGATTTGAAGATAATGGAAGGAGAGTGTCCCCACTGGTGATGGCTTCAGTCAGTCTTACTGGACTAAAATGAAGATTGGCTCGCCTGAAGCCTCTGTTGTCACAGCCACTCTGCCTATTGATTATTTTGCGGCGTAGACATGATTAACGGATATTCAGGGGTGAGAAGGAGTGCTGGCGGCTAGGGTTTTTGTTTTTCTTAAGTTGACGACAGTTGTGAAGTGTTGGTACGTTGGCAATCACGCTTTAGAATTTCACTCTTTTCTCAATGTAACCTCTTTTTCCTTCTTTTCCAGGTCAGAAGATCTTCCTGTGGAGATGGTTATGCTGCAATGACCCGTGTGGCTTTTCTTTCCTCCAGAGATCATTCTCCAATCAAAAGCGTGTGGCCAGATCCGGTCAGGTCATGGTTGGCAGGTTCACATGATGGACAGGTGATGGAGTCGTCCATCATCCCTCAGCACTGACACATCCCAGCGCTGCCTCTGAGGCATCAGTCTGTGCGGCGCTGAAGCCCGCCGACTCTCTGCCATGGTGACATAAGGCGTGCTGCAGAATGAGGGAGAGCCATTGTGAGACCGTGTCCTTTCTTTCTCCAGTCGCTGTTGCGGCTGCTTTCTTCACATGGTTTCTAATTTTCTCCATACTGAAACATTGAGACAGATTAATTTGTAAACAGTCCCTGCAGACCTTGGACGTGCGCCTCAGGGCGTCTGGCCTGGCTGGCGGGTCTGAACGGCCCAAGGGACGATGCTGGGATGCGTGACCCGTGTCCGACGGCTGGTGCGTCTCCTCCCTTTGCAGACCTCCCTGCTCCTGCTCTTCCTCTTCTGCACCATCAGCGTCTTCATCTCGGCCTACTTCCTGTATGGAGCCAAGCGGGAGCTGGAGCCTTCAGGAGGGGGCGTGTCGGGATCAGAAGGAGCGTCAGCCGACTCGGACGACCTCAGGGTCACACCATCAAGACTGTTACCTCTGCGGGGAGTCGCCGGGGGGCCTGGAGGAGACCCTGCAGGGGCGAGGACAGATCCTGTAGTTCTGGTGTTTGTGGAGAGCCAGTATTCTCAATTGGGTCAAGAAATTGTGGCCATTTTGGAATCCGGCCGTTTTCGGTATAGGACAGAAATATCCCCTGGTAAAGGGGACATGCCCACATTAACAGACAAAGAAAGAGGGCGGTTCACACTAGTAATTTATGAAAACATCCTGAAGTATGTCAACCTGGACGCTTGGAACAGGGAGCTGCTGGACAAGTACTGTGTGGAGTACGGTGTGGGTATCATCGGCTTCTTCAAGGTAAGACTCTCCTGTTACTCCTGTCCCTGTCCTGCTCTTGCCCCTCTGTCCCTGTGCATCTGTTCTGTCTCAGGTGGGACAGGTCCGACACAGGTCTGGGCAAAAAGTCAAATGCATTAAACCAATCAACCATTTTTTGAAAATCAAAAATGTGAGAAATTCCAGAATTTTCAGATCAAGGTCAGGATAATGTTTCTTTTGGCTTCTGCTTCTCAGGGGCCTTTGTAGTTAAGCTGCAGTTGTGCTCCGCGAGTGTAATAGGGCTGGAAAAGGCACAACGTTGATTATATTTCAGTTGTCAGTATCTGCGCAATATTAGTTTTATAATCGTTTAGGAGAGAAATTAAAGATGGAAGTGAAATTTGAATATGAATTTGAGTATTACGCTTTATTCATATGACAGTGATGGTGACTGTTTAAAATTGTTCAAAGGGGCCAATGAGTTTTTTTGCCTTATCGCCCAGCCCTTGTAGGACTATAACTCATTATAATGCGCCTGCTATATCTTCTGCGATAGCTGCCATTTCGTTGACTTTCATTTGTTTATTTGTTTTTGAGTCTTCTTATACTTCGAGCAGTTTACTCTTTATCGTTCTCCTCTTCTCCTCCTCCTCTCTCCCAGTAATCCCCAGTTGCGCCTGTTTGCCGAAGGCCAGTTTTCAGGCCTTATGGTTTTAATCAGCATCTCTGAGCCACAGAAAGAATATAGAGAGACACCGAAGCATGGATGGTTTTGAGGGGTAGGTGAAGGTTAGAAAAGCCCACAGGGATTTACTCTTTCGGGCGTTCTATGTGAATCTCAATGATATAAACAACCGAGATCTTATGTAGTGTTGTGTTTGAAAGAGACTTGCTGATTGTGATTCTGTTGGGTTTATTTTTTTGTTTCTCATTAGTTTTATAAGCCATTGTTAATATAATAAGCATTTCACACTGAGTGCTCATCATCGTTAAATGAAGGGAAGCGCCGATATTGTACATTTTGTTGGATCACGTATCTCTTTAATATCCAGTGGATCTCTCGTAGGCCTTTATTTGGGTGTTAAGTAAGTTTAGTGGCTGATATTCGCCCAGAATGTCATAAACTGTAAGTAACTTACTTTTCCGTGCCATTTATAGTTGACTACATATATTTGCACTAAACACAGTGTTTTGTCATTATTTGCAGGTTAAGGGGATAGTTTCAAACACAATTTGACCAATTTGTAGCTGAGGTGTGAGAGGATACATTTTTTTTATCCCTTCACTGGTGTTGGTTTATATCGTTTATTGGCCGATATTGAAGCCATAGTATCAGTATCAAACTTGAAAAGGCTGGATGGATGCATCCCTTGTTAATTGACAAACAGCTGTTGTTTAAACACTGATATCAAGCAGACCGTCTTTCTGTTGTAAGCGGGTCACCCAGGCTGGTAAAAGATGAAGTTGAGTGCCGTGTGGCACGAGATGTGACAGAATGGGAGAATAACAACTTTTGAAGAAAAGATATTAACAATTAAAAAAAGGTCCCAGACTTTGAATATGTAAGGCCACCACAGGACAGGATAAGTAGACTTCCTTATTTCACTCATGATTGGAGGAATTGACAAATTATTCTATACGTTTCTGTACTAATCACATTCCTCTCCTTTGATTAGGCCAATGAAAACAGTCTGCTCAGTGCCCAGCTCAAAGGCTTCCCACTTTTCCTTCACTCCAACTTGGGCCTGAAAGACTGCACAGTGAACCCCAAGTCCCCACTGCTGTTCATCACGCGCTCGGGTCAGCCCCTGCCAGGACCTCTTCCCGGGGATGATTGGACTGTGTTCCAGTCCAACCACTCCACATACGAGCCTGTGCTCCTGGCAAAGACCCAGTCTGCTGACAGTGTGGCCTCCATCGGGCAGAACGCGGCACTGCTCCCCTCCGTGGTGCAGGACCTGGGGCTCCATGACGGCATCCAAAGGGTTTTGTTTGGAAACAACCTAGTATTTTGGCTGCACAAGCTGGTGTTTGTGGACGCTGTGGCCTTTCTGACCGGGAAGAGGCTGTCCCTTTCCCTGGACCGCTACCTTCTGGTGGATATAGATGACATCTTTGTTGGGAAGGAGGGCACTCGCATGAAGGTGCCTGATGTTAAGGTGGGTTTCTCCAAGTTTGACGAGTAAATTTCACTATTACAGACATTACCGTTAAAGCAGCCTCTCGCAGTCGCCTGCCCTCTGCCAGTCATCTAGAACCCCTTCCCTTCTCTTGAATGCGCTCGTCCCACTAGGCCGCTCAAAGCTGACAGGCCCCACTGCTCACACTGTCACAGAAGCTCCACAGCAATGAATATTTCAGGGGCCCAGAGACATACAAAGAATGTCGAAAAGCTCCTGCCCATGTCCCCTCAGAGAACAACAGACCCCTCGCATGTTTGAGGTAGAGACTGCAGCGAAAGTTGTGGTTGAAGCTTCAAGGCCTGCTCGCTGCCAGCGCATTTAGAAATGAATCAGACCCTGACAAGATGGAGAGAGTGAAGGAGAGGCATGCAAGCAGGGAGTATGGAGATCAAATGAAAACGAGCACTCAAATCAGAGGAGGGAAACATATCAAACAGAATCAAGTAAAGACTCAGGCAACTGGGACATGACTGGTGTTTACCGAAAAACCTGGACAATAAAATATGTATGTGCACTTGCAGGAGCTGGAGATCATTAATTCACCCCTGAGTAACTTGAGTATTTGTATTGTGAATTGACTGACGCACTTTCCCTCTCACTTTCCCAGGCCTTGTTAGAGACACAGAAGGAGCTGCGCACACATGTCCCCAACTTCACATTCAATCTGGGCTTCTCGGGGAAGTTCTTCCACGCTGGTGAGCCGTGTTGATTATAGTGACTTAATAACTCTCCAGTGATAGCTCAATGCTTCGACTCTTTACCCTCATCACATTCTTCACACCAAAAATTGAACTTGACTCATTTCCTCCATTTTTCATCACGGGCCATATTTCCCCCCATGGCACTGCTTTGTCATTGTCCACAGTTTCATGTGAGTAATTTCCTCCCTCGCTGCTCTGACTGCCCTGTGTGTGTGCGATTCTGTGTGTGTGTCTGTGTGTCCAATCCCAGGCTCTGATGAGGAGGACCTTGGCGACGACCTGCTACTATCTTTTGTGAAAGAGTTCTGGTGGTTTCCTCACATGTGGAGCCATATGCAGCCGCATCTCTTCCACAACCAGTCGGTCCTGGCCGAACAGATGCTGCTCAATAAGAAGTTTGCCATGGTGAGTCACCGGGTCACAGGCCACGTTCACGCCACCTACGCAAAGCCGTGGAGAGCAAAATGAACAAATTGCTAAATGATTATGTATTCAAAACTTGGTCTAATGTTCCTTGGGTATAAAACATATTTCTGTTTTTATTTTCTCTGTTTACTTACATTTTGTACCATCATCAACTCATTCATTATACAGGTCAAACTCTGAAAATGTAGAATATCTTTCAAAAGCCTGTTTACTTCTGTAATACACCTTAAAACGTGAAACTAATAAATGACCTACTACACACAAAAAGAAAAATATCAAGCCTTAATTTATAATTATAGCTGACAGCTGTAAAAACCGAAATAAAACACCTTGAAAAGTATTGTGAAAATTAACGGTAAGCCATAATCAATAAAATGACAAATACATGCTTGGCATATGTCACTTTGCATGTAATAAGTCTATATTATTAGTATTTAGTTGCAAAAAGCCTGATGTTTTGGTCGGACATGTTTGCCTTATAATACAATTGACCTTCTGTCTACTCTGTTTGTTTTTTATTTTATAATTAAGAACACAACCATATTTTGCACTTGTCACATCTCACATAATTGCAAACATGCTGAGAAGAGCTGTTATGACTCTGACAATTCTATAATGAGTATAGAATCATAAGAAAATGTGTTTTCAAAGTATTTTAAATACTGTAAAACAACCTAAAGTGTAACAGGAGGACTCTATGAAGATGTTCTCAGGGGCATCACTGGAGCTTTTTTTGGTCATCAAAACCACTAACGAATTAATTTGAAAGAATCATTCATTATCAAAATAATTACTGCCCGAGTTCAAATACTACTATTTGTAAACTGCTGCATTGAGCATGTGTTCTTGTTTTTATTTGAATCACCAGAAATGCGTGAAAGCAGCAGCTGTTTCAAATTGTAGCATTCACTTGAGTGACACTGCCCCGAGTCACTGATATCCTTCTCAAAATCTCCTCTGCATTACACAGTAGAGCATGCACATCAGCATACAAATGTACTATACAGGCTGGTATCTCTGAATCTAAGCATATTTGTGATCACAGGAGCAAGGGATACCCACAAACATGGGGTACGCAGTGGCCCCCCATCACTCTGGCGTGTACCCCGTGCACCTGCAGCTGTACGACGCCTGGAAGAAGGTCTGGAGCATCAAGGTGACCAGCACCGAGGAGTACCCTCATTTGAAACCGGCCCGCTTCAGACGGGGCTTCATTCACAGCGGCATCAGTGTAAGTGCTCAACATAATCACCATTGTTTTGCTACCAAATCTCCGACTTTTATTTTATGTTTTTAGTGATAAAAGTGTGTTACCTTGAGTCTGGACGGCTTGAACTCTTGAACATTATGTCAAAACCACAAACATAAAAACTGCAACAAACTATCAGACAATTGTAAAGTGAATGCAAAATTACATGATGTAAATACTTGGGGTTGGTATGGGTTTTTCAGGGCATATACCAATAATCAGTTCTCCAAGGGGACTTGTAACTGAAGTTATAGCAAACTCCCACAATTAAATCTTTTTAAATGCCTTGTTAAGGTTTATTTTGACCAAAATAAATCAAACTATTCAGATTGTGCGTTGTTTAGGCCCCTGTACAGAGCACATTAAGGACAGATGTTGTGTTTTGCTGTTAGAGTTGTATCAGTGTGGGTTTGAGCAGTCCTGAAAGTTTATAAGCGATGGAAAACTACAAGTAAAATATGGAAGAGAAATGTCAATGCTGTAGAGAAAGTGTCCTGGAGCAATCATGCTACTTAAAGAGTTATTAAGGAGACGGAAGATGAACTTTTAAGTGGAACATTCTGGCTTATTTCAAAGGTCTTGCTAAATTATCTTTGATGATGCTAATATTTACACAGCTCAGTCGCAGCCATCATTAGTGCTGTACACGCTGATGGAGCATGTGTGGAGCAGATGATGCCTTTCCTAAGCTAGTCTTGGGCAGCACGGTGGCGCAGCAAGAAGGTCCTGGTTCGATTCCACTTCCAGACCTTTGTGTGAAGTTTGTATATTCTCCCCCTGTCTGCAAAGGTTTCCTCTGGGTGCTCCAGTTTCCCCTACCCCTAAAAAACATGTAATGAGTGAGTGAGTGAATGGATGGTGTTGATTTGTGTGTTCAGCATCTCGCTTCAATCATCACTGTGCTGAGAGAAAGGGAAAATATCTGAACTGTGAACATTGTAAAGCGCTTTGGATGACCTTGGTTTGTAAAATGCGCTATATAATTAAACATCACTTACTTATTTGTATTACATGAGCCACAGTCCAGCAGTCGGTCACAATAGAACCAAGTCTGACATGGCTCACAGCACCGCATCAAGGGTCCGCAAATACCCCAGTTGCTCACACTAAAAAGACTGACTTCCACTGGCTGTAGAATTGTATCATGTATATGGTCGAAATGAAATAGATTTTCTTCAAAAGGCTTAAAGAAAAGGGAAATCTTATCTGCTTCTCCCCACAGTTGACCTTCAGCGCTGATAGAAAACAACTGCCTCCCCAGTCCTGTCCTTTTGTAGTCTTGGCATTCAGGCCACCTGTGTGGTCTCAGCGCTCCGGTGTCGTCCTTGAGACTGTTTGAATGGACAGTCTCCACTGTTTAGTGATGATTGATATTTGGTTCCCCTGATACTCCAAACTGTAAACGCATTTCCATGAATTTCCATATAGACTCGGAGTGAATAAAAGGTTTGCTTTTCCTAGATGAGCTGCATAATATGAACGTTATTGAAAGCAAACAATGTGTGGGGTAACTGCCTGGAGTCTTGACAGCTCCGCGCCTCGCACAGAGAGAGGAGGCTGTTTATTTGCTGGAATTCATTTGTTTGGGGCCCCCTTTGTGTCAGGGTGTGATATTTTCAACCTTTTCATTGCCCTTTCTGTTTGTTGATATCACAGGTGCTTCCCAGACAGACGTGTGGTCTTTTCACGCACACCATTTTCTATAAAGACTACCCCGGCAGCCCCAACGAACTGGACAAGCTCATCAACGGAGGGGAGCTCTTCCAGACTGTTCTACTCAACCCTGTGAGCAAAGTTCTCTTCTTTCATGCTCAAAAGTACTATTCTTCTGGACGCACAATCACTGAAGATTTCTATCATCTAAATCCAGGGGTGCCCAAACTAATGCAGAGACAACTTAAACATGCATCATTTCAAAAGTTAGTCGACATCAGTGTCAAACTAATTTTGGTCAGAGATTTTTTTTAAACGTTTAGCTTCCATAGTTTTTTCCAAAAGTTTGTTTTGAAGCTGTGTTCACATTTATTTGTACATTTATGAAAGTATTATTTTATTCAACAGTAATGAGTTAAGTTATCATTGGACTGGATGGCCCCAATTTTATTTTGGGTTCAATGTTTAGAATGAATTGAAAATTGTGGTTGTGTTCTTGAGAAAATATGCTCTAAAATGACATATGACATGTCATGGCAGCCACAAGTAACTTCTCCCCATCAAGACGAGGTGTAACGAGTCTATTTGGTTAGAGCCTCAAAAATGGTCTGCAGCCCCACTTTGGGAACCCCTGGTCTAAGTACTTAAATTACTATCAACAGACTCTACAGATTGCTTTGATTTAATATTATATCTCTGTCAGTATCATGATTTAGGAAGATGTTTTTGTCCTTTAATCTAGATGATTGTATTATTATTATTCTCTCTCTACTTTTATAGATTAGTATATTCATGACCCATCTGTCTAACTATGGGAACGACCGCCTCGGGCTCTACACCTTTAAAAGCCTGGTGAATTTTGTGAAGATGTGGACCAACCTGAAGATGCAAACTCTTCCTCCCATTCAGCTCGCTCAGAAGTACTTCAGCCTGTTCCCCTCAGAGAGAGACCCCCTCTGGCAGGTCAGCCGCCACACTACACTCATTGGTGGAAGATTTATATTCATGCTGAGGCTTAAAAATAGAATCAAGATGATCTTGTTTCCATATTTAGCGAACATCAAATTTGAAATATATATTTGTTTCCATCTTGACAGAAGCCATACACAAAAACAGACAGCAGCAATAAGTTAGACAAATGGCTAATCTATTTGCCACCAAGTTTTTCAGAAGTTTGTTGTGAGACAGTCAAAGGGTGTGGTGCCCTGTATGAAAGATTGACAATGACTTAAATCAGTAATAGAAATGAATGTGAGAAGCCTGGTCGCTGTATAGAAAATTTCCTGGATTCAGGAGCTCATGTAGCATTTCTGCGATCCTGACGAGCCAGATACCTCCCTCCTGTCTCTTCTAGACCATAGGTGGACTCAGTCTGGGCTTGGAGCTACCATGGCAACCTTGTCAACACCCTTTCCTCACACGCACACACCAAGAGAGAATCAAACCAATCAGCAAACTGCAGACGTGACGATAGTTGTGCGTCAGGGAAGTTGTCGTAGTCCAAACACTAAAAATGGCGGCTGGTACGGGCTAATTCAAGTGAACGACTTGTTCAATCAAATTATGGAAAGGCCAGAAGTTATAACTCACTGCTACACTTAACCAAGGAAACAAATTAAAGAACAATGCAAAACACACAATTTTTCCCACAAAACGGTCAACAAAATACAATTTAGCCACTTTTCCGCGGTTGGTCTCACAGACAGCCATCACTCCTGTCAGAAAAGGCAGACTGGACTTATTCTAGTTTTTTTAGGCTCTTGTCTCTTCTCTTCCAATGTGTATTAAACTTCTGCAACGTCGCCAGCAAGTGACGTAGCTCATGTTTTCCCTTGAGAGTGTTGTGATTGGATCAGCTCTGCATCAGCCGCCAATCAACTAGTCTCCAGTTAGTCTCCGCACCCACTACCTTTCAGCTGTGAGGAAGTGGGTGTGGCTTCCCAGGATACATTTTATACTTTGGTGCCAAAATGTTTTACATCTGTACAAAACTGAAGTAAACAAGTCCTGCTATAGTCTCATTATTTGATTATGTTCTGTCTACCTGTAAAAACACATTGTTAGGTCATTGCATCTTGTTGTATTGTATGAAATCTATTTCATAAAGTGTAAAATGATTGCTCTCCCTTTGAACATTCTGTAAAGTGCAACATCAATTAATCAAACGGGACACAAACATTTGAACCTGTTCCGTGCCCTGCAAAAACTGGCTGCTGCAGCACTATTGTGTTTATAGATGTTTACTGTCGAATAAACAAGGGATTGTTTACCTTGTGTGACTACAGGATCCTTGTGAGGACAAAAGGCACAAGGACATCTGGTCCAAAGAGAAAACATGTGACCGATTTCCCAAACTGCTTGTCATCGGACCTCAGAAAACAGGTCAGACACAGTCCTTCTGCGCCATCTACAGGACAAACAATAATCTAACCTTCATGAATTTTACTTTATTGGGTCATCTCATTTCTGTGACTGTGAGAGTATTTTGTTTTTGTTAAAACAGGCACAACAGCACTGTACCTGTTCCTCGGCATGCACCCGGATCTGACCAGTAACTACCCGAGCAAAGAGACCTTTGAAGAAATCCAGTTCTTTAACGGCCACAACTACCACAGGGGCATCGACTGGTGAGGGCACGATCTCTGCATTTGACCCAACACATTTAATTAATTTTGTTGAGCATCTAGAACTAGGTACAATGATCTGAGATTAAAGGCATTTCTCCGGCACAACACGCTGAACAAAAGCCTGTGAAATTGGCAGAAATGTTTTTTAACAAGAAAATTGAAAAGAGATTACTCTAGTTGTTTTCACGATGACCTTTTTGTCGTTTGCAGATTGACAAGTTGTATCACAAGAACACCCACACAGCGCTTTGCTAAATTCTTCTCAAATGAAACAGCCGTGTTCTGCTTTTGCCGTCTCTCAGGTATATGGAGTACTTCCCCCTCCCCTCCAATACCAGCTCCGACTACTATTTTGAGAAGAGTGCCAACTACTTTGACTCTGAAGTGGCTGCTCAGCGGGCCGCGGCACTCCTGCCCAAAGCCAAGATCATCACCATCCTCATCAACCCGGCCGATCGAGCGTACTCCTGGTATCAGGTCCGTGATGAGTCACACACACAACTTGCCTCCTGAAGTGTGAGATTTTACACCACCTCCAGCTGTCGTTTGAGTCATTCAGATGTATTTGTGTTGCCCAAGTTCAGGATAATAGACAGTTGTATCTTCCTCTTTTCAATATACGGCAGAACAAACTGAGATTAGTTCCTCATGCGACTGTTTTTGTTACTGTTTACTGAAAATGTTTTTCTCTTCTTGTCATAGAGGCAACTAAGCATTAAATCATTGGTTCTCCTTTATTTACCTGTGATGGCTTATGCTCTGTCTTCCCAGAATATTGCTTAAAGCTGGGGTACTTTTCCTCATAAATAATTCATATTTTTAGGTGAAATGTTGCCAACATATTGGACCACAACATGCCGTCTCAATTTTATTATAAAAGATTGCATGGACGTAAGAAACAGTCCTGGGAGATTTGACGTTTTGTACTGGGAGCTGATTGGTTGAGTCTGAGCTGATCGAAAGCTGTGACAGACGGCAACAATACATGTGTAAACTAGTGATAGAGCTGTTTTGAGAGCGAGGAACTAGTTAGAAGGATTTTATTACATATTTAAATTTTTATAATTTGAAAGTTGGATACCGCAGCTTTAATTTCTTGAAATGCCGTTGTCGAGCGTGTGTTCTTAAAATGTCCTGTTTCTGCTGCAGCACCAAAGAGCACATGACGACCCAGTTGCACTGAAATACTCCTTCCATGAAGTCATCACTGCGGGACACGAGGCGCCCATCCGTCTGAGGGTCCTGCAGAACCGCTGCCTGGTGCCCGGCTGGTACGCTGTGCACATGGAGCGATGGCTCAACTACTACCACTCCAGTCAGGTGTGTTCACCAGGATTATCACTGTCATACACAAACTCTGAAAATCATCCTTCTATTTAGTTCTGTTGTAGTTCAACCTACAATGTGAAACTAACATTACCCACTCAGTAATATACCAAGCCTTTATTGGTTATATAAATGAGGGCTGTTGTCAGACTGTACACTGCTGACCTCACAGCTCATGCATCTGTGCCATATGGTGCAATAATATCAACATGTGCAATACGAGTCCACTGTCACTTTACTTTTACCTCAGAGCCTCATGGTCCTATTCTTCCCTTGAAGTGTATTACAGATTTATCTACAGATGTATAAATAAAAGTATAGTGTACTAGAGTTTACAGTATATATGCTGTATTTCTGTATTAAGCTTATTTTTTACTACTGTTCTGTAGCCTGTAATGCATCACTGACATTTCCCCACTCTGGAATGAACAAAAAGGACTTGTTAATTGGCTCACAGCTGTTAAAAACCCCAAATATGATAATATTTGGAAAATGGGCTGTAAGCCAATATCATCAAAATTATAACACACACGGATTGGCATAAGTCACTTTTTTACAAAAAATAATGACGTTTTTAACAATATTCTAATGTTTCAAGTTTCACCTGTATTTCTATAACACACATGATCTTGAACACATTTACATGTTTTCTGTGTATACATATTTTTCTTTTGGTCTGTAAAGTAACACTTGGTGTATTTCTTTTATCCAGCTGCTGGTCTTGGATGGGCAGATGCTAAAAACAGAACCAGCCTCAATTATGGACAAAATCCAAAAATTTCTGAGCCTGACCAATGTCATAAATTATCACAAAATCTTAGCGTAAGTATCTGTCTGAAGCCAATGTTTGGATTTCAGATTTAAGCATACTGTATATTACAACTATAAATCTCATTTTACAGGTTTGATCCCAAGAAGGGTTTCTGGTGTCAGCTACTGGAAGGAGGGAAGACGAAGTGTCTGGGGAAGAGCAAAGGCCGGAGGTACCCTGACATGGGCCCAGAGGTAAACAGGAGAAGAAACTATTCCTATTTATTGTATTTATATTACTCTTTCTTCTGATGGAGCGTTCTCAGCATGATGCCTGCCATTTTAAAAACTGTTCTTATTGTATTAAATAAAGAAAATGGGCTGGAGTTAAATGTCCTGTATGTACTTTACTCAAATGAAGAACTGAGCTCACTTGTGCAGTGGTTAAAATTGGTAATGAATTTTAAGATGTTAGAAATGTGCTTATTCCTCAGAAGTCAACACAATAACTCTAAATTTCTCTGATACATGCATGAGTAAGTTTATACATTGTGTTGCATGTTTTGGTTTGATTTATACATTTAATAACAGTAATACACAGTTTGAAAAGGAGTTGGACGAAGCAAACGTTTATTTGGTTTAAACCTCTCACACAGGCCCAAACACTCTCTGACCCTACCCCTCTCTCTCTCCCTCGCTCTTTGTTCAGGACACATACTTCTTCAGTGTTTCCTTTTTAATAAGACAATAACATAATTACATTAGCCATATCGTTTTTCTGTTCCTATTCTCATACATGTCGTTCTGCTTCTCCCTCAGTCCCAGGCCTTCCTCAGGGACTACTATCGGGATCACAACATTGAACTTTCAAAGCTCTTGTACAGAATGGGTCAGCCACTGCCCACTTGGCTCCGAGAAGAGCTGGTCCACACGAGGTAGCATCACGGCAGCGGAGACGACCACTCCACAAAAGAAACCACTACAAAACCCTATCGCAAAGACTCGAGAACTGCTAAGGTTCCGCATAGGATGTATCATACTCGCCACACGAGGACGGAGAAGGAACGTGCTCACGGCTGTGCTTCCACTCGCCTCCGTTGGGAAGAATGAACCGTGTTTTGGGAGGAAAAACGTATCCAGTAGGCTTTGCTTCCATATAAATCCGAGCGTAGGAACGCGCCGGCGACGGACACAGCCCCGAGCTTAGACGACGCCCGCTCGGAGACAAACAAAGACCTCGATTTTATTGCATGGATGAGCAACATCGATCGAAAAATGCCTTTGTACGCAAGAACCGGACTCTCAACTCAGGCTGCGGAGTTGTAGCCTTACTTGATGGGACTTGGTACAATCTAGTTATCACATTTACAAGTGCCAGGGCAGAATCTTCATCATAATACGGACACCTATTATGAAGGTTCTTACTTTTTTTTATTTTTTTAGGTTTTTTTTTTTTCTTTCTCCCTGAGATTGGTTTTAACGATTATTTAATGCCGTCTGTATTGGATTATTGTAGAATGTACCAGTTTTAAAACATTGTAGCTCAGTTACAGGTTACTTATGTGGTTTTTATGTTATCATTACTCAGCTGCGCAGGCCTCATCTTAAGTCAGTTTCATGACCACTGTATTGGCCAAAAGCAGGGACTAGCAGAACAACGACCGAAGCACAATTGGGAAAGGAAGGCAGACGGATAGAGGCGAATATTGAAACCATGTACTATACAGCATTTCCAGGAAAGCACACTACAATCTGTGAAGAACATGTATAAGCTAAACTACTGTATCGCTCCTGCACTCTGGTCCGAAAATATTCACATAGGAAACAAATACATTTCACCATCTGTCGACTTCTTTTGTTTGTCGCAATTTCTTTTTATTCCGGAGTTTTGGTGATATGAAGTCGTGAATAGGGTTGACCCAGTGAGAATTCCTGGAACATTTTTAATTGTCGTTCATCACTGCAACTAGATGTCAAGACTAGATGATTTAAAAAAAGCTGCTCTTATTGCAATAGTTTTGTACAATGTGGAGACGGAAAGGCACATGTTTTGGTCCATCGGTTTTCTGACTTTGTAATGTACATACACGCGAGTCTTTGTAGGCCTAAATTATTGAATGTCTTTTGGGTTTGCTCTGTCCATCTGCTCAGACGTGTACAAGGGGAGGGTCAGGAGGGGAGTCTCACTGAGATTGTCTTTAATTGTCTTCTTACTGCCAACTACTGTACAGACTAAGGTACTGAGTCTTTCCATTTAAAGTATTAAGTGAAAACCCCCATAACGACATCAGTGGTACTAATCTCCTGGACTGTATGGTCAAGATTTGTATTTGTTGTCAATAATTTTTACGGTGTAACTAATATTGTTGGTGCTTTTTGATTTGCAAATAAAACACCACTGTATTTTTCAGTATGTGATTGTGGTCCTTATATTATTATTGAACGTTTGACTTGTTTAGGGCTGTCATGAGTTCATTGATTAATCAAACTCATTGATTATAGGATATTATATATGAACTATTTTGAATAGTGCAACTCAAACATGTCGAAGAGGTTTTATGACTCAGATAATTCTAACGCCTGCAGAAAGTAAACATGTATTAACACAGTATTTTCAATCAAAGATGTGTAACAAATCATCTCTTATGAAGATCAAATCGTTAGTTGCAGCCCTACACATATTTGTGTAGGGCTGCAACTAACATATAATTGTCTTCTTAAACTTTAGTGGCTTTGAATTAAGTCTTTTCAACCCAAAACGTTTTATATTTCAACTGTAATGGTATTCCATATTGCTTTGTATAGAAGTGTATCTCTGAGCTGCATAATAAATGAAAATGAAAGCTCTTAACAGCAGGACAAGGGCAGTAGGTGGATAGACCAGTAGGTAGACCTGAGTGACATGTATCAGTTGGTACGTAAATATATGTGACTATTAGTCTTAAAATAGCATTCACTAAATTGCTTTTAGTTAATGTAGCATATTCACCTTTGTGATGTTAACAAGGCCACATGTAGTTTATCTAGAACTTAAACAAACTTTGTGTTGCAAAAAGGCATTTTTAAATTAAGAATAACTCCACTTTTAATGTTTGTTCCAAATGATTTGTACATTTTAACCTATTATCTGAGGACACAGATAAGAGATGTAGATGTAAAGATAAGCCTCAAAACAGCTTTTCCTTTAGGGGGGTTAAACTGTGGAACTCTCCCCACTGGGCTAAAACTACAGACTAACATGATCATCTTCAGCAGAGAGCTCAAACAGTGGTTAAGATCCAGACAAACTTGATCTCACGTGTAAATTATGTTGTCATTCTTTTAGTATATATTATATCTTCTGCACTGTAAAAAAAAAAAAAAAAAAAAATTACACTTATTATTAACACTTACAGCAATGCATCTGGTCCGTCCAATGTTATTGTTATGTCCATATTAAATAAATTAAATATCAGAACTGTTAGGGCTCGACATAACGTCACATGAAGGATCAAAAAGAGAAATGAGACCGACTGAACTCAAATTGGATCATTTGGCAGCAGCTCGTTGCACAGAGTGGTCTGACTGGTCTCTCCACATAACCTCACACTGTCATCATTAGATTCAGGGACTTCCCTCCTGCACCTGACGCTGGATCTGATCGATGTTATGTCACATGAAACTCAGCTGTACCAGTGAACACAACTCTGTACTGTACACAGAAGTAAGTGCGACACAGGAACATGGAAACCCCACTGATCGAAGAGAGCCAAACTAACAGCGACCAAGACCTGCTGCAGCCGCCCGCGACAGAGACCAGGTGAGCACCAGTCTGAGGGACAAGGATTTATTATTTTGACATATTTCTGTACACTAGTAACAAACATAATAGGCTCTAACAAGGACAAAGGCCTCGTAAACTAACATTAATATGGTTAAAACAATCTACAGTATATGTATATTTGTCTGCATAGAAGGCCCTCTTTGTCCTCTTTAATGTTATATTATTATATAATTGTATTATTGCTCAATCATTTATATGTAGTATTGAGAAAAATACAACGGACCATAGACTGTGAATGCAAACTGTAGCTATATCTCTGGTGCAGAACATCAGCTAGATTTATCTTTGGCATTGTCCCTTTAAATGATTTGTTTTTTTTACATTTTCACCAAAGAACGAAAGTGCATATCAATCTTGTTTTTCCAATTCAACTGTGACTCAGACACACCGAGAGTCCAGCTCTCAATGCACCACAAAAAAACAAAACAGAAATATTTACATGTATTTTATTGTTTGTTTGCATATCCTCAACATGATGTTGATGATGGTAAGAATCAGGAATGTCATGTAAAAATGTGAATCTTTTTGCAGTCGCTTAAATATAGTATTGATAATGGGGAAGGCACCTTTAAGCTTTTTTGCTTCTACCTTCTTCTTTTGAGCTTTGTTTTCTTTAATTATATGTGCCTTTTGCGTTCAATACATTTTCTATTTTTGAAGTAATAGAATAGAAGTAGTAGTATAATAACCGGATTTGGGAACTAGAAAATGCAATAATTAACCTTTTTTCATGTGTATTTAATACATTTCGGCATCAATCGATTACCCGGAAGTTTTTTTTGTATATTGCTGTGTGCCTGAAACAGGAAAATAGCCTTTTTTCGATTTTCCATTTCCCTTAAAAAATAGAAAGTGTATTGAACGCAAAAGTACACGGACCAATATTAATCAGATTTCTCAATGACAATATGGATGATTTAATGGTTCTCTAACGCTAATATTACACCAAAACATACAAAATAACAGTATTTCAAATGGATTCTTACACATTTTTGTAATAATAATACATTATAATTCAAATACATAGAAATTATTATTCTAAATACTCAAAAGATGATCAAAACACATATAATATAATCCCGGCAATGAGGGCCCTGCAGTGACAGGTTGTATTAAGTGCACGTTCTCCTGACTGTGTGTGTCTGCAGAGGCGCCAACAGACACGCCTTGAAGATCGCAGGCATCACCACTCTGGTGTGTCTGCTGGTGTCCTGTCAGGCTTTCACTTTGTACATGGTGATGGGCCAGAGGCAGCAGATCCAGACTCTGCAAGTGAGCAGCCAGATCGCATCAAGGCAGGCCCAAAGTATCAGACAGAATTCAGCTTAAAAATATTTATAGATGTGTTTTTATCATTTGGTATTTTTTTGTGCAGTAGCTACAACACGAATGAAGATCCCCATCGACAAGCTCCCCTTGATGAACATTTTTGAAGAAGACATTTTACCACATCTAATTGTGGAGAAACAACTTGAGGAGTTCATGGTTTGTTATCTTTTGATTTCATATCCTCTTTCTCTTCAGCAGTATTCCCCGACCCTTTTCATTCAAGGTGTATTATATAGAAAATCCAATATATTTTCTTTCTTTATTTACATTCTCACTTTTTACATTATTTGACCGAACAGTTGATATTGGATAATTTCAATAGACCATATAAAGATGGACAATGCTAACATGTTAGATCAATGAAGCCCAATAGGGAAGTGCTCATAGACAAAGTTTTCCTCCAACTCGCTCTATTGACTTTTGAAATGGACATTCAAAAGTAAAGTTCTCTATCTCACAGTTTGTGCCACACTCTCAACATCTGTCGTTTGGCGCTCTCCATGATCCAGATGATTTTTTTCAGTTATATTGTCTTTATAAACCTAGATTTGAAGAATTGACCAATCAGACATTAAAATCTTAGCATAATGTCTGCCCCTGTAATGGGACGAAGCTAACATTGGGGAAGTAATGCCCATATAATGACACTGCCTCCAGCTAGACCTTCCTCTGCAGTGGTCAGTTCTCTTGTTAACGCTGTTTCTCTTTGTTTAGGATTTTAAGTTGCCTCATTTCAAAAGTTCATTCTTAGTCAATCTGCAGAACATGAAGCAGGGGGTCAATGAGACTTTCTGGAAGGTGACTATCTTTCATCTTTTGTTAGTTTATTTTAAATTGAATTCTGAATTCTAAAACAGAAACCACTGTCATAGGGCTTTGAATCGTGGCTGAAGTACTGGTTGATCTTCCAGAAGGCGCAGGCTCCCGTACCTCACCCAGGTCCAGTCTACTTTCTGATTCCATTTCAAAGTGACCATACAATAAAACTGGAACACTCCGAGCAGTCGATTTGACGGCTTTTCGTTTTCTGAGTTTAATTACTCGACGTATGTACGCTTTTTGTTATTTACAAGTTTGTGACGTTCATTTATGCTATTTATTTATTTATCTACCTATTTTATATAGTGTATTTTATTTGTAGTTGTGTTTATGAAATGATCTCGACCCTAGACTGGTTCAGTGCAATCTGATCTCGGAGCCAGTGCTAGTTACCATAGCAGCGCACGTTTACTTGCAGTAGTTAGCATTTAGTTTTGTTGTATTTTTGTTATATTAACCAGTTTTAGCGTCTGGTTTTTTTTTTAAAGTAGTGAAAAACTATAATTGTTTTTTGGTGATTATTTCAGAATCCCATTGATTTGAATGGGAGCCGTCAAAAAGACTGCTCTAGGAATTTTAGGAGTTTAGAAATTCTGGGAGTCCTGATGTTAATGTGTGTGCGTGTGTGTGTGTGTGCTTGCGTGTGCGTCTATGCATGTCCGCGATTGTGTGTTTGTGCGTGTTTGTGTTTTTGTTTGTTTGTGTTAGAGTCCATGACCAAGTGTCAAATGGAAGCATCTGTCCAAGGTCTGCTGGGCTCCTTCAGGCCTGAGTGCGATGACCAGGGGAACTACAAACCCCTGCAGTGCTGGGGCTCCACTGGTCACTGCTGGTGTGTGGACCAAGACGGTCAGACCATGGACAGCTCCCACACCAGCGGACGTCCCAACTGTGATGCCGGTGAGACACGTATGAACCGAACGCACCACAAATGCTTGATTTCATATTCATTCTTCATTTAACCAGTATTTGCATTTACATTACATTACATTACTAAAGGCAAAATAAATTCACTTTTTTTTTCTTTTACTTTGTTGCAAGGATTGAGACATATCTTTGCTTTAAATTGTACTTGTACCTTAGGGCAGTGATTCTCAAAGTGGAGTGTGGGGGTGTCATGGTTACTCAACTAATCACACAACAATTGATTTAGCATGTTTTGATACTAATAAGTTGCCTTCATGTGACATCACGACGTTCCAAAGAGCCTATAGTGGTGGAAGCTAAACTTTTTTTTTTTGTAAGGTAATTTCTCTTCCTGTAATCCACTTGAAACAAAAACAATTCCATAATATATTTATCAGAACATATCGATTATGATCTTGTTTGTACTTCATTTTGTATCTTATTCATTGTTTATATTGTTTTCTTTTGGGACATTTAAAATAAATTCTTACTACTACTAATCTAAGGTTGCCTTCATGTTCTATCAGTGTAATTCCGTTGGAGCAAGCGCCCATACCACCCTATGAAAAAAATTATAATAATAATTTCCCAGATCATTATTTTATAGTGATTATATTCATAAATCCGTCACATTAGTCTCACAGTCCTTTCTAGAAGCCCACATCAGACATATGTTTTAAAAATAGGTAGGTCATAGCTGATACTGACAATGAAGAGGTGAACCTTTGTGACAGTTTTGGTTTCATGTAGATAGGCAACGGGATTAGAAATTATTATTTATAATCTAGTTCATGTCTGTCAAACCAGTTCTCAAAGGGCCAGAACCCGACTCCACCCTCTAGTAGGGCAATTATTATTCTGGAGACTTGAGAAAATGTAGTCTGGTGTGCTAGTCTGACATCTTTTAAAGATGCAGTCAGTGATTTTTTTTCCAGACGCATTTTTTTTTTAAATATTGTGGGAAAACGTCCCTAAACTCTAAAAGTAGTCAAGTTATCATGTGTTTTCAAATAGTAGAAGTTAGAATTGACCAGATGCATAAACCCCTACAGTCTCCAAAAATAATAAAAAATATTTTGGAGCGGACCGATAAAAATAAACCAATGAGATTCCTTCATCCCCAACGAACCAATGAGATGCGTTTACCCTTCACCCTCTTCCTGTTTCTCGCGATTGCGCTCACCTGAGTTATTGGATTTTCTAAAACCTAAAATGGCTGAACAGAAAATGCCAATTTCACGTTTGCCACCCACTCTCCCTGTTGTGACAAAGAAAAGAAAATGCTGGATGTTTGGTTTGGTGGAGAGGCGAGGGGCACATTCAAAAACTGTGAAGCAGCTTTTATCTTGGACAGATTCTTTGTTTTGGCACTATATTATTTTGTTTTGATGTTGTGGACGATCTTCCAGGGAACAGTTTTCCAGCGGACGAGACCTCAGGGGATGATTCTACAACACAGGATCCACCAGTGATCAACAACTGATGCCACAAATCCTCTGTAAGTTTTTTCATCATGATATTTTAAACAGTGCTTTTTCAATAACGTGTCATTTTGTTTTCCAGATAATTAAAGGGAAAAGATGAAGACGATTCATATTCATTTGTTCTTATCACTTTAGTGTTGGAGTAGCGTTATCTGTTATAATACGCTCACCCTTTCCTACAGCAGCAGAAGGTGTCATGTTGCTTTATCATTTCACATACAGTGCCTTACGAAAGTATTTGGCCCCCTTGAACCTTTCAACATTTCGCCACATTTCAGGCTTCAGACATAAAGATATAAAATTTTAATTTTTTGTCATGAATCAACGACAAGTGGGACACAATCGTGAAGTGGAATGAAATTTGTTGGATAATTTAAACTTTTTTAACAAATAAAAAACTGAAAAGTGGGGCGTGCAATATTATTCGGCCCCTTTACTTTCAGTGCAGCAAACTCACTCCAGAAGTTCAGTGAGGATCTTTGAATGATCCAATGTTGTCCTAAATGACTGATGATGATAAATAGAATGCACCTGTGTGTAATCAAGTCTCCGTATAAATGCACCTGCTCTTTGATAGTCTCAGGGTTCTGTTTAAAGCACAGAGAGAACCATGAAGACAAAGGAACACACCAGACAGGTCCAAGATACTGTTGTGGAGAAGTTTAAAGCCGGATTTGGATACAAAAAGATTTCCCAAGCTTTAAACATCTCAAGGAGCACTGTGCAAGCAATTATATTGAAATGGAAGGAGTATCAGACCACTGCAAATCTACCAAGACCCGGCCGTCCCTCCAAACTTTCATCTTAAACAAGGAGAAGACTGATCAGAGATGCAGCCAAGAGGCCCATGATCACTCTGGATGAACTGCAGAGGGAGGGACGGCCGGGTCTTGGTAGATTTGCAGTGGTCTGATACTCCTTCCATTTCAATATAATTGCATGCACAGTGCTCCTTGAGATGTTTAAAGCTTGGGAAATCTTTTTGTATCCAAATCCGGCTTTAAACTTCTCCACAACAGTATCTTGGACCTGCCTGGTGTGTTCCTTTGTCTTCATGGTTCTCTCTGCGCTTTAAACAGAGCCCTGAGACTATGAAAGAGCAGGTGCATTTATACGGAGACTTGATTACACACAGGTGCATTCTATTTATCATCATCAGTCATTTAGGACAACATTGGATCATTCAAAGATCCTCACTGAACTTCTGGACTGAGTTTGCTGCACTGAAAGTAAAGGGGCCGAATAATATTGCACGCCCCACTTTTCAGTTTTTTATTTTTTTTTACAGTTTAAATTATCCAATAAATTTCGTTCCACTTCACGATTGTGTCCCACTTGTTGTTGATTCATGAAAAAAAATTAAAATTTTATATCTTTATGTTTGAAGACTGAAATGTGGCAAAATGTTGAAAGGTTCAAGGGGGCTGAATATTTTCGCAAGGCACTGTATATACTGTACTTGTTACATTTTTCTGCTATGATTTCAACCTTTTCAAATCTATTTTTTCTATGGCTCTTCAATCGTAATTTCTCTTCTGAAACAGTGGTGGCAAACTCATTTTGATCGAGGGCTGAATTGAAAAAATCATAGCTGGACAGGAGACAATTAAAGTTGTTTTCTTATTAGAACGTTTGTCTGAAGCACTTTTTTGCATCTGTGTGTATGTATTTTTTTAGCATTATAAAGGTATTTTGACAAGTGGATTTAAAATAAGTTCAGGTACTATTTTCAAGCAGATTCTTCTGAATAAAAAGAGTTCAGTTATGTATTGTTTGTTTGGACTGACTTAAAATTGAACCATAAGTGATGAAGGCGGGTATATAGACCGACAGGACACTGACTTTTTTTATCATTTGATCATTTCTAAATTGCATACATGGTTGTTTTATTGAGAATTTTAGCTTTTATGGTTTCCTCAACCATTTGGTATAGATCTCCTTTTGAGTCACTATATCTACTTGAAGCTTGGAACTGAAATCTACCTCTTTGGGGCATCTCACTTGCTTCAGGCACTTTTACCATCAAACTGCAATAAAAGAAAAAAACTTCAAAAATATATAAATCAATTCTTTGTGTTATTAGTACTCCTACATCTTAGAAAATCCATAAAAAGAAAAAAGTTGCATTGCTTTCTTCAGGAAGTGAACATTAAAGGGTTAAAATAAGGTATAATATGTCTCAAGGCAATCATAATCATTAATTGTGCTTGGAGCTTCACAAAAAGGGTCTCACATTGGTTTTGCGTTTGACACTTGTATTCTGAAATGAAACGTGAAATAAAATATATAGTAAACCTCTGGAGTCTTGTCTTTTTATTTATGTTGTTATGTTTATATAAATTAGACTTCTTGACGTACTATTTGAATTGTTGAGTTCTTCTACAATAGGATCAATGTCTCATAAATGAAAGTACTTTCCACTGTAACTTTAACCCGCAGTAGTGAAAGTCATTCATAATTTAATGTGAAATAAAACCCAGTTGTTCCGGTCCTTGTGGAGGAGTCGGGCCGCCGTTTCATCATGAATTCCCCTGTAAGTACATTTTACCGTCAAAAAGGAATTCATTTGAGCTGTATATTTACATCACATATAATCTCTAGATGCTTGAGAAGCCTGAAAACATTCGTGTGGGGGTTTTTCTCGCATCACTCCCAGGTAAGAGGAGAGAATATAACATTTGCTGATGCTAAAGGTACTGACATTTTTTTTCTAAATGTCACCGCTGCACAGATAAAAACACTTGTGTGGTCATCAGTCAGGATGGCCGTGGAGTGGACCTGGTGACGGGGAAAGAGGTTTTACTCAATCACATTTTCACACCAAATCTATACCTCTGTTTGTGTTTTTACTATTGCTTTATCTCTTCACCAGAGCACAGAATCCTTCTCTTTTGACCTGGTGGCGACTGCGAATGATATAAAAGTAAGGGTAGCGTTTTGTATCAGCAGAATGACATTTGGACTGTGCTGAGCTCCCTGCTTTTATATTTATAGGCAATTTATTCGGACTTCCTGCAGCCCCTGGTCCAGTCTGTGCTCTCGAGTTTTAATGCAGCACTTTTGATACACGGGGCGTCCGCCGAGAGGACAGGGGCCCTCATCGACCACCATGTCATCAGACAGGTGCACGCTCTGTGGTTTTAACCAAAGAGTAAACAGCTTGGGTCTGAAATGTTGCTTTTACCTTAGATTTTGAACAATCTGCTGAAGGGTGAAGTCCAACGAGACTGTTTTATTGCCTTGTCCTTCATTCAGGTTTGTGCTTTTGATTATGATTTGGCAAGATTGACAGATCCATTATTTGTCCCACAGTGGGGAAAATTAAGTGTTGCATCACAAGTTACAGACAGAATGGAATGAGGAGCACACAGTAAAAGATAAATGAATAATAACTCTATACCAAAATAAAATTGAACTCTAGAATAAAAATAAGCAGTTTAAAATATCTATCTTTAGCATAATAAGGAAAGCAGTCTAAAATCTCAACTTTAGCATGATAAAGAAGCAAGACCAAGGGCAAAACCCCTGACTTTGGCATCATGAGGAGTAAGTATAAATACTGTAGATTCTAGTGCAAGTACTGTATATAGTCGTGTAAACATCTGTACATGTTAGCGGCATAATTAAAGTGGCAGCAACACATGGGATTCTATATTGTGCTTTCTCTATTATCAAAGTTATTATTGTACAGCTGAGTATAAAAAGTGACAGTGACACATGTGGTCCATATTGCATATTCAGATAATTAGTTCAGTTTATTGCACAGGCGCACTGTGCTCAACATGTGAGGTCGACAGTGTTTGTTTATTCCCCATTGTTTGTGCTGTGGCAGATACAGGGGAAGCTCAGAAAATTAGAATATCGCTCAAAAGTCCATTTGCTTCTGTAATGTATATACAGTGTGAAACTACTAAAGACGGACTCACTACATAAAAGTGCAAATTTGTTATAATGTTGAAAACTGGCTCACAACAAATAAAACATCTCAGAAAATGTGAACATTTAAACAGAATATTAACTGTAAACCATAATCATCATAAAATATAATGTAGTATGTCTATATCATGAGTCGCTTTCACATTTTAAATGTAGTTAGAGAAATACATTTACTTTAGAAAGCTATTTTGATTTAATCTGTAGTCTTCAATCTGCACAAAACAATAGGTAAGTTGAACAAAGTCAAAATAAGATAAGGAAGATTATTATAGCACATTTCATACATAACTCAAAGTGCTCAACCAAAAAAATAAATGAAATTAAAATCACACAAAGCATTTAAATCATCACAGTACATTAAAAAGAGTGAATATACAATCCTTCAGTTGTATGCACAGCTAAACAGAAATGTTTATAACCTGGATTTGAACATTGTCAGAGAAGAGGCCTGTCTCACATTTTCAGTTTTAGCTAGACACATTTGAAACACTGCTTCCCCATGTTTAGCTCTGACTCTGCGTGCTCATCAGAGTCAGTCGGTTCACAAGGCACTATGTATTTGTAAAAGCAAGTGACATCTGCCAACAACAACAAACAAATGGAATAGCAGACGGGTTCTGTACATAGATATTATGATAATGGTTCTGCACTAGTCTTAATGATACTGAGATGATTCTGTGCACAGTTCTTCCCTGACGGCACAGCTGTGGACGTACTCTGTGCCAACCGCAAACATCTTAAACCTGTTCTTCACCCATTTCTCGGAAGGTGAGTCTGATTTTATTGTGCTCATATTTTAAATCTTTTGTATTTGTTATCTATATCTGCGCATATTTTTGATATGGATATTGCAAGCACCAATAACGCGATAACGATAATTTTTCGATATATTGTGCAACCCTATCGTAAAGTGGGTGGCCTTGGTCGGTAAAAATGCACCATTTAAATAAACATTACTTACTATGTCTTGTTTTTATGGATCCCCATTGGTGCTCTGTCTGCATGTGAAGTTCCTCACGGATAAATAAAGTCATTTGAAGTTGAATTAATTTCACTCCTCCTGAATTCATGCAGAATGGCAGGAGGTGTGAGTGAAGCCTGTGTGAGCTCTCCTGAAGAGGCCTACAGTCTGTATGAGACCTGCAGAGACCGAGTCAGGTCCAGTCCAGGAGGAGCCTTGTCCTGCAGGTAGGTCAACGTAACCCCAGTCACACTGAGTACACTATTCCATCCATAAAGTGAATAGCTTTTTAATAGACTCATTATAATTACTATCTAGAGCGAGTAATTTGTCTCTGAGCCAAGTTGTTGCTATGTGTGTGTGTGTCTGTGTGTGTGTGTGTGTCACATTTACACAGTATGTCTTTACCCTTGACTAACGGGAGCTTTAATCTATTTGTTATAATAATAGTGGGTAGAAAAGTTACAGTATACAAATGTATTAATAGTGTAGTATCACAGTGCTGCAGTGCTGCATGGCCTTGTCACATAAGGGGCCTTTTCAATCACAAAAGCTGAGTCTCTACAGAGAGTTTTCATTATGATTTGAGGCTTTTGGCCCCTTATCTCACACGCTACAACATGCTCAAATTTGAATTTGATTTATTGAGATTCATTGCTATTAAAATATCAAAATGTATGTATACAGTACTTGATGGACTCTAAGGGCTATTATTTTCAAGTTCTTTGGAGCCAATAGTGATGAGGCCAGTATATGTTTTTTATACATGGCCCCACCTGCATGTGAAAGCCAGATACAGTCAGACCTCTAAAACTAAACAGAGAAGGGGCTGGTTAGTTCTGTGAGGGGAGACCTCTGAGAACACCAGGTGCCACAGTGGGGCGGCTGTGCCAAACTGTTGTTGTGTCCTTAGGCAAGATACTTCACTCACATTGCCTAGAAGGAGTCTGACGTGTGGAGGCCCAAAACTGTCAAAATAGTAAATGTACTATTGTAAATAAACGTCACAATCTGCAAATTATTATTTATTAATTAGGGGATATAATAAATATATAATTATTGTACAAAGTTTTTTGGTTCATAACACAATATCAAAGCTTCATTATTTTATATCGGAGTTTGTTTATTTCCTTGTTCATTCAAAGGTTAAGATTTTAAATAAATGTTTTATCATTATTTAACTGCAGTTTTTTCCAAAAGAAATAACAAATTGTCTTTATTTTCTTTGTGCATATATTTATTTTCTTCATATCTTCCTTTATTTATTAAAACAGAACATCAATAAAAAAGGAAATAAATGAAGATATGAAGAAGATAAATATATGCAGAAAGAAAATAAAGACAATTTGTTATTTCTTTGGGCAAAAAACTGCAGTTAATTAATAATGTATATATTTAAGATCTTAACTTTTAAATGAACACGGAAATAAATGCTGACTTAAATGCTTTATTATTTCGTTTTCAACCAAAAAACGTAATAATATAAATCTATTAAATCTCATAATTTGTAGCAATATATAAATAATAATTTGTAGATTGTGATTTTTTATTTTTTATTTATTATTATTACAGTTTTGGTGTGTCTGACTGATTGGTGTTGGTCGGAGGGGCAAAATAGATTGGATTTACAAAGTGCTTGGGTCGCCATGAATCAACAGGGATGTGGAGTGCAGTTACAGCAGTCCATCAGCTTCAGTTTTACATTACAACATGAAAACCTGCGCTTTGTATTCAAGTGCGGCCTATATTTGTAAAATACACTTTCTTGGTGCAGTTTGTAGTCCAGCATGTACTGTATCTACTTTTTTATAGAGAAAACATTATAGCACTAAACTTTTGTAGATTAGTTATAACCATAGTGTTTTAACAAAAGAAGAATCCTCAGTAAAAATGTATCAGAACCTGTGATGGGACGTCTATTGTTTACAGTATATTGTACTGCTATAGTTCCATTGTTCTATTGTCTGTCCTGTATTGTATTGTTTACTTAAATTACAAATACATGGACTGTAGTTGTACTATAGTACTAGTCAGTGATGGGAATAACGGCGTTACTAGTAACGGCGTTACTAACGCCGTTACTTTTTTCAGTAACGAGTAATCTAACTAATTACTTTGACAGTAACTATAACGCCGTTATCATTTCCGACATCCCGTTACTGCGCGTTACTCAAGACCATGGATGTATTATATTAACTGGATAGGGTATTACTAGCTTGTAGCTGAATAACTCATGTGCTCAGGGGATTCTCGCGGTACTGCAGACTGAACCAGACTAAATTCACGTGGGCTACCCAGAAATTTTCCCCATAGAACTCAATGCATATTAAAACAGCTCAACCTCAGCTGACAGAGAACCTACAGCTTTAATAAAGATAGTATTTTGTGGGGATTTTAGTGTCCCTTGTCATCCTGAACTTTTTTTCTTCTTAAATCCTTCGGTTTTGTTTAAATCCACACTTTAGTGGCACAAACTCTGCTCGTCTGGCTCTCGCTCTAACTCCCGCTCTGATGAACTGCTCTGATTGGTCAGAGCGCGGCCGAGCCCCTCTGTGCACGTGCGTGAGACCCGGTGTGAGACCCACACACGCGTGTTTGGCGCAACGCATTATGGGAGATCATCCACTGCGCAGAACCGGGAGGACCAGACGATGCCCAAATACAGGCGAGTTTCCCATAGATCTTTGCGAGTTCAGGCAACTTCCGCTAATCTGTCAGCCCCCATGCCGTCACAAAGCGCCACTGAGCACAACCATTCATTTGAATAGGGCGCCATCTTGGATCGCCGGGGCTTGCTCAAGACGCACAATGAACGTGTTGTCATGAGAGAAGGGAGGATGAGAAAACCTCTCAGCAATTATTGGCTGATGTAAATCATATTTCCTTTACAATCTACATGTCTACAGTTGAGAGGATGGCTCATAAATTTTGTTTTTGAAACAAATATGGGTCTTAATCGCGCTCAACCACGGCTTGTATCACCGTGAGGTCAGCCACAGAGGAGCGCATGTGAGCGCAGAAGTCGGCTGCATACAATTCCATCGATAAGCTCCTTGCTCTTCCTGGTTTATCTGCTAAAGACAGCAACAGGTTTGGCTAACATACATATAACACATTTTTACATAATCTAAAATGCACATAGGGTAATTTTTCAATTACTATAGGAATGATAAGAAAGAGAGGTGAAGTGTAAGACGGTTGATTTTAGAAATTGGATGCAGCCGGCTGCAGCAAAACAGAGGAGTTTACGGAGGACACACGCGTTTTGTTTTACTTTTTAAAACTCATTGGACTCATTTCCAAATGGAGGATTACATATCTACGCTCAAACCATTCACTGGATTTAAACAAGGAACTGGTCTGAACCGAAGTGGACTGTGCAGGTCATTTATAAGGTATAGCTATAAGGTAAGACCCATAACTCATAGTTTTGCGTTTTGTATGAACAAACAATGCGGGCATAAAACATATTTTGCTGTAGCCAAACAAATCGTCCACTTGATTTATATGATGTATATGTTCATCTGATTGGACTGAAGTCAGTGCTTCACCAGCCTCACCGCTCGTCACCGGTGTTTCCACATTCACAGTGGCGGGCTTTACAGCACAGTGAGAGATGAAGAGTGAACAGGACTTCAGCAGCAAAACAGCCTTTTCTAGATGGAAATATTGGCACTGTTAAAGGTAAAAATGCGCACGTCGGGTGCACATTATGTTCCAGAACAAAACGAAAAAGTAACGCAATAGTTACTTTTACTGGTAACTAGTTACTTTTATAGTGGAGTAACTCCGTTAGTAACTCAGTTACTTTTTGGCAGAAGTAACTAATAACTATAACTAATTACTTTTTCAAAGTAACGTGCCCAACACTGGTAGTAGTAGTAGTAGTAGTACTTTTGGGGTCTCAGATGTAGCAGCCTGCTGTCGGTGGCTGTGGAACGGAGAGTCCAAGGGGAAGTGTTCCGTGGTCGCCTGCAGCTGTTCAGCCTGGAGGGGGGTGCCAGCAGGACCGACCTCCGAGGGTGAGTCTATTACACATAACTATCAATTACATCCACACAACACTAGGGCGGCATACACCAGTGTTTCCCAAACTGTGGTACACAAGTTTTCTATTCTGCACTTTGTTCCAGTCTTTGTTCAGAGCAAGTACAACAATCGTGTGGTCCTATTTCTGAATGTTTCCGGTCTACTCCGTTTAATTCCCTGTATTCTGTGTGTAGATATTGTAGATTAGATTTGTGCATTTGCTCCAGGTTTTTCAGGATGGAGCAATCACACCTGCAAAAGCAATGAGGTATGATTCACCCCAAGACCTGCTTTGGAATACCTTGGATGGCCAAAAAAAATGTGTGGTACTTGTACCACAGCAGAGACCCAGTGCTTGTAAATACACAGGCAGAAGGACTTTTTTTTTTTTTTTTAAGATTGGCAAATGAACAAAAAGATTGTAGCCATCATCAATATTCATTAGCTGACATGCACTTAATTATAATCTCTGTAATGTTGTGCAGCGTCAGCCCCCTTGTGAAAACATTGGACCAGATCCAAAGTGAAATCTCACCTGAGGACAAGCTACTCCCTTTCCTCCTAAAAGACGCCCTAAGTGGAAATAGTAAAACTGCTCTTCTCTGCTGCCTGCATCCTCAAGGTGAGAGCGCCTGTCCCCCACAAGCCGAGCACATTTGTGGGGAAATGAGGTTCAACTGATGCAAAACTGCTCTCATATCCCGCAGGGTTTTTAGATAATGAGACTCCGAATGCTTTAACTTTGGCCCAGAAAGTGAGAGTTCTGGTGACTAAGCCAGCGGTTATTCACTGGTGTCCACAAGTAGCTGAGGAAGAGATTCGTGACAAAATGGCAGCTCTCAGGACGGAGATGATGTCAGAGGGAGGAGGTGAAATTCACAACACGTACAGACTGGCCCAGTTAAACCACGACCTGCAGGTGTGCAATGGAATCATTAGTCTATAATGAATGACTTGATAAATGCGTATGTCTATCTTTCAAACAGATTGCGAAAAGTCAGTTGTGGGAGAAGAGGCGTGAACAGTCCAATAAGATAAAAGACAAAATACAGGTATAACGTAGGTTTCAAAACGTCAAAACACTGAAATGCTGATGTAGTATTGTTGCTATAGAATCATCGGCCTTCATCGAGCACAGGCACAAGTGGAGGAAGTGAGGATGTGCCTGAGACAGTGAGACACTTGCAGGACCAGCTGAGATTTGAGATGCACAAACATATACAAGGTAACCCACGGTAACCCACCATGCATTGGAAAAACCCGACATAATAAAGTTAATATGCTCTACATCAGTGTTCCCCAACACTTTTCAGCCGTGGCACACCATTTTTATTGAAAAAAGTCACACACAGCCAAAAATAATGATAAAATAAAACACAAGTCTTTAATAAGAAAGAAAAGCAATTCTAATCAAAGTGTATTATATAGAAACTCAAACCAGTGCAAACAATCTTTTCACGGTATTTTATTGACATTATTTGGACCAATTAGAAAGATAATGGATCCTTTCAAATGGTACATCAAGCAATATCTCGAGGCACACAAACGTACAAATGTAAATATGCCAGATTAAAGCCTTAGGCTGATTTCCATCTGCAGACCCCCTGGCAGGTTGGTAAAAACATACAGAGACAGACATGCCACGGCACACTGGTTGAAAAACAGTGCTTATTTTTCTATTTCTATCTACATAATGTATTATGATTTATTCTATGTATTCATTTGAACAGGAACAATGTACAGCAAAAGTAAATACAAAACAATAAATGTTTGTACAATGTTTTCTTCAGCACATGTAAAACAATATGACAACATCCATTGAAATAGGTTGCCCCACCTGCATGTGAAAGTCAGACCTCTGATGCTAAGTAGGGCTGTGCCTGGTTAGTACTGTGATGTGAGACACAGTGGAGCCACAGTTGGGCAACTAAACAGTGGTTGTGTCCTTAGGCAAGACACTTCACCCACATTGGCTAGAATGTGTCTGGTGTGTAAATGAATAGTTGGTGGTGATCAGAGGAAGCGATGGCACATACGGTTTGCCTTGCTTCGGTCAGTATGCCCCAGGGCATGTGTGCCTACAGTAGTGTATGGAGTGAAAGACTACTGCCATGTGATGCGTCTTTGTGTGTTCAAAAAAGCGCTATTTTAAAACGATGCATTATTAAAGACTACATAACATGCAGAGATATGTTTGTTTGTTTGAATTATTTATCTTTGGCATCGTTCTGACATGAGAGGAGCCCCAGAAATTCCCTAGATGAACTTATTCATGGTGGCATAGTGGCTAGGGCTCGTGCCTCAAGGCAATAATGTTCTGGGTTCATTTCTGCCTCCAGGCAGGACCTTTCTTTGTAGAGTTAAAAAGATGTACAATATCTGGCATGAATAAATGCTCACAGCAACTGCCACATTGTGAATCTGTCTGTGAAAGGTGTTATATAAAGATAACTTACTTATTTTCACATAACAATCTCTTTGCAATGTCTTATAATGAGGACATGCTTGTACTGACCATGGCTGTTCTTTCAGAGAGTAAAGGTGATGCCAAGACGGTGCAGGAACAAATTGAAAGAATCCATCGCCTCAGAGAAGCCTTGAGAGAGGAGACATTCAAACACAGCGCTGCTATAGATAAAGCTGACATTTGCACACAGGTTTGCACGACTCAACTGTTATTACTCCGTACGAAATACAACGCTACAAACTTGTGTGCATTTGTTTGTGAAATGTGCTTACCCGGTACTTTACAAGCAGCCGACTGAAGTTATAAATAGGATTTATGAGCTCATAGACGGCCAACTCACAGTAAAGCCATTTGTTTTGCCAATTTAATGATCAAGTCTCAACTGGAGTATAACAGAGTGCAGGAGCGAAGAAAGCGGCTGCAGGAGGATCATGGGAGATTAATTCAGGAGGAGGTGGAGAAGATGGAAAGAGAATTGGCACAAGAGCAGCCCCCGGTAACTATAATGAGATGCACTGTGGTTTAACATTATTCAGTGTGCGATATATCTTAGCTATTAATGCTGCGTCAGGGAAATGTTTATGTAAGGGGAAAGAGCCCTCATAAAAATGTACTACTGTCATTTCTCTAATTGGTTTCTGTATATTTTGTAGCCAGAGGGTCTCCGGAGAGAGTTATTGGTGCTGACCAAGGAGAGGCGGGTCCTGGTTTTGCAGATGGAGGTCCTGCGTGCGGAGCTCCAACAAACTGAGCAAGACCTGAGCCGCCAAAATCTCAGTCACCAGGCCGAGCTGCAGGCGCTGAGAGAGGAGAGTCTGCAGGTGGAGCACTGTGGACTTTAACGCACATGGGTCTCTTTCAGAAATACCACATGTACTGATACAGGGGGCTTTCATTTTGATACGATTCGATACATTATATATAACGATTTGATTCAGTAAAAAAATGAAGGCTTTTAGCGTCTTATCTAAGCTCCCCATTTTTTTCATGCATTTAAATCTCCAAGAAAAAAGGGGAGGAGGGAATAATATCATCTTGCACTAGTCATCAAAGCTTTAAACATGTAGCCTCAGAATCGTGCTTTAAAACTTGACCTATCCAAGTAGTCTATCCAGTATTATAAATACTGGCTTTACTGTACTCCCCCCTGGACTGCCACCTTAACGTGGTGGGGGAGTTTGAGTACTCGGATGATCCTGGGAGCTATGCTGTCTGGGGCTTCATGCCCCTGGTAGGGCCTCCCATGGCAGACAGGTCTCAGGTGACGAGTCAGACAAAGAGCAGTCCAGAAGACACCATGGACAGCACTAACACGAAAACAGTGACGTCGCCCGGCATGGCGCAGCCGGGGCCCCACCCTGGAGCCAGGCCTGGGGTCGGGGCCCGTATGCGAGCGCCTGGTGGCCGGGCCTTAGCCCACGGGGCCCGGCCGGGCTCAGCCCGAAGGGATGACGTGGGCAGTCCCTCCTGTGGGCCCACCACCTGCAGAGGGGTCCGTGGTGAAGCGGTGCAGAGAGGACTGGGCGGCAGTCGAAGGCGGAGACCTCGGCGACCCAGTCCGCACACACAACATCTGGCTCTTGGGACGTGGAACGTCACCTCACTGGGGGGGAAGGAGCCCGAGCTCGTGGGGGAGGTTGAGCGATACCGACTAGAGATAGTCGGCCTCACCTCCACACACAGCTTGGGCTCTGGAACCCAACTCCTTGAGAGGGGTTGGACGCTCCACTTTTCTGGAGTTTCCCGCGGGGAGAGGCGGCGAGCTGGGGTGGCCATTCTCATTGCCCCCCATCTCAGCCGCCACGTGTTGGAGTTCTCCCCAGTGAATGAGAGGGTCGCGTCCCTCCGCCTCCGGGTGGGGGACAAGTCTCTCATTGTTGTGACGGCCTACGGGCCTAACAGCAGTGTAGAGTACCCGGCCTTCTTGGAGTCCTTGGGAGGGGTACTGGACGGTGCACCGCCCGGGCACTCCGTTATTCTCCTGGGGGACTTCAACGCCCATGTGGGAAACGCCAGTGACACTTGGAGAGGGGTGATCGGGAAGAGCGGCCCCCCTGATCTGAACCCGAGCGGTGCTCAGTTGTTGGACTTCTGTGCCAGTCGCGGTTTGTCCATCACGAACACCATGTTCGAGCACAAGGGTGTCCACCAGTGCACGTGGCACCAGGACACCCTAGGCCGGAGGTCGATGATCGACTTTGTTGTCGTATCATCTGACCTTTGACCGCGTGTCTCGGACACTCGGGTAAAGAGAGGGGCGGAGCTGTCAACCGATCATCACCTGGTCGTGAGTTGGATCCGCTGGCAGGGGAAGAAGCCGGTCAGACCTGGCAGACCCAAGCGTATAGTGAGGGTCTGCTGGGAACGTCTCGCTGAGCCCCCTGTCAGACGGACTTTCAACTCACACCTCCGGGAGAGCTTCCCCAGGTCCCGGCGGAGGAGGGGGACATGGAGTCCGAGTGGACCATGTTCTCTGCCTCAATCGCCGATGCGGCGGCTCGTAGCTGTGGTCGCAAGGTCTCTGGTGCTGGTCCCGGCGGCAACCCCCGAACCCGGTGGTGGACACCGGCAGTAAGGGATGCTGTCAGGCTGAAGAAGGAGTCCTATCGAGCCATGATGGTTCGGGGGACTCCTGAGGCAGCTGTCCAGTACCGGCAGGCCAAGCGTGCCGCGGCCCGGGATGTTGCAGAGGCAAAAACCCGGGACTGGGAGGAGTTCGGAGAGTCCATGGAGCATGACTATCGGTCGGCCTCGAAGAGATTCTGGCAAACCATCCGGCGCCTCAGGAGGGGGAAGCAGTTCTTTGCCAACACCATGTACGGTGCGGGTGGAGAGCTGCTGACCTCGACTGGGGATATTGTCGGGCGGTGGAAGGAATACTTTGAGGTTCTCCTCAATCCCCCCGTCACGTCCTCTGTTACAGAGGCAGAGGCTGAGGATGTTGGGGCGGGTACATCCATCTCCCTGGCTGAGGTCACCAAGGTGGTTGGTAGCCTCCATGGTGGCAAGGCTCCGGGTGTGGATGAGATCCGCCCTGATTATCTAAAGTCTCTGGATGTTGTAGGACTGTCTTGGCTGACACGTCTCTGCAACATCGCGTGGCGATCGGGGGCAGTGCCAATGGAGTGGCAGACCGGGGTGGTGGTCCCTCTCTACAAGAAGGGGGACCGGAGGGTGTGTTCCAATTATCGTGGGATCACACTCCTCAGCCTCCCCGGTAAGGTCTACTCCAAGGTACTGGAGAGGAGGTTACGGCCGATGGTCGAATCTCGGATCCAGGAGGAGCAGTGTGGTTTTCGTCCCGGTCGCGGAACACTGGACCAGCTCTATACTCTCCATCGGATACTCGAGGGTTCATGGGAGTTCGCCCAACCTGTCCACATGTGCTTTGTGGATTTGGAGAAGGCGTTCGACTGTGTTCCCCGGGGTGTCCTTTGGGGGGTTCTCCGGGAGTACGGGGTCGGAGGTCCTCTGCTGAGGGCCATCCGATCCCTGTATGACCGGAGCCAGAGCTGTGTTCGCATTGCCGGCAGTAAGTCAGACCTGTTCCCGGTGAATGTTGGCCTCCGACAGGGCTGCCCTTTGTCACCGGTTCTGTTCACTGTATTTATGGACAGAATATCTAGGCGCAGCCAGGGGTCGGAGGGGGTCCGGTTCGGAGACCACAGGATTTCATCTCTGCTGTTTGCGGACGATGTTGTCCTGTTGGCTCCAACGAACCAGGACCTGCAGCATGCACTGGGACGGTTTGCAGCCGAGTGTGAAGCGGCTGGGATGAGAATCAGCACCTCCAAATCCGAGGCCATGGTGCTCGACCGGAAAAAGGTGCCTTGCCCTCTGCAGGTGGGTGGAGAGGTCCTTCCTCAAGTGGAGGAGTTCAAGTATCTCGGGGTCTTGTTCACGAGTGAGGGAAGAATGGAGCGTGAGATTGACAGGCGGATCGGTGCAGCGTGCGCAGTTATGCGGTCGCTGTATCGGACCGTTGTGGTGAAGAGGGAGCTGAGCCGAAAGGCAAAGCTCTCGATTTACCGGTCAATCTTCGTTCCCTCCCTCACCTATGGTCATGAGCTTTGGGTAATGACCGAAAGAACGAGATCGCGGATACAAGCGGTCGAAATGAGCTTCCTCCGCAGAGTGGCTGGGCGCTCCCTTAGAGATAGGGTGAGGAGCTCAGTCACACGGGAGGAGCTCGGAGTAGAACCGCTGCTTCTCCACGTCGAGAGGAACCAGTTGAGGTGGCTCGGGCATCTGTTCCGGATGCCTCCTGGACGTCTCCCTGGGGAGGTGTTCCGGGCACGCCCCACCGGGAGGAGGCCCCGCGGAAGACCCAGGACACGCTGGAGGGACTATGTCTCTCAGCTGGCCTGGGAACGCCTTGGGGTCCCCCCGGACGAGCTGGAGGAAGTGTGTGTGGATAGGGAAGTCTGGGCGTCTCTGCTTAGACTGCTGCCCCCGCGACCCGGCAACGGATAAAGCGGAAGAAAATGGATGGATGGATGGCTTTACTGTACTATTGAGTTGCAATATGTGCATTTGTTGTGCGACACATGTGCACACACGTGCACGCACACTCCAAAGAGTTTTAAAAAAATATGTAGTGCCATTTTAAGCATAAAAGGCATGAACAAATACCAGCTAAAGTAACTGTACCTGCGGGACTACAGTTCCTCAAAATAAATGTATACTATTTATTAATGTTATGTACATAGTTGTGGTTCATGTAATTACTTTGAGGTACTAGAAGTAGCTAGGATAATATGCGGTAGGCTTGGTTACTTTGTTGCAGCTATAAAAAAGGGAAATGAAAATACATTATTGGTTGTATCAGAGAGAACTAGACAAGAACTATACTTTCATCATATTTTGCATAATGTTTTTAAAAATGGGAAAGAGTTTTACGGACAGATTTTAAACACTGGACATGTTTAGTCCAAGCAAGACACATTTAAATGATATATATTTTTGCCCTAATATGCCTTTAGGTGTTCCGAGTGTTTCGGGACGTATGCGACGAGCAGAGGAGGATTTCCGAGGAGAGGTACCGCGCAGTGCTGCTGGAGGCCGTGCAGGACGCTGTCTATCTCTCTGCCCAAAATCAACAACTACAGGTGGAAAACAAGGAACTTAGAAAAGGTCAACACATAATAATATAAACTGGTTTGTAGATGAAACTTGAATCTATAATGTTTTCCGTTTCACACCATTTCCTTTGTCCACAGCATTGGCAGAGATGAAAGACAACCTGGCTGCTCAAGGGGATTCTAAAGTGAAATAGATTTGCTTATAAATACATGGACAGCAATAAAGTATGAACATTTTCAACAATTTATTTAAAACTTCACATCCTCATATATATCTTCAATCAAAAAGAAACATCAAAACCATAATTCAAACGTTGCTTCATAAAAATAAATAAAAGGCAAAGAATTGAAATGAAGAGTGGTATGTCTTATTTAAAAAAACACATATACACACATTTCTTCAAATAAAAATATCCTTTATGCTTTAGCTGTAGTAAAGATAGGCTGCCAGTCCGATCATAGTTACAGGAAGCAGGAATATTGGAGTAATTTGCAGTCCTAAAACAGCCCACGACATGAGCGCATTCACAAGCATAGAGCACGAGATCACAAACAGTCTGGTGATTCCAGTGCCATGTTTTAGCACCACGGACATCAGGAGGCCATTGACCGCTTGTCCCGCGATGATGGTCCAAACTATTAGTGTGTACCCTTCCATGAAACCTTTCCCATTGGCTACTGAGGAAAATGAGGACATGAGATTCAAGCATACTCCGAATACATACAGATACACGTTTTGCAAACTGAGAGGTAATTTCTGTCTTTTTAGCACCATTTCTGTATAGACCGCTGCTAACCCAGAGACGCAGCAGTAAACCAGCACAAGAAAAAGCCCCCAAGCGGTAATGTACAGTCTTGAATGCTCATTTGTATTGCCTTTGTCTCCAGGTTCTTCTACATCTAAACTGCTAAAACTATGGCAAGTCCCTGCTGCCATAAGAAGCCCCAAGGCAACCCACTGTCGAGATTTTAACCTCTTGCCCAAACAGAAAGAGTATAATAATGCCGTGGAGGCGATTTTTAAGTTACTTAGGACTTGGTAAGAGCTGGGGTCCATGTAGGCCTGCATGAGGACAACCAAGTTATTGTTCAGAGCGTACAGTACTGCAGGGACGGCATAGGGGGCAACAATAACAAAAGATGGGCGAGTTTGAAGGGCAGAAAAACGTCCCGTTAGAATGAGAGACACCAAGGAAATCAGGAGTTTCGCTAACTCAATCAAGAGCACACACGAGGAGGGATTGAAAGGGACTTCGCCATCAACTTTGGTCAGTGTAATGAGCGGTGCATGAGATCCATAAATAAGGACCATAAAAATAAAAAGGCAGCACCATTGGAGTCTCTTGAGCCACTGGGCTGTGTGCTCTTTAGGAAGGTCATACCCTATATTTTCAATCACAATCATCCTAAACTGTAATAAACACTATATTATGCATCCATCTTCACTTTAAAAACAATACTAAATGTGCTGATACAATTTGGTTTCAATAACGGAACTGCATGAAAAGGTCACTTAGAAAAACAGATTTACCATTTTGAAAAGTGGAACAAAAATATAATTAATATCATAACCGAAAAAAGCAATCTTGCAAGTCTGAGATTGAATCCGGTTAATCCATTATGTCCACTTGAAATGATTGGTCGGTCTTGTTCATCATCACTGTGTTACGCAGCATATTCTTCTTTGTCTTACGTGTCTATATATTCATGTGGGATTATTCCTTTGGTCCCTTCCTAGCCTTGCTGAAGAAGTCCTTTACTGTTTGTTGAATGTTTGGCACTTGATAGCTTTGTGCCGCATACACACCCGTGACAGTCCCCAGCAGCACTCCCAGAATAGCAGAGGAGCGGAGTTTGGCCACCACATAACCAGCTAGAAATCCCTTGAGTATTGGAGAAGCAAGCACAGAGCCTTCCTGCAAAAATAATGAACAAATAATGACTGCAATATTGCATTGATACAATTTAACAAACACACTATGATTTCTCTCTCATGCAATAATAAGAAAAAAGATGTCCATTCCAGATCACCACTGTATAAAAAGTATACACATATAAAAAGGTATGAACCAGTACGCTCTAGTGTAAATAAATATATACTTGTATGTATACATAAAACACTCCAGTGCAAGAATATTAGCTTTGTGGGTTCAAATGTGTGTGTGTGTGTGTGTATATATATATATATATATATATATATATATATATATATACTGATATTTATACTTACTTGAGGGGCACCTGACGCAATATCGCCCTCAACTCTTAATCGGATCTCTTCAAGTTGATCTTTAAGTCGCGTTAGGTCCTTCAATTGCTTTAAGGGATCCTACAACGAGAGAAATAGCAGTCATGTCAGTATGGATGTCAACTGTGATAACTTAGCCCGACTGAAAGAGTAGCTGTATGTCCCCCGTGTAACTTCATTTAGCCAGGTAATTGCATCTGGCATGAGAGTTTTTACTCGACAATTGGAGGCGCTGCATGACAGATGACAAAACTCGTGAATTCAATATATTTTGTAGTGCCATAGACAAAACTTGGAGTGCACTCACCTTGTCATCCGCCATGTTTGCTCCGTGCTCGGTTTGTGATTAGTAATCCTGGCATAACAAAGTAGATGGATGTTTTTTGTCAATAAAAAAAATCATCAGAATGTAAATGTAAATTTAAAAAGTAATACTCCTGAAGCAATTTTATTCTAGTATCCATCACTGTATCACATAAAAGCTTTGTATTTTACAGAACGCAGATAGCCAGCTTCACGTGTAAAAAACGTCTTTTCTGATTGGATACTTCTTTTTCATTCTACTTTCTGATTGGTTTATCCCCGTAGCAACAATCCGCCATGTTTTTACCAAATCCGCGACAAACCAAACTGGGACTTTAGAGAAATGTAAAGACGCCAGCAGGCTGTTATCATCATCATAGTCTTTTTAAACATGCATGGCCTTTGTTATGTTTGCTAAAATAATCTTCTAAGCTTTCTGCAAAATCTGTGGACCGTAGTAGGTAAGACCTCAATAAGACGCCATTTCATTGGACAACTGGCTGCGTGCATGCAGTATAGAGACACGCTATTAAACCTTTTTACCTCAAAGTTTGCAATTACCTTTTGGTACTTTTGCAACTTTACTAATGTATGAATACAAACGCCGTGTTCTGATTGAGTGGCCATCCATTTTGCCCAAGACACGTTTCTGTTACATCTCCCAGTACGGCCAAAAATACAATGTATTTCAATGCATGTAGCTGATGATGGTACTGCAGTACTACTGTGTATAACCAGCTATGTAATAACGAAGGCATGACATTAAAACTATCTAACATTATTATGTGGTCTGTTCTACTGCCAGTCTAGTTGGATTCTTAAAAAATCATGGACAAAGTGGATATTTATGAGGTGATGAAAGCAACTGAAGAAGTGGAGACTCTCTGCAACCAAACAGATGGTCCTCCAAAGAAGAGGAGAGGCAGAACTCCTCACCAAACATGCAACTTGGAGAAACCCAAGAAGAAACCACGGTATTTCCTGAATTGTGATCATTAACTATTGAGAATTTCAATTGATTCGACTGATGTGAGCAATGTTTTTTAGATCTGCTTACCTGCTCTACTACTTTGATATTTACCAAGTGATGCAACGAGAAGTGCCAAATTTACCTCAGTCAGAAATAAACAAGCGCATCAGTGAAAGCTGGAGAAAGCTCAGCGTAGCAAAGAAGAGTTACTATATTGAGAAAGCCAAGTCGGAGAAGGAAGGCCCATACTCGGTAGGTTTGCTTTAGTTCATTTTCTCAACATCCAAATAAATGAACTGGTAACGGCCTGTTTTTTTCCGTTAAGAATATCTTTCCTTCCATTATATTTATTTAACTATGTAGATTTTTTATTCATCTGTTTGAGTGTTTTTATGAGACTGAACAAACATGAATTGGCATCTCCACAACTTGACTCATACTTGTATACTTATCCTTGTTAGTATGACATGAACATTTTTAATTGGTAGCAAACCTTCACAGTTTGACATTGAACATATATATTTAATGTTTAATATGGTTTACACTTTTTCCCATGGAATCAGAAATGTGATTTTCCACCTTCATAAAGTGCTTTAATAATGCATATTTAGTTGATTAGTCATTACATGTACACATCTGCCATTTTCAATGACAATGTGTTTTTTTACAGCCTTTACCCAATCTGTCAAGTGAGCTTCCAGGATTCCGCAGAATCCTCCCCAGAGGAGGTGAAGCAGAGCCGTATCCACAGGCCGAGGAGTCAGCAGAAGAAGTGGTTTCCAAACCACGCAGGATACTGCCGTACCCCTCCTTCACTGTTTTATCCAACACTGAGTCGTCTCTCAGTTCTGTCAGTGGGTCAAAAGCACATGAGGAAAAACCACAAGTTGTTGCCTTAATACCCACTCAGGTATTCTGTTGTTGTTGCTGTCGGTGACACATTAAGTTAATAAAATATCACAAATGTAAATTAATATTCCTTTATTTCAGAATCTGCTGGGGCAAAGTTCATTAAGCGCTGTCACTCCCGTGGGGTCAGTAATGGTGATGCCCAGCTTAGAGCAAAACCCCAAGCCGCCTTACACCATGGTAAATATAACATTCAACAAATGTAAACATGTAAAGCCGTTTTCGAGAGGAAAGTAGGCACCATAGAAATTAATTCGATAATCCCGGACCCTTTAGAGCCGGGACCCGCCCCCACGGGTGTTAACACGATGTGTTTTATTTTAATCCAAACAAATGAATGCATTGTTACCAAAAGTTTTTTTTTAAACTTGAAAACCAAATGGGAGTGGGAATTGTTGTAGATTAGGGGATCACTGGTGCTTGACAATGACTGAATTAACACATCAATTGATTTCACCACCTGTGTGTGTCTGGCTGACTATCTGTCTGTCTGTCTGTCTGTATGACTGTCTGTCTGGGCCACTCCAGCTTATGATTGACAGGCTCAGTGATATTATTTCACAATTTTTTAAACCCGACACACAAAAAATCTGCTTCAAACCACAATCCTCGGTCAAAATATTTGCCCTAATAACTACGGCACCTTTATCCTGTCACACTTGCAGCCAGTGAAGACGTACACCAGAAGAGGCCGCGGTAAATGCTCCAATCCTGATTGTTCATTTATTTATGTCACGCGACACAAGCCCCCAAAGTGCCCCGAGTGTGGGCAGTACCTAGGCGGGAAATGGATCCCTGTTGACAAGAAGGGGAAATCTAACAAAAACAAATCCAGCAATAGTGTGAGTACAAAACATTTTGTGAATGCAATATAAATGTGATTTGTCTTCTTTCTTTTTTGTAAAACAACTTGCATATGTTAACATTGGAATTCAGGATAATAAGCCAAAAGAGACAACAATTGAGATGAAACAATCTGGAGCTGATAAAGAAGTTACAAAAACAAAACGGAAAAAAAGACAACAGGCATCCACCAATGGTCAGCAGTCACCACTAGAGGGCAGCAGCAACAATGACCAGACAATTATTCCAGGCGTTATTCTTCACACAGGGTAAAAATTATGGGGATAAAGTATTTACACTAATATAACAGTCAGAGTAATGATACATCTCGGCTGACCAGAATATGTGTACGCAGACCAAAAGACGGCAACACAAGCCAGGACAAATTACTTCTTCAGATTAAACCAGTGAGACGCATCCTTCCTGCTTTCTACAGCAAAAGTAAGAAAACACATTGTTTACGTTTCCCAGTGATGATACTGGGTGATGATACGTAAAATGTTGATATTTTTTCTTTTTACAGACAATGAAATGTTCAAGTTGATGACTGTGTTGCACAACAAAGTGGAAAATGCAAATTCTACAGGTATTTGTAATTATCTAGAGTGAAATTGTATTGCGCTTTTTCTGTGTGAGCTATTCTTTGACCGATTTGAAAAAAATATAGTTTTTGATGCAGCTTTATTTCTGACCACAGTGATTCAACAGTCTCTAGCAGGACTCAAACCAAGCACTTTGAAACAGCTGGGACAGATAACCCCAACAAACTCAGACAAACAGGTAACTTGTATTGGATCATTTTTTTGTCATTGTCAAGTGTTAATCGAGTACATCAATATAATCAATATCAATAGACTTCAATATTCATTTTTCTCTGCTAGTTTTAATAATTTAATTCATTGGGTTCTTGTTATAACGGTAACATGAATAAAATGTGACTTGTATTTTCAGATTTCCCCCACGTCAGTGGAAGCCCCGCCTCCTGTGGCGTCACTCGACCATAAAGTGAACCTTGTGTCTGTGGTGCCTTCTAAACCACACACTGCCACTAACTTTGTGAGTAGAAATCCAACTATGCATTACTGCAAATCATATGTGGCTCAATGTCTTTGTACATACATAATATGATATTATAATATTGTTTTAATGTTCAGAACTTGGGGCTGGCGACTGCCCGTGGAAGAGGTTGGTGCAAAAACCCTGCGTGCACTTTTATGTATAAGAACAGACATAAGCCTGCAGTGTGTCCCAAATGTGGCTCATCATTGAATCAAAAGGACAACAAGGGAATAAAGGTGAAACTTTATACAAAATACTGTTCATACAACATGTTCTTATGGATTATCAAGCTGTAACTGCATGGTATCTGTGCAGCCGGACACGTTATTGGACCCCTACAAGAACCTGACTCCGTCCCAAAAGGATCTCCAACGACAGTCGACCATTCTGCTGGTGCAGCGGACGCTTCAGTTCGCCGAGAGTGAGGCGGATCTCCAGGAGACGCTGGACCTAATCCACGAGCTCAACAATCTCCAGATCGTTGTCGTCCAACACAGCGACCCGGGGCCCGAGGAGAACGTGGAGACGGAGACGCTGTTTGAGTCGGGCTGGCCGCATTTGTTTGAGTCTGCATCAACCCACTGCCACCTCTGTAACTACCCTCTGTTTAAAGGGGGACTGAAGTGAGGGCCGAGAGAGAGTCACTACTGTTTGCTTTCTTTTGTGGGAAATGTTTAACCTATTTTTGCGTTACAGATCTGTTGCGGGGCAGGTGGAGTGCTGGCTCCTCACGGAAACTCTGATGCAAACGGTTTCTCTTCAACTGAAAATATGTCTCAATCTGCAGTGTCTGGCTCTGTACAGTTTCACAGACCTCCATGCAGGTAGAAGGCCGAACTCGTCATCACGTCTTGGTCTACATGAATTGTTTCAGGGCAGAGCCACAAAAATTGATTTCAAATTCCAACTTTATTAACAAGACCTGAATAGAAATTGACAGATAAACTACAGAAGAAGCTGAGGGGAGGCTTTTTCAGGACACACAGCCTTCGTTTCTCATGTGCTCACAACAAAAAAATGTTGTATTTGTCATATCCATTATTCTGTTTTGTTTTAATGAAAGTAGAAAATATCAAGTATAATAAGCAGGTTAATAATAAGCAGATTGCATGGTATGTTATCTCAAAATTCTCTTTCTTGGCTTTCCATATCTGTAGTTCTATGAAGTTGTAAATAATTACACAAAGTTTGGGTAGCGGCAAGTAATCAAAAGAAAACTATTTTGGATCATGACCACAACAAGTTACAGGTTATTTTTTTGTTTTTGTTTATTCTTCAGGCTTGTTCAACATTGGTAACAAATTGCTCGTTACTATGGACTTGTTTCTAAAGATCCGAGCCAATCTTAAAGTTGTCCAAAATCCTTCTCAAGTCTTAGAGAGCATTCTGGACCATGTGCCCGGCCACCCGAGTAAGTAACCATTTCCTTTAAAATGACTGTTCCCATCAGTGCTCATTTATTTCCCATATACAAATGAAATGATATATTTCTCATGTTTTTATATTTGTAGTCCACACATTGACTCCAGGTGAACTCGGCCACATCCAGGAGCTCCTGCAGTGTGGATACTGGGCTTTCGAATGTCTGACTGTGCGAGATTACAACGACATGATCTGTGGGATTTGTGGGTTGGCTCCAAAGATTGAAGTTGCTCAAAGACACAAGAGCACGTTGGCCCTTGAGAATGTAGAGGTGAGATTTAGGCATCGCTGAAAGAAATCCCTAATATGGAGCCATCTTGTAAATGCTGCAAAACTGCTGTTGTGAATTGGAGCGATACAAAAATAAACAGAATTGATCTTTGTGCACAGTTCATCTGGCCTGAGAGCTCGGACTCGGACGAGGTGTTGGTGGATGACTTCTGGCTGACCATGGAGAGTGAGGCTCTGGAGCAGGCCATGTTTCTCTCTTTTGCTCACATCATTCGGGTGGACGCTTCCATCATTGCTCCATTCATCCCTCCTTTAATGAGGAGTGCCACCGTCATGAACACGGAGAAATACAAGATCCAAATAGATGCCGCGTCTGATACAGGTGTTTGATAAACTACGCTGTCATTTATAACCATATTTTTATTTTCCTCCATATCAATATATAGATAATGAAATGGAACAATAGTATATTACGTGTGAATCTTGGTCCTCTTGTTTTCATTGTCCCCTTTTTCTCGCACACATTTAACAATGATTTCAAATGCAATCCGTCATACTCTCGTCCTTTCTTATATCACATCTTAACATTTATCAAAAATTCCATCCAATGAGTGAATTACTTCAAATACCAAATCATTGAGCAGTTTTAAACACTAGCACTCACATTTCTGGGCAAGGAGCTCCAGGGTTAATACCAGTCAGCACAGGGACCTTCTGAGTGGAGTTTGCATGATTTCCCCGTGTCTGCTTAGTTGCCTTCTGGGTGCTCCAGTTTCCCCTACCACTAAAATCATATGCAATACTCCAGAGTCAATTAATCATTAAAAGGCTTTTCAATATTAAGTGGTTTGATCAAAAAACTCAATGTTTTTCAATGACCTTTGAAGAAAAGGCTTTTACATGTGGAACATTATGGTATTCAATGTTGTCCCTTCAATATCAAATTGAAATATTATATGTCTATTCTTCAGATTCCAAATTGTTTTGTATTACATTGATGGCTACATAAGTCTTTATTTTGTCTGCAAAGTGCTTCAAGGCTGTAAGCAGAGTCTGGAGACTAGGAGTAAAACATAGATTTTTCAATAACATTTACTCATACATAGATCAAACTTGTATTGCTTTTCTGATTTTCTTTTTCTCCTCAAAGGAATTTGACTTTAACAAACCGAGAGCTCCCCTCACTGAGCATCAGGATATGGTTATGCAGAATGAGTAAATAAATACTAGTAAACATCAACTTGTAATATGCACTTTAGAAACTATGTACTGTACTGCAATTTGTGTGGTAGCCACCCTTTTCTCTGCAATCAGGACTCTCTTGATTGCAAATATCTTGGTTAAATAGTTGTCAATAATTACACTATGAGCCTCATTTTTCACATGACTTGGAAAAGTTCTTGTTTTGTTGTGCCATTTTAAAGGATTGGCGCACACAGAGCAGCACGGGTTCCCATTCCCAGGCCAGATGTGACCACAGTGTCATAACGGGCTGCTGCCTTGGGAAGAGGTGGCAGTCACCCGCAAGCTCAAGCTTCAGTTTCTGGTTTTATTTAAAGTTATTTAGATATAATTTGCCGTTTTCTTTTTCAGCTGAACCCTCAGTTCTGGTGCGTCTCATCCACGACGGACACCTGAGACTGGAGAAACTTGAAGAACACAGCGACGAAGAGTTGAGAGCGGTGCTTCAGAAATGTGGGGGTTGTGTCACTCATGAAATGACAAAGGTAGAAATCAGATTCTTATTTTGTTTGTAAAAAGGAACACATAAGAGGTTTCATCTTTACATCCATCATACCTTTTTGGTGACAAATGTCAAAGGGAACACTCAACAATTTGTATCTGCGGTCTTGTTCTTTCGGTCATTACCATAGGTGAGGTTGGGAGCGTAGATTGAGCGGTAAATCAAGAGCTTTGCCTTACGACTCAGCTCCCTCTTAAACAGTCTGATAGAGCTCTGACTGTAGACCTTGCTCCCTCTTCTTCACAACTGTCTCTTACAGCATCGCTGCACCAGTCCATCACGCTCCATCCTTCCCTCACTCCTGAACAAGACCTGAGATACTTGAACTCCTCCACTTGAGGAATACTTATGTTTATAAGCCTAACGGTAACTCCAGAGTCAATTAATCATTAAAAGGCTTTTCAATATGAAGTGGTTTGATCAAAAAACTCAATGTTTTTCAATGACCTTTGAAGAAAAGGCTATGTGGAACATTATGGTATTCAATGTTGTCCCTTCAATATCAAATTGAAATATTATATATCTATTCTTCAGAGTACTCATTCCAAATTGTTTTGTATTACATTGATGGCTACATAAGTCCTTATTTTGTCTGAAAAAGTGCTTCAAGGCTGTAAGCAGAGTCTGGAGACTAGGATTAAAACATAGATTTTTAAATAACATTTACTCATACATAGATCAAACTTGTATTGCTTTTCTGATTTTCTTTTTCTCCTCAAAGGAATTTGACTTTAACAAACCGAGAGCTCCCCTCACTGAGCATCAGGATATGGTTATGCAGAATGAGTAAATAAATACTAGTCAACATCAACTTGTAATATGCACTTTAGAAACTATGTACTGTACTGCAATTTGTGTGGTGTATAATTGTTTTTCTGACCCAATCTCCTTCTGATTGTAGAGTGACCTCATGGTCTCGCTCCTTTCCCTCTACACTCGAGTTCATAACGGTTTACCTTCAGCTCCAGAGCCGTGTCCTCTCTTTACAGCAGGAAAACTGACCAAAGTCTGCCCCCACAAGGTACACACACACGCTCCGCTAGCTTCACCTGCCCTTTGGAATACTCTACAGTTTAAAGTTGTGCGTTTGTGGTCGTTAAGGTGGTGTCTGTCTCCAAGTGCCTGATCAGAAGGGAGTCGGCTCGGGACCACATCGACCTGCTGCTGTCCTCTCGCTATTGGCCTCCAGTGTACGTCAGCGACTGTGCCCAGCAGGTGGCGCTCTGTGCTGATTTGCAATACCCTGACCTGGCAACACAGATGTGGGGCAGGAACCAGGGGTGCTTCTGTGACCCGTTTGAGAAGCCAGAGGTTGGTTGAGAAGTCCATCTGTGCATTATCTTCTGTTAGCAACAAATCCACCCATAAAGATTATGGGTGGATTTTTACTAGATTTTCAGGAAAACATGTAAATGGAAACAGGAATAGTTTGGAGGTGATCTTCTTCTGGTGGAAGTCTGTGCCCTATGAGTGCTTTTCTATTTTCTCAGGCTCTTGAGTTGCTTTAGAGTAAGGAAACTTGCTGAAACTATACCTGAAAAATACCTTTTTAAATGTGGTACTTTGTGTTTGAATTTGAGCAAAACTAGTTATTGATTATTGTAGAGAATGTTACTTTAGAAAATATTTATTGAACTATAAATAATGCATCAGCTTTATACAGTGCTTTTCATTCATTCCCAGCTATGGTCACTAATGTAGCCGTAGCTGCCCTGGGGCAAACAGACGGAAGTCAGGCTATTAATCTGTGACCTGCCGGCCGCAACCAATCATTCACGCACAGCCCAGACTCACAAGCCGTGTGGGTGAAGTGTCTTGCCTAAGGACACAATGACAGTTTACAGCCCCTTTAATAAAGTGTTGTACTATTTTGATAATTGTATTGTTCACAAAAGTTCAATGAATATGGGATTTTTTTTTCTACATTTTGAACAAAACGAAGCTCCTGTGAGGCCCCTGGAGAACGTATTCTGGAGAGGACTCGTTTCACATTGGTACACATTTCCTTATAATTCTGATGTCATTTATTCAGGATTCGTAAAAGACCTCATCTCAACATGTTTAGGTCTGTGGAAGATCAAAAAACAATTTATCAACTACTAAATTAGTTGACAACTATTTAGATAGATTTAGCTGCGATAACGAATCTCGGATTCAGGAGGAGCAGTGTGGTTTTCGTCCCGGCCGTGGAACACTGGACCAGCTCTATACTCTCCATCGGATACTCGAGGGTTCATGGGAGTTCGCCCAACCTGATTTGGAGAAGGCGTTCGACTGTGTTCCCCGGGGTGTCCTTTGGGGGGTCCTCCGTGAGTACGGGGTCGGGGGTCCTCTGCTGAGGGCCATCCGATCCCTGTATGACCGGAGCCAGAGCTGTGTTCGCATTGCCGGCAGTAAATCAGACCTGTTCCCGGTGAATGTTGGCCTCCGACAGGGCTGCCCTTTGTCACCGGTTCTGTTCACTGTATTCATGGACAGAATTTCTAGGCGCAGCCAGGGGTCGGAGGGGGTCCGGTTCGGAGACCACAGGATTTCATCTCTGCTGTTTGCGGACGATGTTGTCCTGTTGGCTTAAACGAACCAGAACCTGCAGCATGCACTGGGACGGTTTGCAGCCGAGTGTGAAGCAGCTGGGATGAGAATCAGCACCTCCAAATCTGAGGCCATGGTGCTCGACCGGAAAAAGGTGCCTTGCCCTCTGCAGGTGGGTGGAGAGGTCCTTCCTCAAGTGGAGGAGTTCAAGTGTCTCGGGGTTTTGTTCACGAGTGAGGGAGGGATGGAGCGTGAGATTGACAGGCGGATCGGTGCAGCGTGCGCAGTGATGCGGTCGCTGTATCGGACCGTCGTGGTGAAGAGGGAGCTGAGCCGAAAGGCAAAGCTCTCGATTTACCGGTCAATCTTCGTTCCCTCCCTCACCTATGGTCATGAGCTTTGGGTAATTACCGAAAGAACGAGATTGCGGGTACAAGCGGTCGAAATGAGCTTCCTCCGCAGAGTGGCTGGGCGCTCCCTTAGAGATAGGGTGAGGAGCTCAGTCACACGGGAGGAGCTCGGAGTAGAGCCGCTGCTACTCCACGTCGAGAGGAACCAGTTGAGGTGGCTCGGGCATCTGTTCCGGATGCCTCCTGGACGCCTCCCTGGGGAGGTGTTCCGGACACGTCCCACCGGGAGGAGGCCCCGGGGAAGACCCAGGACACGCTGGAGGAACTATGTCTCTCAGCTGGCCTGGGAACGCCTTGGGGTCCCCCCGGACGAGCTGGAGGAAGTGTGTGTGGATAGGGAAGTCTGGGCGTCTCTGCTTAGACTGCTGCAGTCTCTGGAGAGAAGTTAGTGCGCGGACGTAGCGCTCCTAACTTCTCCGCGCACTAACTTCTCTCCGGAGACTTCTCTCTCGCTGCTACTGTGTGTACTACAAGTCACGCTGCTTCTATTGACGGAAGTGAGCGAGAGAGAAGTCTCCGGAGAGAAGTTAGTGCGCGGACGTAGCGCACCTCAGATTACTACGCCTCACAATATAGTACCCGTTTTATCCGCTGAGAAAATCGACTGTTACATTTCTGTGTTACTATACTTTGCAGTGTAACACGTCACGTAACTATATACATTTAATAGGGAACACTTGGAAGAGTTTGGTAGCTTCTAGCGGGAGCTACCTTTTGGTGCTACAAAATATACAGAGGAGGCTGCGGTTGTGCTCCAGTTTTTGCTCCGTTTGCATGACAGAGCGCACGGACTAAGACCAGACAGGTACGTATTAACTAGTCTAAGGTAAGGTAAGAACATATGTCAGTATGTACAAACTGTGAACTATTCCTTTAAGTACCACCAGTGGTGCTTGACTCACAGTTTGAGAAACAGTGGTCAGAGGTGGAGGCTTCTGTTACATTACGTATTCATAGATTATAACAGCATCTCTCGCTTTCCACTGTGTGTTGTGAAAAGGTTCTGGTTTTCCAAAATTTGAAGAAATAGAATGAAAACATATTCAAATGCAATACAGTATTTTTGAATGGACTTTTTGCAAATCTTTGTCATGGCCTCAGATTCGCCAACCCAACCTCCTCACTGCCATCAGAACAATTCAGTTTCAGTTTAGTTTATTTCAAAGGGGACAATGCTATTTAATAAAACACACGATTAAACATGAGTTGAATAACAAAGTGCCGAACCTTGGGAGACCGAGGTTTGCTGCAACTGACCCCACTCACTTCAGAACTTCAAATCACTGCTCAAAACTCCCCTGGGCCTACATCTGTTTAGTTTATCTTTTTATATTTTTTTCTTATTTGTCCTTTTGTAAAGCATTTTTGAGTGTCCCAAAAAGTGCCATATAAGCAGGATGTATTGTTATTATTATTATTAATAGTTAGTTGATCCCGGTCTGAAAACACAGACCTAAGATTCTCGTTTGTTTTCCTATTGCAGTTTGTGTCCTGCGCTGAGCTCCTGCCGCAGACACAGAGCCCTGACTTTGACGAAACACCACACGTTCACCCTGTAACCAGCTCCGTATCCCGCTGGCTGGTGCACCCCCCTGAGGACCCCAACCCTGAGGGACCCCCGCCACCGAAACACCACTCTCCACTCCTGTGCCAAGAGCTGCAGCCGGACCTGGAGCTGCTACGAGAACTGAAGCCGATTAAAGACAATCCAGAGGACACAGAGAAGCCTGTGGTCTTTAAGAACACTCCTCATTACTACCTCTACAATCGCCTGCTGGACTTCCTCACCAGCAGAGACATCGTGAACCAGCAGGTGACTCAAGTTCTGCAGTCTTGTCAACCAGGCGAGGTGGTCATCCGGGACTCGTTGTACAGACTGGGAGTGGCAAAAATTGACACAGAGAAAGAGGAAGAGGTCATAGAAGCAGTAACAGTCGAGCCTATTGTCCAAACATGATTAAAAGTCTAGCCACAAAATACTAAAAAGTGATCGGTGCTTTTGAGCAGGAATATTTTGTTCACTCTTGTTTTTTCATTTCTAAAGCTGGTTCATGGTTGTGCTAACTTATGTCAAGTAGAGAAGCCAGCGCAAATCTTTGGTAGACTTCATTGAGAACTGGGCGTTTCAGTTCTAGTATAAGTCAACATGGTGGCAAAGTGGCATTTGATATCTTGTGTGTTATACAGTACGCACCCACACGTACAGTATATCTACGTGATGTGGTATACTTCAATACTTCATAGTGTCAGGGTTTTGGATTAAGGATTATGGATTTCTGAGAATGATTGATTGAAATATCTCCATCTATCGTAAATTAGTTTTCGGATTGTCTTCTTGCCAAATGTTTGTTCCGTCCCGCCGCAGCTGACCATCTTGCACTAACTTTTTTTCTTAAGCACTTAGGCTGCCGTTTTTGTTTCCATTCTGCTTTTGCAACTCACTAAAATCATGGTATTTCGTCCTGGACTGAATTAAATAGTTACATTTTCTTGTTTTTTCTTTATTTAAATTGTTAGGAACAGTTCCTTTGCGTAAGGTTAGGGTTGAGGATAAGGAAGCCCTACAGCAGGACCAAATATCAAGATTTTAGGAATCAGAAATTGGGGACGTGATAATCTTTGTGGATGTAGTTTTAGATACCCTGAAGTCAAAAGCAATAGCCAAGAGATTACCGCTAATGAATGCTTCAAGAGGATTGTATTTTACTGCTACTGCTATGGAATAACTCAAAACGTCTTCACACAGATTACAATGCTTGTAAAGGTGTGCAAGTCTATTTATCATTCAATGAATCCGACTCCAGTGCAATGTCGAATGTACTAACAAACATAATTCTAGCCATTAAGATATTCTTGTATATTTATTATACTTTTATGAAATAATTTTTTAGTAATACCGCTCTTGTTATAGGAATACAGGTGCTGTGGCCTTTGCGATGTGTCTTATACATATAGAGTGGGGGAATGCAAGCAAAATAGTGCCCTCTGCTGGATTTTAAATTTTCACTGTAAATGATAACAAGCGTTACTAATACTATTATGTTTAGTTGTGTTTTTGTATGTAATATTATTGTCACATCGAAGTTGTAATAAAGTAACAAATGTAATCTGTAACATTTTAATGATAAGACAAACCAAATTAACTTCAAGCCTGATAGTAAGTAATGCAACGCCATCTTGTATTAAAATGCATTGAAACTCTTGACTGTTAAAGAATTTTCTTTGCCATAGGGAATCATTGTGTGCTCCAGCTTGTAATTAGCAAAACAATACAATATCTGCAGAAAAACTAAAACATAATTGACACATTTTTTGTTTCAATAGCTCAAGGATCAAGGTGCAACTACAGAATGTGATTGAAATATGTTTCTGATAAATTAGGATGAAGCTCGAGAGAATGAGACTTTTAGACGTGGGGATGGGTAGACTAGGTGAGGTGTGGTTGGAAGAAAAAGAAGAGGAGGAGGACCTGCTCCTGAACCTTTAACTATCCTAAAGTCAAAGTAAAGGCTAATGGTCACGGTTAATAATTTCCGGGTTGCTTTAGCCACAACAGACCGACACCAATAGCCTAAAGGAAAAGACCTTGTTAAATTGGTTTCACCAATGATCAAATAATTTCCTGCTGCATCAAACCACAGGACGGAAATAATGTGGGTATAAATGTTTTCCACAATCTGCTGAATAATTAGGATAAAAAATATAATTGCTTTCGTTTGAACAAAGCCTGATTCTCCACACACATTCTTATTCCACATTATATTGTATTGTAATGTAAAACAAAAAATAACTGAAAAAAGTCCCATTACTTATTTAGAGGAAGTAAATTGTTCCAAATGTTCTTTTATTGTGCAACTGTGACAAACATGGGGAAATTATTGAGGAAGTGAGGACAGACAAACATAATTGTTATGGTTGAACAAAATCTTGGTATCAAAAATATGTTTAGGTCATGAAACTTTTATTAACTCAGTTTGAATGCAACGCATGGCTGTATTACTATTTACTCTGTATCGTAAGATTATATTATGTACATTATCAGACACCAGATGTTAGCACATTCACCAAAATGCCTATAATCATTACTTACTAAGTCTTTGGTCAATAGATTGTATTATAGCTTATACATTTAACAAAAACATGGAGCTGGCAGTGAACGCTGACCACTACATTTAAGCATCATTCATTAACCTCCAGTAGCAGTATGTTAGAAAGTTCACATTGTCAAACCACCCCCCAAAAAATGTCCAGTCCACAGATTTTCTGCTCAGGTCGTCTGTGCCTTCAAAAACCACAAACTGAACGCACTTTGTTGATTAAGCCCACAAATCGATGTGGAACAATCACATGTTTCAGCCGACTGACAGCGACTGTTGTGTGGACACAACACGGTCATTATTCCCTCTCTCCACGCTCCATTTGGCGCGTTAAACTCGAAAAACACTCGCACTCATTTGGACATTCAAACTAGGTGAGCTAGAAGAGCAGCACACAGGGACAGGGTAATGAATAAGTCGCATGAAGGGTTGGAGGGCTTGCTTCCTCTTGAGAAAAAAATTGCACAGACGTCTATTGAAACGTAAGTAAATCTGCTGACAAAACCCACAAATCCATAATGAGGAGAAGTCAAATAGAAGGCAAAACCAACTCAAGGTCTAACAAACAACATTAAATACTTATTGATGATGCTTCAGATGCTTTGCATTGCCGACATGAGTCTTTTCATGTCACAAGTCTATGCAAAATGTGTGTATTTCCAGTCATGGTTTCCAATGAGGCACATCACATGCTTTCTCGCAGCTGCTGTGTTTGTCGCAGACGCATGACCAGCAGAAAGTAGCTCCCAACAGTCTCCTCAGCCTTATGTGGTCCAGTTGAATTGTTTGACTTTGAAAAATGAGGAGGTGAACTGGTTTTTTACAGTTGTGTTTGTTTAATGTCTGTTTTTGTCACTGGTAGGTGTTGGTCTTCATCAGAGGCTGCTCCTCTTCCTCACGGTCACAAGACTGGTCACAGGGGCCATGGCAGCAGCATTTGGGCAGGTCACACTCCTCGCCTTCCCTGCCCTCGCTGACCTCGCTGCTCTCCTCATTCTCTTGCGGCTGTGGCTGCGGCTGCCGAACATTTTCGTAGATTTGCTACAAAGAGGCAGAGATAATCAACATCAGGTCCTTGGCTCCAAGTACCTTCTAAGACCATAAAACCAGGTCTACAACCTTCCTAAGTGTATTTTAAGGTTTCAAAAAATGTAAAGAATAAAATATTGGGGTTAGGGTTAGCTATCACTTTTGAGTACATTGGATTTCTGTGGAGCCAATTGAAGTAAAAACGCATTAGGTTCGGTCTGCGGGGTTATCAGATATCAGTTTGTACTCTAAATAATGTTATTATAGATGATAATGCATAGTACATAAATCAGTGCTCCCCTGGACTGCCCCCTGGACTGCCACCTTAACGTGGTGGGGGAGTTTGAGTACTCGGATGATCCTGGGAGCTATGCTGTCTGGGGCTTCATGCCCCTGGTAGGGCCTCCCATTGCAGACAGGTCTCAGGTGACGAGTCAGACGAAGCGCAGTCCAAAAACCACCATGGATCGCACTATAACGAGAGCAGTGACGTCGCCCGGCATGGCGCAGCCGGGGCCCCACCCTGGAGCCAGGCCTGGGGTCGGGGCTCGTATGCGAGCGCCTGGTGGCCGGGCCTTAGCCCACGGGGCCCGGCCGGGCTCAGCCCGAAGGGATGACGTGGGCAGTCCCTCCTGTGGGCCCACCACCTGCAGAGGGGTCCGTGGTGGCGCGGTGCTGAGAGGACTGGGCGGCAGTCGAAGGCGGAGACCTCGGCGACCCAGTCCGCACACACAACATCTGGCTCTTGGGACGTGGAACGTCACCTCACTGGGGGGGAAGGAGCCCGAGCTCGTGGGGAAGGTTGAGCGATACCGACTAGAGATAGTCGGCCTCACCTCCACACACAGCTTGGGCTCTGGAACCCAACTCCTTGAGAGGGGTTGGACGCTCCACTTTTCTGGAGTTTCCCGCGGGGAGAGGCGGCGAGCTGGGGTGGCCATTCTCATTGCCCCCCATCTCAGCCGCCACGTGTTGGAGTTCTCCCCGGTGAATGAGAGGGTCGCGTCCCTCCGCCTCCGGGTGGGGGACAAGTCTCTCATTGTTGTGACGGCCTACGGGCCTAACAGCAGTGCAGAGTACCCGGCCTTCTTGGAGTCCTTGGGAGGGGTACTGGACGGTGCACCGCCCGGGGACTCCGTTATTCTCCTGGGGGACTTCAACGCCCATGTGGGAGTCGCCAGTGACACTTGGAGAGGGGTGATCGGAAAGAACGGCCCCCCTGATTTGAACCCGAGCGGTGGTTCAGTTGTTGGACTTCTGTGCCAGTCACAGTTTGTCCATCACGAACACCATGTTCGAGCACAAGGGTGTCCACCAGTGCACGTGGCACCAGGACACCCTAGGTCGGAGGTCGATGATCGACGTTGTTGTCGTATCATCTGACCTTCGACCGCGTGTCTCGGACACTCGGGTAAAGAGAGGGGCGGAGCTGTCAACCGATCATCACCTGGTCGTGAGTTGGATCCGCTGGCAGGGGAAGAAGCCGGCCAGACCTGGCAGACCCAAGCGTATAGTGAGGGTCTGCTGGGAACGTCTCGCTGAGCCCCCTGTCAGACGGATATTCAACTCGCACCTCCGGGAGAGTTTCTCCCAGGTCCCGGCGGAGGAGGGGGACATGGAGTCCGAGTGGACCATGTTCTCTCCCTCAATCGCCGATGCGGCGGCTCGTAGCTGTGGTCGCAAGGTCTCTGGTGCTGGTCCCGGCGGCAACCCCCGAACTCGGTGGTGGACACCGGCAGTAAGGGATGCTGTCAGGCTGAAGAAGGAGTCCTATCGAGCCATGATGGTTCGGGGGACTCCTGAGGCAGCTGTCCAGTACCGGCAGGCCAAGCGTGCCGCGGCCCAGGCTGTTGCAGAGGCAAAAACCCGGGACTGGGAGGAGTTCGGAGAGTCCATGGAGCATGACTATTGGTCGGCCTCGAAGAGATTCTGGCAAACCATCCGGCGCCTCAGGAGGGGGAAGCAGTTCTTTGCCAACACCATGTACGGTGCGGGTGGAGAGCTGCTGACCTCGACTGGGGATATTGTCGGGCGGTGGAAGGAATACTTTGAGGTTCTCCTCAATCCCCCCGTCACGTCCTCTGTTACAGAGGCAGAGGCTGAGGATGTTGGGGCGGATACATCCATCTCCCTGGCTGAGGTCACCAAGGTGGTTGGTAGCCTCCATGGTGGCAAGGCTCCGGGTGTGGATGAGATCCGCCCTGATTATCTAAAGTCTCTGGATGTTGTAGGACTGTCTTGGCTGACACGTCTCTGCAACATCGCGTGGCGATCGGGGGCAGTGCCAATGGAGTGACAGACCGGGGTGGTGGTCCCTCTCTACAAGAAGGGGGACCGGAGGGTGTGTTCCAATTATCGTGGGATCACACTCCTCAGCCTCCCCGGTAAGGTCTACTCCAAGGTACTGGAGAGGAGGTTACGGCCGATGGTCGAATCTTGGATCCAGGAGGAGCAGTGTGGTTTTCGTCCCGGTCGCGGAACACTGGACCAGCTCTATACTCTCCATCGGATACTCGAGGGTTCATGGGAGTTCGCCCAACCTGATTTGGAGAAGGCGTTCGACTGTGTTCCCCGGGGTGTCCTTTGGGGGGTTCTCCGTGAGTACGGGGGTCGGGGGTCCTCTGCTGAGGGCCATCCGATCCCTGTATGACCGGAGCCAGAGCTGCGCTTGCATTGCCGGCAGTAAATCAGACCTGTTCCCGGTGAATGTTGGCCTCCGACAGGGCTGCCCTTTGTCACCGGTTCTGTTCACTGTATTCATGGACAGAATTTCTAGGCGCAGCCAGGGGTCGGAGGGGGTCCGGTTCGGAGACCACAGGATTTCATCTCTGCTGTTTGCAAACGATGTTGTCCTGTTGGCTCCAACGAACCAGGACCTGCAGCATGCACTGGGACGGTTTGCAGCCGAGTGTGAAGCGGCTGGGATGAGAATCAGCACCTCCAAATCTGAGGCCATGGTGCTCGACCGGAAAAAGGTGCCTTGCCCTCTGCAGGTGGGTGGAGAGGTCCTTCCTCAAGTGGAGGAGTTCAAGTGTCTCGGGGTCTTGTTCACGAGTGAGGGAGGGATGGAGCGTGAGATTGACAGGCGGATCGGTGCAGCGTGCGCAGTGATGCGGTCGCTGTATCGGACCGTTGTGGTAAAAAGGGAGCTGAGCCGAAAGGCAAAGCTCTCAATTTACCGGTCAATCTTCGTTCCCTCCCTCACCTATGGTCATGAGCTTTGGGTAATGACCGAAAGAACGAGATCGCGGATACAAGCGGTCGAAATGAGCTTCCTCCGCAGAGTGGCTGGGCGCTCCCTTAGAGATAGGGTGAGGAGCTCAGTCACACGGGAGGAGCTCGGAGTAGAGCCGCTGCTTCTCCACGTCGAGAGGAACCAGTTGAGGTGGCTCGGGCATCTGTTCCGGATGCCTCCTGGACGCCTCCCTGGGGAGGTGTTCCGGACACGTCCCACCGGGAGGAGGCCCCGCGGAAGACCTAGGACACGCTGGAGGGACTAGTCTCTCAGCTGGCCTGGGAACGCCTTGGGGTCCCCCCGGACGAGCTGGAGGAAGTGTGTGTGGATAGGGAAGTCTGGGCGTCTCTGCTTAGACTGCTGCCCCCGCGACCGACAACGGATAAAGCGGAAGAAAATGGATGGATGGATGGATAAATAAGTGCATTTCATGACACAAAAAAATCATTCACTCCATACACGGTGGTTGTAAACTACAGCTTTGGCTTCAGCTGCCTTTGAGCAGACAAAAGTGAGGCCGATAATCTGTACCATCGGCCCCTCCGACCACCACCAACACACACACCAGACTCCTTTAGGTAATGCATGTGCCTTGTAATGTCTTGCCTAAGAACACAATGGCAGGCACCTAGTATTCCCAAAGCTCACAGCAGTAGGCAGGCCCTGTTCTGCTGAGCCTAAACCTTCTACATGTATGTGGTTGATCCATGTAGCTGATTATTTTTCACACCAAAATGATTTTAATTCTGGTTTATGAATAGAGGCTCTATTTTTTCTTTTCTGCCAATAAATGTGTTTGTTTTTGTCGTATTTCTTTTTTGTACATCATAGTAAGTTTTTTTCATTTGCCTTAAAGACAAAATACCACGCATTCTCTCAACATAATTCGATATGCATTGAAAGTCGCAATGAGATGGCGTCTAAAAATAATATCAAATTTCACTGTGTTGAAGAGCGTAGAGTTTTATGGCAGGAAGAACTCTGCTGGTCACATGACCTGCTGTTTTGTCCTTGTGCATTGAGCTCACCTGCCCCTGCTGCCAATACTGCTGCTCCTCCTGCTGCTGCTGACTCTGTTGTGTGGGACGACCCAATAACCTCTCTATCATGGAACTGATCTTGGTGAAAGTGGGCCGCTGTGTGGGTTCCAGATTCCAGCACATCTTCATGATCATATACCTGCAAAAGAGCAAACATTGAATTCAGCGGTACGCTTTGGAGAGGAGAAATTTGGACAGATGACGCTCTTGTGCCGGCCTTTGACACAGTTTGGACAAGAGAGACCTGTTCAGACACACAGTGGCCCCCTCAGTTGCATTTTGCCGGCGTGAAATAGCATTTACACAGCACCATAGCTCCGAGATCATGTGGCTAACAGGCAGAACTGAGGCCTAAGTCAGAGCAGAACAACAGATGATTAGGCCCTGACTAAGGCCTGGCCTGGGTCTCCATGAAGCAGTGGTGTGACAGCCACGGCGAATCGTCACGCACACACAAACTCACACAGACGGCTAAAACGCCCTTTCTTTTTATAAGACTGTGCCCTGTGTTCAGAGTTTGGGGTTAGAGTAGGTAAAGCAAAGCATAAGAAAGAGCTTACCTCACATAAGAGTAGTGTGTGATGGGAGATATAAAGGCACTTGTTCGGTGGCATTTAGTCAGGGAATCTTAGCTCATCTTTGTACATTCAAATTATGACCGGTGATTACTAAAGCTGCCTTTTGTTCATATAAAAACTAATTTCCAATATGTGGTACAGTATGTAGGTCAATCCAAAATATCAACTGGAAGGTCTCCATTGTCATAAATAAGTACCAGTTTTTAAATAAAATGTTGACATAACATTTTAGTTGATCAGAAAACAATTATCCTTTTTCAGTAATGTTGCTCACAGACAAACACTGGTGATCTCTTTACATAGAAATTCCAATGCTAATCTCTGTGCATTATTGTTACATAACTACACACATGGTGCGGCAGATAACTTTACTGGTTCCAGACCTCTCTGCTAAAGGCATCACCATAGCAACAACAAAGCATTAGTGGTGATTCTAATGTTGGTGAATGAGAGCAAGAAATGCAAATCTGCTTAAGTAAAGCAGATTTAATTGACTTTAAATTACTGTTTCTGTGTGTATCCCGTTTGGAGGGGTCGAAGATTTTTTAATTAATATTTTTTTTAGACATGTGTTGAATGGATTAGTCAAACAAAGTCCAGACCTAATTCTAGAGTTTTGGGCTGAAGTTACTGAACTGTGTGTAATACCACCATTTCGGGTAAACAAACACACACTAAAAAATAACCCCTTACTGTATGCACATACCAGACAGCCACACACACACAATAGGGCAGAAGCTCCTTGCATTATGGATACTTTCTCATTCAATGAGTGCCCTTTCTTTTCATGACTATTGACTGTAGATTCACACCAGGCTGTGTAAGGGCTGTTTGACCAATAAGGAGAGTGGTGGGGTGCTGGGCCAGATGACCCGGCCTCCACAGTCACCGGACCTGAACCCAATCCAGATGGTTTTGGGGTGAGGGGTGAGCTGGATCACAGAGTGAAGGTGAAAGGGCCAACAAGTGCTAAGCATCTGAACGCTTTCAAGACTGTTGAAGATCATTTCAGGTCACTACCACTTGAAGCTCATCAAGAGAATGCCAAGAGTGTGTGAAGCAGTAATCAGAGCAAAAGGTGCTACTTTGCTACTTTCAAGAACCGAGAATATAAGACATATTTTCAGTTGTTTAATACTTTTTTTCACATGAGTTAATTCATGTTCTTGATGCCTTTAGTGTGAATCTACAATTTTCATAGTCATGAAAAAAAAGAAAACGTTTTAAATGCGAGTGTCATGGTGTGGCTTTTATTTTTGTACTTGATTTTATTTTGACATTGTTTCTCTGTGGTTTGGTTTTGAGTTTGACTTCTGTGCTGTTTCCCCTGTCTTGATTGTCTGCCCCGCCCTGATGTGTTTCACCTGTGTCCCTGTCTATAATTACCCTGTGCCCCTCTCCACATGTTGCTGGTCCATTGTATTGTCAACTTCTGTTCTGTCCTGTTCCTGATTTTGTTTCCTGGTTCTGTATTTTGGATTTTGAGTTTTGTTTTCACCTGGACATTTATTTTATTAAATCACTATTTTTTGCATTCCTGCATTTTTGGGTCTTCATTCTCTTCATCACATGACAGAATGGACCAGCCAACAAGAGGACTCAGCGGAATGCTGTTTACCACACACCTGCTCCCTGTTCATTGCAACCTACAAGTACCTCCATCTGGGGTGGTGTTCCCTCCGTACCACCGCCGGGCATTTGTCTCCGCCCGGGGTGGTCCTCTGTCCTGCCCTGACCTGTTGAGAGGTCTACAGTGACGTTCTGCTCTTGCCTGGAGGGTTTATGTCTGCTTGGATTTCCTCGCCTGTGTCTGCTGCTGCACTTCGATGACCTCTCCTACCCTTCTCCTGTTTCCACCGCCAGACACGGTTCTCCGTCTGGGGTGGTTCTGTCCTGTCTGAGTCACCGCCGGGCATTTGTGTCCGTCCGGGGTGAGCCAGTTCACCCCGGGTCACCGCTGGGCTTCAGCGTTTGGACTCTGCCTGGGACCTGAGGTTTATGCAGCCTCTAAGCTGCCTCTGGTCCCTCCGTCCTCCCTGGCTTGCTTTTCTTGGGACATCTGGGAGCTGTCCCTAGGAAGGGGGGTACTGTTATGGTGTGGATTTTATTTTGACGTCTTATCTGTGAATTAGTTTTAGTTTGACTTCCTGTCCTGTTTCCCCTGTCTTGATTGTATGCCCCGCCCTGATGTGTTTCACCTGTGTGTGTCTATTTGTACTCTGCGCTCCTCTCCCCTTGTGCTGGTCCATTGCCTTGTCAACGTCCTGTCCTGTCTTGTTCATGTCTCTGTCTGTTTCCGTCCTGTTTTGGTTTTGTATTTTGAGTTGGTTTCATCTGGACTTTTTTATCATTAAACTCTTATATTTGGCATTCCTGCAATTTTGGGTCTTCATTCACTTCATCACATGACAGCGAGGGTGAGTAAACTTTTGGTCTGTACTGTAGATTGTTTTTTTTTTTTCAATCAGTTCTTCACTTGGAAAAAAACAAATGGACTGTACTGAAGATAACTGTACCATTGGAATATTGTCAGTCAAATCATCTCAGGTAAAAGGACTACTATTAGAGTATGTTTAAAGTCACAGGATGTCAAAGTCTATCACATGACAGAGAGTAGATGGTATGAAAGGTCTGAAATATGATTTAAATAGTGAGCATGATTATTAGGACTTACATCTCTGGTGGGGCAAAGTCTGGCTGGGACATCTGGTATCCTCGCTTCACCATTTTATAGAACCTCGAGTCCACTGCAATATTAGGATATGGGCTCTTCCCTGGCAACACATATGTTCTGTTAGCATTTGTGAAACCAGCTATGATCAATGCAACAGTTGCTCCACTAACCTAGTGAGAAGATCTCCCATAAGAGGATGCCATAGGACCAGACGTCACTTTGAACAGTGTAGACACACTCAAAAATACTCTCAGGGGCCATCCACTTGACAGGTAAGCGGGCCTATAAAGATATAATACAATTAAATGTATGTGCAATCAAATACATTCATTATAGATGTACATTTATGTAAATGACTAATACAATTGAAATATCTAAATTTGCCTTATTATTTAGCTTGTGTTCACATTCCTGAATTTGATGAAAACAAAAAACAGCAGATCAATAAATGTGACTTTTTACTGAATGTTTTGCCAGATCTTTCCCATCATGTAGGGGTGTCTACTGTTTGGTATGAGAGCCACTCATGGATCTATTATAATAACTGGATAGGGTAGTACTAGCTTGGAGATGAAGGACCCACGTGCTCGGGATTCTCGCGATACTGCAGATTTAACTCACGTAAGACTAAATTCATGTGGGCTACCCAGACATTTCCCCTTTGAACTCAATGTAAACTTAAACAGCTCGACCTCAGCTGACAGAGCACTTACAGCTGTCATAACGGTCCGATTTTGTGGGGATTTTAGTGTCCCTTGTCAACCTGAACATTTTGTTCTTTTTAAATCCTTCATTTTTCTATTAATCCACACTTTTGTGCCACAAACTCTGCTCAATTATCTCCTGCTCTAACTCCCGCAATAGCTCCGCTCTGATCAGCAGGACAGGACGTGGCGGAGCCCCTCTGTGCACGTGCACGAGAGCCACACGCGTCTATTTGGCGCAAAGCATCATGGGAGCTCGTCCACTGTGCAGAACCAGGAGGACCAGGGAAATTACCAAATAGCGAGTGCCGCTAATCTTTGGGTGCCCATGGTGGCAAATGCGCCACTGAGCACAAGCCACTGATTGAATAGGGCGCCATCTTGGATCATCGGGGCTCGGGGCCATTTGAGTTAGCCAGACTTGTCCAGGGGCCAACAGCCCGGATTGTATTACTGCTTTCTATGGATTGAGGCTGTTCTGAGCATCAAAATGAGTTTGCAATCTCCCCAGCAAAACATTAATCAAAAACTAATGATTTCTAGAGGTTCTAAGCTTTAGAACCAGGACTAAAATCAGGACTAAAATGGCGTTGCTGAAGTTTGTATTCGGAACAAACATTTTTTTCCCTGTGGATTGGGACAGTAATTATATTATGCAATAACCAGGTCAAAATGAACATTATACCATAAGACTGAGCTGATCAAAAACTAAAGAGAATTTTTACACAGAGCAGAAAACATTATTATAGATGTTCTTTAAAGTGAACTTACATTTCCTTTCACCACGTAGTTTGAGTCATTCATGATGTCACGAGCCAGACCAAAGTCACAGATCTTGGCCTCTTTACGGCCCGTTAGGAGAACATTCCTGGCTGCTACGTCTCGATGAATACACTGCCGGAACAGCCACATACAAATCAAATTAATAGCTCTCAAAATAACTTTTCCAATTTACAATCATATATATTTAAAGGGAAATGCCCCTCACGGGCCCCACATAATAAATTAGCCATCCTTCATTACATTTTTCATAAAGCCTTCTTTCATCCAAAATAAGAAAAATGTCAGGGTTTTTTGTGCTTGGTCACACTTTATGCTGACCTCCTATAGCAGTAACTTGGAAAAATAATGTATACTTACATTTTTACTTGCAAGAAACTCCAAACCCTGAGCCACCTGAAGGGAGAAGCGGAGCAGGTCGTCTATGTCGAACAACCAATCAACGTTTGATTCAGTGTCTGTCAAATAAAACACAAACAAAGTTAATTTATGTTTGATAAAAAGACAATTGTTGATGATTATAACCTTGAGCTTGAGTTGTGCTGTTTGGTAGAAGTGCCGGCCTCATTTCTAAATAGCTGCCTGATGAAGTGCTGGAGATCCCACTGTCACTATTGTACATAAGGAACAGTCAATTATTATTCATGATTTTAACACTATTTGACAGCTTTTAGATTTTTAAGTATAACTATTCATCTCGTGAGCATTCTTGGCCTTCATTACTTTAAGATAAGAGCTCTGTTAAAGGGGACATATCATGAAAAATCCACTTTTTGTGTCTTAAATGCCTGATGTTGTGTAGTTGGAGCCTCTAGAAGTGCAAAAAAGTTGAAATCAGTCTCTTCATGGGTTGCAGAGAACACTTCATATTCTGTTTAGGTAAGATTTTTCAACCCGTTCTGATTTTTCCATTCTCTATTACGTGTTTAGAATTATTACGTCACAGTATTTGCAGCGAGACTGCCATATAAGGGCATGGGCGTCTAACAAAACACTTCGGCCCAGCCCTCCTCTACTGTGCATCACTCAAGGATGCCAGCGCACAGGGCTGGACTGGCCATCGGGCGTACCGGGCAATGCCCATATTTGGGCCGGTCTGTCTGCCTTATACAAAACACATGTTTATGAGAAGTGTAAATCCGTTGAGAATTGTTCGAGCGGGGCGCGCGTATCCGCGGGGCACCTGCTGTATGTACTCGAACGGGATTCCGCCACCTCAGCGGCCGCAGTGTTCCGGGGCATCTGCGGCCGCTTTGTAATGAGCAGCTTCCGCGTCCAGCGGCTGCGAGAGGCTGTGAGCGTCCAGCCGCTCCGCCGTGTTGTGGCTGAGCGCGCAGCCTCAACGTGGCCATGTACCCAACCCCATAAACGCGCACAGGACCATGCATGTCTTTGAGTAATCTGTGCACCCAATAAATACACTGCTGCAGGAAACAGTCCGCGTCTCCCCCCTCCTCTCGAAGCGCGATTAAACGCCCTAAATAAAGCTCTGATACCTACATTTTGCATTGCATTAAAAGTTCATGTTTGAGCCCAAAAGTAATATGTTGTGAACAAATTAAACAGATTTAGAGCCAGCAAATGGCTGACAATATGCATTTCAGTCTTTTTTTACTAATTCTCATCCCTGTAACAAACAATAGTGTTGTCTGTGTCCACCTCTTTCACTCTGAGACATGTTCATTACTGTCTTGTAATGTAGACTATTGCATTTTATTTTATTGTTGAAACTGCATATATCCTGATCCTCTACAGTATTTGCTTCCACATACTGTATAAACTAGGAGTCGGCAACCTGCGGCTCCGGAGGTGCATGCATCTTTTTCTCTGTTCTTAACGTTTTTAAATGCTGTAAAATTGTGCATAAGTAATATTCAATTTAAACATTTCTGTCAACGTAGTGCGTCTTATCCTGCGACGTAGGCCCGCGCCAGGCGGCCGCTGTTGTAAACAAACCGGCATTTGAGCTCTGCTTGTGTACAAGTCTCTCCATGGCCTCGCTCCAAAATATATTAGTGACACTCTGAGGACTCTGAGGAGTACAGGGACTGGACTCCTGCTGGGACTCTGAGGAGTACAGGGACTGGACTCCTGCTGGGACTCTGAGGAGTACAGGGACTGGACTCCTGCTGGGACTCTGAGGAGCACAGGGACTGGACTCCTGTTAGTGCCCAGAGTCAGAACTAAACATGGGGAGGCTGCTTTTCAGATTCATGCTGCTAAAATCTGGAACAGTCTTCCTGAAGATGTGAGACAGGCCTCTTCTCTGACAATGTTTAAAACCAGGTTAAAACAGTTCTGTTTAGCTGTGCATACAACTGAGGGATTTTATATTTTTATCTTTCTTTTTAATGTTCTGTGATTTAATGCTTTCTTATTTTGTTCAGCACTTTGAATTGCCTTGTGTGAGTTGTGCTATATAAATAAACTTGCCTTTCCTTGCCTTGAATGTGCGCATGGATCCCAAAGCTAAAAAGAGAAGAGTCGATAATAAGACAGAACTAAGAATGAAAATTAACATTTGCTTTCAGTCAATGAGGAAGTCATGTATGAGAAGTTTCTATGAGATAATTTTATCTGTGCTTAGAAACTACAAAAATGGCCGCTCGGGGTGGAGTTTAACCTGTGTCACCTGGATGGGGGCGTGGTCAAAAGCGCCTCATTTGCATTTAAAGAGACAGCACCAAAACAGGTTGCTCTCAGACGCACCTCAGAACAGGTGTAGAAGAAAGGCCCGTGGAGCTACAAATAATGAGACTCAGACCCAGGCATTGCAGTTACGCTTTATATAGGCCACAAATGAATGATTTAGATGTAAAAATCAATTATTTGAAAACACGATATGTCCACTTTAATCTTCCCACTGTGGGGAAATTTCTATTTATTTTTTGTGACTTTATTTGTCATTTATCTTTAAGTAATTTATTTTTAAGTCATTATTTTGTGTTAAATTATTTTTACTTTCGAAATGTGAAGATTGCTATGCCTTTAACACATTTTCCACTAAAGAAAATCAACTGCTGGTTACCATAGCAACACACTGTTTACTGTCAGAAGTTAGCATTAGCCTGTTTTGCTATAGTTAAGTTGCAGTTATAATGAGCAGTTTTGTTAAAAGTGAGTAACGGTAAAAACATGATGTGTCTAGTGGTGTCTTATTATTGTATTTTTCATGGACCTTGAGTCTGGAATAAAAATTTATTTTTATTGTTACAACATTATTTGGGGGAATTGTCCATTGGTTTGAATGGGAGCAGTCAAAATGGGAGTTCTAGTAGTTTCGGAATTCTGGGAGTCAAGTGTTGAAAAGATCCTTTCTCTTCTGAGTGTAAACGTCATGTACCTTCTAATAAAATGCTTCTGGTTACAGATGTTCTTGTAGTCGTTTTCCACAATCTCAGGGATGTTCATCACAAAGTTCATAAATGTCTCTGCCTTGTGTCGCAGAAAGTTTAGCAGGTCACCGAGACTGCAGTATTCCGTGATAACAAACACAGGACCTGACATGGCACCAGAGTGAATACAGAAATCAGAATACACCATTGTTTACATATTGTAGAAATGTTAGAGTGATTAACCTGACCTCCGTATGTGCAGGCTCCCAGCAGGTTGACGATGTTCTTGTGGTGTCCCAAATGGCTGAGGATCTTCAGTTCAGACATTAAAGCTTCTCTTTCATCCGAATGAGCACTGGCTAAAGCAGAAATGACCACAAACATGAGAATTATAAACAGTAGATTTAAAGTAGACCATGAAATAACTTCAAAATCACCTTTTAACATTTTCACAGCCACACGTGTCACATTGTCCTGTTTTCCAAGACCGTAGGCTGTGGCTTCAACAACTTTTCCAAAAGCACCAGCGCCCAGAATCTTTCCTGCTCACATTATACAAGTACATTTATGACTTTCCAAAGCGGAAAAATCAACATTTCAAAGTGTCTAAACAGTGGTCCTCAACTACTACTAGTATCAGTATCAGTACTAGCCGAGTCGGAATTGGTACCAGGCAGCACATTACTTTAATATTATTAGTTCTTGTAAAAATATTGCCCAACATTTTAGGCAAAGAAAGGAGGGAGGATTTAGATGTTGCCTGACCCTGACCATGAGGCTGCGTTTTTTTCAAGCTGTGGGTTAGTCGCTTGGCCAGCCAGACTCATTGTTTTACCAATCCTTAAAAAAAATCTGTTTTTCTTCTTGGAATAGAATTGACTGGCAGTTATTGACAAAAACACAATAGGTGATGCTTCTGCTACACTGTGGACACGATGTTTGAACGTTGTGGGTTGGGTTCCTGTGTCATATTTACATTCATTCAAAATTCAACAATTTTGGATGACATCACACAGAAAAAAGAAAATATCTTGATACAAATGTCTTCCTAAATATGCAGATTTATGATTGTATTCTGTTTTATTGTATTTTATATTTATATAATTGCTGGTTGTTTCTGACTCCTTTGCTCATCACTAGTTCTCACCTAGTTTGAGCTTGTCTCGTGGAAACTCCCACTTCTCGTTGTATGGCAGCTGAGTGGGATCGATAAAGGTGTAGTTGTTTCCATCACTTGCTTCTATTATCTTCCATCGAATTTCATACCGAGGTTTCTGACAAAAAAAAGCAAAACATTTGAGTGATGTATGAATATAAGTGTTTAAAGTTCAAAATAAAGACTTACCTGTTTATACTTGTAAAGAAGAAACACCAGAAGCACGAGCAGCACAGACAGAAATCCTCCAGCTCCGAACAAAGTAGACGTGAAGAGCTTATCTGCCAAATAAAAAGACGACAAATGAGATGTTTTGACAAGGGTTATGTTTACTTTCTTTATGAGTGTATTTTTCATGGTGTGGTTTTTGTTATTTTGGTACGTGGTTTTATTTTGGCATCAGTTCTCTTTATTACTTTGTTTTAGATCTATTTCCTGTGCCGTTCTCCTGTTGATTGTCTGCCCCGCCCCCAATGTGTTTCACATGTCTCTCTGTCTATGTGTACCTGTGCTCCTCTGTTCTTGTTGCTGGTCTTTGTCTGTCTATGTCCCTGAGTTGCGTTTGTATTTGTTATTTGTTTTTTATTTTGGTTTTTTTGTGTTTTATTAAATCATTTTAACCTGTCCCCCCACCCTTTATAAAGTCACTTTACTGCCCATCATAGGTCACTTTACTTCACTGTACTGCTGTCACCTTACATTGTGTGCACCATGTGCACTTGTATATTGTAAATAGTAACTGTAACTCTATTTTAAATTTAAATGTATTCCTTAGAAGTGTTTTTTATTCTTTATTTTTTATTATCTCTTTCTGAGCAATTTCCAAGTCTGTGACTTCCTGTTACTTACGTGGCAATAAAAATGATTCTGATTCAGATTATTTATGCATTCCTGCTTTTTGGGTCCTCCATCATAATAATGCATCGGTTTTATAAAGCGCTATTTTGAACACTTCACATGTCTTTATTCATTCACTCCTCACACGGTGGTGATAAACTACTACTGTAGCCACATCTGCCCTGGGGCACACTAACAGAAGCGAGGCAACCAGTATGTACCATCGGCCCCTCTGACCCCCACCAATCATTCACACACCAGACTCATTCTAGGCAATGAAGTGTCTTGCCTTAGGCCAGACCGTTTGGCACTTTACAGCCGCAGCTGCCCCACTGTGGCACCAGGTGTTCCAAGAGGTTAAGTGTCTTGCCAAGGACACAACAACAGCAGACATCAGCGGGAGTCAGTGGAGAAAGTCTTGTGGTGGGCTCGAACCCACAACCTTCAGGCTCAAAGGCCAATGCTCTACCAACTGAGCCACGTCGCCCACATGACAGCATGAGTGTGTATTATTAGAGAAAAACAGCAGTTCTCACTCACCAGACACCTCCATGGCAAAAGTATCGCTGCTCACGCCCACGACATTGAAGGCCACACACTCCACGGTCATCCTGCGATTGGACGGCCCCACGGTCAGCACGCTCTCCACCTCCACCGCCCCGTACTCCTCCCTCTGCACCTCTACGGTGGGCGCCTGCAACGGGACGGGCATCTGTGTGCTCGAGTTATTCTCCTTACACCTGTGAAGAAGAAGCAAGACACATGACTGACATCACATATCAACAAGTTTTCTTATAATGATAATGGTATATGATAAGATTGAGATTGAGATGAAGAGATCCTTTAGTTGTCCCAGAGTGGGTGAAATTTCAGTGTTGCATCACCGGTTACTGCACAGAAGGACAACAAACAATAACTCTAATCTAAAAGGAAATAAAGTAAGACCTCTAACTTTAGCATTATAAAGAAGCAAGTATGCAATATTTATAAGGAAGCAAATCTGATATCACCAACTTTAGCATAACAAAGAAGCAAGCGTTAAGAGTTAATAAGGTTTTCATGGCGATACCTATACAATGAAATAATAGGATAATGTTAACATGCTTTGATTCTAACTGTTTTAAACATTTAGGGAAATGGCACAGCCTTGAGGGATGCCTCTACATCACAGTCACAACAATCACATAGTGCATACGTAGAATATCGTTAAACCAAAATGTTGAGTACCGTACATATCAAAATATTTGTTTAGTTTGTTCACATGAAATGCTACTCACGTGGGCCTGATCCCAAAGCACTGGTACCAAATGATTCTAGGGGCCGGGTACCCAAAAGACGTGCAAGTGAGTGTAGTGACATTTTCCCATCGAACCACAGCAATAGGTCTCTCTGTTAGACAAAGAAAGATTCATCATTTGGATGTTTGTTCGAAGGTTTCCCTGGTTTGTCATGGGGATTACTTACGATACATTTGAACTTGGAATGTGATCGATGCGTTGGCCAAGTTGTTCTCAGCGTAGAATGTGTACTGGCCCTGTTCATGAGCGTTCATTCGTTTGAGTTGCAGACTAGCATAGTACCTACATTAAAAAATAAACATAAATAACAATTCATGATGATTCAATAGTATGGTTAAATAGAGAAATATTGTCAATCCAAACAATTGAAAATGTATATACATTGTGTAGTTTTGATGACTGGTAAAGTGTACCTGTTGTTGTATCGTATGAACTTGTTCTCCTGTGTGGAAGAGTTGGGGGTGGTTGGCGTGACCCACTTGTGCTCCGTAATGTGAGGGTACGCTTCTACAACCACGCTGAGCTCCAGGTCCTCGCCCTCATTCACCTCCACAGACAAACCACGTTTGGCCAATTTCGGGGAGAGTTGGGGTTGTAGTCTTATGTAGGGTTTGTCTGTTGAAGATTACACTCGTTTATCACGGTCAATAACATATTTGAGCTTCTTCATAGAGTGAGTGCTGACCTACTACCAGCAGGTATGTGGTTGTGCTGTTCACTCCAGCCTCATTGGTGCCGATACAAGAAATGTTCCCTGTATCAGTGAGGTCCACTGATGAAATGGTCAATGTGCTTTGGATGTCCAGTCTGTTTTCTCCACTTGATTTAACCGTTTCCTCAATAATCGGCTTCTAAAGACAATAAATAACAATAATTATCCAATGAAAATTGTTCTTTTAAGTAATCTGCATTGTACTGACTGATTTAGTTGTGTATTTCCAGGTAACATTATAATTGAAGTTGGGGTTGTGTGTGGTGCAATGAATCTTAAGTTCCTCCCCAACAATGCGGATGTATTCATCAGTGTCCAAGAAGACATATGGAGGGAAGCGAAGCTCTAGAAAGAAAGAAATAAAGAAAGATTACACTCAAAGACGCTTCACATGTGTCATTATTCTTTCACTCCATACACGGTGGTGATGAACTACTACCTAAAGTCTTATTCTGAACTTGTGTCTGTGGTTCTAAAGTCTAAAATATGATGGTATGTGTCATATCTTTTACTAAACGTAGTTAGAGCGAAACATGGATTCATGGTTCAATGACAGTTGTTGTGTTTTCTGCTGAATACTGGGTTGAAACTCGTGAAATTGGTTTTAGTTGGAGCTTGATAGAACTAATTTCATGGAACTGGCGCTGGTGTCTTCTCTGTTTGTTTGGACCTTCTCTGAATAAGTCAAAGATCGTAGGGACTGCTGTTTACACTCTTCTTTTTGTAACTTTCATTGCTGCATCCCGGGGCCGTACAAAATACACCCATTTTAAGGTTATTTGTGTCAAAGCGGCAGCAGGAGCAATGACATAAACAGTGAGGCGGGAGCTGCGACCCCTCTAAGTACGTCATCATTTTTCTGGCCAATCAGAGGCGTTGATATTAAAAAGTTATTTTATTGATTTATTACTTATCTATAACAAAAAAACACATCGCAAAGGTGGGAAATACATGCTTTTAATGTGTTTTATCCGAAAAAAAAATAGTTAGTGCCCTTTTAACTAGTTCATAATCAATAATTGTGTAAATGTTACGCTTCACAAGAACAAGGAAGAGGAACATCATCTATGATTCTAATCACTCGTTCATTGTGCCATTACATAGGTCCTAATTGTCTCTGACAAACACTAATGAAACATAACCTCCTTGGCAGAGATAACAATGTTAAAAGGAATGTGGTAAATTTCTCAAAACGGAACCAATAGACTGGAAGTAAGTATTCCAAAGTGGTTCAAGTATTCTGAATCCAGAATCTGAAATGGATAATCAGAAAGTCTTACTTTGGATCACATTGATGGAAAAGACCCTGGAGGTCTTCTCTACTCCGTTGACTCTGGCTGTGCACACATAGTCGGCGTTGAAGCTGGGGTGGAGGTTGTGAATGAGAATGCCACGGTGCTTGTACACTGTATAGTTCATTCCTGGAGGGACAGTGGTGCCGTTGTCCATGCGGAGACCTACGTCTGTGGCCGAGGGGTCAGTCAAGAGACAGGGCAACATGAAGTCCTCTCCCTCCTTTTTCACAATACGAAGTAAGTTGCTGCTTGCCCAAAACACTCTGTTAGGATCTGCAAAGAGATTGTGGAGATAGAATCTAATACTCTTTCTGAAAAAGGGAAAGTAAGATATCACGGGGAATATACACAGAAAGAATGTCAAGTTTACAAAGAGACACGAACAACGAGAGGTCAAAATGTACAGTATGTAATAGAAGAGTATATCTAAATCATGGATCTATAATAATAACTGGATAGGGTATTACTAGCTTAAAGCTGTCCCACCTATGGGCACAGGGGGCGCCCGTGGTACTGCAGACTAAATTCACGAGGGCTACCCAGAAAAAAGTCCCATAGAACTCAATGTATAGCTCAATCTCAGCTGACAGAGAACCTACAGCTTTCATAAAGATCGGATTTTGTGGGGATTTTAGTGTCCCTTGTCATCCTGAACTTTTTTTCTTAAATCCTTCTGCTTCCTGCCTTCCCGCTCTGGCTCCGCTCTTCCGCTGCTCTGATGATCAGCTCTGTTTGGTCAGAGCGCAGCCGAGCCCCACTGTGCACGTGCATGAAAGCCAAACACGCACGTTTGGGGCGACGCAGCGCTAATCGACTGCGCAGAACCGGGAGGACATGACAATGCCCAAATATAGGCGAGTTCAGCTAGTTTCCCGGTCTCCATGAAGTCCCATGCGCTACTGACATGGATCTATTATAATAACGGCTACTGAGCACAAGATTATAATAGATCCATGAGCACAAGCCATTCATTTGAATAGGGCGCCATCTTGGATCGCCGGGGCTTGATCTAAATTGAGTAAGTGAGGGTGGAGAGTTGGTTGATAAGGCACTTTTCTGGTACTTCTACCTTAGGTATATCTGGAAATATTGTCATGTCAAACCCCACACACAGAATCTCTGACAGCTCCAAACCACATCTGACTTCTGATCAGGTCAGGCATCTACTGTCATTAGATGTTGTTATCAATGTGTTTTTATGAAACGTATTACCGAATGCTACTTAACAAGAAAAGTGGAGCTGGAATGGAATTGTGAGATATGATAAGTTGCAGCACATATCATATGCCTTATCATACAGGACAGAGAGCACACAAAATAAGTTAGTAGCTGCTAAGTTTCTTAGCTTGCTGTAAATGCTGTAAATTCTTCCAAACCAGTCTTTCAACAAACAAACAAATGTACAGGCTCAGCAGTTCTCATTGTACAGTCTGACAGCAGCAGGAAGGAAAGACCTTCACACATCACTGTCGGTAGCCAGAACTCTGCAGTTGTTAAATTACTAAGAAATACATGAAAAAATATGATTGTTCTGAAGCAAAATCAGAAGAAAATCTCTCCTGCATTAAAAATCAGTTTGCAAATGAAGAAAATTATGACACGTGTAAATGAGCCTCGGTGCTCAGATTTTAATGTATTTCTCGAGTTCTTAAGCATTCATGCTTTAGGGATTTGTTGCAGCCAGAGGCACAGGGGACATTTCACGGATACATAATACAAAGAAATTACACAAAATTATGCATTTTATTCTCTCTTTTTGTTATGACATTGATCCTCCATCAACATCAGATCTTCACACTAATGAGAAACTTCTGGCACCAACAATTCTACTGCATCTGTTTACTCCTCTCAAGGAAGGCGTTGAGGATTTGCAACAACTGCTCTTTTTTTACTCGACAGAGCTGTCTCACTTCCAAAATTTCAGTCTTCTGGGTTTCACTAAAACTGAGTTTCTAGGCACCGATTTCCAGTCAGTGTCACTACCAACCTCCAATGATATGAAACCAAAACTGCGTAAAATGTAAAGATACAGTACATCCCAGAGTGCACTGCCTGTGAAGGTTTCTATCTTTCATAAAAGTCAGTATTGTATAATACTACCCTATGTGATCATTTTACCCCAAATATCAGATTTTTTCTGTCATTCAAATTTAATTTGGCCCTGAGAGGGTTAAAAGCTCCTGTCTCAGTTCTTTAATAGATTTTAAGTTCCGTTTAAAAACCACACTATCCAGTTCCTTTTTTTCTTGTATAGCCCTAAATCACAACAGTAGTTATCTTGGAGGACCCTCGTGCATCTGCAAGGAACTCTAAAACCCTGTGGGGAAACTATTTTCACACTTTTTAAACAAAAGTATGGTTTCTCAGGTAAAATTATGTTCTGTACAATTGCGTGACTCTGTTGCAGCTGTTGATTTTCAACTGGTGAAAACACGCAGAATTCTCTTCTTTCTGGTGGTAGATTTGTAAGTTGCAAGTAGATTGCTTTTTTTGTTATCATACTACAACATCAAATGACAAAGTGAATAGTGTGATTATTATTTCTAATGCCATTCCTCCATTTTCTTCCTCTTAGTCCATTTCTGGGTCAGGGGGGAGGTAGTCAGAGCTGCACCCAGTACACACAGCACCAGCCCCTCACTGATCCTCCTGCAGGTGGTGAGTCCACAGGAGCTGAGATCTTTCAGTGGGGGCTTCAGGAAAATTGGGGTTAAATGTCTTGCCCAAGGACAAAACAACAGCAGTCATCAGAGGAAATCGCGAAGTAGGCCTTGTGGTGAGCTCTAACCTTCAGGCCTAAAGACCAATGCTCTACCAACTGAGCCACTATTATTTTGAATGGTCAAGCATAATGCATACTAATAATCAATTAACAAAACAGCATATTTATGGGGATAAGGATTTCAAGCACTCGTGAATGGATTCTGTCAGGAAACTGAAATTGTCTTTTTAAAACTGTGTGTGTGTGTGTGTGTGTGTGTGTGTGTGTGTGTGTGTGTGTGCACTTGTTTTAAACTCCTGGTGGGTTCCATAACCTGAGATTCCACTCACGTCATGGGGACTGGTTTTACGTGGTGGGGCCCGAACACCGGACCCCACTGGTCCAAGCTTAATAATCAATGGGTAATGCTTTTCTAACGGTCCTTATGCAGTCTCTGTAAAAATATGGAAAGGACCCCTGGAGGTTTACTTTCCTGAAAAAAGTGTGTTCTGTGTCGGAACCCTGGTGGTGGGTTGCGGGATATCAAGGAGGGGCACACTGGGGCAATTTCAGTCCAGCAGGCTGGAGCCAATCATGGAGCAGCACAACAGAGGAAATCAGGTGTCAGGCTAGAAAAGGTGCAAGTGTGTGGTTCATTAGGCTGCAAGAAATCATGGAGGAGCACACTGAAGCGCACGCTTACAAACCACTGGTAAGTGCTGACTACAAGTCATGACTTCAAATTGTTATATAGAATGATTACAAATTATTTGTTGTTTGTGCAGCTTAGTCAAGAGTCCCTAATTGATGAAGTCGACTCAGATTCTGACAATTTAACTGTCAAGAAGAAACCTGTAAAAAAGTATGGAAAAAGAAAAATCAAAAACACTTTTCTTCAAGACTCGGAAAGTGACGAACCAAAGGCAAATAAGATTGTTATCATGCAGCTGCAAAAGAAGAAAAATGGGGGGCGAGTTTATAGCAAGAGACACTTCTGCCTCTACTGTTCAATGTCCTGCCACAAAATGTCCCGTCATTTGACTAGAAAACATGGAAATGAAAGTGACGTAGCCAGAGCATTGGCTCTACCTGTGAAATCTAAAGCACGTAAACTTCAGTTTGATTTGATCAGGAATAGTGGAAACCGTGAGCACAATTTTGAGGTTTTAAAGGCCGGCATTGGAACTTTAGTCCCAGCTAAACAGCCAAATTGCCCAGTTAAATCCAGTGAGTTTTTGCACTGTATAGACTGTGGGGCATTGCTTAAGCGAAAGTCACTGTGGAGGCATGTGGCCAGGTGCCGGCTTTCACAGAAAGATGCCCAGGCTAAACCAGGTAGAAGTAGGGTCCAGTCCCTCTGCTCCTTAGCCCAGCCTGTACCGGAGGGCATCAGCAAAAAGCTGTGGTCTTTAATTTCGGCAATGCATCAGGATGAGGTCACGGGTGTTGTCAAAGCAGAAAAGGGGATTCTGAGACTCGAAGAGCACCTGTACTTAAAACACGGGCATGATAAGACTAAGCATGATTACATTAGGCAGAAAATGAGAGAAGTCGGTAGGTTAATTAACGAAGCAAAAACTGCAGGGAAACTGAAAACAATTAAGGATTTCTTTATTCCTTCCAACTTTAACCATGTGATTGATGCAGTCAGGTCTGTGGCTGGATATGATGAGGAAACAAATCAATACAAGACTCCATCCTTGGCCCTCAAACTCGGCCATAGCCTCAGAAAGCTAGCAGATATTCTTGAATGTGACTCAAAAATGGAGCATTGTGTTGAAACTATTTATTAAAAACCTCCAACGAAGCCGGCTGATTTTTGAGAAGAGGTGGGACGTCTGTGTTTCTTCTGCTGCCCTACAGACCCTCCGGCAAGCCAAGTGGAACACTCCGGACCTGCTCCCTCTGACTGAGGACGTTAGAGCCATGCATGCACATATTGAGGTATGTCGACCTGAATATGTGCAAACCCTAATAAGTGAGCCAACGTCTAAGCATTGGTCTAAACTGGCAGTTTTGACTCTTTGTGAGGTCATTATTTTCAATCGAAGAAGGGAAGGTGAGGTTTCAAAGATGCCACTGACAGCCTTTACCTTAAGAAGTAAGACTGGGATCCATTCTGACATTGCTCTGGGACTGTCCCAACTTGAGAAAAAGCTGTGTCAGCATTTTCAACGCATTGAAATTAAAGGGAAAAGAAGTCGGAAAGTGCCGGTTCTTTTGACTCCTGAAATGATTGCTTCGATGGAGGTGCTGGTGGAGAACAGAAGGGCCTGTTCCATCTCTGACCATAACCCATACTTCTTTTCCCGCCCGGGCGCAGACACCCACATCAGGGGATCAGACTCCCTACGCCAGGTAGCCAAAGAATGTGGTGCGGTGCATCCAGAGATGCTATCCTCAACCAAACTTAGAAAGCACATAGCTACTATGTCTACAGTTCTCAATATGAAAGAGAATGAAATGGACATACTAGCCAACTTCCTCGGCCATGACATTTGCATCCACAGACAATATTACAGACTACCAGAGGGGACACTGGAGCTGGCCAAAATCAGCAAAGTGTTGATGGCCATGGAGCAGGGAAGAGTGACGGAATTCGAAGGAAAGAGCCTCGACCAGATACAAATTGAGCCTGAAGGTAATTCTTGATATTATTAAAATATGTATGATTTTTTTCCCCTAAAGGCCACTTGTATTTTTGTTTTCTGTGCGACAGGGAGAGCAGTAGAGATCCTCTCACAAACGGACGGGCTAAAAGAAACTTCAAGCGGAGAACCTTCAACCATTCATCCAGATGCACCCCATGGTAGTGGCAGTGCCCCTTCTGGTAAGTGTACCAGGTGGGGGATTACAGCCAGGCTGCTTGGTCCTAACCCTGGGAGTGTATATTGCTAATATATTTTTATTTCTCTCCCTAGAACGTGTAAGAAAGCCATGGTCTGCATCTGAGGTGAAGGCTGTGGAGAAGACCATGACGCCTTTCATACAGACTGGAAAAGTCCCTGGGAAGTCTCACTGCCTGGCCTGGCCTGGCCTGCATTAATGCCTCACCAGATGACCTTAGACATCGGACATGGAGTGGCATTAAATTCTATGTCAAAAATAGAATCACTGCAATTCGAAAAAAAAATCTAAAATAAAATTCCTTTAAAATAGTTGTTTGGTTTCTATTGACTGTTTTGTATTACTTAAAGTAGTCCCAGTAAAAAAAGATTATGTCTATGGGTCCCATTCTGAACGGCCCTGTCAAAGGGACCCACCAGGTAACAAAAACGTGTGTGTGTGTGTGTGTAAGCTGTCCTCGGCTTCTCTGTACTTACCTCTGACATACACGTGCACAGAGGCGGTGAGGTCTCGCTGCTGTGGTCCGCTGGTGTAATAACAAACGTAGGTCCCTGTGAACTCAGCAGAGGGACGGTCCACCCGCAGAGTCTGGACACTGCCCTTCAGTCTGGAGATGTAGCGCCGGTGCTTGGACAGTCGAGGCCTCCAGTTCACCGGCCCGTTGCCCTCACAGCGCAGGTCCAGGGGCGAGCCCAGCCTCACCACCACCTCAGGACGCGTCAGCACTTTGGAGTTAAACTTGATCACAGGACGCCTCCACTCCGCTGGAACAAAGAGCATGACGTTCAGATGTTTCATTGATTGTTTGTATTCTAGGAAGAAGAAAATGTACTGTGGCAAAGCTTAAACAACTTGAATTTTTGCACCTTTTCTTATTTCTTAATAACCACAAATGTACATTTAATTTTTTTTTATCTCTGACTGACCATAACAAAGTATCAAAGAACTGTGAATTGAAAGGTGATACTTTGTGAAACCTATTTGGGTAGGACTCTAAAAACTTCTTTAAGCTAAACATCAAGACTGAAAGCTTTGCCCATTCATCTTTACAACTCAACCTCTGTCAGATTAGCAGCATGAACAGTTGTCAGGCCTATCCGCAAGTTTTCAATTGGATTTAAAATGAATTAATATGTTGTTAGGATTAGATAGCAATATGGCCTACGTGCAGGACTATTTTGACTACGATGTGCACTGTCTCTGTGTGATACGTACGTCTTTCGATGTGTGACGTGACATTGACTATATAAACTGTGTACTGACTCCATTTTGTATGAGAGAAAAACAATTGAAACCACTGGAACTTGAGAGAAACTTAAATAAACTTCCAGAGTTTGGGGCACCATGATCCGTCTCTGTCTGCTTCATTCCTGACAATGTTTTGTTTTACAGTTGTCCCTCCTTTATTAAGGGACTATAAAAAAAATAGCCCGCAATAAGCAAAATCTGCAAAGTAGCAGTTACATGTTTTACGGCTGTAAAATCCCTCACACACTATTTTCTTGCCACATGAACTCACGACTCCTGAAGTGCAATAGCAGAGATATCAAACCTGTTCATTATAGTCTGGCTGCTGCAGCTGTAAAAAGCAGTGCACACACTGTAAAATACTGCTGTAGAGGACACTGAGGGTCAGGAGCAGCAGGTCTGAGGGAAGACCGCTGTGGTCCTATGAACTAATCACTGCAGTGCACACAAGCCACAACGGTTTCTTCTGACTAACTGTCATGTTTTCTTTGCAGTTATATGATGTTGGAGTAAACATGTGGAAAAGGAGCAGCACACTGTAAAATGAGCATGCAAAATGTCACCCCCCGCCCTAAAAGCTGAACTGCGTAACAGCAAGGGACCACTGCAAATCATTCCATCGTGTGAAATCTCTTCATATTGACTTGTCCTGATAGTACGCACACATCCACTTCCATCAACGCATCACTGTCCCTGCTGAAGAAAAGCAGCCCCACAGTATGAAGCTTCTCTATTTGACACTGGGGACGAACGCTGATGGTGCAGGGAGGAGGATTCGTTTTTCACCTCACATAATATTTTGGTTAATGTATCTTCTTCCACATGTTGGATGAACATGTGCTTCTTGTGGCTTTATTTCCACACTGTGATATTCATTTACCACTCGTCTGTAAAGGCCAGATTTGTGAGGTGTATGACTAATATTTGCCTCTTGTGCAGATTCCCTCAGAAGTTGGTGGCTCCTTCAGAGTCAGGACGGGCACATGGTTGCATTTTTTTTTTTTCAACTTTCATATTGTAATAGAAGTTTGGCACAACACTGTTGGTCCATTTTTAGCTGTACTTACAGCTAAACTTGATTGGATTAGTGTGATTGGAATCTGCTGAATGAGCTCATTTCTGTGGTTGTGACAGATTATAGCACGTCTTATCTCCCAGCATTTAGTTGTATGAACAAATACATACAAACTAAGTCCTCACATGGGTCACATGTGAAACTAATATTATTATTTAACTTGAATAGAATGCTAGGTTGATTCTTGTTTCTTTTTTTCTTTTTCTTTTTTAATTTTTACATAACTAGATCAAAACAACGGTCTATTTATTCCAATCCTTAAGTGGTACATTTTAAGGTGATGCTCTCGCCTGAAGGCACAAAGACACTAGTTTTAGTGAAAGTGAACAAAGATGTTTTTGAAGACGTCTGAAGTTAAAATGAAGCAATAATTGTGTTTGAAGTGTTCTGAGGATAAGGGCTTTCCTGTAATGGCTCAGTGATGATTGTAAATATGGATCATTATAAATATTGTCATAAATCAGCAACAGTCAGAATAATGTGTATTGAGCAGAGTAGACAACTCAGTCCTTCATGATTCATGATTATATAGAACAGCCAGGACTGCATTCATGTCTATTACAAGACTCTGAACAGCATCTTTTCTCTGATGAGCACTGGTCTCTCCGTGATGTGCTCTATCTGCAGCTTTGCTTTCATTAAACACATGTCCTTATTATCTCGACCCTTTCAGTATTAGTATTATTTTTTTCCCAGACAGCAACAGGGTTTCTAATCAAACATGTTTGCCCTTTCACATTTTACAGAAATGTAGAAACAGCTTTCAGTCCAACACATCAAATAGTGGCTCACAGGGAGACGCATTCTTACAAGTTAGCTAAAGATAATTTTTCTAACACAATAACAAGAAACAAAAATATCTTATTTTTGAAATAAAAAATAAAAAATGGTAACAGAAGTACATCAAAACAAGAACCACTGTAATGTAAGTGATGATTCATAATTGTATATAAAAGATAAAAAACATTTGAAAAAAAGGATTGCATTAACGACAATGATGAAATAGATCACAGGGGTAGAATTAGATGATTTCAGGTCTTATTATGAGCATCTAGTCATATAAGATTATGATTAAGAGATCCTTTCTTCGTCCCACTGTGGGGAAATTTCTGTGTTGCATCACAAGATATAGAACGGTAGGAAAGAGGAGCACACGGCACAAGATAAGTGAACAATAGCTATACTAATTAAATCTGAACAAAATCTCTAACTATAGCATCAATAACAAGAATAAAATCTCAATCTTGAAAATAATGATAATTAAAAAAAGAAAATGAATTTACACATTCACCCATTACATTTGTCAGCCGAGTTACGCCTATATTTTCTCCTATATCAGTTATAAAACATCACTAATCCTCCAACCTGCGGGTGACAGAGAATCCCCTTCTCCACGGCAATACAAGGCAAGTAGTGAACAGTGGGAGCAGTTTGGGAGCAGTGTGGGCCTTACCTGAGGCAGCAGAGGCGGATAGTCCCAGCAGCAGAGTGACAACAGCCAGCATCATGGATCAGCTCAGCCCTGTGTGCTGGGACACACTTCTCTGTGCTACCACTTCTACAACAGGAAATACTGCATCAAACACACTCAGACTTTCTTCGGCAGACAGGACTCATGACAAACAGTGCAAGTTTTAGGAGTTTTTTGTGTGTTTTGTTTTGTTCTTTTGGAGTAGTACTCACTTGCTATCCCAGTGCAACAGCTCAGTGCTTCAAATGTTCAAATGAAGAAAAAGAGTTTACCATGAATGTCCCGTTCTGCCTGCTTTGCTCTCTCTTGTTTTCAGCCCTGTTTATCTTCCCAGTCACAAAGTCACAGTGCAAACATGAAATCAAACAACAAGCTGGTGGACTGGAGGGTGGAGTGTGAGGAGGCGGATCGTCACATCATGTTCAAGAAATTAATGAGCTGCAGCCAATTTGGTCCAGAGCGCGACTGCCCCCGGGACCAATCCGTTGCTGCTGGACTGAGACAACGCTGTCGGGAACTAGATTTTTTGGGTAGTTTTAGCAGTAAAGATGTCACATTATCTGAACAGTGTTCTCTGAGCTGGTGATAGACTGTTGATAGTGTTCTTGTCATCAACATGTTTCCACAAAACTAGAGGCGCCTTTAACATCTGGAGCAGTCCTGTGGATGGACTTCAATATGTCTCTTTTTATTGTTCTGTGCAGATTGGACCTGCCTGTGTGTATGTGTGTATGGGTGTATCCTGTATGTGGGTGTATGTGTGTGTGTGAATATTGCTGTTTAGAATAAATGTTAAAAAAGAGCAGTTTAATATCCTTATTATTGCATGTTTGGTTGAACCCATGGTCCAAAACATAGTGTACCTTTGGGACTGATTTTTGGGAATATTTGTTTTCCCTCCCCATAATCAAGCACAGTGCCACTGATAGCAATACTGTAACTTTATTGTCATTGTTACAGTCACATAGAAAAATACATTTATATGTACATGTATTAGGAAGAGCTTTGGTACAAGAGCGTCTCTTACAGTGATTGTGCATTCATAAAGAATAGTACGTACACAACAGAAGTGAGTGTTACATTTCAGAGCATTTATGTACAAGAGGAGCAGGGTGAATGTCATCAGCTGCGAGATACAGGCCATGTTTGTATTCAGGTTTTACAAAAGGCAAAAGGCAGTGATACGCTGTTTACCTGAGACACACACCTTCACAGAAAACAGCTGTTCATTCTTCAGAACAACCAACTCGTGAAGTAGGTGCAGAAAACTGTATCAAGATATGTCATAATAAAGTGCAAAAATATGTGTAAAGTGTATTCTACTTCAACAACAGTGAGAAAATAACATTTTATTGGATGAAAATAGCTTTAAAATAGACTGGGACGACTCGATAAAATTCACCGAATTCATAAATCAGTGCATGTGCAGTCTATCTGTTACATTGTTTCAGAGAAATAACAAAACAAGTATAATACAAATGCTACAAGGGTAGAATGAAAGAACATCACAAACGCGCTTTTCCCTGTATTTTAATTCCGATATTTCAATGTACCATTAGTGTTTCTCACATCCGTGACTGAAACTAAAGTTGTTGTATCTTGCAGTTTCAGGAAAAGTACTGTAAGTAATTTATCATACCAAAAGTGAGATTAAAAACGGGTAACAATCTATTCTAGTGCTTCGTGGAAAGACACAAAGATGGATTTCTCAGCGGCTACATTCTACTTTAGTCTCATTTCAAAGTATTGTCTGTAGAAAAAGGCTCATTTGTAGGGTTGTCCCACTGGGCGAGAGACTAGAGGAAGCTGTCTTCTACCTCAGGCGTCTCGGAGCGCCCCAGTAACGCCATGCGCTCGCTGCCCTCCTCCAGCCGCTCCTCTTCGGGGAGGCTGTCCATGGAGTCCGTCTCCACTTCCTCCAGAGCCAAGGAGCTGCAGACAGGAGACACCCATCTTTAAAACTCTGTCTCATATGAGTCACACTAAAAACAGAACCGTAGTTTATTTATACATGTCCCAGTCTGCTGGAGGCCATCTTCCCCTTTTCCACAACATCTCTCACCACTCTAGCCTAAATTATCTGTTAACCTCATTAACACTAATGTATTTTTGCATAAATATTCCAATGTGCTTTTTAACAGCAATTGGCAAATACACAGAATCTAACCTTTCCTCTCCTCACAAAGTGTTTTACATTTTAATTATTCAAGATCTTTTGTTCCTGTAACCTGTAAAACACAATTTCATGGAACAAAATAACAGTTTTGATGATGCAAACGCTTAACATCTAAAGTTTAAACTGTACAATTGGAACGATTTGGAACAAAAACTAAACTAAAAAAACAACTATACAACTATACTATAGTGTATAAGAGCTATACAGTAGAACACTAAATGAATACATTATATGGTATCAAACACTCTCTGACCCTACACCTCTCTCACACCACTGTTCTCTCTCTCATCCTTGAATGTCTTCAGTACTTTTTTTTTACACAATTGGAATTTATTCTTGTGAAGCCTTTGAAATCACCAACACAGTTTAGAGAATCAACAGTTACCCAAAAAATAGAAAATAGGGTTTACAAATTGTTTGTTAGTCTATTTCAAAGAGTAGAGTCACACACTGTTTTCAAAGTAGTTTTAAATGAACGTTTGTTTCCTCTTTGTCTATAATCACAGTGAGCATCTCTACCATGGAATATGTTTTGTACATTAGGTGCAGGTTTTCAGTTGCCCTGAACATGATTTGAGCAGTGTTAAAGTTAAAGGTCCCATCTCAAGCTTTTTCACTTTTCTCTGCTTTAAACATGATTACAGTGCTATTCCGCCTCATACACAAGCCCAGAGTAGTTTTTTCATTGATTTTGTCAATCTTTAGTTAGAGAGCGATCTGTCTCCTTCACGCTCGAGAGGCAGTGAAACGCTCGGGTCCACATCTGTGACGATTACCACTCTGATGACGAGTATGACGCACCCGTTTGCTTTGTATTTTAGTTTTGTCAAAACAAGGTAAACAATACACAATAAGTATGCCGTTTGTTGTCAAAAAAAATAATGCAAAAAATAATACTAAAAGCCGGGAGGTGATTGACAAATCGAAACAGCGAATTAGAGCGCGCAGCCAGTTCCCAAGTCCGGCTCTCGAGTCCAGCGTATCTCTGTGGTTTGGTCCCGCGGACACCACATGGAGCTGCTGTTTTTCTGCTTTTGTCAGCGACTAAAAGTGTTAGGATCACGTCAACTTTGAGATAATGTGTTTTGGGTGTAAATATGTGTCGCACTATTTGGCCCGAAGAGAAAGAAAGCGGCTCGACTTTTTTCCTGTGGATTTGCCTCTGTTCCAGAACTACAGGGACAATGGAACTGGACTTACTCAAAAACTAATCTGGAAACATGTGTTATTCCCACGATAAAAGACGTTTATTTTCATGTCTGAAATGACTATGTACCAGAGATAAACAACTGGCAGCGTGATGCTACGTCTCCGTGCGGGCAGGGGGAGGCGGGGCTCACAGAGTCGAGGTGACGTCACCTCTATACAAGAGTATAGCTATAATCTATAATCTCACAAGTTTTGAGTGTTGTATGATGTATCACTCAAATTATCACACATGTGCATATGATTGACTGTGAAACATAAAGAAAAGTGTAATATGGGACAGTTAAAGGAGTGGTATGTTAAAAATCTGGCCAAAAGTGGTACTGCAACTTCTCCCAGTCTCCCTGACTCAGGTTGCCAGATAAGCAGACAAATAAACAAGAGCTTTGTCAAGTCTATAACCAACACCTTTTTCAAAAAGGCCCCGATAAAAATCCTTGTTTTCTTACTTGTTTTGTCATTAATGATTTGAGAATCATAACAAGACCTTTTTTAGTTCTGCGCCCACATGTTACTTTACCATTCGTGACATTAGTTCAGCGCCGTGTGTTCTAGTGCCCGGATCACAGACTTTCTGATTGGTAAAATGGTGGAGATCAAAATGAAAACAATAACAGGATTTAGGGGTTGTAAAACCAATTCTGAAATTCCAAGGCTGAACTATTGTTATCAGCTAAAGATGAATTTGAAAAGAGCATGTTTTATTAATGCATTTTGACATATTAGGGTCATTTAATTATGACTTGACATAAAAATCTTACATATTACTACTTTAAGTCCTGTAATTTAACTCCATGGACAGTGGACATTTTAATACATTGTTATTTTTCCCAGTTTCCCCACACTTCCACATAATAATGTAAATATATAGGGAACTCAAAAATAGAATAGCAGATACAACATTATGAATGAACGATACTATCAGAGCCATGTTTTGTGGGTGTCTACATGTATATTAATAAAAGCGTTGGTGCGTGTTGAGCTGCAGCAGTTTGTCCTATGGTTGAACTTTAATTGTATTACACAGATGGAAGTACTAGTCTGATTAATCCGATATGAGAGGACAAATAAACATCTTTTTATCTTGGTTTTCAGATGTCACCAATCATTTGAACGTACAATAGATCTATTATCTTTACAAGGAGTAATAAATCTGTCTCAAATGTATAGTATAAACAACATCAAAGACTACATGTGGCAAATCTGCTTCCAATAATAAGATCTTTGTGAGTGTAGCATCTGCGTGAGTGGGCGTGTGGTCATTCACTTTAGGAAAACAAGGCCGAATCTGTAGAGCACACTATTTGTCTTTGTCTGTGTGGGGAGTGCCGGTACCTTGTCGGGCTCTCTGATGGGACATCCGAGAAGCCATCCTCTGGTTTGGGGTCCGGGATGGGGATGATGTAGTCGTTGTAGGAGGGCAGCGTGTCCCGTGAGTCCGCCTGCTGCTGCCTGAGGGTCCAGGGGTCTTGGCTGTGGCTCAACGGAGAGGAGCGGTGTAGAGGCGACGCTGACCTGAGGGATGCGGGGAGTCTGGGTTTGGCCCGGGACACTGCAGGGTGCTCGCTCTTCATGAAGTTGTCGTTCACCTGGATGTATTTCTGTTCAGAGAGAAGAGGGTTCATAATTGTGTTCTAAGCTCATTGCAGCCCCCTGAAAAAGCTAGTTTTATAATAAATAAACTGGTTTGTTGTCTGTGTGTAAAGATTGAATTCTCAGCCATTGTGACACCAATCAGTAGATTACGGTATTTACTCGGGCTGTAACAAGTTAAATTGATCAGTCACAACTAATGGATTATTATAATAGTTATGGTTGTCAACTAATTTAGAAGAAGAATAGGTTGTGTGACTCCAGGGGCATCACTTGAGCTTTGTTTTGGTCACATGTATTTAAAAAGATCCCATATTCACTGAGCTATAGGGATCTGAACAGCTAATTCACCAAGATGTTATGAGTTACAGCCCTGTTAAACAAAGTGATAACAAATATATACTTTGATAGAAATGCTCTCATGAATAGTTTTCCGTGTGCAAAAATACTTTTTTATTCTTATCTTATCATATATGTTCTGGTTGGGATTGTCTTTTTTTCAGTGTTACTGTATTTCTTTGTTAATGTTAAATTTTGATGTGTTTTTTTGTCCTTACTAATGAAAAAAGGAAAAAGGGGGTAATTAAAACAGACTTGAACCATGGGTTGACTCTCATCAGTAAACTATGGACTACATGGATTATAAGTTTAACAAGTTTATTATGTCATAAATATTGTACTTTCAGGTTTCTTTTCATGATTATTGTTTGGATTCAAGTAAATTTAGTGTAATTTTGTCAACAGTTGTCTCGAAGGACTTTACAAAGTTGTCAATTGCCAACAAAAGATCAGAGAATCAAACATTCAACGAACACAGGAAATGTAACAATTGCAGAGTGGAGCCATTATGAATCTATTTGTACTGATAATAATAATACAATAATAAAACATAATAGTTCCCCTCAGCTGACTGTTATCTAACTGACAAACCTACGGGACGATGACACTAAAGACACCAGTAAAGATACAAATGACACTAAAAACTAATATTCATTTTGTTGCGTTGACGTTTGTGGCCATTCGGTTTCATGTGGTTGGACACAGATATGATTACCATAAAACATATTTATGACCCATGCTTCATTAAGGCAGTATAAGTGAATTCTTTCAAAAAGGTCCTCCATATTGTCTCTAGGGCTTTAGAAAATAATGATGTCACATTTTTGCTTCTTATTCGAATATTGCTTCTTTTCAAAGGCCTTGTGTCAACAAAATGTCATGTGACCGTTTTCTGCTTCAGGGGCCGAATTTGACCAATTAGTGACACCTCTCTGTCTATGGTCGACATCTTTGAGCATTGAAGTTGGAGATATATAACTATGAATGCACCTTGTCTGTGCAGTTTGTTGTAGCCTGGAGTGATTTATTTGTAGAGATAATCTGGGTCATAAAAATCAAATCAGAAATCAATATTAGACATACAAAAAATGTGAATTGTTGAATCAATTTTTGGCTTTGTTCACACTTGCACACACTTCAAATGAAAGTCAGGTCTACAGCAATAGTTTGTTGCTGTAAATATCCTGGTCTTAGGGTTAGGGTTAGGACAGGGAGGAGGGATACTGTCTGGAGGCGTGAGAAAGTCTGGGTGAATGCAGTAATAGTGAAATAAAATTACTCAACAACAAAGAGGTCAAATTTGTGGCATTTTGTTGCAGATAAAGAATAACAAACATGTGGAGGGCACGTCTGGCGGTCAGTCTACCTTCTTGTAGCTGTCACTGAGCATGGTTCCGACGCTTTCCACCAGACTGGAAAACTCTGGCCTCTTCTCGTACTTCTCGTCCCAGCACTTCTTCATGATCTCATGTCTACAACACAGCAGTGACTCAGTAAAGGAGGGTGGAATGTTCTCTCTCAGCATACATCATTCATATAATATAAACATTTGCTAATAGTGGTTAAAATATCTTTTCGCTGGGCGTCGGGGTCCGCTTCGCCCTGTCCGTACTTATTTTCTGATAATGACCTGCGTAATATACATTATCCCTTACTTAAGGTTATCCAAACTATTATCAGTGAAGATAGGTCCTCACATCACATGGCCAATGCAAATGGGAGAATGTGTGTACAAAAATGATAAATAAATATAAATATGGAGTGGGATTACTTAAGTTATCTTCTTCACACTCCCTTTCAGGCAATTTTTTTTTTAAATTCTTTTTTCTGTGTTGCCTGCAAACTGCAAAGGATATTTCAAGACTCAACTAAAGAAGCATTTGTAGGCAGGCTTTCTCGCCTCTACATAGGCATATGTGTACCGTGTTACTATAGTACTGTATAAATAGCATGCTTCTGTACAAATAAAGGTATTTGGTTCGCTTCGAAACCAGACAATAGTAAGTTGGCAATGTTATTACCTTGACATGCTTCTATCTGTGCCTTTTTTAATTGATGTGTATGTGCATTGTTTCAATGTAATTTAAACGCTTTATGTTCCTGGTCTGTGAAATATGTTACTTACTTACTGGGCCTACAGTGTCAAGGTAATTTCCAACGTTTTCACATATTGAACAGAGGAGAAAAGTGGATGGATAATTGAAACACTTTACATAATGAGCAATGGTTTTGTACAAATAGGGCTAGGACCCAAAACTCATGTGTTTTGGGTGCATTCGGCTGTTCTTTGTACAGAGGTCAGCTGTGCTGTTTTCTGGGTGGTGTGTACCATGTTCAGTGGTGTTTAATATGTTTTTTGCGTTGTGACTTGATTATTACTCGTTCATCTTGTTTCTGTGTGAATAAGCGTCCGATTGTAATAAATTATATTCAGGTTCTCTCTTATCTCTTCATGTCTGTGTGTGTGCGTGTGCGTGTGCGTGTGTGAGCGTTCATGAACAAAATCCCCTGGACATTGTAGATGACCACTAATTGGCAGAATTTGACAGATAATGCTTAAATCAGAGGTGTCCAAACCGGTCGAGAAAGGGCACAGCGGGCTGCAGCCAAAGCGGCCCTTTCTGGACCGGTTTGGACACCTCTGGCTTAAAAAGTTGCAATCCCAACATCACAAAATCCACATCAAATAGTCCATGTCCCACAAGAGCGTTTCCGTGCCCAGGCCTTTGTGTGTGGAAACATTTACAGTCTATGGTGGGAACACAGCGATATTGGGGGTGCCCATGTGTTTTATAGTATGTATCTTTTTGCAGGGATAATCATGAGCTTTAACATGAACTCTTCCTTGCTATTAACATTGTTTGTATGTATTGACTTGTGGAGCTGACTGTCTTAACTGTTATTTACTCATTTACATAAACAAAGCCATGATTGTAAATTAACCCTTGTGTGTACCTGTATTCCAGAGGGCATAGTATTATCAACATTTTCATTTATTATTGCAGTGAAATATGGAACATATATTGATAACTATTGCTGTTTTTTGTTTGCATCAACAAGATGAGGATGTAGAAATCAGGAATGTCATGTGAAAAGTCTGTTAGCAGTCGCTTAAATGTAGTATTGAAAATGGGGGTGGTACATACACGCTTTTTGCTTCAGCCTTCTCCTTTTGAGCTTTGTTTCTTGAAATTATGTACTTGTAAAAATCTATTGTAAAAATACTCAAATAAACTACTACTGTACTACTACTATGTTACTAAGTATATACACATTTCTTTTCATATATCAAATAATACTGCAGATAATTATTAGACGGTGGAGCCTTCTCTGTGGCTGGACCAAAGCTAAAGAAGCCTCAAACTCCTCCTTCTGGTGAGTGTCTCGTCTTAAGACCCATTTTTAGGCTCTGGCCTTTAACATTGCGTGAGTTGGATGGTCCTTTTATTTTATTTTATTTTGTTTTGCTGTGTGTGTGTATATATCTATATTTATGGATTCATCCTATTTGATCATTTTAAATTAGTCTTTTATTGTGCCGCACTTTGGAAACTGTGTTTATGAAATGTGCTATATAAATAAAGTGGGTTGAATTGCAAGACTGAAATGTCACGGCCGAGGGAAGAATAAAGGTTCCCCTCATTTATGTGAATCTATGTTCTGATCTTCTTGATACTCACACTTGATCAGAAGCATGAGTCGGCTTGTTCATCCTGTAGCCTCTCTTCAGAGCGTTGTAGAACAGTTCATTCATGGGCAAGTCAGGATACGGTGTTCCGCCTGTGATAAAAGACACATGATTATTATCACCAGAAAACAGATTCATTTTGTCCTGGGACTTGGGTTTATTCTGACCCAAAAACAGGAGCGAATTGGTCTAAAAGTCGAGTGACTGTGAGATGGAAGCCGAGCAGCACAGAAGAGCTTTGGTAGTGTACAGTGGAGGGATTGTGAGATTGTTTTCCAGCGCTCAGGGAATATATCGCAAATGCACTTAACTGTCGTCTCTGTTTTTATGGTAGTTTGAGATAATCGTGGGAAGAGGGCTACAAAAAACGGCTCACACTACGCCCAACAAAGAATTTTTGATTTAAAAGCTTGACTGTGCCTAACGAGATTGAGTCGTCATGAGTCTTCAAACACCCATCCTCTTGTTATGTATTGTCTGCTCTAAAAACCTTTGAGTGAAGACTTGTATTGTTTAACACATGTCAAAACACACAATGTTACTGTGTCCTTGAAACTTATGTGGACATCGAAGCAGTTTCTTTCTTTCAATTATATATTATTTTGCCACTTTATCGTTCTCAATGAAAGTTAGACACATTTCTCTAATTAAAAAGCAAACAAAACTTGGGATTTTTTTTAGCCCACTCATCCAAAAAGGAAACAGATACATTTGAGGTAAAAAGCAGAACAATTGTTACACTGACCAAACTATAGGAATTATTTTCCCCCATGTGTCGAGGTTCTGGTCAATCCTTGTGAAACCCGTATCAAACCAATAGGTTTAAGGGCATGAGAATTTACAAAAAGCATTATAAAGCAATATGTGACGAGAGTGTGACTAACCCAGGGTGAAAATTTCCCATAGAAGGATGCCATATGACCACACGTCGCTTAAGGTGGTGTACAAATTATGGAAAATGCTCTCTGGTGCCATCCACTTCAGGGGCAGGAAGGTCTGGACAAAGCAAAGTGCAGGTGACAAAAGATGAGTGACGTACATGAGACAACTTAAAGCATTAAAGTACCAAGCTTTTTATTTTGTTTGTCCAAACATCAAAGAGTTCTGCTTAAGTAGCATTTTATAAACCACAGACCATTCCAGGATTTAGCTTATTATCTGATAAAAGCTGATGTAAAGATGTGACATAAAGACAACTAGTGAAAGATCCGAACTAGTGACATGGATAATTATTATGACGTTTTTTTGTGCTTACAAAGTTTGGTACCTAAAATATGATGCCTTTCTCTGGGCTTTTAAAAAGATTAAGCTGCTTTCTCTGCCATTTCATGATTGAGCATGTGAAATAACATCTTTGGTAGAAAATCTATGGTAACTCATGATGAAAAATGCTTACAGCCTGCCCCATCCCTATGCTATGAATGTGTTTGTTGTTTTGGTTTTTCAAATTTAAGAATTACTGGCTCCGAAAAGGGGGTTCCGTGTGATTGCAAAAAACGTCATTTTACTTGCAAATTTACTTTATACACAAAACTTTTTTACTTTCGTTTACTATTACATTGATGAAAGATGGTAAAAAACAAGGAAAAAAGTCAGATTTGCATAAAATTTATGATTGATGATCGCACAGCCGTATACTCACACTGCCTTTGGAGATGTAGTTGGAGTCATGCATAATGTCCCTGGCGAGACCAAAGTCACAAATCTTCACCAGCTTCCCTTCGCAGATTAATACATTTCTGGCAGCTAGATCACGATGGACACACTGTAGGAGCATAAACCGAAAATCAAAACATCTAATAAATACACTCTATTCATCACAAGCGTCAACTTGATTACGATAAGATAATGTGAAGTTGAGCATTTATGTACGTTTTTGGATGCCAGGAAGTCCATGCCCTTGGCCACTTGGTAACTGAACCCCAGCAGGTCATTGTAGGTGAGGGCCGGAGAGTCGCTGATGACCAGGTCCAAGCGGCCGCCACCTAGAACCATCAAAGGACAAGATAAGATGAGATAAGATACTCCTTTATTGTTTTCTATAGAAGAAATGTGTCTTGTGACAGGGGTTCACATGCTTTACACCAGTGTTTTTCAACCACTGTCCCGCGGCCCACTAGTGTGCCATATGATATTGTCTGGCAGAGGTATTGTGGCTCGTGAGAAGTGAAAATGATTGAGACGTTTTTGAAACAAAATTATGCTATTTCTGAACAGGATTTACATCCTCCTCTCTGACCCCGGGGCAGCTGTGGCCGCTTTGCTCTCACAGCCGCATTGACAACAAATCAGCAAACAATGTGGTACAGAGCGCGGACCGTGTCTCTCTCGTGTCTCTCCCGTGTCTCTTCCCGAAGCGCAACCAAAACTCACAAAATTAAAGCTTGAAGACCTTAATTTTTTCCATACATTAACAATGTATGTTATGTGTGCACAATAGTAAAATGTTGTGAACAAATCAAAGAGACACACAGGTTTTTTAATTGACTTTTTGGGCTAAGAGTGGATATTTTTATATTTTTTCCTCACAGTTAGAGCCACTTCATTCCCAAACTCTTGTTAACTCATTGTATTGAGAAATATTAAACATACAGTAGCCTGATGTCAAGGCCTGGATGTCTAAGCATGGTGATGTGCCGTGAGATTTTTTTCAATGAAAAAAGTGTGCCTCGGCTCAATAAAGGTTGAAAAACATTGCTTTAGACACTGAAATGTAACATTAGACAGACCAAAATAGCACCATCTGAGAACTTGTTCCCGTGTCGCAGCAGTGCCCGCGATCTTAAAGCTAGGTGACTACATTATTGTGAATGAAGGGATTGTGCGCTGACAACTGGAACCGTCTGTTCTACTCAAGACTACTCAAGAATAAAATCATATATGCAGCGCCATTAATCTGTACATCCTCTCTGAGCCTTTGATCAAACAGAAAACTGTGCTCATTGATTATATAAAATCTACTTTCAGAGATCTAACAAATACAAATATGTCTTGGAAAGTTTCTCGACATTCTTTGGAAGTGACCATATGTCCGGAGTGTGTGAGTTAATGGATGGGCTGATGGGACTGTAGAATTGTGTTTGATTTCCATAACTGTAGGAATTATTGCCACAGTTAAATGGACGTGTCTACTGTATAGAGGGGGAAGTTATGAAAGTCTCAATAGGCATTTTTATACTAAAGACCCGTGTGGGAATGTGTGAAAGTTTGGCGAGTTGTTTGGACCTGTCTCGGCTTATTGACGGGCAGTGTGAAAATATAAGGGTCAAAACAAAACAACAGTCCTCTAAAGTCACAGTGCACCCAGGGACATTATAATGGACTATGGCAAGTTTATCATTATCACACTTTTTCAAACACATTTTTTAACAACTTTACAGCTTGATAAAGGAGAGAGAGGAGTAACATCCAACACTGTGATTGTAAGGGCTTCGTTCTTGTTACACGCCTTGTATGTGTATGTGTGTTGTCTTAAGTACTGTCCTTGTGTGACTTGTGTGTCGTTTTATAACCTTCATAACCTGACCCACATATAAGCAACGGGCTGTAAAACTGTTTGGTTTTACTGCTGTATAAATTACCACTATATTTTTCCTCTGAGTCTTCGGTGTTTCTCTCAACCTGCCGATGTCTAAATGATAGACTATTATCTTAACATGCACTGAAGAAATACAGTAGTACATAAATGCTGCAGTGTTTATGAATGAAGACATGATTCTTTAAATTACGCAGTGTCAAACCTTGCTCTTGGTAGATGTCCTGCTGATAGGTGGCCTCGTATGGAGACGGCTGGATGTCGGCGTATTTAATGGTATCGCTCTGCTCGTGCATGGGCACATACAGGCACGGCTCGTCTTTGGTCATGTCCATGTATCCGCCGTCGCTCTCGCTTCCGAACGACACGTAGCTGCAGATGCATACATAAAGTGTGAAATATGACCTACATGCACATTATCCCAAGGAGCCTGACCACTTTACACATTATAAAGAGGAAACTCATCTAAATCGTGATTAAACCCCCCGTTATCATGTCGAATCGGACGTGGATGTGGCGTGTACCCTTTGCGCTGGCTGAGAGGGGTGCTTCCTGTGGAGATGAGCGAGTCGTTGTCCTGGTTTTTCTCTGCGTAGTATTGAAGGAAGGTGTGCTTGTTCCTGTGTAGGTAGTCCACCAGGTCTCCATAGCGACAGTACTCAGTGACCAGATACAGCGGGCCTGAAATTTTGAAAAATACACTTACTATCCGAATTGAAAATGTTAGCTCCAGCAAAAAAGCCATAACAAAGAAATGGTTATCCCTGGACACACCAACTTTGACGCTATGGGTGGGAAATATCGTTAGAAATGTATAAGATGGAAGGGCTGACTGTTTATGTGAATGGCACAGAATTGGTTTGATTCTTGTTGGAGTAAGTGGGTAACAAACACCAATGCAAAGAGACCCAATTTAGTACTGAAAATGTAAATAATTGCTTTTTTTGATTACCTTTTTCTGTACCTCTTTCTATTTCATTTTATTCATCAATCACTCCCTGTTCTATATATTTTCTGTATTTACTTTTGTATGATTTATGAAAACTCAAAAAATTAATTGCCTTGTGTACAAATTGTGCTACAAATATACTTGAGTCATCTAAATAGTACAAAAGCAACACCATTGTTAGAGATGACGCCTCTCAGCAAGAAGATCCTGGGCCTTTTGCATGTTCTCCCCAGGTCTGTGTAGGTTTCTGAGAGGGCTGATTTCCCCTACCACTAAAATATGTACACAATTTAGGTGTTTTTAGAGCAGTAGCAGTTTATTACTACACATTGTTCCATTCAAATGAAATATATAGATAAGATAAAAGTTGCCATTATAAATCACCTGTGTAGTCAATTGAATCAAAACCTTGCAATATGCATTTAAAGCAATTTCACATCAGTCAAGTCTCAAATGTTGTGTTTTTATTCATATAGGTAAGCTCTGAAAGTCGTATGTGTCTTGAAAAACAATTGAAATAAAATACAGGGGTTTTCCCATATTTCTGCTTGTCATTTCATAACTTTTGTGTTGTGTGTAAATTAGCTTTTGGCAGTTGCTATGGTAACTATCCAAACTATTTAGTCATTCGACGAAAGAGAGAAAGTTATTGAGTGAAATATCCCTCACTATGTCAGGGTTAGCTCCCAGGAGTGGTCATCTTTGGTCCAGAAAGTGCATTCGTAGTTGATCACTGATTATCTTTACAAGCTAATTTGTTCAAATCAGTAATGTTTGTATGTCTTTCCCAATATAGAAACCCATGGGGATTCATTTATTTGGGAAACTATCTATAACACAAGTCTCCTCAACATGACAAATGACTCTTTCTGTTTCAGAATTTTAGGACAGAATGATCTTTGTACAATTACATGCACAATTTGTCCCATATGACATTTTTAGGAACAAAAATTATATGATAGTGCAACACTATGCAGTAGTTAATATATAAAAGAAAGACTTTATATCCCTGCATGTACGCTTTTCAAAACCCCAGTGGATACCCTTCACTAGTGGAAAATGTTAGAAATAGAACTTATATTCATCCCGATCTTTTCCTGTATATATTACAAATAAATAGAATGACGACAACTCAGAACTACAGAAAAAGCTCATGGGCATGCAGCGTATCATTGGAAAGAATAAATCACCATCTTCTTGTGATATAAAGCATTCACACTATGGGTAAACATGACTGCAAGAGCTCTGGTATGTACTATCTTAGGATAAGATAAGATAAGATGTGCTTTATTTAGCTCACAAAGGAGAAATTGTCACATTGGGGGTAGTTTTGCACGGTTTTTCCAATGTGGTTTTACTGCAAATGGCAAATAACTTATTGTCTCCTGTATCTTGTATCTTGTAGAGGCATAAAGTATACACACAATGCATTCAAATACCACTTTCTGATGGAGATCTATTGATAGTGAAGCTGACCCTGTTTGGTGCAGGCTCCCAGTAGGTTCACGATGTTGAGGTGTGGTCCAAGATGGCTCATGATCTTGAGTTCGGACATCAGCGCCTGCGTTTCGGACCTCCGCGCAGTAGCTGCAAGAATTAAAAAGCCGTGAGAGCGAGGATTCAGATCCAGGGACAGGACTCACAGCATGGAACCCCCTGCCAAATGGCCCGCCGCCCCCACTGGCACAAAGCTGCATTGAGTCTGATAGAAAGACTAAAACTAAAACTCAGCTTGACCTGGCCGTCTTTGCATGTGTGATGCTGCTTTGGAAATATCCATCTCCTCACAGGAATATTGCAAAGGTGTCAAAATAATGTAAAGTCTTTTCAGGGGGAGGGGGAACAAAACGTATTCAATCACCGGCGGCTGTTTTGTCTTACATTTCAGCATTTTGACTGCCACCTTTGTGCTGGACTGGGAGTGCGTGAGGCCGTACGCAGTTGCCTCGACCACCCTGCCGAAAGCTCCAGACCCGAGCGTTCGACCTGCGAAAACCAGCCAGAGATCATTGTATGAATAAATGAAAGAGGCACACAAGGCTGAGGAGCAGCAAAGACCACACACGTTTTGAATCGTAACGTTAAAGTTGAAATATTATGCTTTTTTTTTGCCCATTAATAAATGTAATGAGGCTATTTTTTTGTCATTTCATGGTTTAGAAAGTGAAATGATATATTGTATGGTGAAGTATCAAGGGGACAAACAGTGGTTTCTGTCTGTAATTCCCTAGGCTACCAGCAGAGGAAAGTCATTTCAAAACTGATTTATGTGCAATATTTTTGTTTCAATTGGCCAACAGCTGCTATGAGTGTGATGTCATAATGGTGCAAATACATAAGAAAGGGCAGAGTTGTGACACAGTTAAAATCACAAAAAAGTAGATTTAGCATCTTTAAAGAAAAACTCGATTTAGTCTCCATTAAACAACTTTGTAGACAAAATAAAATATGGCTGCTGATAGGTATGTATATATATATACATATGCATATACAAATATATATGTATATATACATTGATATATATATATATATATATATATATATATATATATATATATATATTGATATTTATTTCATACCATTATGTAGACAGTCTGATTTACCAAGTGAATGTTCAAATTGATTTTTTCAAAACGGTCAGTGATTGGATTAAGGACTCACCCAGCACCAGGTGATCCCTGGGCATCTCCCAAATCAAGTCATAGGGCAAATGTATGGGGTCCACATAGATGTATTCATGACCGTCCTGACTGACAGACTCGATCACTTTCCATCTGATCTCATAGCGAGGTTTCTGGACACAGAGATTTCAACATTATTAAATATATACTTTCAATATTTAGTAAATGAAGCTCTGTAACTCTATGATATAGTTTGAATTACAATATGTTTGACTTACCTTCCTCCAAACGGCAATAAGAATAATGAAGGACATGATAATGATGACCACAAGGGCGAGAACTGCAGCCAACACTGCCACCTGGGAGAACAACGCTGCAACACAACCAGAAGCCAGCGTTACAAAAAAGCAGACATAATCCTTTACAGATAAAATTGCGTAACATGAATTCAGAAAGACAACGATTGGAAAATAGATGTACATATATTCCAGGAATATAGGCATGCGTTCAAATGTACATTGTGATCAATAAAGAATTACACGTACATGTGAAGTTGCACAGAAACATCACTGTTTTACCTTTATTTTGATCCATTTTCAATGAATTCAGCCTCATTGCAGCATGTTATAATAATAAAAACAACAATAAACACTACATATTTTCTATAATCTACCAAGTTCTAGTAGCAAATTAACCTAGAATATGAATTAACATATAGCACATGGCTGCAATCACCAATATTCTGACAAGCACAAATAGCTTGAATCACTTACTGCTGGACACTAGTTTGACGTCTCTCTTGTCGGCGTGTCCCGCTCTGTTCCTGGCCTCACAGCGCACCGTCACATGCTGAGGTTTGTGGAAGGTCACTTGGCTCCACACCTGGGTCACTTTTCGGGCCTCGCTGAAGCTGGCGTTGGTGTGGACGCTCTGCACCTCTGGCTCCGGGACCAGCGGCTGCCACACTGCACTTTTGTTACTGCATCTAGGAGGTCATCAGTGTTAGGATGTGGGTACCTTTGTTCTTTGAATTTCATATATTATTTTTATTACTCCACCAAGAGCAGTGTCACATTGTTTCCAAATGAATAAAAAAAGTATACAAACTGTTGCACACATGTAAGGAATACCCATGTGAGTCAATATATGAGGCTTTGGGCTGAGCTGATGCAGGTGGCCACACATTTATGCATGTGAAAAAGGCTAGAAAAAGTTGGAAGGATTTTAAAGAACCCAAGCTTTAACGCAAATGGTGTTTTTTGTCCTAACTATGCAAATACATTCTGCTGTTTATATATTTCTGCTAAACATCATTTTAAGCCTAAATAATCAACAATTCTGACATTATTAGCAACACTCTTTCTTTACAAGCCATCACCAACTTCCGTCTTCCATCCTCCCCTTGTCTGCCCAGCCAGAACCAGATAATAGAACAATATTGATTTTACAAGTACATAAGACAGAATGTAGCAGGACCTGCATTATCAATACGATTCCTCTAGTATTGGTTGTTCTTGCTGTTCTGTCTGCCAACTTCAGCCAGAAGCCTTCTTGGAATATACTCAATAACACTAAATTTTCCAAATCCAACACAAACAATGAAGTTACTTTGTTTTTGTCATTATTCAGGGGGAAAAAATTAAGACGAAATATCAAGAATTTGAAGACACTATGGAAGCCAACAAGCTATGTATGCTTTAAATTGATGTAGCTGATTAGTGTAGCTGAAACTCATTTTTCAAAATCTGTATAAGGATTTAACATTGGGAATTTTACTTCCTGAAACTTTAAGTCCCGCCCACTTAAGAGTGACAAGACAATAAAGAATAAAGTGTTTTGTTTTCTGTCAACTTTTATGAACTTAGTAGCATTAAACTGCATCTTTTCTTTCTTCGCTCATGTGTTCAGAGCTCCCCCTAGTGGGCACACAATGTAAGTGACAGTTTCGTACTTGAGCATACTGTTGCAGCTGAACCACTGGATGGATGGAGCCGGGACACCCTCAGCCAAACATGTGACTGTGTGCTGTTTTCCAGGGAGAGGGTGATCGCTGAGGTCTTTGATCTGAGCGGGAACTGAACACAAACAAAACAAGACAGCACACAATAAATAATAGGCAAAAAGTTAAATGTTTGGTAGGTTTGTTTGTCCACAGCTCACCTTGCACCTCCAAGTCAAAAGAGATTTCCTTAGTGTCGTCTCCATTAGTAACCAGAGCTGTGTAGAGTCCTTTCTGTTCCGTCCGGACTCTGACCAGGGTGAGAATGCTGACATACCTAAAAGAATAAAGAAATCGGACATTTGTGGTAGTTCAGGTGTAGGAAATACTTGAACTCTAATAGTATTTATATAACGTAGCAAATGCAATAAGCCCAAGTAACTAAAGCTATAACAAGTATTATCTTTTTTTTTGGTAAACATTTTGACATTGCCCTGTCTCTTTGAAGTGCTGAAAGAGCGCTTCCCTCTGGAGAGAGTAGTGTTTCTGCTTAAACAGGCGTTTTCTGGTGACGACTGACAAACTCCGCCACCTCCGGGCGTATCACCTTCACAGTTTATCTTACATTTGAGATTTTATCACTGATCTAAGAGTCTTCTTTACGTGGATTTCAACATTTGTGATCTATAAAGGGAATGACTTAGAAACAGTGTTGAATGTAAATCAGATACAAGTCATTCATTATTATAATTAGAATACGTTTTGTGTAATAAGTACTCTAATGCATTACTTGAAATGTAATTAGATTAGAGATTTAAAATAATAATTATATGTATTTGTTATTTGTATTTAGAATGTGCATGTTCCATAAAGAAATAATATATTTAAAATGGTAAAAGTACTTAAATTATGCTAACCCAAGAAGAATACCTTATTATTACCTTATTATTCGTATTACTACTTGATTACCGTTTAAACATTATCTTTACTAATGGAATATGCTAAAATGTCTTGTTTTTCTCAAAATGCAAGGTAAGTTGTTTATCACTTTGTGCTTGAAAGAAGTTGTTTGATGACCGTCAGAATGTACTTTAACTAAGATACATTTAGCATAACTTTTTATATATTGAATAATTTTCTAAAAAAAATATTTGCAAAACTATTTTTTGCAGTGCAGCTCATTATGTCGATTAAATTATTTCAGCAGCTAAAAGGAGTATTTTCTCTTCTGTCCTAAAACCGTAGTTCTCCGTAGGGAAGCGTTTGGAGGCCCCTGGTGTGTACTTAGGCAAGAATCACTTGAAATCCTCACCTGGTCTCCTGCTCTTGTCGGGTGATGACGGTTTTGTCTCCTCTGATCCTCGAGCCGCCTTTCCTCCAGTAAACCTGAGGAGGAGGATAGGCCTCGATTTCCACTCTGAGCTCCACATTCTCTTGCATCTTTGCAGAAACATGGAGCTGATGAGCGGGTCTCACGTTCACAAAACCACGATCTGTGGCAACAATTTCAAGTTAGTGTAAAATTTGTATCATTTTCAAGAAAACTTTAAACTTGATATTAAAAAACTTATGAGAACTAGTCCAAACTTAGATTCAGATTTGCCATCGCAGTAAAACCACAGTGGAATACATGTACAAAAGTGTGCACCAGACTAATATATAAAATAAACCAGCTAAAAAGTACAAGAAACAATTGTCACTGTGAAATCCATAAACGAAAACAGTAACAATACAAGAGCAAGAATATTAAAGTGCTTTATTCACTGTATTGAAGTATCCACTAATAGAGTCTAATAAAATACATGTAAGTATAAACCGAGGAGAAACAAGAGTCCAGAACAACAGGGCCACAGGAAGACGTCTCATTATGTTCACAGTTCAACATCTGGGCACAGACATTATCTGAATTTTCCACTAAGCTCCAGTAAAGCTCAGTAAACCGTCTTTTAGTGTCTACAGAGGGCACGAGAGTGAAGATATTTAAGGCTTTTGTAAACATAACACAGCTCAGTGCAGATAGAGTAACCAGTAGCTCCTAAATGCAGACAGAGCACAGACTGTATAAGCCCCTGTCTACGGACCAGAGACTGTGAGTGGCCAGAATCATAGCATCGCATGTTTGTGTTCTTTCCTTACCTTTATACAATGGCAAAATAAATCTCAGTTACAAGCCGTGAATTATTCGGGACCAATGTTGTCTCAAAGCTTATGCCACACATGAACAGAAATAAACAGCGGTGGACTTAATTTCCTTTCTGCAGGTTTGAGTCTGTGTAGTACTGAGTTTGTTTGAGTTAGCACGTCGTACCCAGGACGGTGACGTTGACCTGGGCTGAGGCGGTCTGGCCCTTCACGCCTTCGCGGACGTGACACTCGTAGTTTCCGCTTTGCGCGACGGAAGTTTGGGGGAAGATGAGGCACGAGCGCATGTATGTGGAGGACATCCCATCGGCCAGCGGCTCCACCTCGGTCAGCTGAACAAGACAAATACAAGCTAAGTTAAATAAGTTAAATACAAGCTCGTGGGTTCAAGCCCCGCTCAAGACTTTCACCATCGACTCCCACTGTCTGCTGTCGTTGTGTCCTTGGCAAGACACTTAACCTCTGGGAACATCAGCCACAGTGGGGCGGCTGCGGCTGTAAAGTGCCAAACTGCTGTTGTGTCCTTAGGCAAGACACTTCACCCCCATTGCCTAGAATGAGTCTGGTGTGTGTATGAATGGTTGGTGGTGGTCGGAGGGGCCGATGGCGCATACTGGTTGCCTCGCTTCTGTCAGTGTGCCCCAGGGCAGCTGTGGCTACAGCAGTAGTTTATCACCACCGTGTTTGGAGTGAATGAATAATGACACATGTGAAGCGTCTTTGAGTGTCCAGAAAAGCGCTATATAAAACCGATGCATTATTATTATTATTAAAAGATCATTTATTCGTCCCAAAGTGAGGCAATGTCAGTGTTGAATCACAAGTTTAAGAATAGTAGAAATGAGGAGCACACAACACAAGACGAGTGAATATTAAGTACAGGACTATTCTATACTTTAAAGACGATTTCCCCAAATTTTAGGAAAGAACCACCCACTCCACTTTTGAACAAAACTCTCTGGTCTTATTTGGCGAGCATGTGTCACCAGAACGATTGACAATTGAGACGACCAATAGTCTTGAGGATCTGCCCGGAAGTAGAAAATCCTCCTACTGTATATACCTTTAAGTAATCAAATGAAATTAAATATCTATCCTCAGCCTTTTAAAGAAACTAGTGCAAGAAATATGTACTTGTATGTTTACGTCTGTAGATAAATCCACTCTAGTGCAACAGGTAAGCTACTTGATGAAGCTACTGTACATGTTAGCGGCTTGTTAGAGATTGTTATTGTGGAAAATGTCTATTCAAGGTAATAGGTGTTAATACATGTATTTACAGCAACCATCACAGTCTTCTGATGGTATATGTGTCGGCTAATCAGGGCAAGACAAATTGATGACTAGAGAACCCTTGTAAACTTTCAACAACTCAACTTCAAGAAAAAAATTAGAAAAATGACACGAGTCTAAATGCAATGTTTGTTTGTCTCATACAGAGAAAATAGCAAACAAATATAATCCAAAATATTATAATCTATTGAGTACAGGTGACTCTGATTGTGTGTGCACTGTTTTGACACATACACTTGTACACAGTTAAAAATTACCAAATGATCAGGAATGTTATCAGCCAGCATTACCACAGTCCACATTGCATGTAACTTGCACAGAGCGGATCAAATTTAAGGTGTGTCTCTACATCTTGATGCGATTTGGGTTTGGCTGTGAAGCCCAAGAGGGATCCTGGAGGGAGAGCGTAACAAAAGGCCCTGTTCTCTGGCTCCCACTCACCTCTCTGTTGAGGAACTTCCAGGAAAAGTAGGCCAGCTCCACACCGTGCACCGTGCAGTTCACCGTCAGCGGCTCTCCTTTCTTCAGCACCGTTTTGGAAGCGTTTATGTAGGGGTCGACGGTCTCTGGGACTGTGAGGGAGAGAGTGGGGATTAGGCTGAAACGCTACAGGCAGCTTCCTGTTATGATCTGATCGGAAGAGGCCTGAAGAAATACTGCATATACTATACTACATATAACCATGTTGCTTTTGTCAGCGTTTTTTAAAAATCTCTAAATAATTCAGGCAGTTGACAGTGGCGACACATAATGCAAAATCGACTTTTTTAGCTTTTAACCAAGGTACAACATTATTACCACATCAAAACTAGACCTGGAGTTGTTTTTAGATCCATTTACGATGATGTCTTTGTTCCACTATCACAAAAAGTAAATTATCCTATATATTTGGGCAGTTTCTCAGGTGAAGTAACATTCTTTACAAATCCATGGCTGTGTTTGCAGCCAGTGATATACAAATTAGTAAAAAATGCGTAGGGAGTTGCAGACGAGAAGCATCATTTCCCCTTTATACTTGATCCACCATACATTTCAATTTATTCCTCAACAATTGGAAACATGACTAATGCCCACACATTCAGACACTAGTACACTCTCTCTGCAACTATCACCAGACGCACAACTCACCCACAATAGTGATGACATTGAAGGCCTGGGACTCCTTCACCTCGCCGTTCAGCTCTCCGCGGCACACATACGTCCGGTCCTCAAACTGTCCCCTGAAGCCCTCGAGTGGATCATACGCCGCCGTCACAGAAACTTCAGTGTCCTTCTCAAACAGGGACACTCTGATGTTGGGGTTGGTCACCAAGCAGGGGATGGTGCTTTCAGCACTGGTCTGGGCCACCATCCCATGGAAGCTTTTGATGAACCACACATCAGGGTCTGGAAACGTCAATGTGAATAAGTACAATGAGGTCAAAGAGGCTACTTAACATTACACCTTGAAAATATGTTGCATTATTCACCATTCACTCCTCCCTCCGAAAAAATTGACATAACTTTTGGAATTTTGGAATACAATATTGTTAAACCTGCAACCTTTACACTCAGAATTCAGGCCCGGACTTAGTTAACTTAACTCCTGAGCGCAGCCTCAGATCCTCTGACCTTAACCTTGAGTTGTCCTTTGACTGAAGCAAAAAATTAGAGATGCTGCTTTCTCCCATTATGCGCCCTGTAAATGGAAAGCTTTTCCTGCTGCAATCAAAGGGGCTTTCCTTATTAAACTTAAACTTAAACATGTCTTTTAAGCGTAAGCTGAAGAGTCATTGTTTGAACGTACCCTGACAGAGGCCTCGCAATCATACAAAGAACCAGCACAAGAGCTTGAACGAGAACACGGAAGTGGTTTCAGTTTGAGAAATGCGAGTTGTGTCAATAGCCACTTTTACAAACCAGAGCGACAGTGAGTGTGAATCTCTGTACCTGGAACAAAAACAACAGCTTCTCGACTTTCTCCCGTCACTTGATCGATGCAAAGGTAAACTCCACTGTGCTTCCAGCTCACATCAAGCAGGGTCATCACACTGGTCATGTCACTATTTTGGACAATCTGGAAGCTCCTTCTGCCATGCTGCACGTGGTCCATTTGGAAATAAGGGGCGTCATCTCTCTTGAACTCCCAGGCCGCCTCCTTTGATCCTGAACACGTCAGGGTGAGAGAGGAACCCGGGTCCAGGATGAACTCGGTGTCGGCTGGGCTGATCTCAAGGCAGCGCCGTCCGGGACAGAGATACAGAAGAGCTGTGGTTTACAAAACAACAAAGGGGTCATGTTTAGGGGCACGGAGGCAGCAGGGAGGGGCCAAAGGGTACGTCAACAAGACAAACTCGATTCAGCGGCACAAACGATGAAGGATATGAGCTGTGTGGAGCAGTAATGATGTAGTGGCAGTGACAGATGTATGAAATGACAGGGGGCAGACTGACTCCTACTGCCTCACACTTCAAAGCATTGGCTATCGCAAAAGATGCAGCTCAACGTGCTGCCAACACTTATAATTAACACTATAGGCGCCAAACTGGCAGTATTATAATGTTTAAGGAATCCACACACTGTTTCACACCAAGTTTCAAAAATAACTCTGGCGCAAAGGTTAACACATGAAATACGAATTAAATAAGCATTGTTGGGGCTTAAAATGGTAAAATGTCTTTGCAACCAGCTTCTGTTCTTGTTTGTTCATGCTGCACGAATGTAAAAACAATTATATATATGATGTACATAACATGACATGGACAAAGTAATAATTAAACATGTAGAAGTAGTAGGTCTAAATTTAGGCACATACTACTTTAGAACTAAAACAAATGATCGGGTGGGACCAAATATGTTTGCATAAAGAAAATACTGTACATTCACTCTTTGTCTTTGCACTTTATGACTTAACTGTATTTGTCGACCATGTTCTTATCTGTGCCATTCCCTGAGATAAATGAATCCATGAAAAATGTGTAGCTCAGTGTGTGGAGCCTCTTTGTGGAAAGATTGAGCAAATTCATTAAAAATATTCTCAAACCTCAATAAATGTTAAAACAGCTCAGAGCGCGTTATGGGAGAGAGGTGTGGGGTCAGAGAGTGTTTGGGCCGTTGTGCTGTTTGAAAGTATTATCTTGTTTTGTTTTTCGTCTTATACCATCTGCGATAGTGTCATGTATTTCTGAGTGCGCTGTGCACCTTTGTGTTTTTGAATACTGCTCTGTGATACCGATATTGCATTGCGATGTGTTAAATGTGTGATGGGGATCGGAATCATATACTTTTACGTCTGTTTTACGTCTTTGAAAAGCACTTTGAGTTGCACTGTATAATTTGTGCGTTTTAAATAATTTTGATTGTTTGATTTTCTCTGTTATGTGGATGTTTTGTTGATGTTTGCAAAAACGTGTTGCGCAGGTTTGAAATGAATAATATTTAAACCATCAAAAAAATAATCATAATAACCATCTAATCTAATGGTTTAATGGTATAATCTGTAAACTACACAGCAAAATAACACAACTGCATATTCTCTTCCCAAAATATTCATCTGTAGCCAGGATGCTCAAAAATATGCTTTTATCATGCAAAAAAGCGGTTTATCTTGACCAGTGCAGTGTTCATAAAGAGTTCTTACCTAAAACAATGGGTGCAACATGTAGAGTGGACACTGTCACACTCCTCATGGTGGTAGTCCCACAATACTGTTCTGTTCTGAAAAAACAAATACAATACATTAGAGTCAAAAAAGATTAGAGTATATACATTCAGCAAATGGATAAGCATTGACCAGTACTGTATATATGTAAATAATCTCTTGATACTCTTGCACAGTTATTTGATGGCTGGCTGCACTCAGACAGAGCAACAATGTCTTTGCCCCTTTGTTTCTATTGGCTCCAACTTTGCTCACTCAACTGGTCACTGTCCTGCATGCTTTACTGGCAACAATGACACAGTCAAGCTTCCATTCCAATGAATTAACTACTTTTGGTAAAAACTGAAGCGGAAAATCAAGACAGAAAGGAAAAGTTTTGGTAAATACTAAAAATATCTTATGTTGTGCCAAGGCCGGAGCTCGATTAAGCTCTATGGTCAAAGGTTGAAAGCAATAATAGACCAATGTTAGCGCCGAGTAATGTAAGAGCAAAGTGAGGGGGAGTGGGGTGTTATGTTAGGGACAAGGGCGAGGGCCTGCAGCACCCAGATGTCTGGAAGCAGTTAGGGATGGATCACAGGCCGATTCAGGGTGGGAGAAACAGAGAGGCGGAAGAAGTGATCCTGGGAAGAGCGAGGGTGGAGGAGGAAGTCCAGGAGGAGTCAATGGAAAAAGTCCAAATGTATCTTGAGAATGGTACCCCCCTAAAGTTTAATGAAAACCAAATAAATACGATCTATTTTAAAACCTTGGATTATCTACAGCTTCTAACACTATTTTATTTTCATTAAGTTGTATGATTTAGCCATAGAATTATCTCTTTCTGGCCGTATTTTTTCTGGCAGTGATCTAAATAATTACGACTGCGATGTCAAGTGGTAATCCAAACCAGATCCAGATTTTTCAGTTGTCCTTCTATATTAGCTGCCCTCAGCATTTCCGTTCCCAAAAAGAATTCTCAAGTTCCTCCCAAAACATGTTTCAACCCCCACCTTCTGTTTCTAATAACACGCATCAATGAGAAGGAATGAAATGCAGATTGACAACAGAAAACATAAGAGAGTGAGAAATATTTGTTCTACACTAATTTAGGCTGAAAGCATTTTGTCATGTGGCAGGACATAAAACATTAGAAATCACCAGAATCAAAAACACAGCCTCTTTTTCTTTAACTGACTGCTCAGAAATGTACAGTTCACATTCCCACAGTGTTGTGCACAGAGTTTCCCAGGACGGTGAATACACTTGGGACGTCCATGTGCTGCTGGGGGGGAGCAGGAGGGCCACTCTGTCCCCAAGGACCCTGGACCAACAACAAGCGACTGGCCACGATAGGAAGATGTACATCAGCACTAAGGGTCAGAGACGGAGGGTCGGCAGCCGGCAGCCGTCTGCACTGACGCCAGCCGCATGTCTCACTTACGAGAACTGACCTGTCCTTTTGTGATGGACTCTCAACTTGCTCTATAATGGACATAAAATGATAAGTGTTATGAGACAGAGCCATTATGAATAAGATCTGCACTTCAAAACAGTTCAAGTAAATCATGATTGACCAGAAGGCAAGTATTTATAACTGTGATTACAGTAAAAAAACAGCACTAAAGAAGGACAAAGCCGTCATATATTTAAATTAAAGCTGTTTAACTTTGTAATTAACTGGTTTCTGGTTCTAAAAAGGTTGGTTCTACATTGCATTTATTTTGCCTCTGTCACAGATTTAGATCAGCTTTTTCAGACAGAAAAGTGAAAAAGAAAGGACTCAAATACTGACTCACAAGGGTCTTTCAAACAACAATGTGAAAAATAACATGTTTTATAGTAATATTGAGCTTGTTTTGTCAAATTAGTTAGGGATCCCTGCTTAAAATAAGAGTATCATTGCACAATAAAATAACTGACTCCTCAACTGTGTCCGTAAAACTAATCCAGAGAAAGTAAATGTATTTTGGATTATAGCATCTCTAAAGGGTCAATCCATTGTTTATGTGTTACGTGTAACTTTTTCTCATCATCTCTTAATCCGATAAAGTCAGAACAGTGCCTCAATCAATTTTGACACCACAATAATGTTTGAAAACAGAACAGCAGTACTTTCTTTAAAAATACTTTATAGCCTCGAATTTGGTCCCATTGTATTTATTTTGTCAGAGACTTAAAACATTTCATTATGTCTTGTAAATTTGTGAAACTTGATGCTGCCTGTTATGAAGAGAGCCCCTGGTCTGTTTGTGTTAGCGATGGCTCAGTAATCACCATAAACTGCGATCCTGCAGTAAGTTTTCCCACAGTGGATGGGAATCGGGCGACTGATTGACCCTTGTGAGATTTTAAAAACAAGCTGCTTCACCCGCCGTGTCACCAGCTAACGAGGAAGTTCTTGAAATCCATGCACAACGGGACGTAAACATCCCACGCATCGCCTAAGGACGCATTACCACTCTAAATACATGCTCGATGCAGTCTGTAATAACACTATGGGGATTATGCAAACTTTATGTACTTTGATTCAAACATCTGGGAATGATGAAAAAACCAGAATCTGCAGCCAAGTGTTTGTGAGATCCTGAGTGCGTCCCAGAAGAATAAAATCAATAACAAAAGTGAGCAAGATGTGGTTCTGTAATGCAGCTGGAGAGGTCCCGTTTCCTGTCAGGAGTATTTCAGGGTTTGTGTGGGAGTAAGCAAGTGATGCATCAATGACACAGCAGACCACCACCACCAGAACCACCACCAGACTCCCAACAGGACAACAAGAGACGCCATCCCAGAGTGCAGAAACATGCAAGCAGCCTTAAACAACAAGGAGGGCTCTGAAAGTCATACTAACAACAAAAGAATGGGACCAATTACCATGAAATGTGAAATGTATAACAAGAGCATGATAGAGACCAATCTTTTAGAGTCTCTCGATACAATACTTATCTAGGTACAGGCAACTTTCAATACCATATGATTCGATACGATATAATTCTAAACAATATGACCTGGTTCAATAAAAAATAAAGGCTTTGGGCAGCTTAATCATCCATACACTGCCCTAATGTTAAAAGAATATAACTCTCTTGATGCCTTTATAAGTAGTTTATTGAATATTAATTGCTGTTAAAGTCAAAGTATATATCAAAAAACTGCAACTTTTTTATAAAATATCAATGTTACAGAAGAAGGATTTTATCTTTGAAAAAAATCAAATATCAATCAATTCTTTTACAAATTCTTTTACCTTATTGACAGTATGAATGCTGTCACTAAGATGAGATCATGTCCTGTGTACAGTATGTGCATGGGAAGTAGGATTAGCCAGAGGTCCTGTTTTAAATACACTCTCAAATGTTCATTCTACTTCTGAAGGATCTGATGAATGTATCTGCAGATTTACCATCTCTTCAGTGTTTTCTTAACTAAGACGGATGTCCAATCTCCCAACAGCACGACATTTGGCAAGCTTTGTGGGAAAAAATGGCAGAGAGTGTCCTGGTTTAAACAAACGTCCATTTTTATCACTTGACTTGGACACTCTGCACCCCTTGAGGAAAACCTTCTGGTCCCAAAGCACCAGACCCCGAACCCCGCGCATACACTGTACTCTGCCAGAGCTGTAATAATGACTAATAAACTGCACACATGTCACCAGCGTACGGCCTGGAGTTGTGGCTGGGGTAAGCATGAAATGCTTGAGAGCACTCTGGTTTTAATGGAGTTTTTGATAAGTGACATATGGCGTATCTTTCAATAAGACTCTTTACATTTATTTCTTGCTTGGCATTGAATGATTGCATCCAAAATAGAGTGCTATAACCACATGGCTGATGCTCTGGAATATTTTTGGCAAAGAACTTGAAAGGAATGAAGTTGCGAAAACTATACACACTTGTCTTGCATCACACTTGGACCATTCTTGGAATCTCTTGAAATCGTTTCGAAATTGATAATTAATTGACTAATTTATGGTTTACAATAACATCATACTATTACAGGGCTAAGACATGAGCTTTTAGACTTGGAGTCACATGTCTGTAAGTTCCTGATAGCAGCATGGAGGGATCCAAGATTTTGCCTCGATAATATGCCTCCTTTAAAAGCTGAACATTTGCAGTTGATTGGAATATTACACAACCCAAAACATGGATTGCTCTCTTGTAGCCAGTATATCACCCACTCACAGTCGCACACTCGAGACTTTAGCCAAACATCCAAACAAACTCTCTGCTGAAACATTATAGCTGGACGCTACTCTGAAGCCAAACATCCATTTCAACTTTAAATTATAAAAACACATCAGTCAGCATCTCTGTCCTGTTCTGTCACCGTGAGTGGTCCTTCTGCAGCCGCTTGAGAGGCCCTTTAACGACACCGTGGCTACACATGTTTGGGGAACTGTGATTTTGGTTAGCGCTCTTTCAAACAGAGCAGTAAATGAGGTTTCTCTGCGATGATGGTGGTGAGGCAGAGGGAGCAGAGGGAGCAGAGGGAGCGACTTAAGATGTGGCTTGTGTTTGATATATACGCTTAATTATCAGATTTTATACTCGTGGAGCCGGAATGAGTTGGAAAACATTGCAATATGGAAAAAAAAATAAACTGCACTAGCTTATACAGGCAAATAAACTTCTAACGTGGTGCATTTTCCATTTGGAGAACTTTTCACTTAGCTCATGCAGCCTTAGCCAAATAGATTAAAGATAGAGCAGATCATGGGATGGCATTTAACCCTTTAGGCACATACTTACTGTTATTCCAATGTGGTTTCATTGCAAAAGACAAATAAACTGAATCCTGAATCTTGAATTAGCATAATTGCTACATGCATGACTTTGCTTACAGTGACTTGGCTTGCCACAAAAGTTTCCTCAAATGTTCTAACATATATTTCTTGCAATTTGTTCTGTTATTGATTATAGTGTCCTCTATCTGGTATTAGGTTGCAGGGCTCCACCTTTTGTCTGTTTCTCATCAAACTTCTGAAAAAACTCACAAGTTGGGTGAAATAACATTAGAAATTTAGCTGGGACGGAAAAAGCCAAAAAGTCAATTCATTCCTGTCTTGTCACGGTAGGTTGTCATTTTGCACTTAACTAAATGAAAAGTCGTTTTTCCAATGTATATAATAAATTCTGAAAAGTTAAACATCACATCCTCCCATTTTTTTCCTCAGTTCTGGTGCGTACATGTGCCCCCTCCTGTTCCCTTCCTTTTCTCTTCCTGTGTGCTCCCAATAACTTGAAGCCCCCAAAAAAACAGTCTCTGGGGAAAACAGACGCCTACATGGACTCCCAAACACCTCCAGAAACAAGAACCAGCTGAACACAATTACAACCAACAGCTTCAACTCACAATATTTCCTCCTGTCAGAACAGAAATACTAACTGTGACTATGTTGAACCAGTGTGACATTAGGGCTGCTTTGAGTAGGTGACAAACCATTATTGTGATAATTGATTAGTTGAACAATTATCCTTTTTATCAATTAGTTATAGAGGCAGAAAGCTCAGTGAACATGGGACCCAAACATTTGACCAAAAGCAAAAGCATTTTACTTTGGACTAGACCAGAGAAAATGGTTCAAACCAAGCGGCTACATTACCTCTGCTGCTGTGACCTGACGTGCTCTTGCATTTTATTATTAGTATTGTTAGCTTTTTAGAATGATCCATTTATTTGTTTTGTTTTGTGGATGGATGTGTTTTGGCTGCAACTAGACACCTGAATTTCTCCTACAGGTTTCAATAAAATATCTATCTATCTATCAGAACATTTGACTAAAATGGCAATGGTGCAAATTGTGCTTCAGAGCAAGAAGTGTGTGAGAAATGTGAGAAATGGGCTATGAGGAATTGGTAAAAATCAGATTTTTCTGGTGAACCTTAATCTCCACATATCTCTGCGGTCATCTTGCTATTGCTCAACACCTTATCTTTAAACTCCCATGCCTGGCCTAAATAAGTACAGAACCTTTCTATGTTAGACTAGGGCCTGTTTTGCCATGTTCTCTGTCTGCTCTGGATCACTCCAAAATCAGCATGTTTTTGTTGGACCCACGACAGCACTAAGACCACAAACAAAGCACTTCTAAGGCCCCCAAAATATTAGGCTTTTTAAGTTCGCTGAAGCCAATATAAAGGAACGTAGGGCAACTTAGCAAGCAAAAACAATGTGTCATTTTCATCCTAGAAACTCCTCTTAAGTGTTTATGAAGATATTTCAAACAATTGTTCTTGCACTAAAGTGGACAATATGAAGGCTTGTCTTGTTTATCGTCTTCTGGAAAAGTTACAAAGATGCAATATTGCGGTTTTCTTTTGGCTTTTACACACATTTCTCATAAACAAATCATTTCTCCGAGGGGTTTTGCTGCAGGAGTGGTCAGCCCTTGGACGGAGGAAGCGACGCAGCTGCCTGTCATTTGGAGTGAGTGAATGAGTGGGGGGAGCGGACCAGATGAATCAACAGAACCAGGGATTCTTCATTTAAAGCAGTGTCATGACCTGCAGAAGTGGCCAAAGGAAAGTTATGGACTGGTGAGGTGTGAAAACTGGAGAGGATCTTTAAGTGGACAGAAATGTAAAACAAGTAAGATTATTAGTTTTGTTATGTCGAAGGGAAGTTAACACATAAATAATTTCATATCTTAAAGGTACGATATGTACGAAAGGTAAGATTATGAATTAATAAAACTGCTCTTTTTCAAACACTGAAAGACACTACCAAGATTGAAGTTCTCGCAGTTGTAAGCAGTTTGCCACATAAATCTGCACTGGGAGAGAAACACCCCCCCATTGTCAAGGAGAGAGATGTGAACTACATGCATGAACTCATCCTGGAGTGTTGTTGATATGTTGTCATGGAAACTTGTGCCACCATTTCAATTTGCATGTTGTTAATCATGCTGTTTTATCAGTGATCATATGATAATGAGTCAGTGATGTAATGTATGTAATATATGTGTAATAACCAGACAGTAAATGTAAATGTGAGTCAGACACAAATGAAAAATCCCCTCACTGTAATAACATTTGATGATGAAGATGATGTGTTATTTTGTAGCAGCTCCAAAAGGAAACCAGTATTAGGTCGACCTGTTGTTATCTTTGTACTGTCATGGTTTTGTGAAATGCTCAGGCAAAAGTGAAAGCAAAGGAAATATGTGCAACGGCAGTGGAAGGACAGGCAAAAGCATAGCAAGGTTAGGATATTAAATTAACACCTTTTTGCCTATGGAAGCCGTTTTTCAAAACAGCCTCTGCCTTCTTCCCTGCCGCTGTGTACCATTTGTCAAACTCTAAGTGATAAAGTGTGTTCAATCCAAGACAGAAAGACCACCAGAGAATAAGTCCCCCGTGTTCTTCAAACAAAAAGGGATCATTTTCCATCACAAAGCTCAAATAAAGCAATATCAAACCCATGTAAAGACGCTGAACAGCTGGACATAAATCACATCAGCTGGCCGCACAACACGCCTCACCCTGGAACTGCTAAACATCAGCACAAGTTAAAACAGGCTCCTGGCTCATGTTTTGTCCACGGTTATAATGCAAAGCACGTTTTGAGTCGGAGCGGCTGGCATGTCGGGTCCAGGGATCCAGGAAACAGCTGATGACTGGGGATTTGGTCTAAAAGGAGGGGCGTGGAGGGAGAGGACTGGGGCACATGCATCGGGCCAGAGAAGAGAGAGCAACGAGCTTCGGCGCATACCAGCGACCTGACGCACGCAGAAATCCCCTCTGCTCTAACGCAAATGAAACATCCCCAAGTGTGATAAGCCAAGTGCCGGGTGACTGTTTGATTATTGATGCCGCAAAGTGTTCAGGAGGAGGTGGAACTATGTCCTGAATGCAATAACATCTAAAGCTGTTGATGGCTGAAGAATGACACACATGTAATTTTTCCAGCAGCTCATCTGTAACAACAACACGGAGCATTTCTGGGACTAAGATATCCACAAAGCTAAAGCCAGGCATGACATGTATTTTAATCCCATTGTCTGCCTTCATGTCACATATGGACCACATCATTTGCGACATCCATCACTGATTAGACGTATTATCATGCATTTGCAGCGGAGGAATGAATGGTTAGCCCTATACGCACCGCAGTCACCATAAATGTGAGGAAGTCGTGTTCAGGTGCAGAACATGTGGAGGAGTTGAAGACACGCAAGCCACATGTGTCCCAGCTCTGGACTCAATCCCGCCAATGCAACTCACTTCAGTTACTATGTCCTCCATGGGATTAAAAAGGCATTTGAATTTGAATACTTTACTATTTTGAGCCATACAAAAATATTTCATTCTGCGCCATACATAAAGCACTGTACCCACACAACAAAAGGACAACAAAGAATGATGAACAAAACCAAGAAAAGGTACAGGGAGAATCAATAAAAAAAAAAAACCTAAAACATATATAATTATGTTAAGGGTTTGGTTAAAAAAAGACTGGGAAGAAGAAAACTTGACCTGAAAAAATTTACTGTTGTTATTGTTTTCCACATGTATTTATATGTATTTTATGCTGTTTGCTTTTATAGTTTTATCTTTTGTGCCTGTGAAGCACTTTGGGCAGCTGGTGTTGTTGTAAGTGTGCGATACAAATAAAACTGCCATTGACACATTGACATGTTGAAGTAAAGTACAATAATCCATATCGCAAGGGAGCCTCTTTCTGCATATCCCTGCTGTATGCCAAACATTTGAGTTGTTTACATAGATACTAAGTTCTCTCTGGTAATGAGGATGCCATTGACAGTGACTGATGCCAATGATGCTTTGCCAGTTCTGTGCGTGTCGCTATGCGGGAAGATTGATTACAAATAGGACATTCACAAGCAAGTTTAAAAAAAATGAACTGTTTTTCAGCAGAAAGGCGCGCCAGTTCACTTTGGGTGAGCGAGCGCTGTATAAACAACCCCTTTAGCATCGGGGCACAAAGTGGAGCGCATACAAACAGGTCTGTGTTCAGTGGGGTACCCTGGGATACTTGTCAAACGCATTGTCTTAGCGAGAAGACAAACACTGTTAAAAGTTCCCACGTGTAAAGAGTGAAAAGGTGTCTATGTGCAAAGATGCAGGCAGCTCTGGGTTTGTGTTTGAACAGGTTGATGGCAGCCACACACATTGAAAACAAGCTCACTGACAGTAATGTTGATTGTAGAGACACAGTAAAAGACTGTGGCAGATGCAAAGCAATGTAGCTATTACCTGGTGAGGATCCAGACACTCAACATTCAACATTTATTGACATCTATCAACATTTATGGGCATTGGTCATCGGCCCCTCATGGACCAATACCAATGTGTTTTCTATCATTGCATTTCTTGAGTTTGAACTGTTTGATTCTCTGATCTGTGTTGTTGAATTCAACGGTTGTGTAAAGTCCTCAGAGAAAAGTACTGTTGTGATTTAGGGCTTTACAAGAATAATGTGAATTGAATTGAAAAATCTGTCTTTCATGACACTTTTGGTGCGATTATGTTAAAACTGATCTAGTCATTCCATTCATATGGAGAAAAACTGGTCGTGTCTTTTCATCAACAATAAAATGTCTTTTGCTGTGACACAATCCCAGACAGTCAGTCAACAATTAGCCAGAAAAATCATCCTCAAAGATACCAGTAAAATAAGCAGGAATATAGACAGAATGGCGGTAAATGACAGATTAAAGACAAACCTTGTTCAGGGTGCCAGATGTCCTTTGCTAACTCAGGATGTTGCAGGTTGTCAGAAAGAGGAGACCGCTGCTGTCGATGGGGAGCTGTCCTTCTGTGCGGACCCTCTGAGGATCTGCGGCTTCAGGGAGCGCGGGGTTAATCTCCAGCGTCCCAGGAGCTTCGCTGGAGGAGACCTGTTTGTTTAGTCAGATCACAGCACTATGGGTGTCTCATGTCCTCTCCCACACTGTGTGAGGAGAGCGGTCTGTTTGAAAGTTTCCAAAGAGAGTTGAAGCGGACCATCCACTGCGCTCTGATGGAGGAGTGTGAGCGGTCCGGCCCACAGCTGAGGATAGAGCAGTTACAGAGGGAGGGCTGGAGAGAGAGCAACACAGGACAGGGGACATTCAAAACATTCAAACGTCAATCTAGAGAAAGCACATCTCCTTTTGACAAGATTACTCAGTTTATAGTCTGAGTTTCATAACTGATTCAAACTAAATTGATCCAGAAACATGCAATGATATGCTGCTGGATGTTGAGTTTGTTTATGGTCTGGTTTGGGCCTGAATAGTTCTCTCATTCATCTATGATTGAAAGACATCATTTGCCATTTCAGGGAATACAAATATAGACTTTTGAACTTCTAATGGATCATTATTTTGTTTTTACATTTAGAATTGACAAAACTAAAGAAAAAGATTTGAACACAATGATTTTGACAAATTTCACATCAGAACTGAGAAATATGGGTAAGACTACTGCATTATATTCATTATGAAAGGGGACAGAACTTGAAGATATAACAGAGTTGTGATGGAATTGCATCAATCCATAGTGAAAGAATTGATTGTATCTGTATTGTCCTGTATGAAAATTAGTTGGTTTTAACCTACATCCCTGTACTCTGTTGGTATCTTATAAGTTCTTTTGTGCAATTATAGTCGTCTGTTTAAAATCTCTTTTGAATCATTTTCAGATTCAGAAAACTTTATCAATCCCAAAGCGAAATTCATCTCTGTGGGATGTTTTTTTTTACTTAGTTGGTTGGTTGAAATTGCATGATTAAATGTAAAAACTGCTGGTTACTAAAACATTCCAATACTTTTTGATGTTATGTTTATGTTATATTTTCAACTATACATGCATATACTTCCACACTTATCAAACAACAACACGTCTAAACAAAAACAAAAATGACAAAAATGAATGTACTCCAAAACCAATTTTTTAAATTTTTGCATTCTTTTGTTTCTTTTTTTGACCAAACAGAGACTTCAAAGCACTACTGCACTGTACTTTCCGGTAATGTTCCTTTTCATTTTTTTAAATTCATGCAGATCTGTGTAGCACTGTATCCTACAGCAACTTTCCCTTGTGAGAATAAAGTTTATCTTATCTTATCAACTTGTCAACAGTGTCTACCAATCAAATTGATATATTCTATTGACTATTATGTTAAAATCAATGACTTATCAGACAACCTGAAGCACATTGGACTCAAAAGCAGCCTTACTTCAAACTTACAACGCCCCCACGGAGTTCAGCTTATTGTGGTTTTGTTGAGTCTCTGAAGTCCGATCTCGACTCATTTGTTTATGAATGGACTGGCACAGAACTGTAGGTTTGAGCTGCCACAGTCGCTATTGGCAACGGCAATCTGGACCCCATCTCACCCAATGAAAAACAACAAACACCTTAAAGAAGAGGAGAAAGAGTTTGTGAGAGAAGAAAAGAAAAAGCGTTTGGAATGAGGTCAAAGTGTCTCACTTTGGAAACAAACAAGGAAGTCTCAGTTTCTCAGGAAAATAAACTTCAGCTAAAATCAGGTGTGAAAGAGGTCAAACACATCAAATTATCAAAATACACACTTTTGTATCTTTCAGCTCAAAGACAAATCCATTGTGGGATTTACAAATGAACAATGTAACTGTTTAACAATCTGGGTGTTTAATGTCAAGTGTCTGCATTCTAAAATCTTCACTGATTTAACATTAGCCGAAACAAAAAGCCTGCCCAGTCAGTGTGCCCCAGGGCAGCTGTGGCTACAATAGTAGTATATCACCACCATGTATGGAGTGAAAGAATAATGACACGTGAAGCGTCTTTGTGTTCAAAAAAGCACTATATATAAAACTGACGCAATAAAATAGATAATCCCATTTTCTCTACTACGTTTTACACCAGAAGACCTGCAATTAAAGGTGATGCAAGCCACTTTACTCATAATTTATTTTTGGGTCACTGCACTATTATGAACAGAAAGTATTTATCAACAGTTAACTTGGCATAACTATGAGCAGTAAGATTTTCTGGAGGAGGACAATTAAACCATTGATGCAGGGTCTCGAGGATTGGAATGAATTTTGACCAATCAAGAGGCGAGACCAGTGCTTGAAAGATCCTCTCTCTCTTCACAATCAGAAAAGTAAGTGGCACTTGCTTCTATTAATAAGAGCTAGATTCTGTCTGACAATGAGGAAAAATAAGAATTGAATCAAACAGTTTAATTTATGTCATACTTTTTCGAGTTGATACTTAGTTATTGAACTCGAAATAAATAAATAAAACATTTTATTAATTCATTCATACAGTTGATGGAAAAGAAACACATAATCACTGGTGTCATACAAAAATATAAAAATGTCATATTTTTACCATTTTGATACCACAGTGATGGCTTTTGCTCTTCTTTAGACTGTAATCTGTCATACACACAAAATGATAGTACATAAAACAGTACTTTTTAAAGGTACCAGGTTTGGTAGAGGTAAAGCTCAATCTTCAATTAGTGTCTATTCTCTCGTTTTTAATAGATTCCTCTTTTATATTAAAACTTTTGACAACCCAAGTCTGGTTTTTATAGCATTCCCAAAACACAATTTAAATCATTTTAAGTTTGAGATGACACTTTGAGAGCAGTGCAGCAGCAGAACCAAGGGGGAGGAGGGAGCTGGGCTAAAAACCATTGCTGCATAATTATTCCTCTAATTGAGAGAGAAAATCTGAAAGCCTCACTCGCAGTAATTAGAGAGCTCCCAGTGCCCCAGATTCTGTATAAAAAGAAAGATTACGCCCTACATTAGAATCTGTGCATGTAATCAACACTCTGCAGTGATGAACATTTACTACACCAGTATTACTTCTAAATACCAACATATCGAGTACAATTATAGAACATAGTGAACTTTGGGGAACTGCATTTACAAATCTGAAATTTTATAATCCTTTAGTTTCCAAAAGGAGTGGCTGAAATAACCTCTTTATCTAACCTACTTAAAATAGATAGATCTAATTAAATTAGTCCTCTGCATTTGACCCATCCTGGTGCTACATTTTACATTTTATTCTATATAGTTGTTATAAAAGTTATGATGCTCTCAGAGAAACGCTGGTGGTCACTTTACCTCCTGGGAGGGGGTCAATGGGATAAAGTCTATTGGTGTCATAATACAGTCTATGGTTGTACTGTTGGTTTTACGGAGGACACCATTGGAGTGTATTTGTCACATTGTCTAAACGTCCATCTGAAATTAGGAAACGCTCAACAGTCTTTGTTATTACATTTTTAAAGGACTTTTTTTGGGACTTACACAAAAAACACAAATACGCAGACTTTGGAGATGAAAGCGCTGGTGGGTGAGAGCTTGTGACACATGTGAGCTTTTAGCTGCTGAGTTGAAAAGGCCTCTTATTAGTGTCCTCCATGTTTGAACATATCAAACCGAGAGCAGAGGACACAGTTTACACAGAACTGGTTCAAAACAAATCATGGAGCAAAAGCCATCCACTTAAATAAACACTCATTTAGATAAACACTTGAGATTTATGTAACCACTAAAAGGCTCAGGGTCTCAATTTTCCAAACTACTGTTGTATGAGTCTTCAGTGTTGTTGACATGTTGAGTCACCCTTATATGGAACTTTAGACTTTATAGGTACCATGCTATTTGTGTGAATGACTTACATTTCATTCTATTTTGTTTTGGATTTGTCAACAAAAAGAGTTTGTTGGGACTCCCTTGAAGTGAAGACTGCGTAATCTTCATGGGACATGCCTATATGCTGACTTAAAAACTAACTAAGTAAATACAGTAATCATGAATCACTGCAGTATAATAGTACATCCAAGTGTATGTACAAGCCAGTGATAGAGCATGCCCAGCATGCCTCAACTCTGTTAATCTTTGACGCCCTCTAGTGAATTTAACGGCAATTACACTTTCTATACGCCCCAACGACCAAGTTCTGTGGAACAATGTCGAAAGAATCTGGTGATAGTAGTAGGCAGTATAGCCTCATTAAAGCCATAAACGTGCATTAAATAAATTGGTCCCCTGTGATCGAGAGAGATGTCCTCTCAGACATCAGAGGCAGTTGGCTCAGTTGCCTTGGCAGAAACAGTGCTTCTGGTGTAAAATATGGCGCTGTGGCCTTCAGACTAGTGTAAATATCCTGAGCTGTCAGTGTATCATGTCGTGGGCCATAGCCTCAGATGTAGACCCATAACTAACTCACAGACATTATCTTTGCTCACCTTATCACCAGGTAAATAACGGTCAATGGCCTCGTGCCTCCACTAGCCGCAGGTGAGGTGTGACGTCACAGTGACTCCTGCAGGTAAATCCATAAAGGTGTGTGAAGGAGCAGCTCGGTCCAGTCCACAGAACTCCACAGAACACAACATGCATCAGGAGCATCACCTGTGACAGCCGCCACACACTCAGGATGTACCACAACTCCCCCACCAGGGTCGCGCCGCAGCCCCTCTCCCTGAATGGCCAGTACATGACCCCCACCTACGACTTCACCGCGTACCACCCGCACGTGGACCCCGCCACCAGCGCCTGGAACCCCTACGCCCCACGGGATGAGTATCTGTACAGCCTCCAGCAGGGGTCCAGCCCCGGCACGGGCCAGGCCAACTACAGCTCCCACGACCTCAGCAGCCCCCCCGTGTCTGCAGCCGGGGGGGTCTTCAACAACTACAGCTTTATGAGCGGGCACGGGCACACGCACGGACAGGACCCCTTCATACCCAGGAGGAGACCCCCTGAATCACCCAGGACAACAGCTCTTATAGGTAAGTTCACATATGCTGTTATTCATCAAAATAAAAGTTTTCAAACTAGAATTAGAATGACATGCTCATATTCTTTGGAACAGTCATTCATCCTGCCATATCTACAAAATATATGGAATTATACTTTTTTACCATGGCACAATTTTTCATTTTCATTATGATTATCATCATAATTATCTGCAGAATTATCATTAGTAGTATAGTTTTAAAGCTGAGTATTCTATTGTTTTATGCGGCACAATATGATGTGGCAAAGCATTAAATGAAAAATAAGTTTATGAATCATAAGTACTTGTGTGGTGTAAAACAAACTGAAAGTTCACATATCTGGGCCAAGGCTGTAGATGGTGTTTATGACTTTGACACAGCCTCCGTGACTTGTCAGTCTCTGCAGCTTTGTGAGTGTAGATATGACAGATGGACTGTAACACACATCCTGTTACAACTACTGAAACACGTACTGTATGTCCATACGCACACCATATGCATACACGCACACTCACATACACACACACAGACACACTTACGCACACACTAACCTAAACACGCACAAACACACAAATCTGCTGCCTCTCCCTTCCGCACTGTGTGGGATGTCAAACTCCCCCACCCTCTCTGTCTCCTGAGCAGGTGACAGGTCCACCAGATAACACTCCGGCCTGATTGACTCTTTAAGCTGAGGCCGAGCATAGACAGAAATATTAATGTTTACTATTAATGTCTACTCCTTCACCTGGATCGATGTTGTCACCCGGTTGAGATTTGCAATCAATAGCTCCTTCTCCTAAGTGTGTGTGTGGACATGTGTCAATGAATAGCTGCCTGTGTAAATAGCTATGTAAAGCCCAGAGCCAGAGATAAGCCCAGCCACTGATGCAATTCAGCAGTGTCTTTACATTAGTTGTAGTTAAAGTGATTAATTTGGTTGATGAGATTTTAAGTGGCGCCTGAACTTGAACATGGCTCCAGGCGTCTCTGTTTTGACGTCTCACAAAACACAGCTCGTGAGTCACAAAAGCTACAATTGATAATGATTGTATAATGTGTGTGATTCAGGGGGTAAGACTCGTACCAAGGACAAGTACAGGGTGGTGTACACGGACCACCAGCGCCTGGAGCTGGAGAAGGAATTTCAATTCAACAAATATATTACGATGAGAAGGAAGAGTGAGCTGTCGTCGGCACTAAGTCTTTCAGAAAGACAGGTGAGTGTGTCCAATTAGAATAGTTATATTTTTTTCTTCACAATAACAAACAGAGACAGTCCACTTCATCACTAAAGTGTGTCACATTCAGTCATTCTATTCATAGTACTCTGTAAAAACAGATGAGTTAAAGTGTTTTGGTTGCTTTAACCAATATGGTCCTTATCTTGATGATCTTTGATCAATCAAGTTGGGCGACCACCCAATAATTTGTGCACACACCAGACTCTAGATACTATTGGCAACATGGGTAAAGTGTCCCATCACAGAACTAACCACGCTCTGTTTAGCTTCTGAGGTCTGCGGATCAGACTTTCACTGCAGGTGGTGCTTCCTTCGACACATGATGCTCAAAGTCAACAGTCCACAGATTCTATGGTTGTGTTGTTTTTGGTAAAGCACCAACCAATGCAAATGAGGCATTTTGTAATGTCAGTTTAATCAATTAGATTGGTTGGCCCACAATCAACTGATTGGTAAATCCCTGACCAATACTTTGATTAATCTAACCAATATCTGTTTTAATTAAAAACTGATTGGTTGTTTTGTAAAACCATAATGTTCTTAAAATGTAAAGAAGGAAATGGATCATAGTTTCATATAATGACCAAATAGATTCCTTTGTTAAACAATGAATCATCTTTTGGAGGTGGTATTTCACTTATTTTCACATGATTCCACGGAAATGAAAAATTGATACATTAATCAAGAATATTTCACAAGCTTTCAAACTTAACATAAGATAATTTAACCTTTTTTTGTCCCACAGAAGGGACATTTCAGTTTTGCAGCTCACAATACGGACCTGAATGAATAAAGCCATCACTCTCATTATGACATGAGTCCTTTTTCAGTGAAAAAAGTGCATGTATAGTTATTATGTTGGTCTTTGGTAAAAAATAAAAACAGACGTGGGGCTTCCCGCAACAGTTTTTTTAGTATTTTGAAATTGTGCATTACTTCAGTGTAGTGTATTTTCACATACTACACTTCTATACATATAACAAGTACAGCTTAACAAATGCATTGCTCATGCATACAAGTGAGTAGTTAGTCTATTCTTAGCAAAAAGCTATTGAAGCAAGTGCGAAATCTGTGTGGCGCCTTTCACAGACTGAGAGTCACAACGCGCTTCAGAAGCAACACGCAGCTTGGTTTGTCTGGCTGTGTCCATATAATATGAACATATATAACATAGGGCTGGGCGATATGGCAAAAAAGTTAAATCTCGATTTTATTTCCTGCTTTGGACAATTTCAATTTTAAATAGATTTTCATTAAAGTCACTGAAGACAGACTTTGCCCTTAAAATATGTTTTGATCTCTCCGCTCAATATTCAAGTTTCAAAACTATTTTTAATTTGTTTCCCCCAATACGTATTATAAAAGTCGTGTACAGACTGTGCTGATATTGTAAGTATAATTCATGTGCTGCTGGAACTCTCACAATATCCTTCATTTGATTTCACGATATTCAAATTTTTTACTAATTGTATTTTTTCAAAAGCCGATTAATTGCCTAAATTCGATTTATTGCCCAGTCCTAATTTGACATTGAACTTTTTGGGTCAGATCTCTTGAGAGGCCGTCTTGCTATCAGTAAAAATGCATGTCCTTCAAAGTATTTTTCTTAGCAATTGAATGATGTCATGCTGTGAAACAATCAAAGCCTCCTATTCACGTACTCAATCCACCAGGTGAAAGTCAGAAAATTAGAATATTGTTCAAAACTAATTTCATTTAAAACAACTTCAAATGTGAAAATAATGTATGATGCTGAATATACGCAAAGTGACATACGCCAAGCCTTTGTTATAATGTCGACGGTTATGGGTCACAGTCCATTTTCCAAATAGACCAATTTTCTGAGATGTTTGTTTGGGGTTTTTACAAGCTGTGAGCCAATTATCAACAAAAAAAAGGCTTGGCTTCTCACTTTGCGTGTGATGAGTTGCACATTGTACATAAATGGACTTTTGAACAACATTGCAGTGTTCAATTCACTTTTATCTGTTATATTTTTCAGATAAAGATATGGTTCCAGAACAGACGCGCCAAAGAGCGAAAGATAACCCGGAAAAAGCAGCAGCATTCCCAGCAGGCGTCCACCACCACACCCACCCCCCCTGAGCTGGCTAGGCCCACGGACACTCACCTCTCCACCAGTCCACGGCAAGACATTCTATCTGATACCGTGTCAGAGGAGTACTAAATCAAATCCACACCACATGGACTTTTTTTTTTTACACAAGAATGATTTTTTTTTTTCAGGCACAAGCTAGAACTCTTTTCCCGTCACGATCATTGTACAAGCCACGCAGGATGAACCATATCAGTAAATATATCAGTAGATTCATGATATAATCCATGCACTCATCAATTCTTGTTGGAAATAAGTTGTGCTGATTTGTCAGAGTGTTACAAACAAGGAAACAGCAGAAAGTTTTCACCGTAATTTTAGATTAGTCTGATAACTGCCCACATCCTGACCACAGCTGACAATTTCTCAACATGATTCACGACTATTAGAAATGGAAACGTTTCTTGTTTTTTTATGTATCTATGTGTAAATAAAATGTGAGTCAACAGGAATGACAAGTGAGATAAATACTGTATGTACCAAACTGAGTAACTCCTTAAAGAAGTTTCACATTGAGCGTCAAATGTGTAATTCTGTTTTTTTTATATTGACCAACTTTTATTCTTTACAATAAAATAAGTACAAAATACGCTGTAATGGATTATGTGGATTCTAGTATTCTGACGATGGTGCTCTGCATTGAGAAGAAATGTCACATGATTATATAACTTTATAGCTACGAAGCGTGGGCGGAAAGTCACAAGAAAGGCGTAAAAGCACCTGTTATTGCATTGAAATATATTTAAAGACAAAATGATGAGGTTTTATTGTATCATTTCAAGTAATTCTTTGTGAGCGTGAAGGAGATTATTGCTATCAGTGTTTGGAAAGGGCGCCTAGTGAGCCCTGTGATCCCTGTGATCCCTGTGAGCCCTGGCTGTTGCTGTTGTCAATGATTGTCCCGTGTCAGAGTTCAGCCGCAGGTGGTTTGTTTGAGGACACAACTATTGCGGCCATAAACAGTTTATGGTCCTGAATTACCTGAACGACAGAGAAGAGCAAGAGACTTTGACCTGTAAATCAATCACGTAACCTCAACAATTGTAAAAATGAAAGTTACAATTTTGGCCAAATGCTTGTGTAAAATGGCGATGACATGTGAAATGTTGTAAAAAGTGCATTTAATTCTATAATTTGACTTTCAAAGTGAAACTAATACTGTCATTACATGCAAAGTGGGAGATATCAAGTCTTTATTTGTTGTGATGTTGATAATGGGTCATCCAAAACCATCTAAACTATAATCAACAAAGGCTTGGCAAAAGTCACATATATACTGAGTCTATAAATCATCTATTAGTTTCACATTGTAAGTTGAATTACAGAAATAAATTAACTTTTTAACAATTTTCAACAAATATAAAGGGAGGAGATGAAACTGAAATGAAACTGCCCATGCTATTTTAAACAGTATACAATTTTAACTCATTGTTTGCCTTTAACATGTTTGCACACTTCTGCCTTTTGCACCATCTGAGTGATCCTATCTATCTTTAAAAAATCTCCAAAATGTCATGCTGTTTAACCACTCAAACCATAAAAAATACATTTATTTGTAAATTAGTATATACACCAATGACACCAACATTCAGTATTACGAAATCACAAATTTGTAACCCAGGATTCTAGTTTTAAGGCTACAGTATTCAGAGAAGCCATTGAAAAGTTCACTCTCCATAGAGCAACAACAGAGGATCACCTACAGACTTTGGAGTAAATACAGACATTATCTTCAGCTACAGACGCATGTGGACTTTGGTTGGAAAACTTCACTTGGCCGTATTCAACTTCCTCCTCAGACTTTGGCTGTGGTTCCCGACCCGGCTGCCTCAGTATCCTGACATCAGCATAGGTCAGTTCCTGATTGTCTTCCTCATCTGTCACACAAGTCAAGTGTCAGTTTGTATCTCATGGCAACAACAGGGTAATATGTTGCTATGTTGTTTATCAAGCAGTCCAAGATACACCTAATGTGATCTGCCAAGTGCACAACATGGGGTATGAGTACATTTGATTGCAGACTGTATGTAGTGGTCTAAAAAAGTTTTACAATTACAATGTAACCTTTGTGATGTGATGCTTCTAGCGTCTCAGCACTGATGCAATCCACCTGCTGGAGTTCAGCTATACCATACAAACACTGTGTATTACGTATGATTAGTTATATCTGTACCTGCTTTCATATAAACAATTATGAGGTGCTATTTCTCTGTTTGTGATTTTTTCTTTTTTTATTCCTTTTACACAAAATTTCTTTTCATGACAAACTGGCAACCCAAATCTTAGACTCAATCTGCTGTGTATTTTTAATTAAGAATGACTCCACTTAATTTTTTTGTTCAGAAAAGGTCAAATATGATGGATAGGTGTTGAACTGTTTTCTGGGGACACATGTAACAGATGTAGTTGTCATCTAAAAAGAGCATTTGACCAACAATCTCTTTCACGTGGAATAGTTTTGATTGCACACCTCTCTTTTTCTTGCACTTCTTCAGGACACAAGTTACTGCAACAACACCACAGATCAAAATAGCCACCATCACACCAACCAAAATTGGCCAATTTTTAGCTGTAGATGACAGGTAAGTGAGACAAAACGTGAATACAAAACATCAACTCGATGATCAGTTATTGTCTGCGCATGTGGCTCATTGACTTACAAAAGTGCCCACAGCCAGCGGGAGCAAATGTGGGACTAGTCTGTAGTACACTTTGACTGGTGAATGAGATCTTACCATCAGAACTGATGGATGGGGTTGTGGTTTGTTCAATGCAGAGGGTGTTATTGGCCTCATGAACCCAATCAAGAATCTGTGTGCCATTTACTGTGCAGTTAATATGTATGTATCCTAATAACAAAGGATAAACGTGAAATATTGTTACACATATCTGGAAATACAAATGATTTGAGATGATTAAAAACTCACCACAACTCCCAATAGTTATCTCCTTACTCTCTTCACTGATGTGGTTTTTGACAGAGCAGCGCAGGGTTCCTTCTTCGATTTGTTTCAGCGTGATGACATTTGTATTGTTGCTGAGATTGAGTCCATTTAGAGTCCAGCTGAACTCGGGACGGTCCCCTTCTCGACTGGAGCAGGTCGCTTTCTTTACTCCTTTGGACAAACACTCCTGCTTCAGGAGCACGTCGGTCACAGGAGCTGCAGCAGAACAACTGTTAGGTGGAGTTAAAAAATATATTTCTTATATAATTAAATAAATATAATTAAATAGAGATGCCTTATTTACCTTCAATAAGTAGGTTGAGTTGACTGTGACTGGTTAATTTTCCATTATCAAATAACTCCAGAGTGTATGAACCATTATCCTCTCTGGTTACGTTTGTTATATTAAGGATTCCACTGGTATTATTAAAAACAGATCTGTTCTCAAATGCATTTGTTTTAACTATATTTTTACTCCAATGAAAAACAATATTTGCATCCTTCTTCCACCTGCATTTGTCATTTGTCTTTGCACCACTCGCCATCAGCTGGATTTCTATGGTTCCTCCCAGAGCTCCGTAGCACGTGTTGTTCTTCCTGGCATCACAGTCCCCTTCAGCATCTGCAACATTAAATCCAACATTATAATACTAAATAATAAGAAATCAATAATGTCTATACTGGTCTATAGTCTTGTCTCACCTTGAGCGGTGTGGAGCAGCAGCAGCAGAGCCCACACAAGTCCTCTCTCTGTCCCCATCACAGAGGGACAGCTCTCTCATCGCTGACCTGCGTGTGTCTGAAGTATAGAGCTTCCTATTTTAAAGAAGAGGGAAGAGGAAGTGGTTCTGCTTTTCACTTTGCTGTTATCACGACTCTGTCCTTTGAATTTGAATATTCATTAGGCTCGTTTTGATAGGTGTGATGTATCCTCTCAAAAAAGTGTTCTACTTTTCAAACTTTCACTTCCTAATGATTATAAAATCTTAAATGATCAATCTTTATGTTCTACATAGCTTCAAATAATACGATTTCTTAAAAATAACCTTGTATACATAGACGCTTAGAATATTTACCCAGTATATTGTGCTTTTCACATAACAGCCGTCACAATGTTCTTTACAATTTAATGTAGTATGCACTACACACGGTGGTAAACAACTACTGGAGCACACTGACGGAGCTGTGACCATCGCAAGTTTCAATATAGAAACTAGCTCTACCACGGTTTACACCTGGATGAATTCTTTCGAACATTGTGTCATGTTACGTCCACACACATGAAGACTTTTTCACTGAACAACCACAAAATAACAGACATCTGTGAATTGAAAGAAAAATTACACAATTATAAACAAAATGTGTTTTACTTTTTTCTATAAAATTTGAAAGGTTAGAAATAAGGTTGAATATTCAGCAGTTCTGTGTAATCTACAGCTGTGTGTTGAGGGCCTCAGTGCTATAGTCGGAGTAGTGTATTGTTCGATAAACAGTATTATGAAGGCCAAGAAGCACACTAGAGAGGTCATGGATGAAGGAGGAGTTAGCTTAACGCATGATTACCGGTATACACATATTTCCCATGCTTTCGACATCTCGCAGAACACTGTTTCCCTGGCCCGGACGGGCCATCGGGAGCATCGGGAGATCTCCCGGTGGCCTGCGTGTCAAAGTGGCCTGGGCCTGCCCTATCATCACGGTCTTTTATTTTTTATTTTTTTATTTTTTTTTATTTGAATTTAATTTCATCCTCACGGTCTTTGCAAACTCCTACCCTGCCTGGTGGCCTGGTCCAATGAGCAAGGCCCAGGCCAAAGCCAGTGTTGTGCGTGAACGAGTTCAAAAGAACGCGTTCATTGAACACGCTCATTTTTTTGTGAACGTTGAACTGAACGCAACACATTTTTTAATAAAGAACTTGAACGTGAATTAGTTCATATTATGTGTCATGAACGGCAGACAATTTGTTTTCCATTTAAAACGGAGTGAAATCTGTTTTCTCTTTTGAAACGCAACGAGAGAAAGTTCCTCCCTCCTGTATTCTCCGCACTGTTTCCGCCGAAAACTAAAAATTCCTACGGTTTCCACCGTCTGTGAACGCACCCCGACTCAGTGTACTTCATGGATGTATTATATTAACTGGATAGGGTATTACTAGCTTGTAGCTGAATAACTCACGTGCTCAGGGGATTCTCGCGGTACTGCAGACTGAACCAGACTAAATTCACGTGGGCTACCCAGAAATTTTCCCCATAGAACTCAATGCATATTAAAACAGCTCGACCTCAGCTGACAGAGAACCTACAGCTTTAATAAAGATCGGATTTTGTGGGGATTTTAGTGTCCCTTGTCATCCTGAACTTTTTTTCTTCTTAAATCCTTCGGTTTTGTTTAAATCCACACTTTAGCGCCACAAACTCTGCTCCTCTGGCTCTCGCTCTAACTCCCGCTCTGATGAACTGCTCTGATTGGTCAGAGCGCGGCCGAGCCCCTCTGTGCACGTGCGTGAGACCCGGTGTGAGACCCACACACGCGTGTTTGGCGCAACGCATTATGGGAGATCATCCACTGCGCAGAACCGGGAGGACCAGACAATGCCCAAATACAGGCGAGTTTCCCATAGATCTTTGCGAGTTTCAGGCAACTTCCGCTAATCTTTCAGCCCCCATGCTGTCACAAAGCGCCACTGAGCACAACCATTCATTTGAATAGGGCGCCATCTTGGATCGCCGGGGCTTGGTGTACTTGCGGTGCGGCGCTATATGCTAGTGCTATTCATTGGTTGTTGGACTCACATGTGCCGTGATGAAAACACAGGGGTAAGTCAGTGACACAGGGCCGTTTACATTTGACATAAAGTATAGACACGCGTTCTGCAGCGCATTACTGTTTGTACTTATGAGCAGAGATGGGACAACTCAGTTCCCATTGAAACCCATGTAAATCTTGTCTGCATTGGAGTCAAAACATCCTGTGCAGTGTACAGGATATAATATATAATTATATATATAATTATATAAAAAATTGTCCACTCACCTTTGGCCCTCCGCGGGCGGTTATGCCTCTCTAAGCTTGGGTCCTCTACCAGAGGCCTGGGAGCTTGAGGGTTCTGCGCAGTATCTTTGCTGTTCCTAGCACTGCACATTTCTGGACCGAGATGTCCGAGGTTGTTCCGGGGATCCGCTGTAACCACTCATCTAGCTTCGGGGTCACTGCCCCGAGTGCACCGATCACCACGGGCACTACTGTCACCTTTACCCTCCAGGCCCTCTCCAGCTCCTCTCTGAGACCTTGGTATTTCTCAAGCTTTTCATGTTCTTTTTTCCGGATGTTACCATCGCTTGGAATTGCCACATCCACCACCACGACTGTCCTCTGCCCTTTGTCTACCACCACAATGTCAGGTTGGTTCGCCATTACCATTCGGTCGGTCTGTATCTGGAAGTCCCACAGGATCTTCGCACGCTCATTCTCCACCACATTTGGAGGAGTTTCCCACTTAGACCTTGGGGTTTCCAGCCCATACTCTGCACAGATGTTTCTGTACACTATGCCAGCCACTTGGTTATGGCGTTCCATGTAGGCCTTCCCTGCCAGCATCTTGCACCCTGCAGTTATGTGTTGGATCGTCTCAGGTGCCTCTTTGCACAACCGACACCTTGGGTCTTGTCTGGTGTGGTATATCTGGGCCTCTATCGCTCTGGTGCTCAGGGCCTGCTCCTGTGCAGCCATGATGAGTGCCTCTGTGCTGTCCTGTAGGCCAGCCCTTTCTAGCCATTGGTAGGACTTGAGATCAGCCACTTCTGTTATGCTCCGGTGGTACATGCCGTGTAGGGGCTTGTTCTCCCATGATGGGCTCTCCTCCAGCACCTCCTCATCTCGCCACTGCCTGAGACATTCACTGAGTACGTCATCCGTTTTGGCCTTCTCCATGATGTAGTTATGGAGTTTGGATGTTTCGTCCTGGACAGTGGCTCTCACACTCACTAGTCCTCGGCCTCCTTCTTTACGGCTTACGTACAGTCTCAGGGTGCTGGATTTGGGATGGAACCCGCCATGCATGGTAAGGAGCTTTCGAGTTTTAACATCCGTGGTCTGAATCTCTTCCTTTGGCCACCTGATTATTCCTGCAGGGTATCTGATCACTGGCGGGGCGATATATATATATATATACCACGTATTGTGATTTCTAGCTCGTAGTGAAAAAAAATATTTATTTGAATATCTCGCAAAAAGTAAAATGAACTGAACTTTGAACTAGTTCAGAATTAAAATTGAGAACTTCGAACGTGAACTGTTCACTTTGAGCATGTATGAACTGAACTTGAACTAGTTCAGAAAAGCTGTGAACTGGCACAACACTGGCCAAAGCTTTACTGTCATTGGGCCAGAGCAAAATTAAACAAATGTGACCTCACACGTCGGCTACACAGCCAGGCCAGCCTAGCAGTGCACCCAGTGTAGCTTCCCCGGTTGAAATGAGTCGTCTCTCCAACTGATGGTTCATACACGTTTTTATTTTTCCTTTTATATGAGCTGTAACGATGTGATTTTACCTTACTACTTTTTTAACAATAATTGATTAGCTTGTTATAGTTATACACTAATGAACACTTAGTTCATTGTGTGTGTATGTGTGTGTGTGTGTGTCTTTATTCTCACTAAACTCCATAAACGTTACGTTGCTAAGCAACGTACAACAATCCTTAAACGTCCGAGATTATATAAACAGTCAATATAAAAAAAAATAAAGAAAACAAAAGTTTTGACAGTCAATCTTAAAACTATAAAAGAACATCAAAATACAATGACAAAAACCCAAATTTAGAACCTTGTTTGGCCTGAATGGATGAAAAGCTCCCGGCCTGAAATGTTGTCCCACTCCGGCCCTGCTGTTTCCTCTATGGAAATCTACCCAAACTCATCTGTCTCCCCAAACTCACAGCTCCAGTCCAGCATGGACAACACTGATCACAGATGCACTGATCACAGATGCAGACATGCTACAGACCTGGGGTCTCAGGCTCACCTGGGGAAGCCTCTATGTCAAGCAAGTATTAGTTATTAGTTAATCTCAGCAAAACACTGTCCAAATTTCCCTAAGCATAAAGACTCAAAACAAAAGTATGTGTTAGAATGGTCCAGTGCTCTATCAAATCTAACAAAGTCTCAGTCTCAAGATGTGCCTAAAGCTTTTTGAGTGGTTGCAGAAAAAGGAGGTTCCACAAAGTATTCATTTAGCTGTATGGTCATTTATGCAGGACTCCCTTAGTTTAAGGTAATGTTTTTTTTTTATTTTTTTTATTTCACAACAAATCAGACATCTGCATGTAATGCATATAAAGCTCTGGTTTACTCTTTGCATAGACCTTTTGTAATAATCATAATGACTTATATTATATTATTATTATAACTGTTTCATCTTCCGTCCATCCATTTTCTTCTCCTTAATCCATTTCTGGGTCGGGGGATGGCAGTCAGAGCTGCACTCAAGTCACATAGCACCAGCCCCTCACTGATCCTCCTGCAGGTGGTGAGTCCACAGGAGGGGTCTTGCTGTTCCAGCTGGGGCTTCAGGCAAAGTGGGGTTAAGTGTCTTGCCCAAGGACACAGTGACAGCAGAAATCAGTGGGTGTTTAATCTTGTTTGGTGGAAATACTGTCTTACCCCAGACGTAATCTTTCGAACAATTTACACTATTTTGTAATAGAACTTGAGGGTTAGGGTTAGATCAAACAACTAAAGAAGAAAGTAGTTGTAAGTGTTGCTCCCACAGTCATCAACAAAGACAAGAGAATACTAGATTAAGAAAAACTATCATCCATCATAATTATACCTAATAACTAATTGCATTAAATGATGAACAAATTTGTAATTAGACGCCAGTGAACAAGCTAAAATCAACAGTATTCTGCTGAGTTAAAACATCAGAAACAGAATCAGTTTTTCTTTGCATTAAAAACAAAATTGTATGTATTTCCCACAGAAGTGATGGATGAGGAGTTTGTTTGTTCAATGCAGAGCTCTATAAACCCAATCTTATGTGTGCATTTGATAAACACATGTTAACAAATATGCATCCTGAAAATAAAAGATGAGAAATGACACGATGTCGACCATTTTGCAAAAAGAACTTTAGATGAAACTTAAACTTGAGCATCTGCAAATGTTTCTATTTGAGCTGTTTATTAGTAATTTCTGACACATTTCAGACAAAACGATAAGAATAGTGAAAATCATAGTATAAATGTATCTCAAATTATATATATTTATTCAGTTACAATATTGTTTGTATTAATCCTTTTGTATCTTAGGTGGATCTAGGTATCTATCATGGATACGCTGAACCTAAGAGTAGGATCTGCTGCCCTCTATTGGTGATTTATATAAAATGTTTTTCATACTGACATCCTGAGCTGCAGAGTCCCGCTCTCCCCATCTCTGTGTCTATTGAGCGCCACCTCTACCAGCCCCATACCTACCAGATACACAAAATGCCTTCTGACATCTCTAGCTATCGCCAAGAGGATAATCTTACTAAACTGGAAAACCAAAAACTCAATAAGTATCAACCACTGGATCAACTCCCTCACTCATCACATCACCACACATCACCCATCATCTCAAGATGATAACGTACTGTCCTTTGCGGAAACTTGGTCACCCTTCATCAAATACCTCAATATCACCGTATACTAATCACTAGTGTTTGGAAGCCCCCGCCACTATCCACTGGCACGCACGCGCACGCACACGCACACACGCACACACACACCACACACCACACACACCACACACAACACACCACACACCACACACAACACACACACACACACAGAATCCTAACACCATTAGTATTATGCTGCTAACCCTGTCACCACAGTAACCAAAGCCCTTTTTACCAAACCAAAACTGAAAAAATGAAAAAATGATAAAAACCAACAACAGACTCACACCTACTAGATCAGGCCATTCAGGAGGGGAGGCATGCGCTCTAGAGATGACTCCCCTGGAGCGCAGACCTCCCACAGAACCCTGGATTTTTAATGCATAACATAAGCCACACTCAACACACACATACAATACACACAAGATTAAACAAGGAAGTGGCCCTGCTGTCGATGTGTAGACGCGCACAAAAAATAAATAAATAAAAAATACAAATAATAATAATAATACAAAATAAGCAAATAAATATATTGTCACATAAACAGCCAAAATACGTTACTGGGATCTGTGGAGACAGCAAGTGGCAGCACTCATTTGTTTTTTGTTTTTGTTTTTTTCCGTTTTATTCACTGTTATTGCTCTGTTTTTCTATTTTTTCTATTTCTTCTTCAGACACATATGGTCACACATTTATACATATACACAAACATTCAAATACATTAACACCCACACTTACACATTAGCACCTACATATTTCCACGACAGTACTTGCTTGTTATTTTTTTTATTTTTTATTTAGTATTTTGTATTTCTTCGTTTCATGCTCTGGATGCCTTAAAAATGCCCCCCCCCCCCCCATTCCCCCTTCCCTCCTCCACCAATATATTCTGCACTACTATGTTGCACATAGTAATTTATGTTTTTTTATGGAATCTGTATCACATGGTGTTAAATAAAAAAATAAAAAAATAAAAAAATGTTTTTCATACATTTAAAACAAAAACAAAATTAAACTGTAAAGTTACTTACAGTGTGCGGTTGAAAACTCTTATACCCATCCATCCATTTTCTACCAAAAATAAGTTGTACTTCAGCCTAATCCCTTCGGTCACAAATGCGTTTGTATATTTATGATACAGTGTGTACATTAAGCTAAATTGTTTTTGTAACCTTGTCCTTTTTTAATATATTTTTTATGTCAAAAAAAATTTGTATGACCGAATAAACAAACAAACTTACTAACTTACCCCTTAATCCATTTCTGGGTGGGGGGTGGCAATCAGAGATGCAACCCCAGTTACATAGCACCAGCCCCTCACTGATCCTCCTGCAGGTGGTGAGTCCACAGGATGTGTGCGGGTTATGTGTCTTGACCAAGGACACAACGACAGCAGACCTAAGTGGGAGACGGTGGAGAAGGTCTCATGGTGGGCTCGAACCCCCCACCTTCAGGCTCAAAGGCCAATGCCCACTAAGCTACTGTCGCCCCTGTTATACCCATTTATTTCAACCCAAACCACATAATTTAAACATAATAAAAAAACTCTTTAAAGGGTAAATGTCTGCCTTTTATTTTGAACTATTGAGCATCGCCACAGTTATGGTGGTTCAACTTACAACACATACAAGTCAGACGTAGTACAAAAATATAACACATCATATTCAAATTGTTTGGTTTCTCAGGTGATTTGGTGGCATAAGCACTTACAATAGAAACAAAATAATTAATTTATTTGGGTGTACACACTAAACACTATGAACATTTAGATATTAACATTCTACAAAAAATCCTTACTTTTGAATATTGTTCAATTTCATTCATATAACGGCACCTGTGAAAAACAAACAATGTTAATAGTTTGAGGACAGATAAGTGATAATACTGGCTCTCACCTGGCTGTTTGTGTGCCTTGGATTTCCTATAGATACAAACAGATACCAGAACAACCAGTAGAAACGCCCCCACAGAAGCCCCAGCATACACCACAACAGGCCATGGGTTTGCTGCAAAAAGGAAAATCCTTTCACCTTTAATCATTTCACTTTTAGATCATATGACATTACTTTTGAGTAGGAGTCAAAAGGTCCAGGTGGACTGCTGGAGGAATACCTTTATGTAATATAAATGTATAATTTATAGATTTAGTACTTGTTTCACCTTGAGTAAATAGTGTAAAATCTTAAAATATATGATTTTCTCTAGTTTGTATTTACATTCTAATTCTATTTTAACAGGATTTCTTTGAGGTGCCCAAATAATTATTAGATAAACATATGAGTCTGGGAAATTCTGCCTAGCCCACTGCAGTCAGGATGAGTGGATGGAAAAGGAATGCTATTAAATGATGAAATATTAGGTCAAAATATCCCAGTGCCCTGTGACATTTCCTTTGGCTTTGCTCCTAACGATCTATTCACAAGTCACTTAAATATGTAATGAGTTCATCTCCAATTTGAAGCAACAGCAGAAACTTTTATGTTTGTTTCTGGGTATCTCACAAACATGTGTTTTGATATATATTACTCAAACTGTTACAGTTTGTACATACAGTAGTATAGTACAGTGTCATAGTTTGTCAACGGACACCACCTTTCCACTGTTTCACAATCAATTCATTATTTACTTACCTACTTTCATTTCTATAGAACTGAATAGCTTTATGATGTAGCCAGAAGCTGCTTATCACTACAGATATTAACCTCACTATTTTTAGGCCCTATCACAAAGCACATCCTGTTTTAATTGCACCATCTGATGATAACAGGATCCAGCATCATTGTTTAAAACTCAAAATCCTAACCTTTACCCAAAACCTAAGCCGAGCTCTAACCCTATAGCCCTATGCAAACATTGACCCAATAAATCATAAGCATATACTGTGGAAGACTTACCCTTGACCTCCAGCATCACCTCCACTTTCTTCAAATGAATTCCATCTTTGTCATAAACATCCACTTTGTATTTCCCCGCATCTTCCCACTGCACATTTTGAATCTTAATTGTGCCATTATTTCTGAACGCCTCGGTCCGATTCCTAAAAGCCTCCTCCAATATCTTCACAGTTTCTCTTCTGATTATCAGCACCTTCTTGGATCCACGGAACAACTCAAGACGATGGTCAGAAGCATTGGCCATCACTTGCAAATAAAGATCTCCTCCATGAGTCACAGAGCAGGTGCTATCGGTGTCTAAAAACTTGCACATGGTGTCACTGGGCCTCAAAAACCCTGCAATACACAAAAAGATTCATGGGAATTCGGACATAGTAAGTGTAAAAAAACCAATAACTTACCATAAATCAATTCAGGAAAAAGCACCAAAATGGAAAGAACCCGCAGCATAATTAAAATCAAATGCTAGAAGGGGGGCTTGTACAACACAGGAAATGGAGTATGCATGGGTGTCAACGGACGGGAGAGGAAATGCCAAATATTTCACTTCTGCTACGTTGTGTGCTAAACTCAGGTTTAGCAAGCCGTGTTGAGCAATTCTGTAAGTGTGCCTAAACACAACAATTAATAATAGCGAAGTGGTCAGTTCATTCCTTCCAATGCACCTGCAAATATGTGAGCCCCAAAATCACAGTAAACCACATGTTGGGTGCAATGTTATGTATAATGTTTGGTGTAAATTACGATTTTTGTGTGCATGCATCTATTTGTATTTGTATAACTCATTTCCACCTTGAGCTAAAGCAAATTCCTAGGTTGGGACTCACAATGGGAATAACAAGGATTCTGATTCTGATGGAAGGTGCAATGCTGTAATAAAATCCTTTGCGCTGGTTATTGACACATTTGTTTAAAAATGATTTCTTATTGGGGACATTGTTTCTGTTTGAAGATTAATAATGAGTGATATGCGCCAATATGCATTTAGTGGTGTTTCGAAACAGGAAATTGCGTTGCCACTAAACAAGAGAATATACTAGAATACTCTTTATTTGTCCCACAATGGGGCAAAAGCACATGCAGCGCACATACAGGACAGTCGGAGTGAGGAGAACATAGAACAAGACATTAAACTGGGTTAAAAGTAAAAGATAATGGTAAGTTATGCTTCTTTAGCTTTAAAATCTTTTAAAATCACTTAGCACTTTGACTAGAACGTGTTTAAAATAAGTAAACATTTAAGACACAAGACAAGGTTTCAAATTTATTCACTAAACAAATAAAAGTAGGCGCAAATGGTGTTAAAGTCCTGTTGCCTACTGTCCAAAACTGTTCACAGGTGTTTCACATTAGAATGGCAGAGGTAGTTTCATACCACAGACTCGTTTCCCTATTGACTATTTTTGTCATGCCTTAAAAGCTTGTCATATTCAGCTCATAGAATAGGAAAATATAAGTTGAGGGTGAGGCAAACAGAATACTGCTTTACAAATAGTCTGAAACCACAGGTAGATGATAGTCATTAGGCCTTCCCCTGATGATGACGATGAGGATGATGCCATAAGTTAAAGGTGCACTAATGCAACTTTTCTACCCATCAGAAAAGTAGAGGGCATGCCCTCAGGTTGTTTCCCTAGCGTATGGTAGTTTCCATGGTGATATTTCTTAGTCAGACTGCTACACCATGTGGCATCAAGCTCATCTTTTCTCATTAAAACAAGGTGCTTGTTTATTTGAACAATCTATTATATCCAATTGGACAACAATTTGGACTGAAGACTCTTGAGTAATGACATGCTTTGGGAGAGTTTAAGCTTCCTCCTCCAGTCACTTTGCTCTGTCTGGCGGCTGTCATACCACTCCTCGTCTTCTTCATCCTCCACCCATGGCAGCCATACCCCTCCGTTGAGGCTGGGGTCGGCCCGCGGGTCCTCCGAGGGGTACCTCACTGGCACCGCTGTGCGATTGTAGAATGCAAGTCTGGCCAGAAGTTCGTACACAATATCCGGTCTTTCATCTGCATAATCGCGGCGCTCGTAAGGATCTGTAGCTATGTTGAACAGCCATTTGGATTTCTTTGGCTCAAGGTGTCGCTCAAGGCTCCACCAAGTATTTGGAAACCCAGGAAGAATTTGAGGCGGAATCCAGTCTCCATACCCTGGGTCTCCAGTCAGAAGTTTCCAATCTCCAACCCGTATAGATGCCTGGATAGCTGTATTCCATATGCCATAGCCCTCCTGCAATGATCCACTTCGAGCGTGGTTGTAAAGTGGGTCAATATTATGTAGGATTTCATATCTTGGAGACTCTTTGTCCTCACTGATGGCTTCCCAAACATCAAACCCATCTAAGCCTTCAGTCATGGAACTATTACCACCAGCTAATGCCACAAGGGTTGGATACCAGTCAGTGATATGCACCAGGGCATTGCTCACTCTCCTCCTCCTTCTGAGCAGAGGGCTGTGCACAAAGCCCAAACCTCTGATACCCCCTTCCCAATATGTACCTTTGCGCCCTCGCAGAGGCCAGTTGTTGCCCCCAGACAGAGGCTGGCCCCCATTGTCAGTGGAGAAGATGAGCACACTGTTTTTATAGTATCCATATTTGCGAAGGGCATATGTGATATTTCGAACTGCTTCATCTACAGCAGCGACCATACCTGCGTACTTCCTGCGTGCAACATTGTCCAGGTCCTTATATGGGTCGATGTACTCCTGAGGTGATTGCAGGGGAGTGTGCACCGCCTGAAAGGAGAGGAAGATAAATAATGGCTGGGCCTTTGGGTCGTGATTTGCCAAGATCTTGCGTACTCGCCGAGTGTACAAGTGTGTTGAGTATTTCCCTTTGTGACGCCACGCTACTGTCTCTCCTTCATGCAGGTCATATCCACACAGGTCAGGGCCGTCACAGGAGCTGTAGGTATAGTAGTTTACACTCCCCGTTAAGGAGCCTAAGTAAGTATCAAATCCACGACGTGTTGGCAGACATTCTTTTTTGTAAAAGCCCAAGTGCCACTTCCCAACCATGTGTGTGGCATAGCCCAGCTCCTGCAGCCTCTGTGGCAGAGTGACCTGGTCCAGAGGCAGGCAGTTTGGCTGCCGGGGCCGAATGATGGAGTGCTGCAAACCTGTGTGGATTTGGTACCTGCACATAATAAATAAGTATTAGCAACTGTGAATACAATATTAATAACAACAATCATTGAATTGTTGAGTGTAATGTCTTCAGGACTATATGTATTCCATACATTTGTGCAATTTGGTAAAAAATTTGTATACATCTACATGACATGTTCAACGTATCTTTTATGATTTGAATGCATTATTTGCTAAAGCACTTTGAATCAAATTTTGTGTGTGTGCAACTAAACTTATTCTTGCACACTTGTAATTTGATTGTTAAAGGCTCTTCTTAGTAAAAACACAGCAATGAACTACAAACAATAAATTAATAACAGGACACATTTACATGATCTCATTTTCTCTCATACATATCTTGATTCGATTATATGCATGCATTACCTCATCCTAACATTCACAAAACAGCTCTGACATAAGCCATGTACATTGCATTAGGACTTTACCTCCCTGTCATGAACTGGCTCCTGGATGGGGTGCAGATGGGTTGAATGTAGTAATTCTCCAATTTAACTCCATATGCAGCCAGTTTGTCCAACGTAGGAGTTTTGATGTCTGAACTGTGATATCCAATGTCATTAAATCCCTGATCGTCGGTCATGATGAAGATGATGTGAGGAGGCTGCGCCGCTGAAGGAGAGCTGTCTCCAAAAGTCTCCACTCCCTCGTCAATCTCCACCTGATTAGGACTGTTTGGATCCCAGGCGAGGTAGCCCAGACTGAGCAAACTCATCATGGAGAACCCCGTCAGCGCATTCGTACCCATAATGTAATCTATTAACTATCTAAATGTCAGAAAACCATTTTGCGTTGTTCACACTACGTGTAGAATTTACTGAGAAAAGATATAGGTGACTTCTGTACTTATGTTGTACCTCCCCAAAATTTCTTTGAAAACATTTCCTCCTCCCTAGTGGTCAATCACAGACCCCGCCTATTTGCCTTTCTGGCTCACGAGCACACACAAACATACTGTAATGTTACACATGCCGGTAATGACTGCATTTAGCTCCCCATTTCATAACGATACTAGCCTTGGGTGTATCGTTTCAATAGGGACAAGGCTTGAGTTTTCTTCATTCATGCTTTTCTATAATAATTAAAGTTCAATCATACAACTGCCAACTTTTAGAACTGCTAGAACCCTTCAAAAATTTCTCGCTGACCTGATTTAACAGGAGATGACAGAGGCCCTACAGAAAGACCCTCAGTTACATAGAAAAAACACGAAGTGTGGGGGTGATGGAGTGCGGGGGCCCGATAGACACAATCAGAGACACTGTTCTCCTTCTAGCACACAGCGCACACTTATCATCTCACACCTGAAGAGACATCACACAGCCGTCTCTGATACCAGAGGTCGATAAGATCTCCACCATGTGTCAAAGAGCCACCTAGGCTGAGGCTTCTTGTGCAGAGTGGCTTAAATTAGATATTTGCTTTATAATGCTTCTGGGTTTTGATGTGTATGTCAATTCAAATAGGTTTTCATTATTCACTTAATTCAGTTAATCTAATCTACATGATATAATGCTGCTAAAGAAATACATACTACTAATAGATCCACTGGATGAGAGACATATTTTTGGAAACAGATTTAGACATAAAACTTCACACCTTGCAAATGTTGATATTGGTTACACAGAGACTTGTGGGCATGCATGTTGCAAGCCAGTCCAAAGAGGGTATAGCCCTCCCGGTAAGAACACAAAACTGTGGCTATGGATGTTTGCTAAAGCATCATATTTGGAGTATAGCCCAACAGCTCCACTAAGTTTAAGGAAGGACAAATTGATGCAAGGTACCGAGTTGAAAAGAGGGAGTTTCTTGCTTGTACTACATTTTATTTATCATGTAAAGGTTTTTTAAATGTAAGATGTTCAGAGCTGGTCACAACAATGTTTTATTTGCTTAGTTAGATGTCGTATACAATACATGAATTAAAGCTGCTATTAATAAAATTTGTCTTGTGATGTCATAAATCTTGGTTGTTAACCGAATCTGAACAGTCTGTTGGAAACATATACACTTTAAAGACAAATGAACAAAGACTTTGGCAGGTTCTCATTGTTGGACTAACAAACTTGGTTTCAGCAGTGTATTAAGTGTATTCTGAGAGTATGTTTTGTCACAAGGCCAAACGGTTTATTAAAAACAAAATCATAAATAAATAGAACCTGCTCTTGGACTCAAATTACAATATTTATAACTGTGGTATGGTGGTCCTGTCTGACGTTTGTGTAAAGTAAATCACTGTTTTAAGAACCAGAGGTAGGTCTAGACGTAATGCAAACAACAACTTCAAATAACATTCTCTAAAGGACATTCAAATAACTGTCTTTGGCCTCCATATTACTGCTGTATGTATGATTTGGACCATAGATTGAGCTCTGGTTTTATGTCTGTTGTTTAAAAAGTGTTAAAAGAAGACAATTCCATTATTAAATTTCTCAACCATAACCCCTCCTTCTGAACAATTACTCACCAAGTTGGAATACTTGTAAGTAAATGTGTAGATCTTATTTTCCTTTTGCTCATAAAATGTTAAATGAGGGGCTATAATGTGCATGGAAACATTAAGTTAAGCCACCCAAACAAAACAGTGAGACTTGTAAGGATTTTTTACATACGAAAAAATAAAATGAAAATTTCAAACCACTCTGGAAAGGATGTAAAATATATTGAGGTGAATCTCAGGAAATGTATGTGGTCTAAAGTTTTATGGTGCAGCATGAATGAAAATAGTTGAAGGGAAACTAGATAATTAGTCACTATGCTGCTGTGCTTTGGTTGGGCACAGATGTGTGCTTTGGCCAAAGGTAGCTCTGCTGTTACTGAATATGGCAGCTGCCTGAACACTAGAGCCTTTCTAATCAGCCCAGCCCTGCCCGTAAGCCCCCTCTTACCTCAATTTTCTAATCTGAGAAAGACTGGGCCGTGTTTTTTTCTGCCCATGCATCAACTCTTCCAAAACTCTGCATTAACATATCTGAGTCATACTTCCGCTCAATAAATGCACCTATTTTTGTAAATTCAAGAAACATGTCTCATTCCATTGCAATGATTGGGTATCCTATATTATTCCATTCTCTGTGGTAAATTATCAGAAAATGAATTGTGTGTCCTTTTGGCAACTCCCAGATTGTAATCCAAGAAGTAAAATATTTAAAGCATATGAAAAAGCATATACAATATAGAATGAAAGTACAGTACTTACAATAGTTGCTGCTGAATTTGGCATCTTGTTGTATTTGACTTGGCCTTGCTGAATCGTAGCATACCTAAAACAGAAAGAATTTATTATCAAATGTAGATCTAACGTTTGCAGAAACACTTCAGTTTCCAAGGATTTTTTTTGTTTTTGTTTTGATGATGAATGCAGTGAGGTTGTTTAAATCACTGACATTAGAACTAAGTGGTCCATTAAAGTGGATTTATTACAGAAAAGTAGCCTTAACACACATTAATGTTCCCCAGCACTAATACATCTCGACTACTTTTTGAGCAATTACCTTCAAAGGGATTCCGGTCCAGATTAAGCAAGTAAACATAATAAATGTGTTTATTTTCTGAAAGAGTGCACTGCTATATACTGTCACTTCCCCTTCTGTAATTCATCAAAAGCCAGAGACTAATCTACATCATAGTATCTGTTTAGACTTATAGCGTATTCATTAGTCATACACTTTTTTTATGCCAACAAAAACACATATATACATAAACATATAAATATCCAGGACAACAAAGTGTTTGAATATACTCAAATAAAAATGTTAAATGTCAAATAAACTTTGCTTGATTTCTGTGGTGTCCCACTCTCCTTTGCATTATGCATGTATGCTGTGTGAGAGAGTTCTCCAGTCAGGAAGCAGCCATGCAGCCACCAGTCAGGAGAACTCTCTCCTGCACCTTGCAAAGTCCACGCCTAAAGATCAAGACATTTTGCTGCCACGTTTCAAAGTAACAGAGGATTCATGCTGTAAATCAAACTCGATGCAAAGTTCATTAAACAAATGGAGTCCCTTGTCACCAAACATGTCTTCAACCTTTTTCATACCCTATTTTAATCATTATTTAATTGAGTCTAAATCATAGACTGTATATATATATATATTTAAAAAACTGGAGCACCTCACTTTTTTCAAAGGTGATGCATTTTGTTTGTCGTTAAAAGAAAGATAGAAAAATCAGACCACTATGTTGCCTAACGTAATTCAACCTATTTTGAAAACGTGTAAGAACAAAATATTGAATGTGGTCTGAACTAGCTTTAGCTAATCTGCATGACAGTTCGAGGTCAGAAAATACCTGTATGTGAATCCATGGTGAAAACCCGTTAATATAATAGATCCATGGTGAAAACTCGTGAGCAAGATGGATTTAATTACATACTTAATTACAAATTAGGTACCCCTGCTTTAATCAAACCGTCGGATGTCTGTTCCATGGATGTATTATAATATCTGTTCATTTAAGAAACATGAACAGAATCGATATTATTGAAAAATATATATATAACTGAAATACGTAGGCTAATTACAATTTTGCCTATTATTAACTTTTGATAATAACAGCAGCTTCATATGTTTACAGAGTTCAAACATTAAAGGAGCACTATGTGCGAAAATGACAAATACCTTATTTTTGTTTCGCCTATCATTTTGTTTGACTCCAACTCCCAGGATGCCTTGCATTCGACGAACGCTGAGCCAAACTACATCCGGGGTCCTGGGTTGAAAGTGTGGCCATGTGTGTGTTGTAGGAAGAAGTGCCTGTGCGCGGTGAGATTCGACTATGATAGATCGTTTAGTGGTTGTTTTAAAGTGTTTGTGGCTTCGCTCCTGTCCGTCATGGCTGCTTCAAACCCGGAGCTGATCCCGCTGATCTATCGCCACCTGAAGGAGCATGGTTTCCACACGGCTGCAGAAGCGCTCCAAAAGCAGAGTATTCAGGTTCATACAACTCTCTCACAGGAACTCAAACTAATGCAAAGTAAAGCGCTTGAAATAGTTTGTTTTATGTGACAGCCCATGCAGCGAGTTATGTTCTGTGTTACACTTGTATGTATTACAAAAACAACCAGGCTTTAATTACACACATACAGTCTATGGGTGAGACATGGCATACAGTAGGTCTCAGACGTTACATGACTTAGTGTGTAGTTTGTCTCATTACATATTCGTGCAAACCTGCTATTGACAATATAGTGTTCTACATGTTTCTCTCCTTTCTTTCCTTTAATCTTGTAGAATGAGACTCCCCCACCCGCTTCATTGTTGGACATCTACAGCTCATGGTTAAAGTGAGTACAATTTGTGTAAAAGCAAATGCATGGTGTGTGCAATTTCAAAGTTAATGTATGTTTGTTTTACTTACAGAACTTGTAAAAGAAAAAAAAAGTTGTCCTCATCAACTCCAGGAAAGAAACCAGCAAAACCCATAAAAGGTATGACAGTGTGAGCTGTTGTCTGCGTCCAGGAATATTTATCTTTCCTGGTCATTTGAGTTGATCAATCTTCCTAATCAAAACTCAACCTTAAGCAAAAATGCAAACAATATATACATTTAAACATTTACAATAAATTTAACAAAAGCTAAATTACTTATTACTTCACCAAAACAGAAATTGACCTCTGCCTAATGAGGTTGGCTTGTATGTATGGTCACAATTTAGTTGTTTTGTCAGGAACACAAATATATTGTGATGTCTCCTGTTTATCCCAATTACTTTTAACTTATATTTTAATCGCATTTCCATGCAGCAGCTGCAGAGAGGAAAAATAAAGACAAAGCTGCTAAACAGCGGGGGTCTCCAAACAAAAAGGTAAACACTAAGAGCTTGCCATGGCGTATTGTCTGTGATTTCTGACAAGAAGTGGTGTCTCTTTTTAGTCTCCAACCAAAGAGAAAAAGGTGGATGGAAAAGCATCAGAAAAAAAAATCAAATCCAACAAGAAACAAGCGAAGAAGAAAAAGAGTGGAGAGGACTCTGACTCTGACAGCAGCCTGGACGTGGAGAAGTGGAAGAAACTCGTTGAACAGATGACAGGTAAAACAATATAGGGAGAAATATGGTCAATGTTTTTAATAAAGGGGAATATTGATTATTTTATTGTGCTAGTTAGATTTAAGTCCTGATCATTGGTATTGTCCATGTAGCGTTTATATTATTGAAAAATGTATCTAAGTGTCTGTCCAGTCCTCTGGGAGGGATTGGAATTCATTTGTTTTTTTTTTTCATTTTATTGTATTGTGATAGGTGGATAGGAAAATGTAAGCATTGCTTAATTCTATTCCAAGCTGAAAGTGTTCTTCTCACATTGCCTAGAATGAGTCTGTGGTGATGGTCGGAGAGGCTGATGGCACATACTGGTTGCCTCGCCTCTGTCAGTTTGCCCCACGGCAGCTGTGGCTAAGAAAAAGCGTGATGTCAAACCGATGCATTATTTTTACAACTACATGAAACAATTGTCGTTGAAAGAAATCAGTATAATAAATCAATGCTGCTTTATATGCCCGATATAATGCAACATTATGATGGGCACCTTGTGATGTGCCTTGTATTCTGCAAGTATGTTTTCATGTGCTCACATATGAAAGACAAATTTACAAGTTTCATTAATGCATTAAAAAAGTTATATCATGGGGTAGGTCACTACCACAATTGAGTATACCTGACTTTATTAAAATCTATGCTCTCCAAGACTGAACACTACGGGTTATGAATAATATCTCATTTTTTGTGTTATAAACTGAAAATGTTGTCCGATCACTAACATTAGATCTCTTTGCACAGACGCTGACCTGGCTAAAGTTGAAGAGTTCAATGCTCTGGCTGCTCCAAAACCCAAAAGGGTGAGAAAGTCTCGTGCTAAGCCAAAACCCAAATCAGAAGACCAACCGAGTAAAACACCTGAAAAGTACACTGAGGACATAGTGGCTCAAAGTAATCCAACAGTGGCCCCTGTTGCTGCACTGGAAATCTCAACCCAGGAGCAAAATGTAGAAATACCGGTCGCAAATGTCACGCCAGCAAAAAAACAGAGTGCCGAAAAAAAGAAAATCAATTCTAAAGATGAAAATCCTCCTAAACGGAAAGGGAAGAAGGTTACCATGGTTGCAAATGGAGATGGAGAGGGTCTTTCCCATCTTATTGACAAACCTGTTGAGAATAATGCTGAAATAAGTAATTTGGCATCAAACAAACAAATGCAGGAAAGTGACGAGAAAATCTCCTCGTCCGATCTTCAAACTGAGCCAAAGAAAAAAAAGAAGAAAAGGACTCTTGGAGATGGAGGGAGCATTCTTCTTGATGATCAAAACTTTGAAAAAGATGTTGAAAATACAGTTGATAAATGTAATAACGACTCAATAACTGAAGACTTGAGTAGTTTATCAAACAGTGCTGTTGTTGAGTCGACAGTGAAAGCGAAGAAGAAAAAAAAGGATAAATCTAAAGAGGACTGTGTGCAAACCGTGACGGCTGTGACCACTGAAGAAACTTTAGAGAAACTAACGGAAGAATCTAATCCACTCACTGAAGAAGTTTCCATTTCAGCACAAAATCTTGAGAAAGCGAAATCTCCAGATCAAAATCCAACTAAAAAGAAAAAAAAGGCCACTACGACTCCAAATATGACTACTGCAAATGGTGATGGTCTTGTTGATAAAAATGTTGAGAGTTGTGCTGAAACAGAGAAACCAGTGCAGGAAAGTCTGGAAAATGCCTGCGATCTTCAAACTGGGCCAAAAAAGAAAAAGAAAAAGCACAAATCTAAAGAAGACTGTCTAGAACTTATCAACTCTGTACCCACTGAAGAAACTTTAGAGAATGTAGCGGAAGATTCTAATCCAATCACAGAAGAAATGGCCCCTAAAAAGAAGAAAAAGAAAAAAGACAAGAGCCGAGTAGAATTGGACACTTTACCGCCAGAAGATGTTATTGCAGAGACGACACAAAGAACTGAGAAAAAGAAGAAGAAAAAAAAGCAGTGTCATGTCAGTGAAGTACCAGAAGAACCTTCAGATCCCCCATCTACTCCACAGACGCCAGGCCCAAAGAAAAGTGAGTTGACATGTTCAGTATTTCTGTATTATCTTCTGTTTTTATTGATTGTAAGGCTGCTCAAGCAAGTTTTTACTGTGTCTGTGGGGCGGCAGAGATTCAGAAACCCACATAGTAATTTTAGCTTTTTTTTCCCTTTTTCTATTCAAATGTGCTTAGGAGGAAAGCATTATTTTCATATTCTGCATTAACCAAAGCTACTCTGTGAACCTTCTGTATGTTAACTCTTTTGTTTTTTCAGAGAAGCACAAGTTGCAACCAGAGGAGCTCACTGAGGCAGATCCTTCTTCACCAACAGCAGAAAATGAGACTCCAAAAAAGGTGATGTGTGGTGTTCGTTTGGGAAATTTAGTAGTGAATATTTTTGACTAATCGTTTAAAGATCCAGTCAGGGATTTTTTTCCTGACATTTTTTTAAATATTGTGGGAAAACGTTCCTAAACCCTAAAAGTAGTTATCTGTTATGTGTTTTCAAATAGTAATTGAATTGATCAGATGCCTATAGTCTCCAGAAATTAATAAACAATATTTTGGAGTGGACCAATAAAAATAAACCAATGGGATTCGTTCATCCCCAACGAACCAATGGGATGCGTTTACCCCCTTCACCCTCTTCCTGTTTCTTGTTATTGCGCGCACCTGAGTTATCGGATTTCCTACTATGGGGGCGGGTCCCGGCTCAAAAGTGGCCAAAATGACGTGCGCTGACATGCTTGCAATACCACCCCGGGCCGATGGGGGTGGACCCAGAAGAAGAATTAGCCAATGCTAACATATAGCTTTAGTTGACCTCTCGAAAAAGTCTTTTGTGCTAGCTTTTTGGATAGCTCCAGTAGAGCACAATTTTTGGCCCATTAGTTTGAACGGCGCAGATTGGCGTGACTACGTCCGTTAATATTTACAGTCTATGATTTTCTAAAACCTAAAAGGGCTGAACAGAAAATGCCCCACTTCATGTTTGCCACCCACTCCCTGTCGTGACAAAGAAAAGTAAATGCTGGATGTTTGGTTTGGTGGAGAGGCGAGAGGAGGGGGAGTGGTTTTGAGTTGGTGCTACGGCTAAACTAACATAATCCCTTACTGCATTTTTAATCTTGTATTTTTTCTTGTTTAACAGAAAAAGAAGAAATCCACCAAGGGGCAGGGAACAGAAAGTTAACATGCCAAGCTCTATCCAGATGAGCTGTTTTAAACTAAATGCAGAGACTTATTATTGTGGTACCTTTATAATTTTGAGGTTTTTTTAATCTGTTGACTGTCTTAAAATGTAGTTTTTTATACTTTTATTGGAAGCCCCCCCCCCCGTGTACAAAATAAATGCAATGGACTGTTATTCTTTTATATGCATCTTATTTTTTAAGATGTTTTTAGCTGTCATTAAAAGCTACCATTTTTCCATTTTCTTGTATGAAACAGGGGGAAAAAGGTTTTTCTATGCCCTCACCAGGTTTGGTCATCATGCTGAAATTAGCTATTTATTAAATCTTGTATTATGTAGTCATGATGACCCATATTTCTGTACATTTTTAAAATAAATATTTACATACAATTGTTCTCCTTGTTGTGACATTCTGTGTTCGGAGGGGGCGCTGTGTCTATACTGGAACCGTCTGTACGACAGAAGAAGCGCTGTCTGTTGGTGTGTTGTGAACTTGTCACTGCTGCAGACATGTGTTTGTGTTTTTATCACATCTTATTTTGTAAATGTAATAAATAGAATGTGGCGTTTGAGCAAAGTTCGCCACAAAGCGCGTCTCCATGACAACAGCTCAGAGCAGCTCCGGCTGAAGAGGCGCGAGCAGGAGAAAGGTGACTGATGTATCTAAATATGTGTTTGTGCTACTGTTTCTTTAAACATATGTATCTAACTGTGTTTGTGCTACTGTTTCTTTAAACATATGTATCTAACTATGTGTTTGTGGTGTAGCTCTGAGACAGGCACGTAAGGACAGACAGCTCTTCAGCAAGAGACTCCTGCTCAATGAAGATGACGAAGAGGAGCTGTACACAGAAGAACAGGTTATAATGCCCATTTATTACAGAACGAAAGGCAGGGCATCATTTAAGCTTAGTCTACAAACATAATTCTATACAATCACAATAATACAACTATGTGAAAGGAGTGAATGATGACCTTTTAGAATTGATGAAAGCCTTGTTTAGTTGAAGTTGGGGTATTTAACAGGAGGACTCACATGTGTCTCAATAAGACCCAAAAGAATATACAATTCCAAGGATGAATGAAACTCGCATTAAGATATTTGTGAAGCATATTCTGCATAATCCAATCAAAGTATTACATGCGGAATACTTGCAGTCCTCACACATTCATTTGCATAACATTGTTGCTTGGGCTGGGCGATCTGAGAGCTGGGCTCCTCTTCAGCCCCATGGTGGGAGTCTCAATTTTACACATTTTAAACTAATATTTAAATCTCCAGTTGCTGCCTTTCACTTACCTTATTCTGCCAAGTATAGTTTTAACTCTTCCATAATGTCCACTCATTGCACAGCTGGTGTCTTCTACAGGATGTGGTCAAATTGTTCCAGCATCTGCAGAGATGTGGTCCAGAGAAAGAAGCCTCTCTGAAACATTTGAGGAGAGCACTACGTCACCCATCTGCTCAGAACACATTCATCAAGTAAAACATTTATCTTTGCTACCTGTTGTTTAGCATTAGGATTCAAATATTGATGGCAGTATTGATTTATAGTTATTTCTACTCATTTCTGTGTCACTATCAAGACAGATCTGAAAGACAAGAAGTCAAACTATTTTTTCTATACTTATTCATTAATGTCATTAATGTGACATCACAAAATTGTAAAGAACGTTTAGTTTAAAATTGTTGTAGGGGGCTGTGGATAAATCTTTCCTGGTACCTATTGTAACTACCCACATCAGACATTTAGTCGTAGTTTAATCTAAGTCCTGGGCCAATCCACATACACAAACTGTCAAAAGGTTTGTTGGTACATATCAACTATGTTTTATTATTTTCTCAGAAAGATGAGATAAGAATACCTTTATTCGTCCCACAGTGGGGAAATTTTGATGTTGCAGCGCACACAGCACACAGGGAGCACACACAATATATACAAATAAGTAGTAGCTATGTTTCTTAGCTAACAGGTGCCTTGAAGTGGTGACAACCTTCAGACATAATACAGCAGAAAACATTTGGGCATTTTTTTTTTCAACATTTCTTTCAAAAATGTTTTCTTTACCATAGTGTAGGGTATCGACCTTCCAACGGAAATACAATTCTACAACATGAAGGCAACCTATGTTACAACTGTTTGCGTTTATACAATTATGAAAGTGCAAGTTTGACTTATTTGTAGATTATGGAATATATCTCTTGCTGACAAACACACTCTGGAATTCCTTGGTTTCAGATCACATCACACCATTTTAAAAGTCAATTGTTTATAATACAGGTTCAATTAAATATAGTTAAAAGGACCAAGCTTTACAAAAATCTCAGTCAGAAAGTCAAGACTGCACGGTGGCTGAGTGGATAGCTCTCAGCAAGAAAGTCCAGGGTTCGAATCCCGGTTGGAATATGGCCTTTCTGAATGGAGTTTGCATGTTCTCTCTGTGCCTGTGCAGGTTTCCTCTGGGTTCTCCGGTTTCCCCTATATATAAAAACATGTACAATTGTTAGAAATCAAATAAAAAACTTGGGCGCTGTACTACGGCGACCATTGTTCCTGACAGACGGGTCAAATGCTGAGGATGAACTGCCCTATGGGTTACCTTACCTTTGGTGAGGTGATAACACTACATTGAGACGACATTGTTCCAACAGAGACAGAATAAAAGACTAGCTGTCCATTGCTGTCTCTCTTCAGGTTGGAGAACAGCATGCATCTGCTGGTGGGCCTGCTCTCTGGCTCTAGCTCAGAGTGCCGCCTCCAGGCCGTGTGCTGTCTTCATGAACTGTCCCACGCTCCACAAAGCACGGTCTCCGCAGCCATCCTCCCGGCCTCCTCGTACCTGCTCACCTACCTGTCAGGACAGAGCTCCAAGTTTACTGTGAGTGTCCACTTTACTTAATTCATCATTAAAAATCCAAACGAGACTAGTTAATTGGACATTCCATGTTTTAGAATGTAAAATAATTCAGTGGCTTTATTTTATAGATTGAGGACTAATGTAATTCTGCTGCTTTGGCGCCTAAATGGTTTCTGGTACATTTTAGCTTGTTTTATTGCATATAATTGTCTGGTGTACACTGTGCTCATTTACTCCAATGTGGTTTTACTACGAATGGAAAATTAAATGAAACTGAATCTAAAGGGTTAACTTGAACCAGAGCTATGCACACAACCAAATGAATGTATAATTGTTATGTTTTTATTTGTGTATTTTCAAATTGTCTGAACAGGAGCTGTGCCTTTACACCTTGGGAAATTTGTGCCCTGAAAATGATGTAATAAAGGAGAAGCTACTCTCTCAGGGAATAATTCCAGCACTTGTAAATTGTTTGGAGGTAATTTTAATCCCAATAATTATCAAAATAATGCCTTGTTCTTATATTGTACTTTTTAGACAAAGACTCACCACGTGTCATCATTCATTCATTCCCTCACTCACTCCATACACAGCTGCCATAGCTGCTTTGGAACACACTGAGAGAAGTGTGGCATCCAGTATGTGCCATCAGCCCCTATGACCACCACCAACACACACACACCAGACTTATACGACACAATATGCATGAATGTTCTCTCATCACATTACAAACCAGGCCCTTTACTGCTTAGCTTCTGAGATCTGAAGGGATCTGGCTTTCACAACTTTCAAGTGAAACTAAAAATTACTTATTTATTTTTTATAGTTAAGTTTTGTCAAAGCTTTTTGCCCAATAGCAAATGCGAGTTGTATTATTATAGGTTTCTCATATATGTAATCTGTAATTGTGTTGTCATACATGTGCTTCTTGTTCCCAGACTCAGATGCATAACCTGGCGTTAGTAGAAGCTGTTGGATTCACACTTTCACAGCTTCTGCAAGGTTCAAAAGCTGCAGAGAAAATTGCACCGTAAGAATGAACAATACAGGTCTTATCTTTAGTTGTGCTGCTCATGATTGTTGTTATGTTTAGGATCGTTCTGGGCTCGAGGTTGCCTTTGCTCTTGTGCTCAGTTCTCTCTCCAGACCCTGAGTTTGGTTTGGCTCCAGCGATCGAATGTGCCTGGTGTCTGCATTACCTCATATGCAGCTGGTGAGGATGGACTCTTTTGACAAGGCTTTCAGCATCACTGATTCACAACATGCTCCATCTCCTTATTCTTTCTACAGTGCTCCTGGTGAATGCAGCATCCTCTTGACTCAAGGAGCACTGTCTAAATGTAGCTCCCTATTGGTATCAATAGGTGGCACTGTTGGTGAAGAAAAGACGGATGAAGAACTGGAATTGGTAGGTTCTTCGCTTCATTCAGCAAATACAGAGGGCTTGTTCACAATAAAGGGTACAAAAGTGTGACAGATGGCCAAAAATTTGATTTAAAATAATCAGAAGATATTTTATGTGTTTCAGTTATCCAAATACCTCTTCTGTCCATTAGTAGTTGCTAGAAGATAACGGTTTTATACATTAGTCAAGTGTCCTATAGTGGCTTTGGTTATTTGTGTAACGGACGTGATCCTTTGATGGAATGAGTTATGCGGAAGTTTGTTACATGTTTTCACATATCCACTTTTGATTAAGAGATTTTTTTTTTACAGAGTAGAAACAATGATTACTTTCATATAGTAAATCAATGTAACTTTTTTTGTAAATTCTGTAGATGGTTCTATAGAAATAGAATAGTGGTCAGTTAAAGGAAACCTTGGCACAGCCCAATTCAGGATTATTCAAATAACAGAAATTACACTTATGGCAGTTCATTAAAGTCTGGTTGAATGGCTCCTTTGATGACTGATGACTCCCTGCAGCTGGTGTGGCCCCTGTTGCGTTGCGTGGGGAACCTGGTGTCGTCCTGCCCCGTGGAGCTGCTCCCTGGAGAAGTGCACGTCTGTCTCCCAGCAGCTTTGTGTTCTCTGCTTCACACTTATCTGAAGACTCAGCCCGCTCTGGCCCGAGAGGCAGCCTGGGTCCTCAACAATCTAACAGGTGTTGCTTCATTCTTCTTAAGGACAGATTTAGGGTCATGCAACGTGTAAATAAAATGAGATAATATATTGCAATTCAGGATATTTAGGTCTGAATGTCACAGTCTGATCTGTGCCCTGTCGAGCTCTGAGTGACGGTAGATTTGACCACTCACAAAGGGTTGTGAACACTTCATTATTTTATTGTGAAAACTTCAAGAAATAGTAAAAAGGGGAAAACTTTGCACATTCAACTCTGTGACAGGTGCGTAAGAGCAGGCTCCGCACACAACTTCGTCAACTTTAGAAAGGATGAGAATAACTCTCTACTTGCATACACAAGTGTTTTGTTTTTTTTACAGATGTGCAACATTTCAGCCATAGGCCTTCGTCAGGAGAACTTCAAACATGATTAACTTCATCAAGAATCAATGAAGAAATAGAAAATGTTATTTCCAACATGGTCTTGTCGTATTCTCACATGACTACTAGATGCTATTTACACGTATGAACAAGGATAAGAGTCTAGGGTAACACACCCATGCTTTACCATAGACTGTCAATATTAACAGACATAGTCACGCCTATCTGTGCCTTCTATGGGGCTTTTTCAAAATGGTTTCGGGCAGCCCTTCCTGCAGGAAAATGTTAACATTTATTTGCGCATGCGTTAACCGGCACCAGCCCCTCAGCATTGACCAGTGGGGGCGGCTCCCAGCTCAAAAGTGGCCAAAATGACGTGCGCTGACATGCTTGCAATACCACCCCGGGCCGATGGGGGTGGACCCAGAAGACGAATTAGCCAATGCTAACATATAGCATTGGCAGACCTCTCAAAAACGTCTTTACAGGATGGACCAAAAGTTGGCTCTTGGCCCAAAGCTCCGTTCCACATGTGTGTCAATGCTGAGGGGGGTGAATTTTTTTGGTCCACTCTAGTTTACTCTCGTTCAAATGAATGGAGCTGCGCCGGTTGACGCATGCGCAGATGCGTTTTTTCACAATTTTCTTGTGGGCGGGACCCGTTAATATAATATATCCATGGCGGGACCACTCGCGGCCATTTTGGATAGCTCCAGTAGAGCTTATTTTTTGGCCCATTAGTTAGAACGGCGGAGATAGGCGTGACTCTGTCCATTAATATATACAGTCTATGGCATTGACACACATCTAGAACGTAGCTTTGGGTCAAGAGCCGACTTTTGGATCATCCTGTAAAGCTGTTATAGAGAGGAAAGAAGACGCGATACAAAAGCGTTGGATAATTCTCTTTCTGGGTCCACCCCCACCGGCCCGGAGTCGTATTCTTGGGTTTCATATGATGTCGGGGTAGTGGTGCGAATGACATACGTGGGGCAGGACCGGACCGGACGTGACATACCCTGGTGGTGCAGTGTGCCGGGTATATACACGGAGATATTGTAGAAGAAGAAGCGCTAATATCTTAGCTAGCAGTCTTCAGTCAAAAGCAGTGGGGGAGGGTCCCAGCTCAAAAGTGGCCAAAATGACGTGCGCTGACATGCTTGCAATACCACCCCGGGCCGATGGGGGTGGACCCAGAAGAAGAATTAGCCAATGCTAACATATAGCATTGGCAGACCTCTCAAAAACCTCACTCAAGTTTACTTGCTGTGAATTTTTTAAGTCTCTCGTTCAAATGAATGGAGTTGCGCCGGCTGACGCATGCGCAGATGCGTTTTTTCATAATTTTCTTGTGGGCGGGACCACTTGCGGCCATTTTGGATTGCTCCAGTAGAGCACATTTTTTGGCCCATTAGTTAGAACGGCAGAGATAGGCGTGACTCTGTCCATTAATATATACATTCTATGGTCAAAAGGCCATCTCTTTGTGTGGTGTTCGGTTGTAGCAACCGTGCGAAGAGAGAAAGACAAGAGTTTCTCCCATGTTCCAACTGTGGTCTCATATAAAGGAGTACATTTTGAAAAAAACACTCGAATGAGGCGGGCGAGGTGGATCAAGGCTTTCCCAGATAAGCGCTCACTGCAGGCCACCCACATTTTTTTCCAAAAATGCCCGAAATCAATACTCTTGAAATATTTTTAGTACTCCCTTAGAATTCAGTGTCCCCCTCCCGATTAAGACTGTTCCAACAACCGTACACTGCACAGGATTATAGCCTTTTGACTCCAAAACAGACATGGTTTTCAATGGGAGCAAAACTTGAGTTGTCCCATCTCTGCTCATTCGCCCCCTACAGGGCAGGTTAATGAAACGCAAGAATTGCAAGTACGTCAACGCACGTGCTCATGCTTATATAGTTTTAAAAAAGTGAACCCTGTTGTGGATTTTAAATGCAGCACATGCCAATACAAGAACACACTTCTATTTTCTTTCATCCATGAAATTCTATAGATACTTTATTGATCCCTGTAGGAGAAATTCAGGTGTCCTGTAGCATAAAAAACATATCCATCCATACAAACAAAACAAATACATTGATTATTCTAAAAAATCTAACAATAGTAATAATATTTTACAACAGACGGGTCACAATAGTAGAGGTGGAGTTTTCGCTTGGTTCGGACCATGAATCCTCTCCGCGCCGGTCTGGTCCAGTGCAAAACCATGAACTACAGCAACATCTCAGGTAGAAAAAAAAGATAGAAAAATAACAATTTTAAAGCACCATGGACTTCCTGCCGTTTCTAGCACATTAAAAAGTAAAATGGGTTGGACAAACATTGAAAAAAGGAAGAAAATAAAGGAAAAATACACAATAGATTAGTTATGTTGGGAATGTGACATTAGAATGTGTCTTTCCTACAGCTCACTCAGTTGACCTCTGCTCAACGTTGGTCACATGTAACCTGCTGCCTGGCCTCATCCAGCTTCTCCCTTTCTCTCACGGCATCAACACAATGGTAAGATATTATTTCTACTTTTTTAGTCTCTTTTCTCCCTTGTAACTATTCAACTGTGGCTTCTCCTGCCTAAGATTGTCCGGGTTCTTGCTAACGTGGCTCATAAGAAGAAATTTTATGACCAGCTTGTGCATGTGGGACTGCTGCCTGCTCTGTGTGCCACCCTCAAAATGGCCGACACAGAAATGGTCGTGTTGAGTCTGGATGTGCTGTACATGCTGTTCGATGGAAACTCAAAGGTAAGTAGCGTAGTGTTCATAAAGTATTAGTTCTGTCAAGTTGGCGTTGACGTGTATGAAATGTTTTGCCTCAGTTCGGAGAGGAGTTTGTAAAGCAAGGCGGACTTTCAACGCTCGAAGCCCTTCAATATAACCATGAAGGAGATCTACGTCACAGAGCACTTTACCTTCTGGAACACAGGCTGGAATGTTACCTCTCTTAATGTCCACACACTTTTGTATTTTTACTGTAACTAATTCAATGAATTGTGGATGTATGAACTATATATTTGAAGCCTGTAGATTTTAATGTTTTCCATGTAAGATGCATTCTATAAAATTCAACAATTATGTGTCGCAGCGTGAACATGACCTTGAAATAATGAAATAAGTTGTCCACTTCTATGATTGTGTTTTCAGTTGTTGAAAGATCCACTGGTAGTAGTTATTTTGTGTAGTCATTTTTTATTTACACATTTCTAAGACCACTCAAGCATTCAGAGGCCCAGGGCAGCAACCAAAAAAAGAATTTATGATAATCAGTAATTCCAAAAGTGGAGTCCTATCAATAAATAATATTATATAAAAGTATTATTACTTTGAATCCCCCTAGAAAGAGGCATCACATTCCAGATTATTTTTCACCAACTGTTCTTCATTTCAAGTGTCAATTTCAACATTATTGGGCTTGAAGCTGAAGCTATATATTGTATGTATCTAATACAGTCAGTATTTGCCGAGTTCAGATGGTTTTCCCTTTCAAGGTGTGTCCCAAAAGAGATTGACTGAACCTAAAGAAAATTACAACAAAAACTATCTGGCAGAGCAGACCCTCCAATTATTGTTCCTTAGGGTCAAAGTTAAAGAAAACAAATGCAAGGTGTGGCAGACCATGGCAGGTCCATACCATTTTAGAGACTTAGGATCAACCATTTTATTGAATTCCTTGGGTCAGTATTGTGTGAGAAAATGTGCCCATTTGTCTGTTTAGAGTTTGCAGAATGGAATGAGAATTTTGGTATTGGGGGCCCAGTATGAGGTACATTTGCCCCACACTGGGACAATACTGACCAGGCAAATGGCCTATCCAGTTATTATAATAGATCCATGGAGCTACCATATGGTTAGCCTGCTTTGGTTTGGTGTGGAGGTTTGGTTGGGTGAGTTTTGGGTTTTGTACATTTGCAACACGAAGTTGTTTATGTTAGATGCGTTCGTTAAGCAGTTGTTGCCACCCTTGTTGTTTTATACTCTGCTTTTATTTAGATATTACAGACTAGACAATTTTTGTTTAGACTAGCTTTGAGTTAGGTCCCTTTTGTTATATTGAGTTTGTTCATTTGGCACAACTGGGGGACGCCTCTCCTCCAAACCACTGTTCCTTCTTTTTGTTTGGCATTTATAATAAATAATTGACAAACCTTTTGAGCGACTGAGCGATTGTTTCATATATCCCGTTATTACTTGTTTGTTTCTTTAACTGGTCATAACAGCAGCATGGAAAGACAGGAACATTTCTCTACACTCCCTTCTGGCTCGGAGCTCTGGTACGGGACATGACAAGATTAAGAAACAAGACATAGATTAAAGTTACAATCGAGATACTGGTTAGAATCCTCTCCATGGGGTAAATGCAGAGTACATCTGTGCAGCAGTGTGTGGAGATTCAAACATCTTCAAATAAAACATAAAAGCCCTTATATTATACATTATACAAAAATACTGTTACACTCAATGCTGTAACTAAGACTTAGTTACTGCAAACACTATACAGTTACAATACCCAGCTGTGCCAAAGCCATAAGACATTAGATACAGAGCAAAAAATAATTTCTACTTTCTACAGTTCAACGTAGGAAGGTGATCCAGCTTTAGGACCAGTATGGAACCATTTACTTCTCTGGAGTATCATGATAATGATATTTATTATACAATGTGATTTTGATAATGATAGTGATGGTTTTGTTCATACAAAACAGGTTTTATGTTGAGTTCAGGTCGTGGGAGCATAAAGAATCACACTGAGAAGACAGCTCCACATTAGGATGCTTCATTCCTATTACATTTCAATGCCATTTTTTTACAGCCCTCAGTCACAACAGTGGTCAGCTTGGCGCACTTTACAAACTTGATCAGAGAATCAAACTGTTCAAAAACAAGAAATGCAAAAATAACAAACTCACAGGAGCCGTTGGGGAGTGGGATGACCATATCCCTAGAATGTGACATCACAGCCCTGCTTTAGCAAGGAAAAATATACAAAAATAAAACGTGTCTACATGCCTAAATGCATTGAGTTGCTGCCGTGTGATTGGCTGATTAGGAATTTTCATTGAGTGGAGTTGGATAGGTGTACCTATTAAAGTGGCCGGTAAGTGTATGTGAAAAGGGTGGAATATGACATTTCACAGCTTCTTCAAGGTTCAAAGGCTGTAGAGAAAATTGCACTGTAAGAATGAACAGTACAGGTCTTACCTTAAATTGTGCTGCTCATAATGTTTGTTGTTATGTTTAGGATCGTTCTGGGCTCGAGGTTGCCTCTGCTCTTGTGCTCAGTTCTCTCTCCAGACCCTGAGTTTGGTTTGGCTCAAGCGATCGAATGTGCCTGGTGTCTGCATTACCTCATATGCAGCTGGTGAGGATGGACTCTTTTGACAAGGCTTTCAGCATCACTGATTCACAACATGCTCCATCTTCAGCTGCATATTGACTAAACCTAAAATAAAAAAATAAAAACGTAATTCTGGCTGAGAAACCCATCCAAATATTGGTCCTTGGGGTCAAAGTTAACAAAGATATCAAATAAAAAGTGTGGCAGACCATGGCAGGTCCAACCCAAGAGACTTTGGCTCCAGTCCAGCATCAGTTGTTGTATTATTGAAATCCTTGGGTCAGAATTGTGTGGAGGAAATGTTCCCATTTGTCTCTGCAAATAATTTAACCAATATTACACATATGTTACTGATGTATGTTTTCTATACATTTCAAAAAGAAAAAAACATGAAATTATATGCAAAAGAGTGTGAATGTTGCATTCCTTTTTAAAAGGGGTATATAGGAGGACATCCGGGTGGATCATCAAGGCTATTGGTCTTCCCATTGGTCAATCATTCTTTGTTTAAAAAAAAAAAAAAAAAAAAGTGGCGCGGGCGGTTCTTTCCCAAAATTTTGGAAAATCCTCTACCTTTAACAATACTTGATGCAGAAGATTTTTGGAGCAGCTGCCCAAAGGAAATGAATAGTTAAAGGTACAATTGCCCCACACTGGACAATACTGACAGGGCAATGGCACGTCCATACGTCATGCAGAAGTTTAAGTGAAAGAGTTCATAAACACATCCATGTCCTCAGCTCTGAGCTGAGGCTCCATGATGTATCATGATGTCACCGACCCGCCTCTCGTCCTCTCAAATGTCGACTTCCTCTCGAACCAAATCATCCGTCATCAGAGATCAACAGGCTGGGGTGAGTATTATGCATGCACAGAGACAGCAAATACTTGTTGGTGTACGCAGCAGCACGGTCCTTACTGATGTCTGCGTATGTGTGCCTAGTTTAGTTTCGTTTAGGGACCATGGATGACCCCGACAGTGGGACGGTCCGAGCCCGAAACACTGCGGCCGTGAGCGGGGACAGTAAGAGAGAGCTGCTGTCCACGAAGCCTCTGCACCGCTTCGTCCAGAAAGAGCCCAGGAGCCTGGGGGTATGATGCTCTGTACTGTAGGGCAAACACGTCAGAAAGCGCCTGTGTGAGCGCGGCCGACTGTCACGTGACCGTTGTTTTGCAGATCGTCATTTTGATGTTCGGGTGTGCCGAGTTCCTCATCGGCCTCCTGATGTCCGCACACAAGGACAACTCCACGTTCTTCTACACTCCCTTCTGGCTCGGAGCTCTGGTACAAGACATGCACTTGTATAAAGAGATTTAACAACGAGATATAGATAAAAGAGATACTGGTTAGAATCCTCTCTATCGGGTAAATGCAGAGTACATCTGTGCAGCAGTGTGTGGAGATGTTTGCTTTATTCAAACATCTTTAAATAAAACATAAAAGCCCTTATATTATACATTACACAAAATGAAATCAACTAAAGTAATCCAAAAACACTGTAACACTCAAAGCATAACTAAGTAGTGCAACCTATTACATTTCTGCAAATTAGTATGTAACTCAAACCTAATATCTGTTTTCAAAGTAAATCAACACTACATAATATACATATTTTAAGCACCGGTAACAAAGTTACAGTTACTGACAAAATGCAACAATTCCAGCTGTGCCAAAACCATAAGAAATTAGATACAAAGCAAAAATTCACTTCTACTTTATAATTTTTTTTTGAGGCAAGTAGAATAAAAGCCTATAACTTCAACTTGTTCATGTTTCCTACTATGATTGCTAATACAATACAATACAATTTATTCTTGTATAGCCCTAAATTATAACAGCAGTAATCTCAGAGGACTTAGCAAAACCATTGAAATCACAAACACAGATCAGAGAATCAACAGTTAAGACACAAACATATAGAATACATATGTATTGGTCCATAAGGAGGGACCAACGTCCATGCACAATTGCACGAAAAGAGGAAGTTGAAATCAAACTTCAGCACATTTATAGTGTAGTAATGCAATTTAATGGTGATCTCCATTTGTACAAGAGGTGTAACAACCAGAACAACACTCTGTGTGAAATGGATCTAAAAAAGCACAACGCAGGAGGTGATCCAGCTTTAGGACCAGTAGGGTCCTAAAACCAGTAGGGTTTGGTTGTACCACACCATAGTACAAATTAGATGCAGGGAAATTATGATTGACCAGAGTTTACGGATGAGGCCAGGCTTGTCCTTCTGCATCAGAAAAGAAAAACTGGAGATAAAATGTGAGAAACCTCAGGGAGGCCCATATAGATAATATGAATATTATTGCTCTTATTTCTTACTACCCTTTTAACATTTATGTAGTGTATTTTACCTCATCACAGTATAATCTCCAAACACTCCAATATTAGAGGCATATTATGATGTTATTAAATCAAACAAAAGATAAATCCCCTGACAGTAATAACATTTTACCTTTTGTAATTCTAGTTCAATATCTGTGGAATTCTGTCAATTTACACTGGAACACATCCATCCAAGAAGATGGTGAGTGATCTTCAAGTAGATGCACACAAATGGCTAAAATATCACTGTGGGATAAATCAAAATATAATAAGCTGAATGATGCCAGTTCCTGTACGGTAGGCTGTAGGGTTCTCTAGGCTGTGTTATTATCATGATATGTGTTTCATTTTTGTGCAGGTTACAGTTTGTTTGTCTATGTATGTGGTTTCCCTGATTGGAATCCTCGTCTCCTTTGGCTTAAGACTCACCTCCTTGTCTATGCTGAGCTACTATCGGAACAGGCACGCAAGACATGAAAGCATAAGAGCAGTAAGTGACAATTCTATCTTTGTCAAGAACTTTCTATTTCAATTTTTGAAGTGTTTTATCAATAATACATATCCATAATGTTTCTATTCAATCATGTATACCTGTTGAATTGCCTTTGGTTCTGTAGAGCATGATGCTCTCTCTGGAATCCCTGCTCCTCACCAGCTCCTTGTTTGTGTTCGGGCTGCTCATCTTCTTGTGTGTTGTTGCTCGGTTGGCTCTGAAGTCTACACGCACTCAGGTGAGCCTAGCATATGGACTTAACTCTGATTACTAAGCTTTAGTTTACTTTTGAGAATTGTATTTTCTTTTTTCAGATTGTTCTTCACCAAATACCTGCAGCTGCAACTGAGACACCGACTGAGTAACCGGATTTCAAACCGTTTAAGTCTGGTTCATTGTCATTTGGGAAACAATGGACTATATTAATGAGCAGGAGGCAAGGGCCGCGTGTATCATCACATTTAACCAAGACAATAGGTCAGAAATGCAAATACTAACCACTCAAGTTACATACTAGGAGAAAAGTTAATTTACAAAAAACGATATCAGTTTTGGAACATCTAAAAGTTGTAATCCTCAAGTGACAATCAACATGTTTTGTAATTGGTTGTATATTATAGAATACAAAAAGTATAAAAAGAATTGGCATAAAACTATACATGGCACTAAAATATATCGGGCTTTTCAAAACACTACTCAGTAAAGTGCAAGCCTTGTATTTGTTTGTGGCACTTATCTATTTTTCAAATGAACTAATAATGTGTATATCTGCATCGTTTATAACACCTGATGTAGGCTTTAAAACTATATTTTTATATATTTCACTTTGAAATATGTTGCACTATTTTGTTGCTATGAGTGTTGCTTTAATGTTTACACAAGGTGGCTTTTCTCTTTAGACACCTGCAGACTGATTGTAATGTTCTCATGTCTGCTGCCTTTCTTTGATTTGTGTATATTCAGTGTTCTTGCTTCACTGCCCATGTCCAACTTTTTACAAGCTACAATATTAAACTAAAAAGCAAGATTTTTTAAAATACAACATCTCCACACTTGTGCTACATAATTTACTTTCAGTTTAATGAGTAGACAAAAGTAGTTCAAAGTCAAGTTTGGTCTTCACAGTTTGGTCCATTGTGTAGTTTCGATGATCCAGTGTTTTCTAGCGCGGTGTTTAATAGACGTAGTTCTTTGTGAAGAGAGACTGTGTGGACGCCTGGTCAGCAGAGCCACTGGGTTTGTACTCTCCTTTAGAAGCCAGGCCATTGATCTGTGAGCAGAGGAAGCATCAGTGCAAAGTCACATCTGCTGTTAATGATTAGTGCAGGAGCATGTTAGTGCCAGAGCCCAAAGACAAAACATCAGTAGAAATCATTGACCACAGTTGTTGCGTAAAGTCTGATAAAAGGCATTAATAATTGTCTATAGAATGTGTAATACTAGGTTATCACTCTGGAGACTTACTTTGGCCCTGGTGCAGAAAGCTTCCTGAGCGGCGGCTTTGTTCTCGGCTTTGCCCTTCCAGGCAACGAGGGTGGAGGCCTGCAGAGCGCGGCCGTAAGAGAAGGTGAGTTTCCAGGGGCGATGGAGAGGCACCTGGTTTATGGCGTTCAGGTGAATAGAAGCCTCTTCTTCACTCTGTCCACCAGAGAGGAAGCAGATCCCTGCAGCAGAACAGTTTGGGACTCACTCCATGTTGCAGAGATGACTGAGGAAACGCCAATAGAATACATGCACTTACCTGGCACAGCAGCCGGGACAGTGCGCCTCAGAGCGGACACTGTTGCCATGGCTACCTCCTGAGGGTTGAATTTCTTGGGGCAGGCATTTCCTGGTGTCACCATGTTGGGCTTAAGCAAAGTTCCCTCCAGGTAAACGTGGTGATCAGAAAGAGCTTTGTACACAGCAGCGAGTACCTTGTGACAAACAAAAATAACATTAATAATGAGTTTAGTTTTAAGTCACAATAACAGCAACCACCAACCTTCTCTGTGACGTACTGGCAGCGCTGAAGGTCATGCGTGCCATCAGGAAGGATCTCTGGTTCTACAATGGGCACCAGACCATTCTATGAAGTACAACAATCACATTCAGATTAGACCATTGAATCCGCACAGACATGTACACATCTCATGGACATAAGACAACACTAACCTGTTGACAGATGCTGGCGTATCTGGCCAGAACATTGGCGTTCTCTGCAATACTCAGAGCGGAAGGTGAGTTCTCCGAGATCTTGAGCACACAGCGCCACTTTGCAAAGTCGCATCCGTCTTTCTTGTACTGGGCACAACGCTCAGACAGACCATCAAGACCTAATCCAAAGCGTTGTTAGTTAGTTTTTAGTTATAAGGATTTCTGAAATAGTGCCTAGTAGTGAATCCTACCTTGTGTAGTGGTTTCCCCGTCTGTTCCTGAGAGCCCTGCAGTGCCCTTGTCCACCTAAACCAGAGACAAAACTTTAAAGACAGGCCAAAGTCCAGACACACACATCTGCGCTATCTATGTGTACGTACCTTGATGCCTACAACAATGCCCTTATCTTTAATGACCTGGGGGAACAGTTTGCCGGAGTCTGACTTCTGATAGAGGGTCTCGTGAAAGAGAATGACCCCACCCACACTGGTAATGGGATCAGACGAGAACAAGAGATCCCTGAAGCAGCGTCGGTTCTCCTCAGTGTTTTCAACGTTTATGTTCTGGAGGCGCTTCCCCATGGTTCCTTTAACATGAGTACAATAGTGGTTCATAGAAAAAGAAAAGAAAAAAAGTTTACACACGTACATAAAGCATGGATGAAATAACTAGGAGCAGACCTGTTGATTCATCTGCAGCCAGGATGCCCTTTCCTGTGGCCACAATCTTTTGAGCATTTTCAGACAGCTCCTTCTTCTGGTCCGGAGACAGCGATGTGAACTGGTGAGTCATTCTGATAAAACACAAGCACAACATTTGTTTAAGATTGAATTATTTATTACAACAAACAAAGCCTTTGTTATGCACTACTTTCTATGTTTTTCAGTTTGAACTTTGGACCATGTCAACTGCATGCAACAAATGCTTAGGAGGCATGTGTAATCTTTGACCAGTGTATACAAATCACATCCGCAATTGAAAGTTCTGCAAAGATTTTTCACAATAAAGCGATGTTGGTGTTGTAATAACCAGTTCATCCAGTCCAACCACAAGCTTCATAGTGCAACACTTAAAATCACAATGTCTCCACGATTTCTTTAAAGGTATATAGGAGGATTTTCTACTTCCGGGTGGATCGTCAAGACTATTGGTCCTCCCAACTGTCAATCATTCTGCTGATACGGCCTCGTCCAATAAGACCAGAGAGTTTCGTTCAAAAAGTGGAGAAGGCGGAACTTTCCTAAAAATTGGGAAAATCCTCCTATATACCTTTAATACACTTTTTCGTGGAGCCTGTTTTCTAAAGTTATGATATTCTAAAAGATGCATGTGAATCTAGCAAAGGAATGCGAACACTTAACAATGGAGATACTCACTTGAGGCGGTGGTTAATGGTCAATGGTCAATAGTCAAAGAGTAGAAAGCGATTGTAGCCGGCCTCTGCAGCCTCCCAGGAGCTTATAGACTGGTGAGAAGGACAAACGCTCGGCACAAAGGTGTATTTATCAGGCAGAGCTGACGAAGAGGAGGGGCGTGCGTATCCTTACTAACCCAATTGGCTCCACGCAGCGACAGGGGCGGGTTGCATCAATGATTTTTGATGTATTTTGTGTTACCATCAAGTGTTAACTGGGGAAGAACAACATGTATCCAAAGTGTGCACTGCATTCGTGCACGTAGTCTTGTCAAAGCACCACGCCTTTACTCTCAACATCCAACACCGAAATCAGGGTTTGAACTCCTGCACGGGATTATCGATTTGGCTTCAGTTTTTGTTAGTTTGATCGAACAACATGAACAACATTTGACCTGAACTTCGCAAAAAGTGGAATTTTCAGTGCCCTTTACGTCATTGCATTGACAGACAGACGACACACTTTTACACAACATGGACCTCGCCCTTGTTCAAAGTTCTTTTAAATATTGCTGAGCAGAGTCCACCGTGTTCAACCCCCCCCCCCCCATTCTATATGACCTGAATCTATGTATGTAACAACATTTATCTGTAGATTTGGTCGGCCTCGTTGTCTGTGGATCATGTAGATCAGCAGATATCAGCACAATACAGATCTCTCAGGGCCTCACGCACGCATGGCCTGGCGGTCTTTGGGAAAAGCTTGTACGAAGCTTGTCATGATAAGTCAAATATATTTAAAAGGCAATGCACAACCAAGTATTATTGAATGAAAAGTTAAGCTGAAAGTTTGAACGCGCCACCAGGGGGCAGTGTCTCTTGTCTGGAGTGCACACGTCCTTCCGCTTCCGGGAGGCTGGTCTCCGCAGCATCAACATCTCTGATCCGTGCTTTCAGAGAAGAAAGCGAAGTATTGACACCTTTCCAGCGGTAAGAGCAGGCCTCAGAGGCGGGGATGGAGGTCTAGTGTCCGTGCCATGTGTCCAGGACATGGACGGGCTGTGGGAGTGATTCTGTCTGTTTATCTCATCTGCACGAAACACCACCTCTCCACATTAGCTGCAGGCGTCATACTTCACAAACGGCCGCTTTCTTGGTTTTAGCATCAACATGTTCATATCTCCGCATTTGCACAGACGCAAGAACGAATTAGCAGAAAATTCCATGACGTTTGCTAACAATATGTCCATATAACTATGTCTGCTAACGTTTGTTGTGCAGGACGAAGGATGTCTGGACAGAAACGTCCCCGAGAAGAGGACGGGGGGCCCGGGGTCAGCACTGCGGGCTCCACTGCGGTAGAGACTGTCATCAAGCTCGGAGGAGTGTCTAACTCGGTAATAACTGTTTGCATCTGTCATACCCCCGGAGTACTCTCCTGTTCATTGGGAGCCTTTGTATCACAGTTGGATACCTGGACTCATAGTTTTACTGTTTAATGCTGCTGCAACATGTTATTTTTGAGGACCCTCTCGAATACGAGATGATGCATCTCAAGGGGCTATTCCTTGTAATAAAGATACGTCAAAGATGAGGCACCCATTGACATACTTTGATGTTGCATAATACTAGCGTTACTTATTGTGTGGATTTTGTATTAAAGGAGGAACAGGACATCAAAGCTCTGCAGACAAAGAACCGTAAACTTGGGGAGTCTCTGGATCAAAGACAGGTATACTTTCTGTTCTCTATACTTTTTTGTCGGGTACTGCAATTTCTAATGTACTCTTGTTCTATTCTAAAGGTAATTGAGGATGAATTACGAGAGCGAATTGAAAGATTGGAGACCCGCCAAGCTACTGATGACGCAAGTCTTTTGATACTGAATCGATACTGGAATCAGGTAAGAGTTTTGTTGTTCACATGTTGTCAAAATCAGCCGAAGTACTTCCTTTACAGCCTTCCCTTCTTTAATCTATAGCTGGATGAAAACATTCGACTGATCACCAGGCGGTATGACCAGTCAACCCCAGAGCTAGAGAAATCTCCAGGTTCTGAAGGACGAACTTTGAAGCCAGACACTCCTGAACCTGATGGAGACTCAAACCAAGAGAGGGCCAAGGACAGAGGTAATTCTAAAGGATATAAACTATACAGTCTATTTAAACACATTCTGATTGCTGAGCTGGGTTTCTTTAAGGTCATCCGGGAGAGACGACAAACTCTTTCCTGGCCACACTTGCTAGCAGCAGCAGTGAAGAGATGGAGCAGGAACTGCAAGAGAGGCTGGAGTCTACACAGAAGCTGGCCAATCGTGTTGTGGAGATTTACGAAGCTCTGAAAAACACACTGAATCAAATGGCAACTGAAATGGACTCCGGCACCGGTAATAATATAGTACATAAGATAAGTAGGCCATACCTCATTAGTCAAGTAATAACCAATGGTAGTGACAACTTATTTTTCTCTTTTCTCAGAAGGAAACTGGCAAGTTGCTTCTAAATTAAACTCCCTTTTAACCAGTGAAAATGAGCGTCTCCAACTGTTGACTGAAGAGCTGAAGCAAAAGTACAGCCACATGACCAGTGAGGTGAGCAGTCTCCATCTTTACGCTCAGTGTATGACTCGAATGCTGCTATAGAGTAGGTCTGAAGAAACTCTTTAATTGTATATTTTATTCTCTGTACTGCTACTTTACAGATACAGTTCTCTTTAAGGGGTTCCTTTTCCTTACTGTGTCTAGAAAAATAATGTTAACACATAATTTACATATGGCTAAACAGCTTATAATGGCTTATGTAGCATTTCTGCTGCTGTGGTGCTTTACCTATTCAGGCCTCGCACACCTGGTAAAACATACCTGTAAAACTTATGGCTGAAGTTTTCCTGAAATTCAATGTCTACTAAATGATTGATATCTCAGCCTCTGTCGCAGATAGAAACATAATTCCAACCTAACCCAAACCTTCAGTAGAAAATATACAAAGATTATACAACTTCCACACAGGAAAGATAATAAAACAACCAAAAATAATGTGAGACTAACAAATATTTATCAACACAATAAGTATACACAATAAGAATTTGGCAATAAAGTGGCACTAACTGTGTGGAAAAAATATTTTAAAACTCCACTCTCAGCCAAAAAAAAGTCAAATAATGACTCGCGTGGCTATATTCCTGTTGCGTACTGGTGCTCTTTAATGCAGCTAACCCATCTGACATTCTGAAGAAGCATCTGCCCTGACAACATATATAAATGCCTTCCATTAAATGTTACTCAGTGTGTCATTCAGTTAAACCTCGGATAACAATTCATCATGAATTCCATTGTGAGTGGTCCAAACTCTGCATGGATCTTTCCTGTAACTGTAGCTGGTGCTTCTCTGCCTTGAGATTGAGATTGATCAGTTGAATACTTCACTGCAAACATAGTACAAGTACATCTTCATGGAGATGTGAGCAGGAGTGGACCCTCCTCCTGGACTGTTTCATATTGTACCTTAAATTCACCACCATTTCACGTGTTGTTTTTGCCCTTTCAGTCGCGATCTTTGAGTCGTGCTGCGAACAAAGCCGACCAGCGCGTTGGCGAGTTGCAGACTTTAATAGAGGAGCTCCAGTGGGACATGGAAAAGATTCGACGCAGAGAGAATAGGCTTAACGCTCATCTCGTTGAAATACAAGAGAGGGTATAAAATCTATGCTCTAAATGCCTTATGTCTTAAAAATGGTGACAAATATGAATTGTTTTTGATAGGTGAACAGTAAAGGTTACAAAGTGTGTGGGGAGGCCAGCAGTGTCTGTGGAACCATCACAATCAATAAAAGGAAGGTGGGTCTTATTACAGGCATTTGTATTTGAATGAATTCCACACCGACTGAATGGACACTGACCTTCTATTTCTTATCTTTTCAGTTTGAAGAAATGAATAGTGAGATGGAGGAGAACCGTGAGCTGGCTGATAATCGTCTCACTGAGCTCCAAAAGCTTCAACAGGATCTACAGAGCGTTCTGCAGGAAAACTCGAATATGAAGGTAGTGGCTGACAGGGCTGACAGCTGTAAATGGCTTGTTTTGACATGTTATCTCGTCCTGTCTGATGATCTTTTGTTACTTGGGTTTAATGTGTTTGATATTTGTTCCTCTTCAGACTGAGCTGTTAACCAGAGCAGAAGGCATGGTTAAGGATACCTCTGAATATCGCTGTCTACAATCCCAATTCTCTGTTCTTTACAACGAATCCCTGATCCTCAAAGCTCAATTAGACGAGACTCGTTCCAGACTGAACACCACCAGGACGGCACGTCTGCGCCAACTGGAGCACATGGAGGTACCACTCTACACGTACATATGTACATCTAGGCCACATTCTCATCAACATTTGTTTAAAGTGCTGAGAAGGAAATTCCAAAATGGATGGATGGATGGATGGATTGTTCTCTGTACATGCTGGACTATTATTAGTATGTGGTGAGAGCGCCCCCTGGGGTGTAGGAACAGATTTGGGCACTGCTCTATCAGCTGTAGATCTCCAGAGCTGATGACCATACATTCCTGTTTCCTGGTTTATGTGAACAGCAGAGAGCCAACACAAGGAAGTATTGGGGAAATATAGTTTTATATTATTAGGGCTATTGTCAGACAATTATTATTTTGCTATGTTGTTATATTGAATGTTGTTGTCAAAATAGACTGGATTTACCAAATCCTGTTGTGTTCAGTTAAAACGATAGTCCATCCGCTTTGTTTCCATCAGATGTTCGTTAGGTGTTCCATTACAACATGAAACATGTGACATGTGTGGCCTGTATTTTGGGGAAAAATATTTAGAAATACTGCTGGTGTGCTTCATAGTCCAGCAAGTACTATAAATATGTCCAATTCCAATGTTGCTTTAATTGAATGCAAATACATATTTACAGAATGACGAGGTCACTTTGCAAAGGAAAGTTCGCACTGAAGTGTTCCAGCTGGAAGATACTTTGGCTCAAGTCAGAAAAGAGTATGAGATGTTAAGGATTGAATTTGAACAAACTCTGGCTGCAAATGAACAAGCAGGTAAATCAAGTTACAGCTGAACTTTGATGTGAATTGAACTTTTTAAAAATGTTGCTTTGACTAACGCTTATGTTACAAATCTATTTTGTGGCAGTAAAGTTTGCACTTGTCAAATTCATGCTTTGATTTATCTTAAGGGCCGATTAACAGAGAAATGCGCCATCTGATCAGCACGCTACAAACGCACAATCAGCAAATGAAAGGTGAAGTCGTGAAATATAAACTGAGACTGAGAGAGTCACAGGCTGAGCTCTGCCAGGTGGGTCAGCACTTTTATTTATCCACAGTACAAGCATCAAAACATTTAAGAATCTAGTGAAAATGACTCAAGTCGATGGTGCTACACGCATAGGTTCGAACATCGAGAGGAAGCAGCATCCTTCAGTCCCAGTCAAGCACAGAACTGGAGGTGAAAGAGGAGACCACTTCCCCCACCACACCTGCTGTTTCTGCAGATCCCTTGGTCAAGAGCGAACCAGACAACGGCTCCTCAACCCCCAGCAGCACTGGTAACAGATACTTATCAAGAGGTTGATAGACAATACAAGTTGGAACAAAATATAGTTAAAGCTGCACTAACTGACTTTGGGATTTCGAAGCAGCGGACTCGCTGGCCTCGCTCTTTCTCCTCCCCTCCCTGCACCCACGAAGCTATCGCCCCCCACTACCGCACACCCACTGTTGTTTATGGAGCTAGCGTCTCCCAATATGGATAAATCCATGTATCGCACATTTGAGCGAGGATGGCGTGACCATAGAATGATAGAACCGGGAAGCGCAGAAGAGCAGGACTTTCTTTTGGATGGCTGTCTCGCTGTGTAAGCAGTGACCGGTGACGAAGACAAGGAAGCTTCAGGTTAGCTCCGCCGCTTGTTGTGCTAATGACGGACCTGTAGATTTCTCAAGAAAGTGGGGGCCAGTGGTCCGCTGTGATTGGTCACAATCTGGTCCCGAAAATCATTCTCTTGCTTGTTTCATCAAAACTCGATCTAAAATAAAATGTCTTTGCCAGCACAATCCTGCCCTACTTTTTCTTCAAAAGGACATATATCCCAATGCACTGCATCGACATGGATATCACTTTTGTAATGAATACAAAAATAAAGTCAGTTAGTGCAGCTTTAAAAAGAAAGTGACACAATAACCATGGCCCAAACACAGTTCTCTCCCGCTACTCGACATTGCTTGTGGGGGAAAGCAAGTTTTTCAATCATCTGTTAGTCCGTTTCAAGGGATATCTTATTGTTGAACAATTTGGAAATTCTACTCAGGTTAAGTTACAGCTGTTGTTGTTGTTATCCTTATTCAAAAACATTTCTAGTGATTTTGCATCAGGCCAAAAGTATACAAAGGTTGTATGTAGCACAGGTCACTCAGAAAGTTCAAAATGGCAGCTTTTATTGTCTTCAACTTATGACAAGATGTAAAAACACTTTCTTTAGATGTGCGATCAGGTCTAGTTGTGTATAGTTTCCTGTAAGGCCTCTTCTTATGGCTTAAAATAATTACATTAATATTTAAGAAATTCTTTATTTGTCCTACAGCAGGGAAATTTCAGTGGCCAACACAAAACCCTGGTCAAGCACAATGTCTTTATATTCACAGCTGTGAATCTTTCTCATGTTGCTTCTGCAGGCGCCTCAGTTAAGCTGGAGCCCGTAGCAGAGCCAGAGTTGTCTTTGAAGGAGGAGGAAAAAGAGGAGAAGAAGGAGAAGGAGGATAAGAAAGACATAAAGAAAGAGGAGAAGGAGCGAGAGAAGGAGCGAGAACGTCCGACTCGCAGCAGCAACAGTGCGGTCAAAGAGGAGCGCGACAAAACCAGCAGCAGCAGTGGTGGTGGTCAGCCCGAGGAGGCTGAGCGCATGGCCACGCTCGGAGGCTCCAAGAAGAAAGAGATGGAGCAGCTGAAGATTGTCAGAGCCGAGCTGAAGTATGACTTTTATTGCTTTAAAATATTATAATCATTATGATCGACATTTTTTAGAAATAGTATAACCATGTTAAATTGTTCCCTCGTCACATACTTGGAATTGTTTTCTGCAGCCATGCCAATAATGCGAACGCTTAGCACAAAAAACAGCGCTGTGCTACATTTCTCCCATCTGTTGTCACCATCTTTCACATTGCTCTGCAGTCTCCAATTTTAATGAATCCAGCCATATTACATTTATTACAATTGTATTTTTAGTTTTTTTTGGTAGGCCCATATATAAACCCTACTTGTAGAGCAGATGGTAAGTTATAGTGAAAGTGAAAATGTTTGGATAATAAGATACGATAAGATAAGCTAGACTTTATTGATCTCACACAGGAGAAATTTCCATGTCACATCTGGCATGGATAGAAACACTCAAGATTGTGCAAAATAAGAAATGTGCAAACATGTTAAATGCAGGATATATTATGTACAATAAAAAGTGGCATTCAAGAAACCGTGTCAATAAGTAGTGCAGGTTTTTTCATTCCTAATGCAAGTGACTTAAAGTGACTTATTGTACAGTCTGACAGCGGTGGGGTCAAAGGCCTTGCGGTAGCACTCCTTCTTGCACTAACACAATTCACATTTGTTCTTGTCTTTGTTCCTGTAGAAAAGCCCAGGAGTCTCAGAGAGAAATGAAGCTGTTGTTGGACATGTATCGCTCTGCCCCAAAGGAACAGAGGGACAAGGTCCAGCTCATGGCAGCAGAGAAGAAGACCAAATCAGAGGTGATCAACTGCTTGGTCCTGTCTCACAACGCCCTCCTGGTTTGTAGTTAACAAAGGCTTTGTGTTGTAGGCAGAGGAGTTGCGCCAACGGCTTCGGGAGTTAGAGGAGAGAGAAAGAAGAGAGGGAAAGAAAATGGCAGATGAGGAAGCTCTGAGGAAGATCCGCTCTGTGGAAGAGCAAATCGACGGCCTCAATAAGAAGCTTTCTATTGCAAAACAGGTAAAGTCCACTGTGTGTGTCCCGGTCTCTGTGTGTGTCTGTCTATCGCCATCTCACAGTTCGCTGTGTTCAGGAGGAGGACGCCTTGTTGAGTGAGATGGACGTGACAGGGCAGGCGTTTGAGGACATGCAGGAGCAGAACATACGTCTGATGCAGCAGCTCAGGGAGAAAGATGACGCCAACTTCAAACTGATGAGTGAACGCATCAAATCCAACCAGATCCACAAACTGTTGAAGGAGGAGAAGGAGGAGCTGGCGGATCAGCTTCTCACTCTGAAGACTCAGGTACCAGCTCCACATGCAGATACCAGACCTATACAAACATGCAGCTTGAGGAACCATCGCCTCAATGAAGTCTTTTATTGCAGGTTGATGCACAATTGCAAGTTGTGAGAAAACTCGAAGAAAAAGAGCGCCTTTTACAGGGCACTATCAGCACTGCAGAGCGAGAGTTGGCATTGAGGACACAAGCTTTAGAAATGAACAAGCGCAAGGTACAAATTGTTAATACAATATTCATATGATCACATTCTTATCAATAACAATATTATATTTTACATCCAGGCCCAGGACTCTGCCACACAGTCTGAAGAGATGCGTGTTCAACTAGAGCAGGTTCAACAGAAGCTGACGCTGGTCCGAGAGGAGGTGGTGGAGAATGGCATCTCAAGAGAGAAGGAGTCCTTCAATGCCCGCAGAGCACAGGTACGAGCAGTATCAGGATTACACTGGGAAACTTGGGACATGTCAAATACACATTTATTTACAATCTTTAGGAGGACATTTCGAAACTAAGAAGAAAGATTGAGAAGTCCAAAAAACCGGCTGAGAAGATCAGTAACGGGGATGACATCCTAAATGAAGAGATCAATGAGTACAAGGTGGGTCTGAAGAATACTTTTTAATTGTACATAGAACAGTTGTTTCCTTTTTATAAAATGATTTGTTTGAACCATTTAAGACCAACTTTCTGCACTCCTCAGTATAGTGTATCCATAGTGACAGTGGGACCTTCGAGCAGTGTCTTGGGTCAAATGACTGGATTTGTGCTGCTCTATATATTTGTATTCATGAAGAGGCACTCAGCGACATAACCCCACATCTCTTTGTTTGCCCCAGGCTCGCCTCACATGTCCGTGCTGCAACTCGCGGGTGAAGGACGCTGTGCTGACCAAGTGCTTTCATGTTTTCTGCTTCGAGTGTGTCAAGACTCGCTATGACACGCGGCAGAGGAAATGCCCCAAATGTAACGCGGCCTTCGGAGCCAATGACTTCCATCGGATTTACATTGGCTAGAGGAACTCAAAGCTCCACACTGGTGCTGCCTACACAAACTTTTTTAACCATCCCCAAAATGTATTTTGATATGGTTTGGACTTGTTCGATTATAGTGAACGTAGTTTCTTGTTCATTACATGTTCTGTGATGAGTGAGACATTGGATACCAGTGGTTCTTACAAAGCTTTTCACTGCAATTCCATTATTTTAACACTTCAAAACACAATAAGTAACAGTGCACTGGATCCAACATGTTGAAACATTATTACTGATTTAAGTATGGACTTATGTTGATTTCACACAGTTTGAGAACCCCTGGTCTAGACTAAATGTTAAGATGCAATTAAATCTACCGTGAATAAACATTCCTCCAACATTGTAATATTTGCATAAAATATGTTGAGTAACCCTTTGTTTTGGTTGCTTCTCTCAAACATAATCTATAAGCCTCATTTTCGAAATTATACGACCCAAATTATCATCAATTTTTTTTTCTAACTGAATGTAGTTTATAGCTCGCACATGGCACGCAGCTCTCAGCTCAGCTCAGTACATCCCTGTGTGGCTTTTCTCCTCCCCCTCCTGCGCTGCCTCCTGTGAGATCCTGGCGGGTTTGCAAAACTGGAAACAGTCGTTGGAAACGCTGGAAGGAAGGGAGTGCCATACTCTCACAGCGACGGGAGATTTTGCTTGTGCAATATAATCCAGAGCAGCAGCAGCAGCGCCGGAGACAAAGGGCCCTACACTTAGATGTGGCAAAGGGGCTCAAAGCTGGAATAAGAAGCTTTAGCTGACCCGTGCTAAGCGTCGTTGCCGAAGCTGCACCGTGGGCTTTTTACGCGCACACAGCTCTCCAAGACATCGTGTCGGTTCTTTTTCCTCTTTTTTTTTGTTACAATTTGCAATTGCACGTTCCATCACCGCAGACTTTTGGCGCTTGCTGGGTGCAACTTCTTATCTCTTTCTGTCCAAATATAGACACGGTTAAAGCTGAAGTGCCCTTGGAAGAGGCGGAACATTCTCGCTCTGGATATTTTTACGCAGCAAGACCAGGTTTAGGAAAAGTGTATATTTGCTCCAAGCATGGTGTTAGAGATATAGACTCGTACACTCGTCATTGTAAGTGTGTGTAATTACAGTGTGTGGATGTAAACAGCGCTCCTCCGTGGACAGAAGCCATTTTAAACAGATTTCACTTGTATGAGTCACTGACAGTGCTTGTCCAACCTGCTGCCATCGCCTTGTTCTCACACCCTCGCTCGTAGCTGTTGGATGAGGATGTCTTTTAGCGCACGGATCAGTGGTGCGCCTCTCCCCCGCCTCTGCGCGCTCCTGGTGCCGCTCCTGGTGCTGGCGGTGTCTGTGAGCTGGGCTGCGGCTGAGGAGCAGGCCCAAGCCCCCACCAGCTCCCCAGTCACTCTCCGCACCGTCATCACTGGGACTTGCCATGAGATCCAGCACTACGTAGAGTCCTTGGTGGGCACCAGCGTCGTGCGCTCTGTGGTCGAGGTATGTGAAAAATACACGCACCGCTCCTTCACTGTGCAGAACCTCATGCAGCTATTTTAACAACCTTTTTTTCTAAACTGTACGACTAATGTCTTCAACTCTGCCTGTCTTCATTGTCACTCTCTCACATGTCCTTCTCCCATTTCCCTTCATCGTGTTAATCTCCACTTTTGATCCCCTCATTACCTCTGCCCAATGCACTCATACTCCTGCATACCCGGCTCTTCTCTGCTGTGGCCCCCTCTCCAGAGTGCTGTGTTGTTGTTTGAGTCAGTGCTTGGGCAGGAGAACGTCTATTCTGTGGCCATGGTAAGAAACCTCTTCAAAGCTCTCACTCCTTTTTAGCTTTACAGTTAAGTTTTAAATCTGGGGTACTTCACTTTTTTCCGCATAAAAAAATCTATGTCGTTTGCTCCAACAGAAAAAGGCTTGTGAAAGTACAATGTAAACAAATCCCACCAAAACTTCTGTCTTCACCGTATTAGAAAACATGCTATATTCTGCACTCTTTTAAGGAGTCCTTGTGAGTCACTATTTGACGGTTTGGGCTGAGTTTCTTTCACATCTTTAAATTAGCTTTATCTAGACAGATGCCAAAAATACAAAACTAGTGATAGAACTGTTCTGAGAGACAGGAACTTGTTTTTGTGGAGTGAACGTTGATTACCCCAGCTTTAAATATCACAGGTCTGCTTTAGAAGTTATAATAGCAAAACAAAAATAGAACTTCAAAACTATAGACATTGTGTTACTCTTTGCATGTGAGACCAGCATGTTTGCTTATGAGCAACCATTTTGCAGACAACCTGTTTAAAAAGAAAAGTGAATCAAATGCTGTGGAAATATACTTGCATGTTTATTATTTGTACAATTCAAACTAAGCATATTTATACAGCGATAACCGCGTGTCCGACAGATGCTCCCGGCCACAGTCCTGCCTGAATGAGCCACTGTAATACTGTAACAGGTGCAGATAAGACACTTGTCCGGGGCGCCTGGGATATCCTTGACCCGTTCGTACAGAGGTTGGACTGACAGACCACAAAAAGCCCAGTGGCCTCACAGAGACAGAGCCCAAACTGTGGCAGCTGTCAAGTGAACGCACAGCTGTTTGGACAACTTTGTGTGTCTCTGTGTGTGTGGAGGGTGTAAGGAAACAGTTCACCAAAATTAAATGAGGACACATGGCGAGACAAAAGCAAGCATTACCTGCAGGAAACTCACTTGCATTGTGTTCTTATGCTATTTGCAGTTCAATCTGATATAGAATACTTATTTGTTTTCTTATATAAACTAGGAAATTGCTTTGGCCCACGGTGCAAATAAGTTATGAAAGTGAAAATAGAATAAGGCATGCATAAAAGTAAATACAAAATATATACCAAGTTTCCCAGCTTTTAAAACAAGATGGTAGTAGTAGCCGTAGTAGCTTATTTACAAACACACTCTGACCCTATAACGCTCCCCCATCCCTCTTTTTTGTCCACATACTTTTAAAAATTCTTGAATAGAATTTGGATATGTTTTTCATTCATTTGCTAAGTAGTTCCAAGGAGTAATTACCCACACTGAAAAAGCCACTATCCCCACCTACACTATGCCACAATCTCGACTAAAATTCAGACAAACTCAGGCACTATAGTCTTTGCAATGAATGCATCAGGAAGTCTGTTTTTCTTAACAGAACAAAGTATTAATTTCAGTGTCACTCGTCTATCCCGGCTTTGAATGAGAAGCTAAGAATGCTGCCTTTCTTCATTGTTCGCTTCTGATCATGACAAAGTTGAACATGTTTGTGCCCTTCCTCTGCAGTTTCTGGAGACCGTGATCCGCTTCCTGGCCGAAGGAGCTGCCAGCGGCCTTAACGTCATCGCCGTTTACGTCACAGAAATCCTCCGGGTCACAGGATTCGATGGTGGGGGCACCCTTACTCAGATAATAATAATGATTGTTGTTGTTATTATTATTTACAGTCAAATGAACTAATTTCAGAAGTGCTTACTACTCCTACCAAGACTGCTCAATAAGTCTTGTCTGTATTTGAAGAGACAATGTTGGCCCCCGACATTTAAATGAATAAGATGTTTCCCACCAGAACTTGGCTCGTCTCCACCTGTGTTAGTATAGTGCTGTATGTCAGAGAAAGATGCCAATGAATGGGAGGTGCAGATCAAAACAACATCGACTCTCCCTGAAGCCGTTTGTCTGCCACCACTCCTTGTTTTCCATTTGATACAGTTACATTTGACACCCATGCTGCATTAAGCATAAAGAATTGCTTATTTAAAAACAATGATGTTGTACTAAGTCATAGTATGGGTCTTTTTTGATTGCATTTCATCATTATGACAAGAATCGGGCTGCACCATTTATCAAAATTGCAATTTACGCAATTGGCAAAGGGAAGACTGCAATTATTCATGTTCTTTACGTACAAAAAGCTCTGACGATGATTCAAAATGTGTATTATGAGGTTTTTTCTGTAGAATAAGCAATTATCTTAATTATCTGGTCGGGCAGAGGCCTTTGTTCTCTCATCTTTCATTATTTATTTAAACTATCAGAATGTTGTAATAAAACATCAAAACTACTAATTCAATTCATTCATAAACAATTCACTTATTTACAATTAATATATCTATATACACATGATTGAAATGTTTGCAGTTATATCTATTAGAAGAAAAAAAATGGTTTGGACTTTCTGAAATCTGTGGGAATTGCTTTTCAAATATAACTCTTGAGGTTATTTTTACTGATATTCTGTATGTTTAAGAAATCTCATTTTGTTCAAACATCTCAATCCGTGTCAGTCAGAAAAATTGCAATTATATATTTTTCCTAAATGGTGCAGCCCCAAACAGGAACTGATTGTTTGTGCCCTCCTCCACAGCCACCCTGACCCTCCCCCGCGTTACCCCAGAGGCTGTCACCGCCGTGGCCCAGTGGGGTCTGCTGAGCCTGATAGGATACTGGGTCCTGGCCATTGTCCTGCGCCTGCTGGTCGGCGTGGTGAGGCAGCTCTTCTGGATCATCAAAACCGTCTTGGCGCTGTGGTTTTTTGGACTGATCGTTCTGGACAAGACGGCGTCGGCAGACACCACGGCGGTGCGGCTCAGCGGGCTCGTGCTGGTCTGCGTGCTCCTGACCCTGCTCAGCTCTGGCTCTGAAAAGACCAGTGGTGTGGAGAAGCGCATCAGCAGCCTGGAGGGCCGGCTGAGGGCTGTGGAGAAGAGCAAAGGGGACTAACGCTGTGCTTTTATTGTCAAAGTATCCAGGAATAAAGTGATCTTTTTAAACCTTTTTAATTTATATACGTAGATTCTGTTCTTTGTGAAGAATCGCACACATACACTTTTATTAGGGCAGTGTTCCCCAACCTTTTTGAGCTGTGACACTCAAACAACAATCGCATGACACACAACTGAAACTGATATAAACATAAAACTGCTGCCTTTATACACAGTCATTCTCAAAGTGTATTGTATAGAAAATCCCACATTCTTTTGACCATTTGGGGCAAAATTGGATCATTTCTTCCGTAGATACACCGCAGTCACAAATTAGGTCTTGAACAATCTGATCCTGTTCATTCCATGGTTCAAATGCTTCTTGCTTTGGCTAGCCACGCTAACACCAGAACTGAATATCACAAGTTAATATTTAATTTGAAATGTCTTGAGCCCACACAGCAGCATGTATATTCTCAAGCTTTGGTTTGGCAGTGTTGTATATTAAAATCCTGGGTTAGTTATGGATGTACTGGTGAAATCACTTGACATTAGTCATAGTGATGGTAATAGAAGGAGTCATGTGGTCCTCTCATTAAGGCGAACTGAAAAAATCCCTGGTGTATACTCTTGGGTCCTCTGGCAAGACACCTTTCCTATATTTAACTGTTGGCAGTGGACAGATCGGTTGCCTCACTTCAGTATTTCCCAGGCACCGGTGGCCACACTGTGGCTCCGTAATTTAAAAATGATGAATAATTCTAATGTTTCAGATTGTTGCCCAAATGCATGCATGCACCGACAGTGACTGAGTGTGGCACAATCTCACTCTAGTTTGACCCATGAAAGCACAAAGCTCGGTATTGTAAAATGGTGTGGGTAATGAATAATCGTTGAATGCATTGACGTAAGATATTTGAACTTGCAACGTCATAAGTCTTGAGTTTAAAAACTTTATTTAGCCTGCAGAAGGCGCCTCCTTAGGAAATACTTTACTGCTACTTTACTACTACTGTTATTTTTGTCATTTAGACTCCGTCTGTTATATATTATTTATATAACTCCTGAAAATGTGAACGCTTAGAAAACTATAGTCAACTCTAACATCCTGAGATGAATCAGAACCGATTTGAACTCGGAGAAAACAGTGCGACAGTAAGTTACAATGGGATTTTACCCACATCCCGTCATCTTTTCACTTCATTACAGGTCCCTGCATCTTATTTACGGTCTATGGTCCCTACATCTCATTTTCAGTTCAACATAACTCGAGACAGCAGCTATACCCTCCTTTATATTTACCATGGAGATTATAGGGAGTTTGAGCTTTTGTGCAGATTGTTCCCACTTATAATTAGTAGAGTAAATGTCTCAGAGGCCACAAATACAGAGTATCAGCTTCACAGCAGCCATTTATTTGTGTTGACTTTGATTTTGAGTGAAAATGCATTCGAGCCATCATGACCAAGGATTTGATAATCTGCTGATAAGAACTCAATGGGAATTTTTGAGACCAATATAAATGATGAAACTCCGTTATTTTCAGTACAATACTTTATTAGATTGTATGAGATTACCAAGTGTAAGATATTAGTTATTAGTAGTAATGACTACTTAATATTCTGTATTAGTAAAAAGCATTAATGTATTGCATACAATTCTAAACTATAAAAATGCAATCTAATCATTTCCTGACAGTACAGTATTGTAGGCCACGTTTGATAAAAGGCAGCATGTAACAGACATCTGGAAAAGCACCCAGGTACAATAGCAACAAACACAGTATTTAAATAGTAATAATACAACAATATATTCTAGCATTAGACACCACTAACATCTAGGCACAGCAATCATCGTACATTAGGCACAGCAAAGAAATTCCACAGAAGTTTGAAAATGCATACATAGTACAGTTATTCAAAGTGGAAATATGGCTTTTGAGACCCTTGAATCATCCAGAAGATTGTTCATAAATAAAATTTCTATAAGAAGTTGAGCTTGTCTGAGTTATATTCTGCAGAGGTAGATCCTTCAGAGCTGAGAGGCGGAGCAGACGCGAAGGTCGACCCACTCAATTCAAACGTTGGTTCCGAGCCAGAGGCAATTAAATCAAAGTTAGTGGAAGAGGAAAATGTGGGTCCTGGAACTCCAGCTGCAGAGACCTATGGGGACATCAGCAGCTTTAAATACAATCACAACGGAACCTATCATATATTCTTGTGTTGGCTAAACTAACTAATGACTGGAATTATTTTGATATAGTTGCATAGATGCAACATTTTTATTTTCTAATTATAACATTTATCAGCTCTGGGAAGATCAAGCGTGCCGCTTCATGGAAGGCACACAGGAACTTACAGGAACAGAGAGGTAGTCTCATCCACAACTACCACACGAGGCTCCAATGTGTCATTCATGTTAAAAGGCAAATTCAGGCGACTGAGAAGTGACCATTCTAATCAGGGTCATTCTGTTGTCAATGTTGTTTTGATAACATTAGACAGAAATATAAAACATGGTTAGTTCCCAATAATGGCTTCACACCACCACTTACACTATTGATGAGTTTTTGCGTTCCCATGAATAATCTCCGAAATATACCAGACCTTTCACTCTGAGAAAGACAACTTTCTGTAAAGTGGATTCTAAAAGAGGAGACCAGAACAGGAGCAGGTGAGCAGTGTTGGGCATGTTACTTTTAAAAAGTAAATTAGTTATAGTTACTAGTTACTTCTCCCAAAAAGTAACTAACTGAGTTACTCCACTATAAAAGTAACTAGTTACCAGTAAAAGTAACTATTTCGTTACTTTTTCGTTTCGTTTTGGAACATAATGTGCACTCAACGTGCACATTTTTACATTTAACCTCAGTGAGTTTGAAATAGTGCCAATATTTCCATCTGTCCTCCTCACTCTCCATCTCTGTGTGCTGTAAGCACTAAACACCTGCCACTGTGAATGCGAAAACACCCACCTACCCAATGTCTGAAGACGTTATCTCACTATACCTCAACCAATAGTTGAGGTATAATCTCATCCTCCCTTCTCTCATGACAACACACGCAAAAAAAAATTATCTGTGTGCGACTTGAGTAACGTGCAGTAGGGGGGGGGGGGTCGGCAATGATAACAGCGTTATAGTGACAGTCAAAGTAATTAGTTAGATTACTCGTTACTGAAAAAATAAACAGCATTAGTAACGCCATTTATTTCAACGCCGTTATTTCCATCCCTGCAGGTGAGTGAAGCTGTGGTTGGCATGCAAAGCAGGAGACACACAGACGCTATGCTTATTCAATATTTAGATATAAGAAAAAAAATTTAAAGGTTGCATGAGTGAACTGAGCATTACAGTTTGGTGCATGTCTCTACGAAAAAAGATAATATTTGTGCATCATCATGGCCACCCTGAACAGTACTCGCTGGGCCTTTGTAGCGATGCGGCCGATTAATGCATTTTTATTTTGTTAGAACTTCATCTGTTTATTTCTCCTGTTACATTATTTTGACTTCATCAAGTTACAGTAGGAATGGGACACACCAAATAGACCATATTCACTTGCTTTACGGGCTTTGACTGTCACGAGTCAACAGTACATTACAACCATGGACTATGAATATTAAACACCTCGACATTATATCGTGTTGTGTCCAGTTGAAACTGAATTGTTTTGCTCCATCAGATGTTGGTGAAGTGTTATATTATGACATAAAAACCTGCGCCTTAGGGCACAGTCACATACGTTTTACAAACGTACTAGGGCAAGTGGCCCGTATCGTCGCCACAGGGGTGTGGGGGGAAACGCTTCCCTTTGGCCATGCAGCGACACACTCCCCTGCGCCCCTTGACCACAGTCGAGGGCTTAAATGAAAGGTATAACACAGCGGAGAATACAAAAGTGCAGGGAGAGACGTGTGTGAAAATGCCCGTCACAACGGAAGACGTAATGTGACGCACAATATCAAGTCCCCAACACACCTTATCCCCCACTCCCCACCACCCGCCACACTGACCCCCTTCATCTGGGCTTTAAAAGTGGGCCCTGGCCCACTTATCTCAACCGCGCCCAAGCCCACTTGCCACGGTCACATAGCACCTAAGGGCACGGTCACATAGGTTTTTACAAGCGAACTGGGCCAAGTGGCCCGGATCGTCGCCACAGGGGTGTGAAAACGGCCCACGGTCACATGAACACGTTCTCTGAACCGTGCCAGAGTAGTACAACGCCCGGTCCAGCTGGTGGCGCAAATAATAACTCCAGGGACTACCACGTTGTCCGAGTTGAGTTTCCGCTTCTCTTCCTGTTTATATTCTGCTACTGGAGCTAGCAGGCTCGAGCAATGTGAACAAGTGTAAGGTATGTCTTTATAATCCATGGTCTTTCCCCAAAATGCAGCGGTGGAACACGTGTGTGTTGTCTGTGAGTGCAGCCACCGCGGACATGGGAGCGCACCTTTATAGTAACGAGCGTAAAGCGCAGAGAATGAATGAATGAGAATGAAAGACAGAAAAGTGTGTACGAGAGACCGGAGCCGGAGGATATAAGTGTGTGTAGCCTGTGTGTGCACGGGAGCGCACCTTTGTAGTAAGCAGCAACCGGAGCTGGAGGATATGTACGTATGTGTTCTGGCGATTAAATAGAGACGTCTGAAGTATTATTGCAATCACTGTGAGAGCGAGGGTCAGGACAGAAGTTCCTCGTAGAAAACGCTTTTCTTTGGCCCTGCAACGACACACCCCCAGCGCCCCTCGACCGCGGTCCAGGGGCTTATATGAAAGGTTTAACACAAGCGGGGAATATGAAAGTGCAGGAGAGACATGTGTGAAAATGCGTGTCACAGGAAGACGTAATATGACGCACAATATCAAGTCCCCACCTCACCCTCATCCCCCCACTCCCCACCACCCGCCATCCGCGCAGCAGAAGCGGGCCCTGACCCACGTCTTCAATCGCGCCTGGGCACGATTGCCGCGGTCACATGGCACCTAAAGCCCGGATCTAATCGCGAAACGGGCCCTGGCACGCTTTAACCGGGCTTTAGGCTGCGCATGTGACCGCAGCCTAAAGCCTGGATCTAATCGCCAAGTGGGCCCAGGCACACTTTAACTGGGCTTTATTGATTGACTGCGGAACCTTCCGCAGTCAACCATTGGTTTTGTATTTCTTTATTCCGTCATTTTTTTTGACACGTTTCACAGCTTTCACATTTTCAACAATTTCCACAAGTTATACATCAAAACGTTCCACATGTTTGGGAGATTATTGCTATTACTTTTGGGACTTCAGCGATTTCCGGTTTTTCCGCAATCGGACAAAAATCTGCATTGAGAATTCTGCAATGCATTTTAATAGGCCCATGCATTTTAATAGGACTTCAGCTCTTTCAGACATTTCTACAGTTTCAATGATTCAACAGTTTCAAGGATTCAACAGTTTCAAGGATTTCAGCAGTTTCAAGATTTCAAGAGTTTCAAGGACTTCAACAGTTTCAAGGACTTCAGCAGTTTCAAGGACTTCAGCAGTTTCAAGGACTTCAGTGTAATCATGCAACCTAATAGGGATTTTTCCATGTAAACCAGTATAATGCAACTTAATAGGGATTTTTCCATGTAAACCAGTATAATGCAACTTAATAGGGTTTTTTTTCATGTAAACCAGTATAATGCAACTTAATAGGGGTTTTTACATGTAAACCAGTATAATGCAACTTAATAGGGGTTTTTACATGTAAACCAGTATAATGCAACTTAATAGGGATTTTTCCATGTAAACCAGTATAATGCAACTTAATAGGGATTTTTCCATGTAAACCAGTATAATGCAACTTAATAGGGATTTTTCCATGTAAACCAGTATAATGCAACTTAATAGGGATTTTTCCATGTAAACCAGTATAATGCAACTTAATAGGGATTTTTCCATGTAAACCAGTATAATGCAACTTAATAGGGGTTTTTACATGTAAACCAGTATAATGCAACTTAATAGGGTTTTTTACATGTAAACCAGTATTATGCAACTTAATAGGGATTTTTCCATGTAAACCAGTATAATGCAACTTAATAGGGTTTTTTTTTCATGTAAACCAGTATAATGCAACTTAATGGGGATTTTTCCATGTAAACCAGTATAATGCAACTTAATAGGGGTTTTTTTTACATGTAAACCAGTATAATGGAACTTAATAGGGATTTTTCCATGTAAACCAGTATAATGCAACTTAATAGGGTTTTTTTCATGTAAACCAGTATAATGCAACTTAATGGGGATTTTTCCATGTAAACCAGTATTATGCAACTTAATAGGGATTTTTCCATGTAAACCAGTATAATGCAACTTAATAGGGTTTTTTTCATGTAAACCAGTATAATGCAACTTAATAGGGTTTTTTTCATGTAAACCAGTATAATGCAACTTAATGGGGATTTTTCCATGTAAACCAGTATAATGCAACTTAATAGGGTTTTTTTTTTACATATAAACCAGTATAATGGAACTTAATAGGGGTTTCAAGGATTTCAGGAGTTTCAATGTTTCAACAGTTTCAAGGATTTCAGGAGTTTAAAGGTTTCAACAATTTCAAGGACTTCAGGAGTTTCAAATATCTATCAAGTATTTTAACAGTTTCAAGGCCTTTTAAAGGATTTCAAGGATTTTTTTTAGCAGATTTCCACATTAGATCTGTTCCGCAGTCAATCGCAATGGCTTCAGCCATTGCAAGTTTCTAGTTCAAGTGTGGCCTGTATGTGGAAAAATTTGTATTTTCTTTTAAAATGTAGTGTGTTTTATGAACAGGTGTGCTCGATAGTACAGCAGCACTGTATTGTTCTGCGCCCACTCAAAGGACTAGCCCCCACTTTGAGAAACATATTGTCTGCTGAGAAATTTTGTTTTAAAGTTGTTTTAAAAGTCTGTCCACATTGACAACACAGCTTCTGCAATGATCATAAAGTCATAATATTCACAAGGCTCACTAGAAACTATAGGTTTTTGTTTTGTTTTGAGCAAACATTAAAAGGCCTTTGCTAATCCAGTGTCATGTTTGTGGGGCACTTACAGGTGGTCCCAGAGGGCTGCTTATGTGCGCAGCGGCAACTGGGGTGTCTTTTGGCAGACTGGAGTAAGCAGGGACTGGTGAGGCACTGGGCTGAGGAACACACTACAAAAACATCCACAAATGATTAAAACATTCACAATCATGAACTAACACAGTATGTAAAAAGTATTTAGTCAGCCACCAATTGTGCCAGTCCTCCCACTTAAAAAGATGAGAGATGCAATGAGGTTGAAAGTACATGTTGCCCTGCGACAGCCCCAAAACATCACTGCTATGCATGAGATCTGATGGAGGAATGGGCCAAAATACCAGCAACAGTGTGTGAAAAACAGAAAATGTTTGACCGCTGTAACTGCCAATAAAGGCCAGGAAACAAAGTATTGAGATGGACTTTTATTATAGACTAAACACTTATTTTCCACCAATATTTGCAAATACAGTATGTGTGATATTCTGGGTTTTTGTTCTCAATTTTGTCTCACATAGTTGCGGTAAATTACAGGCATCGCTCATTTTTTTAGGAGCAAAATTAGTGCCTGACAAAATACGGTTTTTGCCCCACTGTTTATTGCTTCCTTTGTATAAAACCAGTCAAAAAAAAAAGTAACATTCAGATCTAAAATACACTACCTCTGAATAGGATGGTGGTAGATCCGCTGGGCCCTGGTCACTGCTGTATGACTGCAGAGCAAAACAAGAGTCAATGAAAAGTGTCTCGTTGTAAACCTGTAGAAGATATTTTTGCTCACAGGTGGATCTGGAATGATGAGTCTTGGCTCTCTGGGGAGAAGCGGAGTCCCAGTCTGAGTCGATCGGGTTGGATTCTGTGGACATTCGGTCACATCTCATTATAAAGGCAGCGTTTGGTGATAAAGGTAATTCACACTCACATGCTCGAAGACAGCCGGTGCTGCAGCTTCTTCATCCTCGGTCTCGTCGGTTTTACTGGAGCTCTCATTACAGCAGCAATACTTCACACAGCAGCTGCACAGCGTCAAACCCACAGAAATGGCACCCATAATGATATAGCTTCCCCAAACCTTCTCCACTGAAAAGTCAAATCAAAACATTATTTTTGTTCATTCCTCCGTTAATACAAGTGGGACATTATATTTTAGTTGTTGTCAACTTTGCATGCGACAGTTGAATCCACAATGCTAGGAACTTGTATTGAATGTAAGGAACTTAATTTGAGGGGAAAGTACCAAAACTAATTTAGAAGCAATACTTTTGTCTCAAAAGGCAGAAAATCCTGCAGCATAAGGACGCCAGGCCACAGCTCTATCCGCTGTGGTTTATGTTTATGTGAACAGTAGGGAGCCAAATTGACACTGTTGTAATAGCTAAAAAGTCTTTATAATTTTGACTCCATCCAGGTTTAGTAGCGATGGGGCACATTTTTATTGTCAAAAGAGATTTGAAATGAGCTTGAACATGGAAGCTAATATTTAATTTTGTTATTTACAAAGTACAGACTTGGTCACCTACCTTCACGTATCTCCACGGTTGAGACCTGCATTAAATTCCCCTGCTTGTCATAAAACTCATAGGTGCCAGCATCTGCAGTGGTTGCATCTCCAATGGAAAAGGTGAAGTCTGTGATTTTGAAACGGTTGTCAGCAGGCAGAGGGCGTGCATTGTAGTTCCCAAAGTGTTTAAACTTCACTTGAGATGGGATAAATGGTGCAGAAATGTCGAAATGTATATCGCCTTCATCAAAATTATAATTTTGTACGTAATCTGTATGGAGGTAGAGAGACAGAGGGAGAACCATAAGAATCTGTTTCAATAGATTTTTTTTTTTTATGTACTTGAATTTCACCATAAGATTTTCTTTCTCTGAAAACTAATATTTGAATTGTTTTACTCTCTAAATTTCAGGGAGTTAATTTTCAGCATCCTTTTTTTAATGTGGTTAAATTATGTAGGCTAGTTGGTTATGTATTTTACACTGAAATGTTTTCTTAACTTAAAAATAAATATATGTATTTGCCATTTTCAATTTTTAAAACACAAAAGGTACACTGAATATCCTGAGAAAAATAAATAAAATATTAGCTTTCAGAGAAAAGATATTCACAAGAAAAAATTCTAGTATTTAAAAAAATTGAATTCTGAATTATGTGATTGTTTTTTTTGCAACATGCATATTTAACCTTACGTTCAACTACTATTTGCATCCAATTCAGCAGATGATGCTGGGGTCCTCTGAAGTGGTAGAATCCACTGTCCTGCTGAGTGAGGCGGTCCATCTGAAAGCCATTGTTGCTGATGTATCCTCTTTCATACGAGGGGCCTGAGCTATTCCAAATGACTCTGGCCTCAACTGAGACGGGGAGACCTGATCCATTATACTTTAAAAACTCTAAATATTCAGCTTTGTATGGGAATTCCCAGTTTACAAAAGACCCATAGCGCTTTTTACTAGGAACATGGCAAACTGGGAAAAAATAGAGAGATTAGCTCACCAACAGGACGCAAAAATAATGCATTGTTACATTTTTTTGCATGAAAAAAGTTGTCTCACTTTGAACTCTCAGTCTTACAGCTCGTAAGTACATTGATTCACTGGATATTACTGCAACATCGTCCTGTGCTATTACACCATTCATCTCGATGGATCTGGGAAGAATCTTGAAGCGTGGGTCCAGTGACTGAAAAGATGTAGTGGTTATAGCAAGTTTATTACATGTATGAATAATCACACCGAAGAGAATTACCTTCCCATGGTTGACAACAATCTTTGGTAAGCCGTTATTCGGAGTGTATGTAATAGTCTTGTTGTACAGACCGGGTGAAAAAGAGGTTGGCAAATGGTACTCATTGCCATAGCACACGTCCTCTCTCAAAGCCAAGAGGGATGAACCTGAGAACAAGAGGGCAGTTATGTGCAATAATGGAAACAGTCAGATATAATAATGCTACAATCATTGATCTGCATTGTCGAGACGAGCTGTCACTTTGGCGGCAACTAATGGGGATACAACAAATAGATAATATCAAAGGCCTGTAAATTTGAAATTGTTTTAGAGTATTTTTTCTGTTCTTGTTTACATCACTTAGCTCTGAGAGTTCTCAAACGTTTCAGTCAGTGATCCCCAAAGTAAAGTTTGCAGAACCCATGAGTCAAAACATATAGAATCCATTAAGGAGTTTTTTGGCCTAATTTTGGTTTAATGAATATCGAATTATGTGTCAGATGATTGGTGAAACCCATCTTGAATAATTTAGCCTGCTTTGAGAAAACCTTACGTGACCTAACCAATAATTTGTTTCATGCTTTGTTTTTCCCACAATAAAGTGAGAAAGAGGCAGATTAGACCATAACATCAGACAACTATGTTTTATCTATTGCATACAAGAAAGAAAAAGAGTAAGTGGATTGGCTGTGTCTGGTCCTGTCTTTTTCCCTTTTCTGTCTAAATTAGATGAACAAAAGATATCTAAAATGCTTGCATTTTAGATATACTAGTGTTTTTAAAGTTAAGAAATAGATGGATTTCGTAATATTGTTAGGTATGGCCAAAAGCTCAACAAATATAATCTGCATAAATGAGATCAGCGCCTGGATTGTCCTATCTGGTTAGTACCATGATATACTACATTTATCAGTACCACAGCTTTCTCTGTTCGTTGTAAATCAAGCGTCGAAGGAATCGAACAGTAGGTGGCAGTAATTACGAAGCATCTTAATCCTGCTCTAAGAAAATAGTAAAATAGGTGTTGCTGAAGAGGTCATGGGCGCACAAACATCTTCCAAACAGTTGTCGTTTCGCTTCCTACTGTGAAAGCGAATTTGCTGTAAATATGTGTAATTAATACCACATCCTTACGGCACATTTGACACCATTGGGTTGGTTAATAGAAACATAATAGCTCTATGGTAGAAGCAGAAATTAGTTTTCTCAACATCACACACTATACAATGGTAGCGGCGCTGACACAATAAATAAAAAGGTTTATTTCACTCACCCGATGTGACAAGGGTAAAACACAGATGCAGCAGCAGCAACATGACCTGAGCGGAGTAACCAGAAGGCACGCCTCCTCCTGGATTTCTCACCAGTGACGTCCGAAGAGCGGACAGTAAACACAGACACCGCTCACTTTACTTCACAGGGTTTTTTATCCAAGTATCACGACAACTGTCTTTGTAAAAATCGGCTTTGGGTGTTTTGAGGAGTTTGAAAAGGTAAAAACCAACATGGCTGGGTAATTGAGGTTTGTGCCCAGACCACACCTCCTTCACGCACAGAGCGGAGAACACAGACCTGCGCACAACTGCACTGCGCATCCACAGGGCGGTTAATAAATCCACATTCATCCATCAGAACAAATTGACAGGAAAAAGTAAATAAAAAGCTTTAGGTAAGGCAAGACAAGGGTGGTTTATTTGTTTATCCACAGGAAAACTCAAACTTAACAAAACAATAAACAACACTAAATCACATTCAAAGGAGTGACGATAAAATCCTTCAGTTGAACACACAGTTTAACCGAATTGTTTTTTAACTGGATTTGAACATTTTCAGATTTTCAGAAAAACTAGATTATAGCTGCCTAAATCTGAAATACTGCCTCCCCATGTTTAATCCTGACTATGGGCATCAGCAGGAGGCCAGTCCCTGTGTTCCTCAGGAGGTCCTCCAGGTCCATGTTGGTTCATACCAACAATAAAAGATATATAATCAAATAAATAACAAACAATCTTACTCTTTTTTTAAACATACAATGTGTAATTAAACAATCAAAAACTTGTATCTTGTGGAAAATGTTGAACCAAATAATAATATTACACTTAGAACAATCATGAACCCTAACTGAAATACTCGTTGCCAATCTCAACTGTCAGTCACAATAAAATAGAAATAAAAAAATCATTAAATGCCAAGAAACCTGTTGCGATTTTAGAGTCAGAATAAAGTTAACACGACGTTCAAGTTTATTGTCCCTGAGTTAAAGTATTGAGAGAAGAAGGCGTCAGTCATCCCACTGCTGTGTCCTGCAGAGACAGTCCACATGAAAATGGTCGTATAAAAGACAGTAAAAGTTATCGCTGTTGCGCACACAGACCCCCATTTCTCAACTTGAAAAACTGTTGTGTGAGACTTATGTGGATGAAATGTATTTTAAATGTGAATGAGAGTACAGTTCACCAGCCCAAGACCGAATCAGTTCGGCAGTTATGAAAAGAGTGACTACATTATTTTTAATTTCTAGGCAGAACACTTAAAATAACTAAACATGACCTTAGAGACACACACATAAACATGTTGCTAGGTTGGTTGCTAAGGCAAGCTTGAGTTTCCCCTGCGAATGACGGATAAGACTCATATTTAGAAACCCCAGGATCATTGAGAGTGCTGAGTGAGTGAGAGTGGACGTTAGTTTTCAATGTAAGTCGATTGGAGCTAATAATAATATCAATAAAAATGCATAGACAAAAATAAATGTCTAATCTCAAACAAGGAAGCCATAGTTAATTCTGACCGCCACGTGTAAGAACAAGTTGCTGTCCTTGTCAAAAAAGTTATGTGCCGGCGTCGTCATTCGTGGCTTTGTCGACCGTGAGATATTGGTTTGTTATTGTAACTCTGTCGCTGTTTGAGCTCCATGTAGCTTTCAGCCCCCGCACGTGTGAATCGAACTTGACTTGGGACAATTTCAATAGGAAATTCTATGTACAAACTTTTTCCCAGGACATAAACATAGATCTTAACATGCTCTGGGTGGAAACAAAAGATGAAGATTGTGGCTAAAATTAGACTATACCTTTAACTACCATTTGATACCATGCCAGCAGTCGATGATCGGGCCCTCTAAACCAGTAGTAACCACTGCTGGGTGAGTGCCTTTATTTCATAGACACGAATGCTGTTTCCATTGCTGTAAGTGTGATTCCAAAGGACGATAGGCTGGGCTGGGACATCTGACCCAGTATATTTGGAAAATTCTAAATAATCTGAACTGTTTGATATGTTCCAAAAGATTGAAGAGCCATAAAACCTCTTCACCGGAACACCACAATCTGGAATAAAAAATTACATACATTAAAATCAACACTATTTGAATTCACACCTTTTTAATATATTCTTACCTTTGACGCTGAATTTTACAAAGTCCTGTCCTTCAGTGGATAAAACTCCTTCGTTGTCTTGTTCTGTCAAATCTGCCATCTCAATTCTGTCTAGTAAAACTTTGAACCGCGTATCCAGTGACTGAAAACATATTCAAAACAAATATATCTTATTGAAACAATTACACTGCTACTCATGTTGGTCGGTAAAGTGTAACATAAGGAGTATAATGCCATATAAAATGCATCTTTTCTTATCTTTGAAGAATATATATTCCTTATGATGTATACTAGGCCAACTGCTTAAAGCTGGGGTACTCAACTTTCAAACTACAAAAAGTAAAAATTGGAACCATACAAAATGAAAAACTCAAACTTGTTTACTTCTATCAACAGTTTTGTTATGGCACTGTAGATTTTCAGCTTGAAAAGTCAACAATGTAACAGATCAAATGTTTTCTAAGAAGATAAAAACAGCATGTCATTGTATGTTTTGTTTACAACATTTAGTCAAGACTGTTAGGACAAACAAAAAGTTAGGAACGCCAGCTTTACCTTTATATCAGTTTGAAAAAGAATGATTATATTGTTAGTATCAATAAACCATATACAGTGCCTTGCGAAAGTATTCGGCCCCCTTTAACCTTTCGCCACATTTCAGGCTTCAAACATACAGATATAAAATTAATTTTTTGTCATGAATCAACAAGTGGGACACAATCGTGAAGTGTAACGAAATTGGATAATTTAAACTTTAACAAATAAACTGAAAAGTGGGCGTGCAATATTATTCGGCCCCTTTACTTTCAGTGTAGCAAACTCACTCCAGAAGTTCAGTGAGGATCTTTGAATGATCCAATGTTGTCAATGACTGATGATTACACACAGGTGCATTCTATTTATCATCAAGTCTCCGTATAAATGCACCTGCTCTTTGATAGTCTCAGGGTTCTGTTTAAAGCGCGGCGAGAACCATGAAGACAAAGGAACACACCAGGCAGGTCCGAGATACTGTTGTGGAGAAGTTTAAAGCCGGATTTGGATACAAAAAGATTTCCCAAGCTTTAAACATCTCAAGGAGCACTGTGCAAGCAATTATATTGAAATGGAAGGAGTATCAGACCACTGCAAATCTACCAAGACCCGGCCGTCCCTCCAAACTTTCATCTTAAACAAGGAGAAGACTGATCAGAGATGCAGCCAAGAGGCCCATGATCACTCTGGATGAACTGCAGATAACTACAGCTGAGGTGGGAGTCTGTCCATAAGACAACAATCAGTCGTGCACTGCACAAATCTGGCCTTTATGGAAGAGTGGCAAGAAGAAAGCCATTTCTCAAAGATATCCATAAAAAGTCTGGTTTAAAGTTTGCCACAAGCCACCTGGGAGACACACCAAACATGTGGAAGAAGGTGCTCTGGTCAGATGAAACCAAAATCAAACTTTTTGGCCACAATGCAAAACGATATGTTTGCCGTAAAAGCAACACAGCTCATCACCCTGAACACACCATCCCCACTGTCAAACATGGTGGTGGCAGCATCATGGTTTGGGCCTGCTTTTCTTCAGTAGGGACAGGGAAGATGGCTAAAATTGATGGGAAGATGGATGGAGCCAAATACAGGACCATTCTGGAAGAAAACCTGTTGGAGTCTGCAAAAGACCTGAGACTGGGACGGAGATTTATCTTCCAACAGGACAATGATCCAAAACATAAAGCCAAATCTACAATGGAATGGTTCACAAATAGACGTATCCAGGTGTTAGAATGGCCAAGTCAAAGTCCAGACCTGAATCCAATCGAGAATCTGTGGAAAGAGCTGAAGACTGCTGTTCACAAACTCTCTCCATCCAACCTCACTGAGCTCGAGCTGTTTTGCAAGGAAGAATGGGCAAAAATTCCAGTCTCTCGATGTGCAAAACTGATAGAGACATACCCCAAGCGACCAAAGATCCTCACTGAACTTCTGGAGTGAGTTTGCTGCACTGAAAGTAAATTGTGTCCCACTTGTTGATTTGACAAAAAAATATTTTTTATATCTTTATGTTTGAAACCTGAAATGTGGCGAAATTTTGAAAGGTTCAAGGGGGCCGAATACTTTCGCAAGGCACTGTAATAACTCATAGCTACACATGAAGAATGATGCCTCTAACATAAGTATAGGGGAAAAAAACTTCATGTTTTCTACTCTTTGAATGAATGAAGATTTTATAATGGACTCATGGTCCAATATTGACACACAAAAAAGGACAAAACATTCAAGTTAAAAAGACAGAAGACAACTACACCAGTGCGCCCACATACTCAACGCACTACAACGGATATCAACCAGTGACAGTAACTTTTTCATTGACAGACTTTGTATTTTTGCATCATCTTGTATTCTTTGTTCCATTAACTTTTAAGATGAGGCCGACTGGTAAAACTGTATATAGACAAGACTAAACAAATGAATAACAGTACTGGTAAATGGAATTGTATTAGTTAAACTTACAGACAAATCTAAGTATTTCTGTAAAGGAATGTGACTCATCTGGGTCACACACAGTTAACCTTTACCAAACACCCGCTCCGCACTTCAGGAGAGCGCCTGATTCTGAAGTTTATTAAGGAAATACGTCATTACTACAGAAGGTAGGGGCTACCTAAAATTGTATATTATAGTATTTCCTCCAGAGCAAAAATAGATAATCTCATTAATTTTATCCTTTAGAGCCAACTCATATTGTGAAACTCATATAGTCAAAGTTGTTAAGTTAGAGTTGGGTTTAGATGTGATGATCAGTTATCATCATTAATATAATAAACCAAACTTAGATTAGGCAAAGCGGCTGAAGTTACATATAAAAATGTACAGACAAACACATAACTACCAATGCATACTCCCACTCACATGATCTATAAATAAAATTCTATGATAAAAACATGAATAAAGAG